ATTCTGTCTCGGTTCCTCTACGTACTAAACCCTTGCCTAGTTCCTAGCCTACGACGTGATCTGCCGAACGATTTGAGTGATCATATCGTACGATACTCTTGACCAGCACTCGGGTTACGAGAATCAATGGTTCACAAGGCGTAACACTAGATTATCCCGAGCCTCCGACCTTTGGAGTGTTCCCGAATCTCGTGCTGTTTCAGAGGATCCAGATTGTGATTACGAGGAGGAACAATCTTATATATATGAGAATCAGCCACCGCTAGACGGTGCCAGCCATAAGCTAGCACAGAATGGATATTACGCCTCGGGAGCCCACTACGGCGACGGATTGGCTTAGGATAGAGCTTTCAAGCCTCCTGGAAACAATATCCTTGACCTTTGCACCCAGTATGTCTCTGGTTGACCCTCCAAACAGCCCCAGCCCTAGCCCTAGCTGACACTTCTTCTAGCCTATATAACCGTGTAGAGTGAGTATAGCCTTAGCTAGTTTGATTTTTATGAATCGCTGCAACTTGATTTGAATTGGTTATGCTAACTTGATGGGACAGTGGTCTAGAGCAACAGTTCCTACGATAGCACGACTGGAACTAAAATACGTAGCAAGGGATAGAGACAGTGGCCTAGCAATATGATGAGATCTCTGCCCTCCAAAAAACCGTGGCTATATTGGAGGCAAAGATCAACGATCTATGTAAAGCCAAACCGGGTAGGCCTAAGCGTTAGCCGCAGTAGGCCAAAAAGGATAAGGTCAGGAGTTAAATGAATCGAGGAGAGACTCGACGTGGAGAAGAGGGAGATCTAGACCCTCTGCTTTAATAAAATAATTTCTTAGCTACTATATTTATATCACACATAGCCAGATCATACCCACGCCAAAGCTAGGTCGTCAAATTTACAGTTTAGTCTGTTCCTATTTGGGAATAGTGTAGTCAGTCTTGGCAGGGGCGAGCTCTATCCTTATGGGCCCACTACATCAGTATTTGAGTATATTGTAGCCAATCATACCGTCCAATTGGCCCTATCTATAGGAGGCATGCCTCCAACGTACCAGCGGCCTCGACGATCCTTCAACGAACGTCTCGTTATCACCTCGGGGGCAGGGGCTTGCTAGCCGAGAGACGTGAAGTGTATTTTAATATTTGATTGATGCACTAATCAAGAAGGCCGCTCTTGCTCTAGCTAGACTCGATCTCCCTCTCCGGATGAGCCTACATTTTGTATATTCTTGGATGGCGTCGCAGCACATAAGGTATCTCTCTCTAAGCATCTCCTCACGCGAGCTCGTTTCATGATGGAGATCCAGGGCGGGCTATGTCCCCTGGGTCCGTGGTAAATCATCTGGAGCAGCCCTCGCTCTTGTCTGAGCTCGGGCGGATATCTAGCGCCTATATCCGAGATGAGGGTCCACCTGAAAGCCGTCTTCTTGATTTAGATCCGGCCATTTCGCGCATATGTCCGGTCACGCTAGATGAAGTATAGCTTCTTCACTATGTCCCGATCCTCGACTACGCATTTCCTTGGAATTATAGTAGTCGAATGAGGACAACCAGAGCGTCGCTATACTTGTGTTCCCCGGCAGGGAGGCACTGCAAGCACAGTAATGACAAGGCATCCTCGGAGCTTGTAGCGTCCCCCGTTTATCTCTAAGCCTGTTTAAGCCACTACCCGTCCTGCTCAATGCCGAGAGATGTATAGGTACAAGACTTAGCTCGGCCTTTTGGGACGGTGAATTCCTGTTTCCAATTCGGGGGAAAGTGGCCGCGGGAAGTGGACAACTTGGGTTTATGATGGGAAAGACTTATGCGCCACCGTTGCTCTATGTATATGTCACCGATCGCTGCTTTGGCCTAAGTTCGACTAAATTGCCTTTGAGAAGGTTCGTTACACGCAGGAATCTCAAATTAGCGCCGCTGATCCCCGAGCTAACAGATCACTAACGGTGTCTTGTATATAAGCGACCCACCAACGTCGATCGGGCGGATCGCTACCATTTTCTATAAGCAGCCGTTGTTCCCGTAAGCTCCACGGTTTGGACTTGTGCGAAGATCCATTAAGTAACCCAATCATGCTAGCCTTGTAGCCCCGCTTGGGGAAAGTCTCGAACACCCGCCGAGCCTCGACGATCCTTTCGATAACCATTCCGTCATCGCCTAGAGCTCAGGCCTTGTTACCCGCATAGAGCGCCAACGATGACAGACTGTAATCAATATTAGGAGACCACCCTCTGCCGCAAGGCTTTGACCTACTGGCCTCGATCTATAGCTCTTCTCGTTTATTCGGTACTAGTGTTTTTGGGTGGGCAAAGATCACGACAGGGTGATCCTCTCAAATGTCTTACTATCCGCCTCGGAAGGTTTGGCTTGGTCGTCCTAGACGAGCACCGTGCGCAAGAGACTCCTACCGCATTAGGTATAGACTGACCTTGCGATCTATAGGATCGAAGGCTTTATCCCCTTTCAGACGATCAATCTATAGTTTATGTTGTGGCTAAGACACCATTGCGCATAAGATCATGGCTATAGAAAAACACCGCCTGACGAAATCTGATCGTCCTGCCCCTGCGTCGTTCTCGAAATAGATGTAACTTATTTTTCTTTATCCCATGGCGTATCGATCCGTTCCTCTCGTCGGGCTAGCTCGAATCTCGGCTGACCCACACAAATCTGGGTCTCCTTGGCCCCCATTAGAGCTACGGTATACTATATCACATCCCCAGGGACAATTGTCTCGTCGTTATCTCCTAAGCGCAGTTTCTCGGCCTTGGTATAAACGTGAATAAGTGTGCAGTCCATTTAAGATTGCGGCTGATATGCGGGAGGGGTAAATCATATACAGGACGCTGCGCGCTGTACGGAGTGGGGCATACGGTGGTGGAGATATGACTGGTTAAACTCTATTATTAACAGCTTTTATGACTAGCTTGTTCCGTCAATCGACGATCATCTATGGAGATCATTTCTTTGCCCTAGTTCTAAGACATATGAGTCATCAACGCCGTGTTCATTCTGATGTGGGCAGCTTTGACGACTAAGCCGGCTAGTCTAGACCAGGAAGTTTATACGATGGTGATCTATCTACGGAAATTAAGTTTTTTTTCCCCGAGCGTCTTCGCTAGAAGCCGAGGCTCAAGGTAATCTCAATTCACTAGTCGAAGGGGATGTGCTCTAATTCTATCTAGTAGTAGTCGTCGGTTATGTTGAGAGATATACCCTTGCCGATACTGGACCGATAGCCGCTGAGCGTATAATGCAAAAGAAAAGAAGATTAGATTAACATAGATCTCGCAAAATACTATCTAGCTTCGACGATGTCACCCCTTAGGATATTTCTCCGTACGTATCAAAGTCTAGTAGCGCTAGAGCTTCGGATGTAGACAGCATCGATGCTATGTTATCCGCAACGGCGTTATTGTCGAGTATATTGAACTGCTCGGGCTGTACCTAAGGGCTCTGTAGAACATCGGAAGGGGGTATGTCTTTGGTTATATAAATATTCTCGACCTCGCTTATGGACTTGTCCTTTTTCGATCCAATTGCCCTTGTCACGGATGAAGAGAGCTTGCTTAACTCGTCTAAAGTATTTTCGTATTCGTCCCGTCGCATATAGATCGCCTAGTCTGGTGTTGACTCGTCAAAGCGCTTCTGTAGATCTAGATTCTCCTGTTTTAGCTAGCGGACCTCTTCCTTAGCTGCCTATAGGTCCAAATTGAGCTTTCGTGATTGTCCATTAAGCCTGGTTCTCTCGACGCTAAACTACTATACAGTCTCGGCGGCTACCTAACGTTGCCTATTGAGCTGCGCGATCAGTTGCGCGCGATCTCTATTGGCCCTCTTGAAGACAACTCTGCAATCGGCATGATCGGGATCGTCTCTGGCGCTTTCCTACACTTCGTTTTCTGGGATGCCCTCTAGTAGTGCCTGCTAGTAATAGATCCAAAGATTAGCGAGGCTCCTAGATAATCTCCACATCGTGACAATAGTATACCAGTGGTTGCCGCCAGGTGCCCTGGTTGGAGGGACGAAGTGAATTGCCGGCGCTCGTGGGATAAGGCTGACCTACTTGGGCAGTAGATACGCCGGCCCGTGTTCTTGGGGCCGCTCGGAGGGGAGGGGCTCCAGCCTGGGTTCGAGAGAGCGTGGCGTCCCTCGGCATGTCTTTTGGGCATGAAAAGATGCGATTGAGTTCAAGTGAGATGTAGCAGCTAGCAAACGATATTGAGGAAGCTGCTATTCGAAAATGCTTTCGGGCATGGAAAATCCAGGGACTAAACTAATCTTTATGGTGAAAAGAAGCGGCCGGTCTATTAATCCGCGCAATAGTGGGGTCCAGTCCGTGAGGGCATGAATTCAGGGACTGAATTAAACAGATGTTGATAATCCTACCCAATCCTGGAAATTTTCGGACTTACCCACTGAGCCTTCCTCGAACAGTCAAGCCATGCCAGGTCAAATAGACGGTACTGATCAGCCATTAGCTTTTTATGACCGTTGGAATCGACCGAGTTCTGGCCCAGAGGCTCATGCTCTAAGTGGGGGCCCGAGTCCGCTGAATTTACAACTAGAATATAGGGACCTGTGAAAACGACGCCGAAAATGACAGCCTTTGGCGCCAAAAACGGCCTCCTTTCCACCCATAACTTAGACGGCGAGTCGCCGCCTGACCGCCCGCTGCCCTCTATTTTGCACCCAACCAGGACTGTTAGTCATCATACACTCGCGCTTTTGTTGACGCTCGACTTCAACGGTTATTCCCCCTGTTTCCACTGGCGACCAAAACGACGCCGAAAATGGCTCCCCTCTGCATCCACATCCAGGCCGCCTCCGTTTTTGCCCAGCCTGGTCGAGCGGCTATAAGACGCTTCGTTTGCCCTCCCCCCGGTGCCTCTTTCAATAACCTTCTCATCCCACCTCCGCTACCTCGATCGATCTCTACACACCTGATTCTCAAGACTCCTATCACAGAATCCAACCCTTGACCTTTGTCTCTTAATTCTCCCTATGTCAACTGTATCCGCCCCTCCAGCTCAAGTTGATCACCACCAGTTCTGGGCCGATCCAATCCTTTGCGAGGAAACGCGAGCCAGATTGCAGCATTTCCGCAGTCTCGGATGGCTCCCTCCAAACTTCAAGCCAAGAACGCTGATAGGAATCGCCGTGGTCGAACGGTACTGGCGGAAGTGGGTTTACTCTTGATGAAATGAAAGCCTTGGGGTTGGGCACTAACACCCGGAATAGATATTGCATTCAATCGAACCATGACTACGTGGACTATCTTCTGCTGGAAGACCAAGCGATTTACATGAACTTTTTCGACTGGATGTTTAAGACATCACGAAAGAAAGCACTTCAATCGTACGACGAATACTGGCGCCGCCTTTGTCAATACTTCGAGCTATTCGCCCGCCGCAGTGTTAATGACGATGTTCATAAACAGATGCGACGCGTACGGTTGCTTCTTCTGTTCTGAAGGGGATTGAGCTAATTGGACCATAGTTTCTCAATGGCAAATTCCCGGCTGAGCGGAAAATTTCCAGACGAACGAAGGATAAGAATACTCTAGATGTGGACGTCTTTTGTGTGATCTATCGGCATCACTGGGTACATTCGCGGTTTTTTCGTCATGGAAGTATGATTGTCCAATTTGCTACCATCCAACTCTGGTCAGCCATTACCGGGACCCGACCTAGCGTCTTGCTTCCACAGAACACCTCTCTACCTGACGACTCCTCTCTGAGCAAGCGCAAACAAAATCCCACTTTTCAGAGTGATCTTCCGAAGCACATCCCCGTAACAGACCTTCCGGACTCGGTCTGCTACCGCGACATTGAACTCTTCTACCTGCGCGACCCTCAGAACAAACGTGACGTTCTCTGTGCGGTGATAGAGTTTCGTAACTTAAAAGGTCGGCCGGAAGGTGCTGATGGGTAAGTGTGGTCATAGTTTTAGATGCTCGAGTACCGGATTCACTACTAACAATCACTACTTACTACCAGAACCAAATTTTTCATGCACGGTGATTATCAACTGGCATATTGTCCGATCACTCAAATCATTTCTTTCGCTTTTCGAGATGGAGCGTTTGTTAATACCGAACTAACACCGGAGCTCATTTGGCGGCTCCGAGTTCCAAAGCGCAGTTCCTCACTTCCGCTCCGCTGGAAGCCCGAGGTTCTTAACACGCCCCTCCTTCGGCGGCTTGATCGCACAACGTATGGCTATAAGCTTCATCCGTCGTTGCCGATGACTTATGAGTCAAGTCGACGGGCACTTAAGGAATTAGGTCGAGATGCTCGATTCGAAGACGATATCGGACATTACAATTTTCGTCGTTGGGCCGCAAATGAAGTCAATCGTGAGTCACCCAGTGCCAAAATTCTGCAAGCTTTACTGCCATTCTACGGGGTTCTTGTCATATTGGATCTGACTAGGAGCGGACAGGGAATTTCACTAGCCAGGAACGGCAGAGGGTGCTTGGTCAGTCGGGTGACGCGGTTTTCGAAAAACATTACCAGTCACAATTCATTGCACGCGATCTCCAACATGTTGTTCTCCTCCGACCACCCCAGGAGGGTTTATTGCGCTTCGCTAGCAGTATGCTCAGAAAGAGGGATCCGTTAGCGCCGTCCGAGCTTACCGATACACATAAACGTGCTATTTGCCGTCATCCGGAAATCCTGGACTTGAAACGAGAGAAGAGAGAGCTTATGGCGGAGATGCGATCTTTGGCCGGTACCGTAAAGAATGCCCGAGATTCCTTTCCACGCCTTTATCAAAGGCACGAAGCTATCAGCAGAGAAATGGCCAAACTTCGCAAAGCCTTGGCAACCAATACTCGAGAAACAGCCAGAAAGGACTATTTCCGTAACGCGCCTATACTCGAGGTCGACCGACAGATCAAGCAGCTTCTTGGCGAGCCTGACATTGAAACATGCGGGGGGGGACAGTTCTGAAGATGAGGACTATAAACTGCCCACCCCGGAATACTTTTTTTTTGAACGCGCGCGCCTCGTGGAGAACTTTTACGGCCCCGAAGCGGAGAATTATGGTGAGGACAAACTGCTCGCGCGTCGCATCCAGGTTACCCAGGACATGGTTGCGCTCCTTGGGCTCTGCGAGCCGAGCAGGCGGGGCAATCGCATTGATTGGAAATTCGACGACGAGAGTGATGAACCGTCAGGGCAGCCACAGGAATCCTCACCTCCTGAAGAAGACAGTCAGAGATGCCCAACAGATGTCTACATTATTTGCTATGGTATATCCCGTCGCTCGACGTCAAACCCTCCTCCGCATAGATTTCCTGCCAACCGTCCAGACTCTCTTCGTCGTCATCTCATCGACTGTCATCTGTGTTATGCGTACGATGGAATCAGTTGCAACTGGGAGGCTTGCCGCAATCTTCCCAGATTTGCCAGTATCACCGCATTTCTGGCTCACGCCAGTGATGAACACAAATACGATCTTAAGATTAAATTGTGTCATCTCCCCAAATTGTCACAGTTTAGCCCTAGCGATGGCCCTTCCAGGGACGCGTCTACGGAATCAGAGACTCGGCAAGGCACCGAAACACCCGCTTCCTCTCTCGATTTTGACATAGCAAATATTGACCCTCGATTGATGAAATCTGGTCCTATCACAGTCATGGAGCCATCAAACTCCCCTCTAAGCATCGAAACATCTGCTTCAGGAGGATATCCAATGACTAGCACCGACTCAAACTTAGTGGAGACTTTTGAACGGCGAGTGACAAGGGGAGGGGCAAAGCCGGCAAATCTAGAGCCTGTTCCTAGGCTAGAGTCTCCACCACAGCATGCGACGCACTCGTCTCGAAAACGCGGGCGTCCCGAAGAGCAGCCTAGCGGGGAGCAGAAGGGGAAACCACGACCAGGCAAAATGAAAGCGTCTACTATTAAACCTACGCCTCGTCGGTCAAAGCGATTACGAGCTCGGTGATTCTTCCCTGGTATTCGATTGCAAGCCAGAATGTCTCAACAGCTTATAGATTTCCCTGCTAGTTGTCCGAATCCGGTGCAGGAACCTCAGAGACAAGGATGAGCAGGCCATGATCCACTGAACGGCAGTCACGCGGGGGGTTATTCTTAGAATAGATATGGGCATGCACTGTCTGCCTCGTCGGAGCAGCGCATGCAACGCTATAGCCTATTCTCACCCCATCTCGGCTTGACGTCCAACCGTGCAATGCAGCTTGGTGTCCAGTTACTTGCCGGGGCTGACTCCGCCACCGTTGCTTCTCAAGTATATAAAGGGCCTTCTTCCCCCAGCCGGTTACATGCTCTGATATTCACTTTTCCTTCTCCGAAGCCGGCTTGTACCCGGTGCCTTCCTCCCCTGAGCGTGGCGACTAAGATCACGATGGCAAACCCTTCCAACACTATTGTTATTGCCGACGACGAGGAATTTCCAAGGCTCGAGCCAGGTAGCTCACGACCTCAGAGGGTCCCTCGCCGTGATTACACTTACCGACACTTTGAAAACATGATCATTGAATCTGTTAATGCGGAGGCGAATACGACACCATCGCGCAAACGCCGAAGAACCGAAACGAAGGAGTCGTCTGCTTTGGTACCAGTTCCTCGCAAGACCTACCTTTTTCATTCTTAGCTAATAATTGACCAGGATGACGCTTTGGGGGAACTCCGAAAAGCACTAGACCGTGAAATCCAGCTGTTACAAGAGAAAAATCAAATGCTTCGAGATGAACTTTGCCTGGAGAGGGAAGGGCACCAAAAAACGCAAGAGGAGCTTTCCCAGCAAAGAGAAAGGCGTGTTTTAGACTGCAGGATCTACTACATACAGCCAGATCGCTGGGTGACTATTCTATGTGGACACATGGTTTGCAAGTCGTGCGCGGGGAATCTTGGAACGCCGAGAAGATGTCCTATCTGTCGGGCGCCATTCACAGGTTATGTCGAATGCTACCCTTTTGCAGGATGAAGCATGTATATTGTGCCACAGGTCCAGTTTAATGACATTCGGCGGGATAGCCAAATACTATCATCATGGGAAGAAGCTATAGGCATCGGTTCGGAATCCCATCCAAACCGGCATAGTAAAAGCCTATTCCTCTAAGAGTTGTTTCTCCTTCATTGGGTTTAGTGCTTGAGCTAGTTATAGAAGTAAACCTCAGAGCCTATTCGTCACCGCAGTCTCTTAATGATCACCTACAGTTTTGCTACCCTTACAAACCAACTTCAATAAAAAAGAGGAATTGGAATGACTGTTAAAAGAGAAGCTTCGACTCAAACAATTCTTTGACATTTGTCGACAGATATCCAAAACAATTGGCCGTGAACAATGGGCTGTTTTTGTAGATGGCCCTTCGCCCACTTTCAACACGCGATAGACGTCCACCGAAACCCTTGATGCAAATGACTGCGGACGAAACTACTATCAATCACTTCTCTTTAAGCACAAAGGAGGCATGCGAAGAATTAAAACAAAGGGGTCGGTTTGTACAAGATAAACGTGAAGGAAGTTATTGGTGAATGTTTACTTGTTCGAGGAAGTCATATATTGAATTATTGGCTGAGTGGTTGATCACCACCTTACTGTAGCAACAAAGGAAGGGTGGTTCGCGCTGATACGTACATTCCCTAATACCCTGCCACCCCCAAAGTCTTCCAGTGATACTTTTTTAACCCCGCTCCAACAAAAGTGTTCTTAGCCGAATTCCAATGGTCAGAGTAAATAAACATATTAGTCCCGTGAACGAGTGTGTAATTGCGCATTTATTCAATCAATTTCAAAGCTATTTCCTTGCACAACAGCCTCAAGGAACTCTTCTTCTGAGTCCAGTAATTCTTGATATACAGTCACCATTTTTTCCTTTCCCTTGCATTCTATTGACTCGTTTGAGTCTGCTGTTTGTCTTGAATTAAGTTTTTCAACCAATTTTTCGAGACCCTCTCCTATATCCCTTAGATTTTGCAGGTCCTCGAACACTATAGTCTCTTTTGCTTTTTTCTCCCATTTATCCAGCTCAATTCTTTTGGTGCGTATTTCTTTGAGTTGCACGAGCAACCTGCCTTCTAGGAGATCTTTGCTGCGTTTGAGCTCTTCAATTGTTGATCGGATCTCTCTTCGGAGTAGCATAACTTTTTTAGATCGGAGTGAATCATTCAGAGCTTCAAGAAAAATCTGAGCATTTTCGGCAAGTCGCTCAATTCCAGCCGCAGTCTTTCGAAGTCTGTGGACGGCCGAGTGCCTCAGCTCCCGAAGGAGGCTGATGACCTCATCTAATGGCCTCGACAAATTTTCCTTCAGCTATGTGGAATGCTAACAAAATAACTTGGTCCATTCGGTAAGCTCTACAGCCTCTGTACAGTCCCAGCCGTGTTCTTTCAAGATTTGGGGAAAGTGCTGCTGAGCGAAGTCGAAGCAACCTTCCTCCAAAAGTCTTTGAATGGCTGTCAGGGCAACATGTTGACCTCGGTAGTGTATGTACACTGGGTAGAGCGATGGAACTGCAGGAGTTATTTCCGAATTTAGGCTCGCAGAATATACTGGATTAGGTCAGCACTCGATGCAGAGGACTCACGACAACGAAAGCTCACCTTTAGTTTCCACGTCTGTTTCCCGTTGATGAGTAGCCCGAGGGATAATTTCATCTTCTCCTGTTGTCTCTCTCTGGGAGATTTTTTGAACTGTGTTTGCCTCATCTCTCGCTGCTTCCGCCTCCGAAGCTTCCCTTTCGGCGCTTTGAGTAGGCGAAACATCGAACAACTCTGGGAAGCGAATTTTGGCTTTCAGTGTAGAGTCAAACACCCGATTCTCTAAGAGCTTCTTGGCAACGTTGCTGGTGCGTTCGACGTTGTACTCCCGCAGAATATCTGCCAATGCGATTTTGTTCTGTTCAATCAATCCTTTGACTGTCTTCAATTTTCGTACCTGGGAGTTCGAGCCACGAAAGATGTGCTGGCATGCGAGGTAAACCAACCTCTCATCAGGGTCATTTTCTGCCATGACGTAGCAGAAGCTTGTTGTGTCCTACATCTTTGCCTTACGTGCCAATTAGCGAATATTTATAAACAGCAGTTTGCTGGAATTTCTGTGATGTGGACGCAAGCAGCGTTGCCAATTAGTGGAATACACCTGAACTTGTAACCTTGTAGGCACCTTCGCCTCTTCAACCAGTGTTATAATGCTGATCTTCATTTCACTAGGACTGGCGGCCATAATCCAATTCTGAGGGGAGAAAAGATAAATCTTTTCACTGATTTCGAAGCTCCTTTGAACTGCGACCTTTTCCTCAAAACTGAATTGTCTGCTGTGCTTTTTGGGGGGGGTTCACTTGATCTTAGGGCTGTCTTAATAATGTTCTTCCGTGTTTGGAACTCCAGGAATGCTTGGTTCGACACAATACCCGCAAACAACCTTTTATCGTCAGCATCTTGGCCTACGCACTGAGACCGATCGCAGAATCACGGTGCATCATATAACCGTCGAGACTTTTTGATCGCTTTCATTAACTGATCGAGGATATGTGCAAGCGTCCTTTGTGCACGGGCTTTTCTTGCAATGCCCAGAACTGAGGATGCTGAATTGGATACAATATCTAACCTTGAGTTCCCAGGTTTGGGAGGGCGTTGATGGCAAAGCTGGTGAACACATCCAGTTCAGTGTTACCTCTCCCCAATAACATCATTCTACAGTGCCCTAATTCGGACTAGTGGCACTCTGAACGATGCTGCCAGAGAAGCTATTACATCACGTCAGCCAACTGTCGGCTTAACTAATTTCCGAGTAGTCTCTTTTGGCTAAGGGCGGGCACTATAACCTCCTGGATTATCAGGATGCGCCCCTTACCAAGATACGCCCATTAAAACTGTGGCCTTACTGTCATGAGGTTAGAGGGAGTTTATCTGGTCCAGCCCTTGCCCGCCTTCTAGTAGTCTATAGAAGTAATGCTATAGTGATTCTTAAATCATCTTGCGCCTGTAGAGTTCCCCCGCACGATCTATGTGCATCCTGGGAAGCGTACCCACATATCCCAGAGGACTAATTAGGTGAGTAGATAGACCAAAGGGGGGTCAGACAACTGGCAGAGGGGTCGTGCTAGGTACATTTTGTATTTATAGGCAGGCCTGTGATTAGGTGCCCGACATGGATGACTAATGATATCGTGTTACTCTTAAGGCAACTGGCTTCTTCACTCCTATGGAAAGTACGTACACACCCTCACCGCGACGCGTCTCGCTGCTCCGAGGACATGTACTTAAAAAGGGCATATTTTATTCTATCCAATCTGAGAAAGCAAAACCAACAACAAATCATGAGTTCGGAATTTGATTGGTTCAGGATGTTGACTCAGCATACTGAACCAATCACATCAAGTTGATCATCTGTCTCACGTGGTCATCTCCGTCTACATATTGCCTGTCCTTGTTGTCGACACGAAAATGATTGCTCTTCGAACGAGCATCTCAATCGAGTGGTGAGCAATACTCCCCATTCAAATTCTATTCAACTTATGGGATCCTTTGATAATCAGAAATAACTTGGAAAAAATCTACGTATAGAAAGCTCAATAGAATAGTTTTAACATTGATCCAATGAACCTCTGGAGTATTGACTTGTTGATTTAAACGGTTTTCTTGTCGTTTTTTCTGTTGTCTTGCAAAGAAAGCTGACTCTTAGTCTTCTCAGTGAGGTCGTCAACTTCAGAGCATTCACTGGCATTGCAAAAGAGTACCTTAATCATCGACCTCATCTTGTGAGGTCTGAAAGCGTCACTTTTGAGAGGTCTATAGCCTTGATCCAATGCCTCCTTTATCATTTCGCGCCAGATTTCTGCGTATGTTTCTTTCCAATCTTCAATGAAAGCTTCGGCTTGAGCGATGGTTTTAAATCGTTTATGGCATGAACCCTTCTCTCCCGCGACTTCTTTCTTAGCACCGTTTTCGCCGCTGAATCTCATAAGCTGCCATGAACATTCAAATCCGGAACCTTTGGTAATGCCTACTAATAACGCGGATAAATACCGGGTTATTTTCCATTCGCAACCGCATAATATCCGTCTGCACCCAAAGGTGTCGTTTCTCCCGCTCCGCTCTTAATAACCTCCTTCACATTCTTTGCACCCTTAAGTTCCATAAAGGTGCGTGCTTCTTGGAGGGTGGAGCAGCATTTAGATATCGATTCACACCCGGTCATGCGAGGATGGGCATCGCCCCTGCAATGTCGATCAGATTAAGCTCCAATGTACTGCCAATGAAAGGGAGCTAACCACGATGAAAATATTGTCGGCTCCTTGACACGCCCGGTATAGATCGCATAGTATTCCTTGTTTTTACGTGGCATGGCTCGGTTCTTCGATGTAAGGCATGTTTGGAAGACTTTTCGACGGGTGGGAGCCCTTAGGTATAAGAAGGGAATATCACCACCCAGTCTAGCCCGATTCAGATCAACTTGCATGAAGCATGTGATGCAACGTAAGGCTCCCAGACTATTCAATTCGCCCAGCTGCTACATATTTGCCTTCGCGCTACCCAGCAAAGCAAAGAGGGAGCAAGGATCTATCGAAGTAGTGAAAACTGTTCTTGAGCAGTCCGAACGTATATTAATTCTAGAAACCATTCCAATTTATATCCAGTTTGATAATTCAAAGGGCAATGTCTCGCTTCAGCTCCGAGTGATCATGGATAAATCCTTACCTAATTTGTTGGAGGTCTATGTCACCCGGCAAATGCGGCTATGAACAATGGTTGCATTGTTGAGGCTGAAATATTCTGCTCTTATTGGGACTTGAATTTCTTGGTCATTCATGCATCCGAATGATGCAAGCTGGGTACACCGTCATTTAAATTGCCTATATTGAATTTTCTCGGAATCTCCCCCTGAATTTTATACAGTACCTCTCTTAGTTTCAAATATACGATACAAATCGCTGTTCTCAGTATGGAAAAAACGATTACTTCGTCCGTTTTCCTACCTTCAAGAGAACCCCTATGGCGTCTTTGAGTTCCGAATTTAATCATCTCGCACGTCAAATGAATTGGAAGACGGACTCGAAAAGTTTAAAAGGGAAAAGTCATTATTTTTGCTTCTGAATTCAACATCCATTATGGTTCCAACGCCACAAAGTTAGAAAATTGGCAGGTACTGTGCTTCGAACTGGGCATTTGTCATTCGATTGAGAGCATTTCTAAGTGCCGCAAGGTATTAAGTCTAGCTATATGCATCCCGCCCATTGTTTCGCGCTTCAAAAACTGACCTCATAGGCACTTGGCAGTGTCCACGTCAACTTGGTTAACCTAGTTGATTCTCGGCGAACCGGTCAAAAGGTCGAACAATTCCCAAGTGTCGCAGCGCTTAGGAAATATACAAGGGAAATGAACAAGATTTTCCCTAGATCAGCTGCAAAAGAAGACGGCTTTCTGAAGGCGCTATTACGCGTGATATACTAGTTAATCGTGGGCTTTGCAATAGCAACCAGGGGCAGGCCATGGGAAACATGCACTAGTGGTTTAGCTCAATTATAGTTTTCCGTCCCGTCTTGAGAAATGCACGTTGCTCATTGATCCAACTATCTTCATATCGCTGTTAAAAGCGTCTCATATATAATATCGTCATCCTGACAAGTCCTAGACAAACCGAGTGGGCGCTTTATACATCTGATACTAGCGGTAACGTACCGCCCCTCAGATCGACATTCTCTATCGCGCTGTCATGTTGGCAAACCTTCGCCATCTGGTTGATGATTGGTTCACAGTGTGGCCCATCATGAGAACTCCTACACTGCCACGTAATAAAATTAGTTTGCGGGAGAAGGAAGAATCTAAAGAAGAACAGGATCAACGCTCACAAGGAATCACATAGATGGGCAAACAGGCGGTAACTGAGATTATGATCTTCCTCCAAGAACGAAACAAAACTAGAACAACGTATGAGAGTTTTCAGGTGCAATGACACATAATGAATCATGAGCTCATTGATGGCACCTATTCCATTGGAAATCCGTAAAAGCTCGACGATTGCGTCCAGTTCTTCTAAATCCAATGGAATTTCTGAGAGAGCCCAGTAAAGCTTCTGCAAACTCACATTTTGAAGTCGATACAACCCATGTCTAGTAGCGAAGACATACAAACGAGCATGTATGAGGAGTGTCTGGGGATGTTTGCACAGGTAGTCTCCATCTCCACATCGCGGCAAAGATACAGTTATCGAATTTTCAGGCTTCTCCTGGACATCTTTATGACTCGTAAAGAAATTTTCTTTCAAGGGAAGCAGATCTCGCGTTGCAGCGTCGATTACATCTTCACATGCAATATGACTCGGTTCATGGGCTGCTGGAACAAGGACAGAGTAGTCTCCACTGTGAAGGTACTGAAGGATATGGCCAAAAATATCCTCAACATCGTCGTCAACAACGTAAATCATTTCGGGTGAATCTTTGTAACGGCATCGGAGGCTTTGTATTATCCCGCTAGGCGCAGTGAATTTTGTCCCGTTTGGGCCCACCTCCAGGCATGCCAGGGGGGAGATATAATCTCTGGTTGATTTCAGACAACGAACGCCTCCAGAGTAAAGGGGAAGGTACTTACTCTGGCCGTACTTGAATCATAATGAAATGGTTCATCAGTCTTATCACTTAAACTTAAGGTACCATTATATACCGGAGCGTCAGAAGAAGTGGGCTGCATGGGTTTAAATAAGTGATCAGTCGCTAACCAAAGGAGTGTCCCCATCTTGGTGTTGCTTCAGTGTGATTGGTTCAGGATGCTGACTCAGCATACTGAACCAATTTCCATCAAGTTGATCATCGCCTGGAACAGCCGGCTCAGCTACCGTCGTTATGCCGGTTAGCAAGCCAAAGGGCACCTAGGGTCCATGCAAGCAGTAGAGACTGAGATTGATATTGATGTGAGAGGCTCCCCAACACAGTATTTCATTTCAATATATCGCGTAGACGATCTTCAAGCCCATCTCAATATGGAGGTTTTAAGAGCCCCAAGGGATGCGTGGGTACTGGGTACCTGGGGCCTCCCAAACTAGGCGGCATTTGCTGGCCTGAGTGGTCCGCGGGCGCAAAGAGACATATCCTACCAAAGGAGAGTTAGGAAGCAATTCCATACAGTATTGCTTATCCAATCAATTTCACTTTAACTATAGTGCTGTGGTACACCTATTATCCCAAGAACAGGTTTCACGGACTTGAAAGGATGATAACGCTCTCACTTTGAATGCATCCAGGAAATGAGCGTGCTCGCTTCTTGCAGCGGGCTTTGTCAAAGAGGTTCTCGTATCTCTTGAGGTCTTTCTTTGCTTGTCCAGGGAGATGTGTCATTTGCATAGGCATCGGACTTTCGGTGGGTCTGGGGCCGTCTATTTCGATAGATCCAACGGAGAGATCTGATCCAGAAGTCGTTGATGGAAATTCCGTTGTGATTCTGACTTCCATCTCCGTCTTGTTTATATTCGAATTCTCATGCAGGCGATCACTATGGCGGAAGTCGTTAGATTCTTTGATATACTGTAGGATCGAAGTGTTGCGCTGACTTTGTTCTGCCCACTGACATGAATCCGGCTTCTTTTCGCACGTCAAATGGGGAGCCCTAAAGGGAAATATTCGTAAATATTGCTCTTCGTGGAGGGTTAGATAGAACTCACAATCTGCGGAGCAGGTCTCTTTTCTCGGAAGATCAGCCCGGTTAAGCATTGACATATACTACGCCAACACTCCATTGTCAGCACAAATTCTTACTGACAAGATGCTCGAAGGATGTAAACTAGTGAAATTAAAAGTCTTGAAGTTTGCGTCTATTATTCTTTCCAAGCTGGAATAGCAAGCCATAACAAATCATAATTTCGGAATTTTGGAGGATTGATCGACATACGCAGGGGAACTTGTCCATGCCTTTGTCTACCCACACCGTTGCAACCAATTAATATCCAGTAGCAGCAAGGAGATTGAAAACAAGCAAAAATGCATAGTCATCACATATCTCACGCTCTGTGCACGAAATTAAACATTTCCCTTTTGCCCCCCCCCCCCCCCCCCCCCCCCTGTTTCACTGCCCTGAATATTGCTTCAATCTATTTTGTGCATGCAAGCCATCAAGGAATGGAATGACTACCCAGCTTAGGTTTTAGATGCACCCCTGCTTAAAGAACAGATTTCATGTTGAGCTCTTCCCTTTGTCGCATTAATTTCTTTTATCTCTAGGACATCAAACCTGCGTCCTCAAGGCAATTCAGGAAGATGAGACAACAAAAACAACCACTCCCGTTCCGATTCTTCCTACAATGTCAGTCTTGCTCCAACATTGTACTTGTCAAGTTTCTGCGGAGATCACAATTCACTTTTCTGGAACCCACATCACACAATCGATACAAAGAGGGTCAATGGCTCTTCCAAACAGTATGTCGGTGTTGCCAGCAAAACATCGTTTCGGAAAGTTTGTCCGCCCGCGAATTCGACGAGCACTTCGTATCAATCAATCAAGTTGCGCTGGAGTTGTCGGGGGATTGCGTCCTAATCGCTCTGCATAATGATCTGGCCCACTTCTTTTAGTCTATCCTTTCACCAAAGCATCTGACGACCAAAGCTCCTTTTCCAGCTTGGCTATTTCCACATAGGGTGAATGGAGGTGCTGATGATTATGTTCGATCGATCTTAATGTGTGGGTGGATGGAAGGGGCAATGACGGGTGACGATTTCAAGCCATAGCCTACACAACGCTGCTGGGTGAGAATTGGGAGGCAAGAAAATAGAAGTTAGTAGACTCAGGCTTTTGGTGAGGCCACTCAAGACCTAGAGAAAATGCTGTCTGGCCTGAGTGGTCAAGGGGCTAGGTGATACCCATATCCAGTGCCTGAAGGCCCGTCATGTAATGAATCAGTGGAATTGTGTCCAGGGGAGCTTCGTGTCTGGAGATGTGGGTCCTTAGTTGGACAGCTGTGGTGGTAAGGCTATGGCCTTGGGCCCCGTGATCCAGAACAGTTGATCCGAGGCTACAGTCTGGGGGCTGCGGACGTGGATCCACTGTGGACGTACGTCCACAGCTCGGGGTCTAAAAAGGCCTTCAATCTGTCAACTGGCGGCCTGCATGGCTGGGTAACCACACGGGCCACGAGTCTGCTGACTACAGTCTAGATGGGACACAAATCTTCAGTCAAGATAATGCATTACTACTGCTTGCGTTTTGTTGGCCGATCATCATCGGGGTCGGCTTGGAGTGCCCGTGTGATCGAGTCCACCGCCTCCTCACTTACAGCCAGATCCTCGCCCAACGTCATAAAAATCGTGTTCGTGCCATCCTCAATTGCCGCATCGAAGCACTGCCCGGGGGGCACCTGCCGTAGGTTTTGGTCATAATATGTTGCCTTCTGTGCACGCGCCTGCTTAGCTGCCATGCGCTCCACAGGAGACGGGTCCGATGGGTCGACCACTATTTTGTCGACTAAACGACTCCACTCGCCGTGTTGATCACGTGCACGGAATATGATTGTTACCGCAGAACGCTTGGCTACATCGCTCGCTCCTTCTCCCCGTTTTGGAGAGTGGTCTTGTTCCCCGGGCAGTTTCTCGGAACTGGCTATGTCTATTCGTGCGCGCACATCATTTTGCGTGGAGGACTCTCGTGGTGGTGACAACGAGGGACGCTCCGCCGTGGTGTCCTACTGGGTCGCGTCTGCTACGCCGTGGCCGTTCAGGGATGCGTCCGGCGGCATAGACTCTGACTATAATGTATCCAGTTCCGAGTGGATATTCGCTATCCCGAGGCCTCTAAAGTCCTGACTGTTATGGCTCGGAGATCCTGGCTACGGTGCGACTGGCTCTAACGTTTCTTCCGAGGCCTATTAGTGGTCCTGAGTTAGGCCAACTTGACTGGCCACAAGCCGTGAGCTTAGCTCTTCGTTTATTCTTGGCAAGGGACGATGCTGTGCCTCGAGGAAATTGATCTAAGTAATAGGTCTTGCTATCTGTTCCCGAGCAGCCATTTGTAAAAGTTCGTTTATATCCTGCTCTAGGGTCTCCTAGGGCGGGGTGGACAGTTTCGTGGTTCGCTGGCGCCGCTGTGTTCGGTCGTATGGTTTAAACTTGGCCCTCTCTCGTAACGCCACGCTTTTTTCTGTCTATGGCCCTAGAGGGCCCCGATTCGGTCTTTGATGGCCCACGTCCTTCTAATATATCTAGTGCCTTTTGAACTTCCGCCGGAGAAGATTGCGCTGCTGTTTCCATCATTTCGTCCTCTTATTCGCTCAAATGCTCTTCCATATTGGCATCTTCTAAGTCCTCCACTCTAGTGGTGCTCTCTCCACTACTTCCTCGTGGTTGTTCGTCCCCAACTCTGAACTCGGTATGACTTTCTTCCGATTCTTCACGGTCGCTGAAACTTTGCTCCTCCCCAATAGGCTAAACGGGCTCGAGTTCATTAGCTCCCATCGGTTCCATATCAGGAAGACCACCCTTATGTCCGCCTATTATAACCCTACTTCCAGATGATCTGGACTCGCTCTTGGCTCTTGGCTCCACTATCTCTAGGACGCTCCCTTCTGGATAATTACGCTCGATTTCTATGCTAGAAGAGTTTCTGGAAGATGTCGAAGGATAGTCGGCACGCGGGGATTGGTACGTTCGTTGCTCTCGTTGCCGCTATCGTTGTTCTCGTCGCTGTCGTCCCCGTAACTTCTTCGCTCGCTTCTGCTAGCGTCGTTCTTGATATGCATCCCTCGAGCGTTGCCGCTCTGAGCTACATTCCTGTTCGGCTCTTGTGCCCACAACCCTAGTCTCTTCCACCCCTTCATCTTGCGGCGAACGATTATTTGGGACAAAAAGCGGAGACATTGGTAAATCGCGCTCTGGAGATACGTTTGTCGTGTCGCTATTTATATTGGGCATCGATACCTTGCCAAAGAAGGTAAAATAGACACTTCTCCTCACTAAAGTGGAGGTAGCCTTCTGTTCCCTTTTGAAGGAATCGCTATGCAGTTAGTCAATAAAAAGGAACTGACAATCTCGCAGTTGTGCTTGGGTTTGCGGATGTCCACACTAGTATTCTTTTTTGATTTCCCTTCCACTAACGCTTTGCACTGGAAGCTGATAGTCAAGTGGGATGGCCCTTAAGAAGCATTCAGTGACTTTATTGATTAGAGGCTCGACTTCTTCCTCGCTATACCGATAACGATCTAGTCGACGCGCTCTCAAAAGAGCCTCTCGCGCGATTGTCCGATCTGGCGACTGCTGGATGAGCTACTTAATTTGGGGTGATTGAAAACCAAGTCTCTTCGCGAGCATAGCCATATCATATAGTATCATAGGCTCTACCACCTCGCGAGTTGGCTTCGCCGTAGGGTCTTTCTTCTGTGGCATTTTGGACAAATTTGGGTAATGACGCATCGCATAAAGCTAGAGCTGTCGATAACCAAGTTCTGCAGGGTCTCCCTGCGCGTGCGAATAATACCGAAACCTAGTTTCGGATGTTTGTATCAAGAACGGTGTATGGGTAGGATCGAAAGTTACAAAGGCCGCTCGCATCGCGCTTCTGATCGTTGGGAAAGATCTAGAAGGTGTGATAAGTCGTTTGATGCAGTTCGCGTATGATTCTAGGTACTAGAGATCTTTAAAGAACGTATGCAGAGATAGAATGATGCTATCGGTTCTCTTCAATCGCTTCCAAATCGAGGACCGTTCTGAGTTCGTGAAATTTGAAAAGACTACGCCACTATATATAAAGCCTTTTATAGTGGTTCTATCTTCCGAGGAGACTCTAGGTGCTAGGAGTTGAAGCGTTTCTATGGTATGAGTGTCAATTTTAAGCATTTTATCACGATCGTGTCCCACGAGGGAAGACCAGTATTGCAGTAGCCTACTTAAAGCATGAACTATTTCCTACGAACAGGATTAGCCTCTCTTCTGCTTTAAAGTCAGATGATCTTACCTCGTCGCAATAGATAGCTAGTGCCTAGGGAAGAGATCCGATTTACAGTCCGTGTATTAGCAACGAGGGCAGGGTGAGTAGTGAATCAAAAGTAGCTCGAACGCTCGGATGTGACTCGAGTCCGCGAAGGCGCCTTGCTTTGTTGTCTAATAGCCGCGCTAACCATCGATTCTCGAAATGTGTATTTGCTTGATTTCGGTACTGGCGAACTTTCACGTAAATTTCGCCATCGCTTGGAACCCTTTCGTTGGAATATTCGTCAACGAGACTAGTTTGAAGATTCGGACTGATGTCTTGGGGTTGTCAAGATGAGCTTTGTGTGAGATGAACGTAGTAGATTTCTGGCTTACCATCCAAATATAGGTCAACAGTCCACCATTGGTTAATCAATGGCAAATAGTGTTCTGCAGCCTTTAATCGATGTTGTCTATGAAGGCACTTTATGGACCTAGCAAGGAAATGGAGATGTGGGAAGCGACTCGGTTGATTAGTCAGCAAGTTAGTGGTGTTTACTTCTGCTGCTTGAAGAGCCTCGTGGAGATGCTGCATTGATATAATAGCACTTACGTGGTTGTAGATATCGAGTCTCCGACAACCTTCTTTGTCGAATACTTCACACAATCTCTCCACATTCTTCTTATTTATTTATTGCGAGATAGACGGATGGGGGGTGATTTGATTGATGCTAATCTTGGCTGTCCCTTAGTATTTCCAACACCTTTCGGTTAGAATGTGCAGCTTGGGATCTCGGTATGTAAACTCGTCCATAGTTATTAATGAAGCAGAATTAGGTATGTGTAAAGTAGGATGGTTTTATATTTAAGGTCTTGGCCTAACGAAAGAAAAGGGCCACCTACTCTCTGCTAACTTATCGTCTTAGTGACTAATACGACCGCAAGCTAAGAGGGTCACTCAAAACATAATCTATGCTATAATTATAATCGAATTATAAATAGCACCCCTTTGTCTTTAAGTGCTGTTTTTCTCTTTCTACCTTTTATCTTCCTAGGCATTTTAACTTGATCCAAATATGTCAAAACAAGATAAGCACTGTACAAAGATCGACTTCACGAGCTACAAAGGACTATCAGCGAATAGTTCATCACTAGAGGTATTTTCGAGCAAACAACCACACTAGCTACGAGTATCTACCTAATTGCACAGTACTTCTAATTTGAAAAAAAGAGCGCTATCTCCCTAGAGAGACTATACTCGAAAAATCGTGACTGGAGGCCCAAAATCTTTTGGCTTACCTTAGGTGTGTGAGGAAAGTATATCTCGCTAGTTGATCGTGAGGGAAGAGTCACCTTGGGATACTTACCGTCGGACACTTAGGTGTAATCTGGTAGGCAATATATTCATCGTAGCTCGCCGCTCCTATCTATGCTAGGTAGTAGCCATTCGGGAGTACACTAGAGGGGACGGGGATAAAATGCGACGACTGTATGATATCCTTGATCACGATAATGTATTGATAGCCTAAGAGTGCTTCGTCAATAAAGGGTTTATGTATGCTCTCGTCAACGATCTCCCTCTCACCTTAGAGCAACTTGTGGGATATCGGTCTCTCTATCCTACGGAGACGGAATTGGCTTCAATGATTTGGTAGGTATAGAGCTCTTGACACTGTAGCTATCCAGGGCTCATAAGAGTGCAGATTTTGGATAGCTTATATTACCTCTACGATATCGGATTAGAACATCAGTCTCTGATATACCGAAATATTCTTCTCGGCCTCGATGGCATCATCAAGATCGGTGAGTGACAATTTCTTCGTTCGTCGTGATTCTTCTAACACTATATAGCTAGCTTGGAGATGTGCATAGAACATCAGCTAGGTTAGTTATAGAACATGTACACTAAACCACTCGCTTCTATCACCATGGAAATTATGTAGAAGTACGTGAAAGATAATGGAATGGTGGGAATAGATGATATGGAACGTTGGCCCGTCGACTCCGATGCTTTTAGCTTTCTTTCCGCCCTGTCGATAGCAAAGTCCATTGAATTCTTAAAAGAGGTACCCAAGTTACTAGATCAATGAATATATAAAAAGACGGCTAACCTTGGTCAGCAACCACTCGTCCGCAAAAAAAGTCAATTGGTAGGAGAATTGGTGCTTCTTGCTCGGTCTATTTTAGTCTCTGCAAGAATGTTCTATTCCTACGAGAAGTAGATGGGACGAGCCCTTTCAAGAAGTTACGAGTATTGACTTCATTATGATTTTTAGTTTATTTCATTCTCGGAATAGGTATCAATAAATATATTAATCGTGTTCAGAAAAATACTGTATGATATAATTCCTTACTTTCTAAGAAAAAAAGGAAAATCAATAGGATCGTAAAAATATATTTGACTCAACATAGTCTAGACTCGCTAGATAGAGATCAATTACGAAGCAGCAAGCCTAGATAGAGACACAAGATTCGGAATCAGCCATCTCTCTTGGTTGCATGACATAAGAGCTTTTTCCTCCCCTAGAGCCTCTAGCGAGATGTCTAATTAGCCCCGGGAAGACACACTGTCACCTCCAAGCATAAGGCCTGCAACCATAGGCTCAAGAGATCGGCAAAGTGTTATTATATCTAGGTAACGATTGAGAACATAAATGGCTAGTATATCTACTATTTTATTCTGAAAGGCTGTACTTCTACCTCTATTCACAGTCAGCAAATAATACCGTAGCTTATAGCATGAATAAGCATACATTTGATTTGCAAAGTCATCGTTGGCTAGCAAAATTACGCTAAGTCCCATGCAAGCAGCAACTTTCCACCAACGCTCACCCTAGCGGCATTGATTGCTCAAAAAGTCGTGGCCTGCTTTTCGGGGCACGTATTGGGCCCCATAAAAAGCCTGTAAGATAGAATCTCTAGCTATCGTGGAAATTGTCCGACCTTTTCGGTTTAGCGGAAGGCCATTTTTTTCACTTTCCATCAAATCATTGACATAATTTTCGAAATGAACGTGAATCCAAATCTGGGCAAGGCGACGATTCACGTCGTTTGACTTCGAACGCGAACCGGTGATTGAGTTTAGATAACTCAAATAGGTCACGTATGCCGTTAGAGACGAATTCGGGCCATTAACTTCAACACTTAGTAACGTATGTAGGTGACAATTGACTAAAAGAGTCTTCAACGCGGAAGTGGGGCCTTTGGGTTGTATATTGGCGATTAAACTATCACCGCAGTTTTTGACCTTTTGAGCTTGTTTTTCGCTCAATGTCTCGCCAGTTGCAACCTAACATGTTGCTTAAATGCGCTCAATATACCTATCTACCTAAGGCTAGTTATTGATTCGCTTGTATTTTTGAAGGGCTTCCCTTTTGATATCTTGTACTTCTAGAAACTTGAATTCTGGTGAAGTGAGACCTCTTCTCTGATTGTGATTTTCGAAGCCGGGAGTAGCCTTAGGCTTTGAGGATTTGAGATGTTCTTTTTCTTTAATTACGAAGGGAAGGTTTTCTGTGGTTTCACTCGTCGCAGAGGCACGTTCGCCTGGAATCGACGTTCGAAGATCTGTTATTATAGGATTATTTTTGCTATCTATAGGCTGCGTCACTTTTGAATTCTCATCCGACGACGGAGAAACTTCTGGCAGTTTTGAATTTTCGAGACTAATAAAGCTCCATTGTGAGGTAGCCGGACACTTTTCATTATGGAATGCCTCTGGTGTGAGCTAAGCATCCTAATCAACAGGGTCGTTCTCGGGAATATCGAGTCCAAGGGCGTCGTGGGAGGGTATAGCGTCTGGGTCAAATGATAACATTATTCGTATGTTTGCTAGCGACAATAAAAAGGTAAAAGTCAAGTTCTAGCACCGGCGGCTTCGAGGGGGGGGACCTTATAGATAAATAAGGAATTATCTTAGGTGTAGTCAACTAAAGTGTGAAGAGGGACATACACTGAAAGCTAGATAGCTCAAAAATAAAAGACATAGATTGTTAGACTTTAAAATGAAATTAAAAATGGCACAGAGGGGTTTTAAGCGCTCTCAAAAAGAGCATCTTGAAAGGCGACAACTCTGCGCCGTTTCGGGTGTCGCAATAAAAACGGCAACTAAAACGACGATCAATTTGACACGGTTTTCCTCGCATGTCCACGGTTTTTCGAACCCGCCAAAATTTGCATCGTTGAAATAAATTTCACCGGTTACAATATTTAAATAAAACTCCTCAGGTCAGAATGGAATCCACGCTTTCGAAACTGTGACATGAACCAAGACTGAAAACAGAAGCTGATTAGGCAATTGAAGTACATAGGTTAGAAAACGTGAGGTGGGCACGGCACTGGAATAAACAGTAACTGACCACACATCTATAGGTTACACGCTATTCCAAGGACCACTGAATGCACTGATGATTTGAAAGTCATGTACGGTGACGGCGTTCAACATGCTCTGGAGGTCGGTGAATTGATTTAATGGCGGACCATTTGCAGGGCCCACCCGCCAACCTCCCTCCCCACCTCTGTGGTTACGAAGGTTGAAATTCCGTCTCATACAATCTTACTCTCTGCTCGAGGTGTTTACAAACTATTTTCCTCGAGAGATCCCGTACCTTATGAGATGCGGACACTAGGAAGTAAGCTTTTATTCTGTATTCAGGACGAAGAACTTACCCATCACTAAAACCTCACCGCGGGCTTCATGCGTGTTTGCTAGTCGTTTGATGTTACGCCCGGAAGCCTCTTCTGAAATTATCTCATTATATTGAGGTTTTCCATTGAAAACTGTGGCACGGTGATGTTGGCTAAAGGGCTTGCTATATTCTATCATCTGGTTTGATGACACGTAAAAGGACATTTCGAGTATCTTTGTTACATAATCAGCACGAGGGAGTTCAAATCAAAAGACCCAACTAATATAGCCATCATCTAAGACATCATCGCTTAGCAAGCTGTTTAGAAGTGGTTGCGCTGCAACCGCAATATCTGGTAGAATCAGTATCGCGTTGGTTTGCGCCGTGAATATGTAGGTTGAACTTACCCAAAGTTTGGATTTCCCACACGAAATGTACCCGACGCACTTGTGAGGTATAAGTGTTATATCCGTAGAGAAGCTTTTTCAGGTAAGAGATAACTCCTGCTATACCAAAATCGGTCGCAATTGCTAGGATACATTCGTAATGGTCCACGGATTTGCTGACTCTATACGGCCCGGTAATAAATGCTGTCAAGGATGTATAGCCATCCAGGGCTGTACGGTGGTAAATGGTCTCTGTGAGCCCTTTCCGAGGTTGAACAAAAAGCTCTAGGGCATCTTGTTTTTCTGGTGACCAAGATGTCACCATGAATGGGTGTGTCTGAACCCAGGAGAAGAGGCTTGCCGTAGGTACCTAGAGGTTTATGTATTGACCCGCCTGGATATATAAAGGCCGTGGAAGTGTAACCCTTACTTTCAGCGGGGTTATATCTTGAATCAATGTATCCTGCATCTAGCCACATCTAATGGAGGCACGAGAATAAGGACGTGAGGGGAAGACATCATTCCTAACGACAAAAAGATAGACTTCGACTAGGAATGTAAGTAGCACTAGGCCTAACGGAATGTAAACATATAGCCGAGGCAGTAGATTATCGGATGGTAGATGATGCCACACAAAATATATGCAAGCTGTGGCTAAGGCTTGGTGTAGTCGAAGAAATGGCTCGTAGAGGAATCGACGCGCGACAGGGAAGGATAACAATAGAAGCACGGCCATCATCATAGCACCCTAAGGAAGATCAGCCTTAAAAGCTCAATAGAGGGGATAAGGAGGACAAACAATAAACGCGAAGAGATTGGCTTTCTTACGAAGGCTCCAGCCCTTCTGTTCATCTATCATGGCCATGATGATGTGTAAAATAAGAAGAACGCCGGTTATCCAGCCCACGGCCTGATGGATCTGCTTGCACGTCTTCAAAGAAACACCAATAGCATTTGCAAGGAAGCCTAGATGGTGTGCTAAGAAGAGGAAGCTTATGTTGATCACTGAAAGCGTTCCAGCGCGGCTTCTAGCCATTGTTGTTGATGGGGTATCAAAAGCAATAAAAAACAGGTTTGTTACGGCGTAGACAATGTACAATAAGGCATTGGCTCGAGTGCACGGAGCAACCAGCTTGTGGCGACCCCATAGGTATGGATATGTTAAGTGTTTTGTTATGAGGAATGAAAGAACTCCGAATAAGTTCAGAAAGGAAGGAGCGATGCGAATGAGAAAAAGCGTTGCCAGTAAGGAGCCCGCTGTAATGGCATAGAATATTGTGAATTCCATTGTTAAGCGACGTTTACAGTAACAGAAATCTCCAACTATTGCAGGAAAACCATGCTACTTTATATTGAATTTCCTCCATGTTAGGATAATCAGTAGGCTGACATAATATAGATTATGGCTTCCAAAAGGATCCTCCACCAGGAGTATGACTCAGCTGCGTATCACTCTTACCTTCTTGAGGTAGGTATATAGCTGTCAGCGCTACCATGGTTATTCCTCAGGCACCAATCTCGCTGGCCAAAGCTGCCATCGTTGCAGTACTCAAAGGACCATACCACCCGAAAGAGTCCATTACAAGGCAGGCCTCTATCTTTCCTCCAATTTATGGGTCCCAAGCTATGACTTCCAGTCATGCTAATTCGACTCTTCCCAAGCTCGCGATTGGTCGCCACGGTCTAATACATCAACGAGCGCAGGCGAAAGAAGCCCACGAGAAATATAGAGATAGGCCGTTGAGAGACGCGATACAGTACAGCTAAGCACGGATTGAAGATATTACCTCGCAGTATTCTGACAAAGATTGTGAACAAAATTGAGAGAATTCATGGGGGATCGCAGAGTACCAGAACATGCACGGACTTCTACACTAGTGTAGTCATGGGCCAATAATGGTGATTAAACACCCTCCTTCTGGTGATGGTGAAGTAGGCACCAAAAAAGATCCGTTTCTCCAATTCTCGCCCCTACCTCAGGTGTGAGCGAACTGTTTATAAACCCTTGTATCTATGGGCGGAAATACGTCATTGCGGGTAAGGAGTAACGTATCCACACACGTGTATGGAAAACGACACCTCTCGGCCGTTGATCTACCTGTGGGTAAACAATCAGCGTGCGGCGTTGTGACGGCCTGTAACAGAATTGTGCGGTCACCGTTTTGGATTGCACAGACCCGATCATCAGATTCTGGGCAGGAATTGATCTGAAACTGCGTCGCTGCACTTTAACCGCCTGCCCCACCACAATTTGGAGCGACTACAATCCTGGAGCACTCAAACAGTTTCAGTAATCAAATTTAGCTCAACATTTAAAAGACTATGATTTTTTTAACAGAAAAAGCGTGGCCCTCTGCGTGTTCAAAAATGGAAAATACCTTTTTGCATATTTATACCATCTTAAATTCTGTAAATGCCCTTTGAGAGCGCTCATTACTATATGTGCCTCTAGTTGCACTTATTACAGCACCCTTAAGGAGCAAGGCAACCAATAACAATGGCTGTTTTAAGTTCTACTCGGTCTACTACCTTGGCAAGGAGAAAGTCGATGCGCCAGAAACGATGCCGCCGCAAGCATAGCTTGATGAAAAAGGCATGTGAATACAGCAAAATGTGCGACGCGGATGTATGCCTCGGCATTCGCATTCGAGAGACTGGCCAGATACATATTTTGTCCGCGGACACTTCGGGGTTTTGGGCTTTCCTTGCTTCACAGTTGGTATGTTGCAAAGTTGGCTTTAATGCGAAGAACAGAATCTGATTTTCTAGAGCTCCTACTACCCAAAACCAAGGTTGATCACAGAGGTTGATTTGCAGAAAACCGAAGACACGATGGGCACCTTGGAAGCAGTTCAATGAAAGCTCCTCATAGGGACCGCAGTCAGACACGGGTTCAAATCTATATTTACCATAAGAAGATGTCCATTGATCATGGTTTCTTTTAATTGAACGTAGCAGCAGAAAATTAGGCGGAAGGCAACCTTTCTACTAGGTTACAGTATGAAGACATCTAGTCTGATCACGAGTAGATTTCTTAGCTAATACGTCCGGAATCAGGACCGATTAACTAGTTAGTAATCACTTGGTAGGAAGAAGCTAGTCACATCACGTCAGCCAACTTCCGGTTAATTAATTTCCGAGTCACTCCCTGTTGGCTTAAAAAGGGTACGATAACCTCTTAGATTATCAGGACGCGCCATAAAGTTGTAAGTCGACTAAACTTCTATACGCGAGGTTAGAGCGAGTCTATCTGTTCCAATCTCTACCCATCTTTCGGTATTCTACGGAAGTAATGCTATAGCGGTTCTTGGTTTATTTCGCCACTGTAGAGTTCTCCCGCAAGATCTCTGTGCATCCTAGGAAATGTGATTACAGTTCTCAGAGGACTAAAGGCTCCCGTGGTCCTAGATGAAAAAGCTGAGCCTCAGACGTTGAGGTCTTCCTGGTGTATGTATACAGTACTTTGGGAGAAGTCTCACTCGATCAACAGATTGCGTGTCGACCAGAAAAATAGCTGGGTTTTGATCTGACTGGATTGGTAAACGCACTTAAATGGAGCAGGGTTGAGAAATTGAGGGGCCGCTTATTTTCAATGGCCTTCGAGTCTGTTCAATGTGTGCAAGCTCGTGTTAGTAAAGGTGAGGAAACGGATGCCCTTCAAGAAATGTTATTGTGGAAATCGGGTGGATTGATTAATCCGACGTGTGTTGACCATTGCACACGACGAACTCGGTAAACGTTGAGTAAAACGAAAGTCAACAGTTGTTGACGGATAGTGTTGATCTTGTTGCCTCGTTTTTCAAAGCAGTAATTGAGAAACGATTTAACTTCGAGGAAATCATGTCTAATCATCTAACTGATCACCAGCAAAGGAAGGATGGCGTTTATTGGATTTTATTGGCTTATTTGTCTCCACTTGCTCTGATGTCCGTGCATTCCCTAATACCCTGCCACCCCCCAAGTCTACCAGCGATAATTTTTTCACCCGCTCCTACAGAATTCTTCTCAGTTGATTTCCAATATGACGTTACTACGGAGCCCCCTTGCCATGTTTCCCTGGCAACCAGTATTCGGCCATGCCACTCGGCAGAGAAGGTACCGGGACCGGGGTGCATGAATCTCTACTATCCCGAAGACTCAAGAGCCTGGTTCTATAGTTGCTCAACGTTTCTTTGTGCGTGCCATCTCCTGCTGCTCTTTTCACTCTTCTCCGTATTTGGCCACCGCATACTGTAAGTTCCCTCAAGTCTTGCTATGGAGCGCTTTAATTACTTGCTCAAGCTACCACACATAGCTGTTCCTCTACAATCCTAAGAGCATTGATTGTCTCAATGCGCGTCGAGATTAAGCCTCCCTATTCAGGATATTAGCATTAGCAGCGAAGGATTGTACGTAAATGCGGCGGCAGCTAATCGTACTTCTTAAGCCTAGACTCTTTTCTGTAGAAACAAATCTCGCATAGCCTGCTATTCTTGCGTCGATGGTAAAATCTGGTTAGTTGTGTCTTAATTGGGCCAAGCGTCACTCCGAGCAAACGTGAAGAGAAACGCTAACCGCCTCTGGATCGTTTCAAGCCTGAGGCAGAGGCCTCATTTAAGAGGTACCTACATAGCCTACGGCCCTAGTTGCTGACCTCTTTATAGGTCTGAAAACCACTTGCTAGGCCTTAGAACCTCTCGCTAGGTCTTGAGTCTTGAAATCACTTGCTAGTTTTTAAGACCACTGAAAGTCTTGAGACTTGGGACCTAAGATCTCAGCGATCTCAAGACTACGTGGATTCCTTGCGAGGTATTTTTAGACACTCCTTTGGTCGCTAAGATATTATGACTCACCGGGAGGGTGTGCAAGGATGTGACGACGTTTTGCCAGTCGATTGCAATTTTCCGAGGGCTCGTCCTCTCCTTTCAGAAGGCAGTGTTTAAGCAATAGGTCTGGGCCCCTTTGTTTTTGCGGACTCTTGTTTGTCCCTCTGTTTCTTCCCTCGGCTTTCATCTGTTTACAAGGAACCAACTGTTGAACGGGATGCCTCAATATACATCACGTGATCCGGATGCAACTTTTCATTGCGAATTCGGATGTTTGCTTGGACATAGGTGCCTCAGGCATGAGGACGAATTTAAAACGGAATAATGGTGAGGGTGCAGCGATACCATTTCTCGAAGTGGCTAGTTGGTCCTGAAAATAGCTAGTCCTCAAAATAGCTATCCGTGCCTTCGCTCACCCACACCGCTTCCGCTAGTGGGTGCGCTTCACCTAACGTTAATTTTCAGCCCAACGTAACTTTCACCATTATTTATACTATTTACACGCGATCGCCAGTGGAATCAATAAAAAAGAGTTCGGCTACTGATGCTGCAGGTAGTTTACTAGGAGTATCTACCAGCAGACTGCCCTCTAGACCCCCTTCTGGTGTGGAAATGCCATTTTTCTTCGCCGCCCGCTGTAGTTTCCGTAGACCCTTCTTATTTTCTGGATCTATACTCTATGCAATTCGCCGATTTGCATCCTTCCCTGTCAACACCCCTGTTCCTTGGACTCTACGCTTTCCTTAGCGATCAAACGCCGTTTTGGCAGTTGCACACGAATCGTTGCGTGCAAGCCATACTGAACGGGAGAAAGACGTGAGCATAGACTCTGCAAAGCTCCTTAACGTACATGGAAAGTGAAAACAGCGCCAACGTACTCACTTAGATTATATAGCCAGGGCTTGTTTCAAGCTACGTAGTCTTCCAACAGTACTAGATATAGAAGCATCAATCACAAAACGTATCCATAGATCCCAGGAGCGACGCACAGTTCCCAGTAGCCTAGGAACCAATGTCTGGAATCGATAGAATGGGTTATTTTTGGATTTGCGTTGAACATTACACCAGCTATAGATCCCTGAGTTCGAAAGGACCGTGCAATGCGCTGTTGACAGTTTTCATAACCAGGCGGTGATGGATGGAACTGTTTAGCGAACAGTGAGAACTCAGTCGATATCTTCGTTTAAACATTACAAGTCAGCCACGTGATGCTCTATCCGGCAAAGCCAAACGCATATCACGTGCGTTTCCTTATACCCTTGCCGCCCCTCTTGCCTCTCGCCCATTCTACTCGGTTCCTTCAAGCGTCCTCGTCTCGCAATACAATGCCTGCCTCTCCAGCTCACTTGCACGCAAATATTCTGGTGAGAGAAGGTTCAAAATGCGGAAGATCAGTGCTCACTGCTCTGTCTCTTATAGCTACATACTGATCAAGCCCATATATACCGTCGATGGGTAGCCTCTCCTAATGTTTGTCAACAATTATCTAGTCATGTTGGATTGGAGACTGACAAACCTAGTTCGCGCAGTCTTTTGCAATACACCTTGCCGCATTTGCGAGCCTCGATTAGCCAGCAAGGGATAAAGTTATAGAATATGCTCTAGCTATTCTCTCTTGCAGTGTGAACAATTCAAGTTGGATAACTCAGCCAAATCCGCTAGCCTCGACGGGTGCCCACTTGACTGATGTGTGTTCGAGAAATATTGATGAGCAACGATCCGATGGTAACAGAAGTTCACCTTTTCCAATAAGCAGACTCCTATAGATGACACGCCGCATTGACAATTGATCAAAGTTGAATGTTACTAACGTTTGCTGCAAGGCTCGCTTCCTTTATCTCCCCTGGGGGCCAATTTCCCCTACGATGTGGATTTTACTTAGTGGCTACATTTTGATGATCAAGTTGGCGAATAAATGGACGTGGACATAGACAAGAACGAAGACATTGTCGTCACTAATGCTGATTCTGCGCCTCTTACCGACCTCGACCGTCAAAATATCACTTCTTCATAAGTCACTGACAACAAGAATGAAACCTTCGCCAGCTCAAAAACGCCAGAATTTGCGAAGTAACACCCGGACATTGACGGCGTGAAGAAAATGCTTGAAGATTGTCTTGAGGATATGCATTCAAAGCTCGTCGAAACTGGCGATATGGACTCTCCTCTTGGTAAAGCCTTCGCGTGCATATTCGACAATCCGCCAAGCTTCTGGGAGAGGGAGGAGAAAAGCCCGGCATCTCCCAATACGGATCCAGTGTCGAGATTCTTTGCCGTTGTTTGTAAGAAGCTGAGTCTGTTTTTATCCTTACTTACTACCAAGACTGTTGAAGCTATGGCAGCGCTGAATCTGGCTCGGGTTTGCTGTGAATGGGTGCTATTGGAGACTTTGTGCCACACACGTTTTGGGATTGTCATTCGCCGAACTTGGTTGGCTGCCCTAGCCCAGGAACTCTACATCGTGTCGCGAGAGGGGGTCGAGAACTTCCAACCGCTCCCAATAAATGGCGCCAAACCCTGGAAGTGTCTCGAGAAGGTCAATATGGCCCCCCTTGGTTCGTGGACTCTACGTCGGGGAGACATTGTCAACGTAGACACTGGATATAGTGCCGCCCCTGCTAAGGTTTCTGACGTTCGATTGCTTGATGATGGCCGGTTTGTTGTGGTCTACTGTTGGCTATATACGAGGAAGGAAATACTCGATGAGCTCTAGATAGATGGTGCTATTCCTTCGTCTGCACTAGCGAATCTGGATCAAATGTGGCCGCCTAGCGTTCCCTATAAATATATGCTGAGTACTAACCGAACTATAACCATCTAGGATACTGCCATTGAGCGAGCACTATATGAAGTGTCCTTCAGTATCTGCTATAGCGCAATCTATAGTATGACCCCTATATCGCGTCGTATCTAGAGCATAGAAAATAAACGGTTTCGGTGGACGAAGAAGATTCTCTATCATGAGCCCGAAGCGATGGCGTCGTGAGAAGGCTGCTAGCGCGGCATGGTATATGTGAATTTGTAAGTAGAGATAAATACAAAATATGTTTGAAACTTTGTGCGTTTATCTTCGCCGAATCATGATTGTTATCACCGTCGATATCGTAGGTAAGAAGACGATAGTAATGAACGTATGTGGACGGAAGAGAAGTGCTGGAAGAAAGACGAAGTTACCTCCTGAAGACTATATGGGCAGTTGGCAATAAAGCCTTGAGAGTGATGCTCCTATAAGCGCCGAACGTTGACTCGCCACCTCCGATGGGTAGATGCCTAAACCGCTAACTTTGTTTCCGCCTTCAACTATGCGGAGATCGCGGTAGTCACCTGTTTTTGGGCAAAGGTGACATCTAAATAGTGTTCAAACTAATTAAAGTAAGCCTCTCGAGCATCTGTGGGCAAATTTTCATCGAGTCCATAGACAATGAAGCTTGCAATCGCATTCAGGGACTTTGTAGTCGTAAAATCCTTGGTAATCAAATAACCACCTTGAAGGGTGAATGTGGCATGAGCACAACCTGCCGGGATGAATATCGTATGTTGTGATGTCGTCTCCATAACAACGCCGCCTTCCAGTTGATGCGCTAAGCGAAGTAACTTTGCACGCTGGCCGTCAACGGATTTTATAGTATTTAAATTCTTATCTGTAGGCGGATATAGTAGCCAGATTTTTCGGCAATCACCAATCACGGTTGATAATCCATCCACGCCATAGTCTTTACAAGAATTAGCAAAGGAGTTGTTGATGGAGGTAATTGCTCACTAGTATGCAAGTCTACGAAGGAGTATTTTGGAGTTAGATTGACCTGATTGTTTATCTCATCAAACGGCTCCACAACACTAGAGATGTCGTAGGGTAAGCGAAACCCGAGACTGTCTACCGATGGCAGCCGTAAACTAGTGAGAAACGCAGGTTTATTTGGGTTAGGGTCTATAAGCTGTGAGAGAACAAGATAAGGGTTAAATGCCTTATCCACTTCACCTTGGAAGTTGACCCGGAATCGAGCCTCGGAGCTCCTCTAAGTCGTTGAATTTTCGGTCGATATTCCCCGTATTGTGTCTATAAATAGCTCGCGGGCGAGAGGAGCCCGACCACGCCAGCAGCGAGAGCCATTAAGCAGATAAGGAATCGAAGATGTATAACTGAACCAGAGATCTTGATTTTGCTCTGACATGCGGTTCTAATATGAAAGATGGCATTTCGTGAGAACTCCAAACTTAGGGCCGAAGTCGGCTTGAATCTTATACAAGATGGATGTTGGGTCTTCCTTAGAGATAGCCTGTGTCGACATAATTGAGCCGTAGTTTTTCAAATAATTACCGATACAGTCTGGGTTCCTAGACACTGTCAGAGCTCCTCACCAAGGGATGTAGGGGTAAAAAAAAGTACCCGACGCCGGCAGCTCCAGGACGCTCTGGTGCGATAAAAATATTCCTCTCCTGGTATTTGCGCTGACGCAGATGCTTTCTGAGCCGACTAGCATTTGAATGCCTCTTCCCACAATAAGGACATATTCGCATACAAGAAGAGATTCTGATCTCTGCATTTTCTCTGGGCCAATACTGGTAGCGCTTCTGATGTGCAACGCAGTCGCACCTAGGGTGTATATCCGGGGTGTTTGCTATATAGTTGCCAGTTTAATGCGTGGATTATTAGGGGTGACTTAATATAATTGGGGATTGGGGACGACTGAGGACGATTGGGGACGACTGAGGACGATTGGGGACGATTGAGGACGATTGGGGACGATTGGGGACGACTGAGGACGATTGGGGACGATTGAGGACGATTGGGGACGATTGGGGACGATTGGGGACGATTGGGGACGATTGAGGACGATTGAGGACGATTGAGGACGATTGAGGACGATTGAGGACGATTGGTTCAATGGCTTAAAAGAGTAGTCTTTGCGATATCTCCAAACCCACCTGCGTTAAGTAGCAGTCTTGATGATATTAAAGTGAGGCGAAAGCATAGAGGCGTGCGCGAGTAAGAACGGGGCTATCATCACGTGAGCAAATAGATCCTACGTGCTGCTTATTTCCTTGTCTCCACACAAGACTTGTTATGACTTTCAAGGTTCTCGCCTCACGCTTAGCTACTTCGTTAAATGCCACAACGTTGATTGACTCCCCGTGTCTCCATGTCTAGGTGTAAATATAAACGAGATGTCGAGGATTCCTGCCAGATAGGAGCCTATGTTTCGATGCAAAATCACCGTTGGTTTATAATTTGATTCCTGAAATTGTGGTTAAGGAGATCTCGTCAACCCCTACGGGGGTAAAGAGCATCACTATAGTATTTAGATAATGAGATGTCCCGAATAACTGCCTAGACCCGATGTTCACGCGTTAATGTCGTCCTATTCAATTTGATTAATATGGACCTATATGAATAAAGTATTCCTCCGCCCTCGTGCAGTCTCCTTCTTGGCCTCTTGTCTCTAATATAGGCTTCTCCTTGTTAGCTCACTTCCGCCTCTCGCATATCTTGGAGGAGGGTCTGTCTCTAGTGGGTTTGACCGGTGGCTTCGGGCCGATGATGTAATGGTGGCTTTTATCTGGGAAATCAAAAGGCTTGGATTTAGTAGAGAAAAGCTCCTGCGGGAGAGCTATACGTAGTTCATCGGGGAGGCGGAGCTCTTCTGCGGGGTACAAAGCCTGCCTAGGCTATGTATCTCAGTCTATTTTTATGTCGGCTGTAGGGCCCCTGGGAATGTAGACTTTGCTCCCAGGAGCGGACCTCCTCTCCCAGGCATATATCATACCGTTCCCGGGAGCGACTGTAGACTCTCCTAGGAGTGTAGTCACTCCGGGGAGCTTGACCATTTGCTTCTAGGATCACGCCACGCTGCTTCTGGGAACTTTGCGCCGCTCCCGGGATCTACGGATACGTTTTGTGATTGATGCTTCCATATCTAGTACTGTTGGAAGATCACTTTAAAGGAAACCTGAGACTGTAGTGTTCTCTCTCTCCTTGCTACTGTACGGACAAGATACTTTGGGGCTGAAAAAAGTATGCCTCCGATATGGGTGTATATGCGGAGAGTGCGTGGAAGGACTTCTATCCGCTCGAATGAGGAGCTCCCTGCTCTTTCAGGGCGGGACTATATACGACCTTATATAGAATGATATTGGCGATGGCGGCCTTTGGGTAGAGCTTAACGATTTTCAAGCTCGAGCACCTCGATCCCGATGTGCGACATAACCTCGAAACCAGCAAATCACTTCGAAAAGGCTTTGTGAAAATCTTCCAAGTTGCCGTGGAGTGCCTTGAGGCGAAAAGAGTTCTCACCGCAGAAAATCTCGAGTGGTGCCGTAACAATCGGAGCGAGTGGCCACTGGATACCAAAAACTACCTGCGATGTGCTGGGACGCAGATGGGCTGTCGGGCAGTGCTTCGGTATATGTTCGATGCCCCTAAGGAAGAGGATAAGAAAGCAGGCAATGGAGAGTGTTAGCGTATACTAAAGAAGGAATGGTTAGACCTTCTAATTTGCAGAAACGATCATGAGTTTGAATTTGTTGCTAGGGCTTGTGGCTACGGTGGGGGTGATGTTATTTCGTCACTATGCTGGTGGATCGAATAGACGTGTCTAAGATAGGGACTTGCTAAGGCTGACACCTTGTGTACTGGAAGATTATCTTTGCGGGTGGAAGCAGCGGAAGAAGGAACGATTAGGAGAATCGGAAGCCGCCGCTATAAAGCCTCCGTCACGCAAAGCGTTTGCGAACTCAATGATTGGCGGGGTTGAGGTTTATGCGTGTTTATTTTCCATCCTTAGTAGCCATCTAGGAACGTTCACTAACCTATACAAGATTAGATATATTCGTTTAGCACCCTATGGGTTTCGTATATCGTTTCTCCTCTAGGCGTTTCTATGGTAAGCGTGATCGTACGACCTATGCAACAACGAATTACCTAAAGGTGGGATATAAGTCAATCCGAAATTATTTGTTTTTCTTAGTCGCTTTTAACCCCTGGTTCTCCGGGAGTGGTAGGTACGTACGCTATTGGCTCCCTAGTCGGCGGCAAAGTGCTCCGCCGCCTCTTTGGTTAGGTGGTTACGCGCCAGCTGACGCCGAGCCTGTTTCGAGCGATTCGCCCGAGCTTGATAGGTGAAGATTCAATCAAGTCTGCGCCTGAGAAAGTAGCTTCCTAATTTAGCTCTTCCAGAAGCGTCATGGGTCGGGGAAGGAGCCTGTAATACGTTGCAAATAGGCGCCTAGGTGTATATCGAATACTTGTCCTCCGTGGTATTCTAGATATAGAACACGAGAAACGTAGGATGTTTTAGTTTAAGCGCCTGAAGGTGTCAACTTCAGGAAACGCTTGCCCTGCTTTGCCTGGGCAAAAGAGCGAATCGTCTATTTAAGCTCCGCGATGCCTCCTTTGCCTTGTGTTTGATCAAGCAAATATCTCGCATCGCCTCACTCCGCTATCATTTATACCAAGCTCTTTAAGAAATCTTCAAGCTACAGATAATGTCTGTACCGACCACTGCTAGAGAACGAGCGGCCAACATCAAGAAACAGCAGGAAGATGCATTAGCTAGGCTGCCCCCAAACGCTTTATTCATCGTTCTCTAGATCCGGTCTGATCCGCCACGGCAGAATGACTTTCACTAGGGTTATTACTTCCACGCTAGCCCTTAGGGTGGCTCCAAATACCACATAAAAAATATTGGCGGTGGATGGATACCCGACTATAGTCCAACTGGAGGGGTTTTTAAATCGAACTTTCTGTGTGTTCTCATCTAAGTCGCAACGATTCCAGAAACGGCACGCAATACCCTCGATTAGCTTATGCGGTCTTACGATGGAGATGTAAACAACATACCTGGAGTAACCTGCCGAATATAGCTAATGAAAATTCTTCAAAAACTTATATAACACGGCCTTGTTCGATGCAGCAATCCCGACGCACTACAGCAAGAGTGTATATCGTTCGGGAATTAATATAGTTTAGGCGCTGCTATCAACCAGCAGCCGCGCCCTATTGTTAGATCCAGACTTTGCTTTTGAGATGGTCCTTATTTTGAGTGAGATATGTCGATGCTGGCATCCGACTTGCAAGATAGGAGTGGAACGATTAGCTTGCTTCCTACTTTCTGTGTCTTTCATTTATTGTTAATTTTTTGTAGGTTCAAGAGCTCATACGTCAAGCACCCGAGATATGAAGGAGTAATTAATTCTAATTAATGATGCCTTGAAACACTAAGTACTAGAAGGCTATGTAAGAGTCAACGGTCAATGAATTCAACGCAACGTCATATAGTAATTCTTGACTGTACTGATCTCCTCCGATCCAAGAGGCCACTTGGAACCACCAACTTTTCGCTCTAAACCTTATTGCTGTAGTGAATTCCCAGTAGTCAGGCAACCAGCTAGCTGATTCCCAGTCAAGAAAACCTGATAAATGTCCGTCATCTCCAACGAGGATATTGTGAGCCTTGAAGTCACCGTGGGTGAAAGAAATTCGGTGTAGATGTTTGCGGATTTCGTTCGCTTGGGCTAGGGCCTAGATATATTCTGAGGTTGTATTAAAGCCATGCCCTGAAGCTGGGCTTAGTAGAAAGTCGTGGAATTCGCTTTCGCTGGCAAAGGGGCCCATAGCATGGTTTGGTACGCGAGCGCTTCGCAAGGACGTGCCAATGGCAGAGCATATGCGCCTAGAATGGGGCGATTCCCACTCTCGCATAGACATAACGCATTCCTTTAGCTCAAACAGCTATGGGTCTTCCAATTCAACACGTAGAGAGTCAGTCGAGTTCTCAAGCGGAATACTAGGTAGTCTTGTTATCAATATTGAAAAAGAGCGATTGAAAGGCCCACCAGAATGCTCTCCGCAAGAAAGTACTTTGGGAACAGGCATCCCAGCAGCTCGTGCCATTCGCATTGCAGCAACCTCCTCTATGCTTGTTCGATCGGACCACTTCAATATAAGTCTAAAGGGAAGCTCCATGATCTGGGCACCAAAGCTTATGCTATACCATTTAGAGTACCATTCAGATATGTAATATAGAGCTTTGTGCACTAGACCCTATGCTCTTCGTCGAAGCTTTCCAGGACAAAGGGGGGATGGGAGGAGCGATCTTGGAAATTGAAGGCTTCATTCGCTGAGGCCAAGTAAAATCAGGTCGGAAAAATGATAGTGTCGACTTCATTTGGTCACGTCCCTCGTTTGCAACGGGGATAATAGGTCCTGGGTTGGAGAGAGTTATTTATAAGAGACGCTATATTCTTTTCCTAATTTTTAGTAGCGCATAGGAAAATTGATTATCCGAACCTGACCGCCCGCCTAGGCCTAGCCAGTGACATCCGTTTTGACGGTCGCTATATGATTGCTGTCTTTGTGTCCCTGTGACACTCTGAGGAGGCGAGGCGCTAGTACTGATTTGTTAGAGAGCAAATCGCGTACCTTTACGGTTTGTTGGAAAAAGTGTATTTCATGAGTCGTGATAGCTCCTGCCACTTTCAATCCTGTGCCACTCCATGATACAGGATTCCGGACAAGGGAGGCCACCCAAGAATGATAATAATAAACTGGACGGTTTCCAAGCTTTAGCAGTAGTGACGAATTGGGTTGTACATTCTTAGCTGTTTATACATTAACTTGTCGTGAGAGCAGAACGCTCAAGCATTTAGGCAGGGGTATTGAAAATGAGGCATGCAGTGCGGCTGCTTTAACTTTTGGTGTTCCATCAAGTTTCGATTGATAGTGAGCAAAGTCATTTTTTGATCCGAAGAATCGTTCCATCAACTTTCTTTTATTTTTCCTATTGGGAAGCTTGATCGTGCCCATCAGCTTTGCTATCAACACCCGCCTAAACCTAGGGCCTCAATCAAAGACTACCACGATCGCGCAAGCCCTTTGCCTATAAATACCTCGCGTGACATTGGGTTTTCTGGCATTGCCTAAACAAATGGCCATCGCAGTTCCTGTTAGCGCAGGTAGTTCTGATTTTATTACCCACACTGCCTATTCTCGACGAGGGATTCAACTACCCAGACTGCAGGTATGTTTCTTTATCTGCTTTGAGATCACCTGAATGATCATCTGAAGGACTGCGTGACCTCTAATCGCAAAAGCCTTCGGCATACACTTAACCTGTAGATAGGGAGAAAAATGAGTAAGTCCTATTGCTTCTGAATTCGAAGTGTCGGAAGTGGTAGTATATAAGATAAAAGAGATAAATAAATGCCTATGGGTCCCTATGCGGCAGGGCTGTCCACAGAACAAATATTTGTAGAGAGAAATACTACCCTTCCGTAGAGGTAGGCTACTACTGCAGCGTAGTAACTCACCCCTGGGAGATGGATATAAGAGAGAAATAATGGAGAGAATCTCCTTGGTCTGCCCTTTAGGAGAGAGAAAGGGTAGTAGGAGACAAGTTGAGATGAAAGCTCTTGTTTTATTCAGTCTGGAATCTGAGCCATATTTATAGACAGAAATATTCAGTTTCACATGAAAAGAGTGTGCTGTTTGCCCAAGGTAAGAGATATCATGGAGTGAGGATATAGACGTCATGAAGTGAGGGGTAGGCCTTATAACCTTTAATAGGCTGACGTAGATGGAAAGCATAGTAAATATAGAAGTGATGGTAAAGTGAGAGATAATTGGAAGATTAGACGAAGGCGGTGAGGGACGGGAACATCCACTGGAATCTTCCATGTTGAATTGGAAGCTCTGGAAATCTGCATGTATGAATGCCTACACCTAAAATCCTGACACGAAGTAATTTTGCTGACTACCAGCTTCATATATGCTTTATCCAAGTGAGATCACAGAGCACTGTGCAGCGGGCATTTCGATTGATAGGTGGAAAGCGGGACCTTGCGAGTGAGACAATAATCCTCGAGCAAGGCCAAAGATGATTTCTGCCTGAGGCTTTAGCAGACTAGCACCACGGGATGAGTAATCTAGTAAACATCCCGACCGTAATGGCTTGTTCCCCGCGCAGGTAGCCCCTGCGTTAACTTCAGATTTCCTTGTCCCAATTATTAGCTAACACTGGTTTCAACGAGGGATGGAAGAAACAATCGCCGAACTACGACGTTAGCTTGAAGAAGAGAAAGAAGCGCGAGAAGAAGAGAGGAGAGCGCGAGAAGAGGCAGAGCGGCGCCAGGGAGACGCAGAACTGCGAGTGCAGCCGAACACACTGTTTCGCCTTCTCGATTGCTGCCACAACTCTTTATCTTAAGCGATTCGAGTTGAGACCGATGCGACTCTCACGACCCAAGGCGACGCGACTGACCCTGTCAACCGACTCTATCCTAAACGTGTTGTCCCTTGGCTTGACTTCCCCCGACTCTAAGAGTAAGTCTGGAAGAAACTCAACCGTATAGCCGCCTTTACCTCGCGTCCACTCTTCCCTTCTGACACCTAGTTGGACTATGTCGCTACGAATATCCAGAATAAGCCGATTTATTCGGAAGCGTCTCTACGGAACTTTGAGCGCGACACGGTCGACAACTTTGTCGAGATGGTAATTGAGAAGTTACGAGACGATGAAACTCTTCGACACGAGTTTGGCATCTAGGGTCGAGTCGCCTTCTATGACCGCGCGAACCCAGCAGAAACCTTGCTGGAGGGGAGCTTGGAGCAGATGAATCTCCAGGACGTGCGATCGGCCCAGCGAGTACCGAATATAAGACACGGGAAAGGCAGAGGGACTGGGGGAGGGACAGTAAAGGGACAGAAGAAAGTTGGCACTGCACGAAGACGTAACCGTCGCGCCGATTAGTTCTGCGTGTATATTGTGGCCGAGGAGCGGCAGAAACCAGTGTATACAGTGGAGTTCAAAGCGCCGCACAAGGTGACAGTACCCAAACTGGTGGCGGGTCTACACTAGATGGATCTGGCTCGCGATGTTATTAATCAAGATGGCGATACGTTTGAGTTTCACGCCACCCGCCTCGTTGCCGCCGTGGTCACTTAAATCTTCTTATATATGATTGACAGCGGAATTCAATACGGGTATATATGTACGGGGGAGGCTTTTGTTTTTCTCTATATTCCGGAGGACCCTATAGTTATCCAATACTTCTTGTGTGTCCCAAATCAAGACGTGTAGGTAGACGATGAGGTGCGCCTACACCGAACCGCCGTCGGTTAGGTACTTGCGTTCACCCTTTAAGCGCTAGCCGTGAAAGCTCCGTCTCAAGAGTGGCATAATACAGCACACGAAAAGCTCTTGATATGGAAGGTTGAATATTTAGACGTCTTGCGGAAAATTCCCGAAACTATTCGTAAAGACCCACGAGCCTCGAATTATCGACCTTCGCACTGGAAGATAGACCCAAAGAAACACAATATACGCTCCCGCGCTCGCTGTCAACTGGGAAGGTCCACTCCAAAGCACTCGTCGAATGAAGGCAGCGGCAGTGAAGAGGAAATGCATTCGCCGTCCACCGTAGCAGCGGCTCGCAGTCGATCGAATCGCAGCCGAGGTAAAAACCGTTAATCGAGTAATGGAAACGACAAGACGCGAGCCGATCGAAACATTAAACAAACTTCACGAAATGACAGGCAGTCTACACGTCCTTACTGCACCATTTCCTGCATCCGTGGTATGGTCAATCGAGACTTTCTGGATAAGAAGTGCCCCAACTTGAAACACTATGGTGGCCAGAGATATTTATTGGGGCTATAGGAGTTCACGCGCTAGCTTCACCGTCAACTTGCCTATAATCGCAACTATGGGTTTGAACCACTGCACGTCTGTGGGCGAACGGGCTACCTCGTGAAAGCGACCCTTCTAAGTCACGGATACACTGTGATTATTAAAGCTACCACGCTGGAGAAGCAGCATCACCTTCAAGCGGAAATGGACAATTATCGCCACCTCAGGAGCTTGCAGGGACAAGAAATCCCCGTTTGTCTTGGGGCCTTTACTCTATGCGTTGCATATTGGTACCATGGAGAACTAATGGCAAAGATGATGATCCTGAGCTGGTCTGGAACGCGGCTTCAACATGTCATCAATGATGAGAATTCCGCCTTCTTTCATCAGAAGCGCGACCAAGCTCTGACCGTGCTTCGGTCCCACGGAGTTGTCTATGGCGATAACGAGTGGCGCAATATGTTGTGGGATGATCTAGATGGCCGTTTAATTGTCATTGACCTAGAGGAAGTGAAATGGCTTAAGCGCCCTCGGGCCCTTGAACCAACGTCTGGCAATACACGTCGTGATGATTGTGTTGGGGCGGGGAAACCCCGACAAAGGCTTCTGGCCAGCTCAACTACTGTCTGCACATGACACCGCCCAAGCCTATGGACTACCAAACATATCCCTTACGTGTGTAAAAACGAGATCCCTTGCAGATGAACGATCGCACGCTCTGCTATTGATCATGAAATTAATTCGTGGAGATCTGAGGCAGTCGTGTATTCCCAAGATGTGTGTGTAATGAAAGTTCTGAAAAGACTAATTAATTGGCGCCGTCGAATATACGTTCCCTTAACACGACCTTCTTGACTAATCTTCTCTGATGTTCTCTTTTCAGTTGTTCCCGACCTGCTTCTTCCCTCCCCTCCCCTTAATACTTCGCTTTCGTCACCTAGCTCTCCATGCAAGAAACAGCATCTAAAGGTGACTTCTTTCGCTCCAAAAGATACGATAGAACTTCTGCAGGGCTAAATACTTGCTCCGGCATCTTACTGGCAAAATCACGAGCAAGCCTCTCGATCGTCTCGTCATTATATTCCTCGCTGCATTGCTTTTGGTTCGGCGACTGCTTGAAGACCGTGTGGAAGAGCTGAGTTGAGATGTTCTGATCGGCAAGCTTGAAATGCACTTTCTTGTCTGAGCGCCCAGGCCGAATAAGTGCTTCGTCTAGATGCTTAATATGATTGGTCGTCATGATGAGTATCCGGCCTTCTTGAGATGAGACACCATCAAGAACATTCAAAAGCCCGGATAGGGTGACTGCTGACTTTAACTCGGTTTCTTGGTCTGCGTCGACGCTGTCCCTGCGCCCCACCCTAGCGGTATCCACGTCCTCTAAGAGAACAATACAACGCGGCGGAAGCTCAGCAAAAAGCCTCATTAGCTTGCTGTCTGAAATATTCGACAATTGAAGCGTATAGATATCTAGTTCGTGCTTCCCCGCGAGTGATAGACTGAAGCTGGACTTTCTGGTTCTAGGGGGCCCAAAAAGAAGGTAGCCTCGTTTGTACGGAATACCCCGTTCTGCGTACTAGTCTTGCATATCTTGGTCGAGAAAGTCGTCCACATCTCTTAATATGTCATCCTTTACCTCGTTGTCCATGATTACTGTGGAGATAGGTCGAACTGGTCTCAATCTGGCTTTCTTCCACTCCCCTTCGCGGTGTTCAAAGACAGAGACCTTTCTCTGGGTGTCCTTGAGATACTTTTCTCGGCACTCTTCGATCAAACTTTTTAGGATGTTGGCATTAAGACCAATGGAGGAGATACGGAGATCCTCTCGATGCTCTTTGACATTGTAGTGAAGAACGAGCAAATGTCCCTTATACCAAAAAAGAAATGATCCATCCCAAGGAGAAAAAGCCAAAGGCTTTTTCTTTGTTGAATAGAGGTTGTTTGTCCGCTGTGTGGATCTCACACGAGCAATCAATGAATGGGCATTGTGGACAAATGGTTGATCAGCTATCCAATCAACTAGTATATCGTATGCTTCGTCGTAATATGAGACATAAATCGTCGAGGCTTCAGAGTGTCAGATTCATCCTATCATAACGGGAGGCATACGAACTAAAGTAACTTTTCACTAGCTCCTAGACATAGCGAATTGCATAACGGGCGAAGAGGACAAATATTCCCAAAGTGCAAAACAGTCGAGTGTAGCTGTCTAGGTTCCCGGCAAGCAACTGCTATGCGGAGGCAGAGGCCATACTGAGACCAGGGAAGAAGATATCTAACAGAGATATCTGGGAAAGGCTCTGGTAGGGACCACCTCCGCTGATGGCGTTCATTACGATAAGAGAATCGAAAGATGATGTTTGTAGCTGTGAGGATAATGAAGAGAGAATTGACGCGTCTTCCAAGGGTTGAGGACATAGGCATTCGCAGGCCCTTATATGCTTGGTTAATTGGATGCTGAGTCTATAGTCGCTGCTCGAGTAAGATATTGCTTCCCTCTACGTATTTGGTGTTTAGCTGTATGGGAGTGTGCTTCATGGTGCATAGTATGAAGTGAATGCCATCCCCAATTGGATAGATTAGAGATCGCTCAGTTAGTGGCGTCGCTTTTGGACCTGAATAGACAAAAGCAAGCCTCGTTCTTAGGAAGTGATAGCTTTAGGACCTTATAAAAATGGTAGGTAGCCAAGTTAGTAGTCTACTAGGTGAGTGGAAGATTATGTAATGGCTTTGTGTAACTAACTCGGCATCTATCACCTAAGTTAATCCGACTGACGTGGGGTCTCCTCTGACTTGACACGCAAGGATCTCGAACCAACACCTGCTCCCAAGAAAATCATCAAGCCTACCAACCCTACGTTTGGGCTATCGATACCTCAATTTGGGTATCTCCGGGATACTACAACAACAACTATTGGCGTATAAATACGCGATGCGTTGCGTTGGCCACCGTTGACTTGCTGCCCAATCTAGGTGTTATACCCCGCTCTCTTCAAATACCAGAACGAAAGGTCGCACCGGCGGAAAAATAAGACCATTGCTAAATTGATCAACGGTGATTATTTGCTCGATATTCTACAGTTGCACTATGGTAGTTAGGCTCACTATTAAATCCTTATTCTTCGTTCTTAACTGATACGTTTTCCAGAAGGGTGACGAAGCCCTCGCCGGACGCGAGGAACGGAACATTGCTAGCCATCGATTTCCTCCGGACCCGGAACATGACAGAACAATCAAATTTCAAGGACTATATATATCAGTATTCAACGAAGACACGCAGGATCGAAAAACACTCGAGGAGAACGTCGCCGAGTACAAAGATTTCGCAGTTCCGAAGGGCTACACGACGTATGTGAGGGGAGTTGAAATTGTTTGCTGGGTAATTTAGGAGGAGAGCGCATGCTTCACGCCATATATGTCATTCAGCCTATACCTATCATTGTGACCAACCCAAATAGTGAACGATACATCCTGTGTTTCATCCTTCGGGAAAAGTGTAGCCACGCAAGCTGTTGTCCCGTACCCCTGAGACCTTTCCCACTTCTATAGCGCACTGTTCTGAACTGCAGCCCGGAATGGTTGCGGTAGTTGCATCACCATCGTGTTTGGGGCGTTTGTGAACATGTGCTTCATCTCTGTAGAGAATCAAAAAATATTCGGCAACACAGGCGATATGTCTTACCTCGGTTTTTATTGTCGGGGTTCCGAGGCGCTGTTTGAACCGTCTGGATAGGTATGTGGTGATTACTGCACTCATCTTGCTCGGACGGAATCTCTAGGCCTAGCGGAGTGTTAGTTACAGAAAAGCCTCCTCGAAGGGTCTCCTTACCATATATAAGCTGCTCAAGACCGTAGCATCCCTGAACTTCCCTATCTTTTAGTCTGGAAAGTGTTTGACATACTGCATTAGGCTACTTCTTCCTGTCTCTTGGCTCAATATCCTCTATTAGGCAGTCAAAAATCTCATTTGATATAAAGCACGGTCCCTATGTGGTTGGAGGATAAGCAATAGCCCACGAGACAATTCCATCTGGGCTAAGTTGTTGAATCCTAGAACATCTCTTCTGGACCACACCTCTCCTCTATTTGGTATCCTTGGAATCGAACTCAGATTGTTGCAGTGACCCGTAGTATATTAACTTGATGTTCCTGCGGAATACCGCTGGATTGTGTAGCCGTCCTTTACTGAGCACTGTGGCAATTATAGATTGCGCCTTGAGTCTATGAGGCTCACTGTCTTTCTACCCTTGCTCCGTCTATGGGCGCTTCCGTAGTCCTGTCTTTGATTCGATAATCACAATGATGTCTTTGAGGTTCGCAGCGACCGTTTCCAATGTTTGTAGGTCGGTCCCGGATAAAGAAATGTTACGCATCGCTAAGTTCAAGGCATCCAGATCTTTAGCGACGGAATTCAATTGGTTGATGATGGGGGCTATGGCTAATTTGTGATACGGATGTCGAGATTCAGTAGTTTGAACGTTGGAAAGTTGGGAGATTAAAAGTATTATGGGCCATAGTTTTAGAGGATGTCTAAGTTTATGCCTGCCTAAGTTTGCTGACGTGTACCGCCAATGAGATGAAGGTGGGGTTGTGTAAGGTGACATTTTAGGAACTCAGTAGCGGATCACCAGGAAATATCGCCCCCAAGCTATTATTTCACGTGTCCCCATCACAATATCGTAACCCGGAATGGTAATAGGGATGTCTCTCATAAGAATAACGAGCTGTAGATGCGCGCGCCCCTTGTCGTATTAAGCGAGAATAAGGGAAAGTAAATGCATGGGCTCTCTATTTAAATAGCGGTATGGACCTTGTAGATCGAGCTCAATAAAAATATTAATATTTGGAAAAATGGACCTTGAGGTGGTATTCCAACTGACTGCGTCGACAATAGCATCAATTTTCTCCGGAGCAAGTCTTGCCTTCTGGCTCTTGTCGATTGACGCTATGAACTTGTAAAGGCTGAGCAAGGAACCACTTATCTCTAGTTAAGCTATGATAGGTGGTTTCGTATTCCTGGGATTAATCGCTTCTATTTTGGTGGCATTGTTGGGAGCAAACCTAAAAGACCGTAAGTTGCTTACTTCGCTGAGATCAATTTCCTCGCTAACCACATTCTAGATCTGTCTCAGCGGAAGCTATAGCTGGAAGTTAACAGTATGCTTCTTTTGCTTATTTTAAATGAGGTGAGAACAGTGAAAACAGAAGAAGAGCAACACTGACCTCAGTTAGTATCTAAGTGTTTCTACTTTGCAACACTGGTTAGCCTATATCGTATCTGCCTTATTTTTTATAGGAATAATTACTATTCTCTTATTTTCTATGAATTTTTCGGTACGTTCAACTAGCTGCCTTCCTGTATAAATTTTTGACTAATAAATGATAGGATCATCGCAGAGCTTTGCTTTCTTCATTCATGATTCTCGCTTTTGCTGGGCTCGGTTTCGTCCACACCTAATTTATTAGAGCCTGGGTAATATGTATGAGACAATGGCATATGGAATCAAGCATATTCAAATTATTTTGGCAGTACCCGTCCCTCGCTGCTGCTAGGCACCACCGAGCCTTATGGATAGCGTCCATTGGCTCAATATGGATGTTTCTTATTTCGTTAGGCTTTACGATACTTGCCTGCGTACACTACAACTTGCAGACTCAAATTATGACGGTACGTACCTTGGAACTTAGCCATCATTATAAGTTGCTGACGTGCTTAATAGCTTCAAATCGCCCTTATAAGCCTAAGGAAGACGGTCGTGTCATTTTGCCTTCTCTAAACTCAACAAAACAACATAAATGTGTTGCTCTCGCACGAACACTCTCCGCAATAAGAATAGAATTCCGAGATGCTGTGGGATAATCATAACTCTAGGAGCTGTACAATACGAAGGGTTACTCGGAAATGAGACAGAAGTGGTTTATAACCAACAGCACTTGTTTGCCAATATGGCGGCGCGGCCACTCACAAAAAAGTGCACGAATGCAGAGAGATACTTAAGCAAATATGCAGTTTGATTCGTCCAATCATGCTAAATGAATGCTCTCAATAGCATCAGGAATAACAATATCATTATTAAAAGGGTCTGTTATATTTTTGCTAGGCCCTGAAATTGAATATCTCGTTGTATATAACTAACCTATGCTGTTAGATTCTGAAATAAATTTGACCCATTCTGCACTCCCCAGCACCACCACAGCTTATTAAAACGACCCAATATCCGTACATGTGAAATCTAGCGGAGGGTGAGAGGTTCGTGGCATTGACATTGATAGGGGGACGATGGGAGGTCTATATCAGTAGTTAGTTTAGTTTTTGAGAATTTCTATTGAGAAAACCCGATATTGAGAGCCTGGGACTTGTGCACCACAGTGACACGTGAATGGAAAAGGCTTAGAGATGGTTGTATCCGCACTGTGGATAATTCATCTTGGCAAATAAGATAGCTTTCTGTGGCTTTCTGATTTGGTGACGATTGGTAGGTTGTGATCTTGAGGAAATAGGAGAAAAATTTGAGTGCCAATGATGCTAACTTATAGAAGATAGATGCGGGGTAAGTTCTATATGAGCCTCAATCTAGAGTATGATCCGATGATAGAAGCTTCGTAAACTTTTGTGATATTATGCACCTCTTGCAGGTTTATCACACGCCACTCTGATTCCTCTATATGTATATATAAATAACTTCTGTGTAGGCTCCAAGCGGCGCTTTCGACCTCCTAGCTGCTTCCTTCGTATTCTGGATGGCCTGCCTTCCAAGGGTCTTTGGCGACCGAACGAGTCTGGCATAAAAGAGCCTGTCTGATATTAATACCTATAAACTCATGTATACTATATAGAGTCAACTGCAGTTCGCAAGGTAAAAAAAGCTATAGGCCCCAGAGAAGGAAGGGCGGGGGGGAGGTGACGCTAGTTAATGGCGGTCAGTCTCTTGAAATATAAGCAAGGGGCTTTTCCGCTTGGAAAAATCTTTTCCACTTTCACTTTCAATCGTTAGTCGAAACTTGTCTCTTGCAATAAATTGACCTCCTACAAACTATCCACAATGGGTGAACCGCTCAAGAAAAGTTATATCGCATGCGGGTGGACACTTGACAAAGAAAAAAGGTGCCATTATATAAGCCACCTTAAACTCTTCTACGGTGCATCTACACGGGGTGTGTGGTCCATCGGATCAGATCTTATTCTGAAAGACCGGCCCGACGAGGGTCCCAAAGCAAAAGTTGAAGTCAAAACATTGAAATATTTAGCGACCCATACCGACATTCCCATCCCGAAGGTTTTGCTTGACTGGGTCGATCGAGATGAGCGATACTTCGTTTTGAACGAACGCATCGTTGGTCAGACGCTCGAGGAGGCATAGAGTTCTTTGTCAGAGCCCCAGAAAATAAATATCGCGGACCAAGTCGTGAAAGTGAGAAAGTAGCTTCGACCCGTTACGTCAACCTCTATTCAGTGTGTCGATCAAAGTCTATGCTATCCAGGCTTATTATTTTTCGATCTTGAGCCCCGTGGACCGTTTCACTCTGACTAAGAGCTTTGGGATGCTCTGGCCCTTAACCTTCGCCACCTCCCTCAATAAGTTTTAGTAAACTTAAAGAAGCGCCTACCAAAGTGCGAACCCTATATACTTACCCATTGCGATCTCAATCTAGGAAACATTATGGTCTAAGACGGAAAGGTTGTCGGTATCCTTAACTGGGAATACGCTGCCTTCTTCCCTATTTAGTATGAGTATGTTTCGGCCTTATTTAGATTTATAGATATAGACGTGGAATGGAAAAAGTTGCTCCGGGAGCGCTTAGATGTATATGGCGAGGCGCACGAAAATGCCAAGGCATTTTGGACGGATATGTGTAATCTTAGACAGTACCTAAATCTGGACGAGAAAGGTCAGGAAACCTTAGAGAGATTGTCCTCGACAATCTTGAACTAGTGAAATCACGCGCTCCCAGGAAATCTCTGTTATATTGGCTAGGTCTAGTAATTTTGGCCTCGAGAACTGCCAAGTCCAATCGAATCGATCATACTGGGAGTTACTCTCAGGGACTTTCCTCATAACGTGTAAACGCAATCAGTCTTTAGATTATTTCCCTCTTCATGACGTTTGAATTGGGATCGTAAGGTAAGTGTTGCTTTGGCGGTAACGGTTTAGGCTTAGAATCAAAGAGCGAAGGTGGTACATCTGCGGTGGTGGCACTAAACAACCAGAACAGGAACTATAGCCGTCTTCGACTAGAAGGGCCGAGAATTGAGCACGAACGGTAGGAAACGAAACGCTCTTGTGATAACTAGGCCTTTATTAGGCCGGCCAGCACTATTTTCTGAATGTCTTTTCCCAGCACTTGAAACATTTTTTGGTTGAGAGAACCGGCTTTGTATGTATGACACGTGAATTGGAGGGAAAGATCTGGACTCGGAAAGCGAGGGATATATTAGGTAAGGAATCCACGCTCAATGGGAGAAGGAATGGAAAGAGGCGAAGACCGGCGGTCACCTGCGTCAGATCGACAATATATTGACAGCCAAACACACGCTCTATGAATTCCCTACCTAGAATCCAGCTTGCCTACTAACGCACGGTGGAAGTTGTCGCACGATCCAAGGGCAAGAGGATTTAAAGAGAATTTGAATTCTAGTTTCGCTATCCGAGCGGGATTGCAGTATTTTTTCTAGATGACGGATTCACCTTCTATCCATTACAGACGATTCCGACTAGCTTCTGCAATCCAGGCCATTGCATTATAAGGGCGCGAGACCACGCTAGTTTCACAGCCCATAATCACGGGCTGTAATTCACTGCAACAATTCCTAATAACCTACGCGGATGATCCTTGCGATATATACCCACACTAGTCATCAGCTCGTTATTAGCCCGTTCGCCATTTGGTAGGTGATAGGGGGGATTATGGTTTTCGCAGTCGCAGTCTGGCATTGGCCATAAGATGCAGCATCCACCGAGGTTAGGGGGTGTGCGGTATTTTCGCTATTGGGCAACATTCATCGACTGGGTGTAGAGGAACCAGAGAGACCGACGATGACGACAACTGGGCGCCACGGTATTCGTGGTTAGGCAACCGAGAACCATTCTGTAACGCCGGGGTTGTGCAATACAACCTCAGAAGGGGCGGACGGAGCGGGATTTGCCGCGCCGAGGGTATACCGGCACTTTGCAGATGTAAAGGAGGCCGGCGGAATCAGAGACGATAGCGTCGCACTAGCAGAGGGAGACCAAGATGACTTCGTAGCATGATGCACAGTCACTTCCTTGGGAAAGGAGAAGAAGTATCGGCACGAAACCACACGATGCAACTGCGGGCTAGATCATCCTAGAGATTATGCTCCTGGGCTATTGCCATTCTAGCCTAGGGGGCGAGAACGATCGACCGACATCTCCGACGAAATGAAAGGGGTAGTGCGTAGGGCCGAAGGCTCATACGTAGGAGGTGCTCTTGGCGGGTTATTCACAGACTCTTCCTACAAGTAGGCGACGTTGTTTCAACCTGAAACACGGAGCCACCCGCTTTCCCCCTTCGCCTCTCTCCACCACTTTAACTGTGACGGAAATGTAGGTGACAAAGAAATCTATCTCACTCTGTGGACAGTAAATCTTGTATGTATAAAGAGCCTATCTGACCTTTAAGCCGTGAGAGCCTATGAGGCATCGATTCAAGGCCATCCAGGTCCAACGTACGGAGTTCAAAGTCACGCTAGCTCTTGGCTAGACTAATTTCCGAATTGCCCCTTATAGCTAATAACGTCCTAATTTATTAGATTTTGAGCTCTCAAACCGTAGCCCGACTATATATGAGGTTGGAGGAAGTCTCTCTGCTCTAGCCCTTGCCCACCTTAAAGTGATCTACGGAAGTAGTACTGTAGTGGCTCTGTGTATGTAGTCCTACGCAGCATCCCTCGTTTCAGCACTACCACAGACCCTAAATACTGGCTCCAGGTGGGGAAACTCCTCGCCATGCCTCTACCTACTCTCTTAGCCACGCTATTCGTCTACCAAGGCCAAAAAATCGGCATGCTCAACTTGCTATAACCCGGAGCCTAGACCACTCCGTATGCCAGCAATATATAAAGCACATCACTTCCACTGCTGCGGGTTGCAAGCTAATAACACACATAAGACTAATTAGGCCGCGACAAAGGCTGGAACCTGACCGACCTCACAACTTGACCAAAGATAGATTTTTTATATGAAAGTCACGAATTGCAGGTAAAGGCAGAAACGTTTCCATTGCTTTTAATTCTGGTGCTAATCATAAGAGACCCCAAGCGCCTTGAATCACACCGGCGCTTGCAAACCTCATATCATTGGCCGAATAATATCATGTGGGGAAAAGGGTAACTCATAATAATGATCTAGGTCTTTGACCCTCAGTAATGATTGATTGATTGGTAAGTGCCTGCTCCGCAAACCGTAGGTTCGCCGTATACTGTGGGTTTGCGGGGTTCTTGGAAGCTTTGATGCTATAAGCAAAAAATGTGGTCCGTGCCACAGCGATTGTGCCGTCTGTCACCAAGAGGGGTTGGGTTGATTTCCACGTCAATAGACGCTGTACTATCTTATCCCTAGTGTGACTAATTTTGCTGTGTAGCTAATAGGGAACGTGTACTTATATTAGTTATTTACTCTTGAGTTTCATCTATCCTAAGCTCGGTTGCCGCCCGTCCCCGTGAGAGGCACGAGCGGTTGTTTGCTAACCCTGCGGACGAGGGTATAAATATAGGGGATATTCCCAGGGTAAAACATATATTTTCTAACATAACCGAAATCATCTATTCCTGCCCACGAATCTTTAAAATTCTTTCGTTACCGAAAATATTCTACCTTACCACCCACGTGAAAATGTGCGACACTAAGTACGACCAACCGGAATGCTTAGAGTTCGCTCATCATCCTGGTCCTGCAGCGCCTTTCGATGAGAGCTCTCGCAGTATCCGCTGCCAGAAATGTGGCGACTGGGCCCTAGCTGGCTCTCGCTTCTATACAATCCGTAAGTACTTAAAGGGCTTGATTTCAAAAACGTTCCGAGGCAGTGTTAAGTACTAATTCGAATGCTTAGACTAGCAATAAATGCAACAAATTGTCTTCACTGATATGTTTGTGCCCTAGTTATTTTTTTTTTCTCGTCTCTAACCCTATACTAGTTCCCAAAACTTTAAGTAGGCCGATAAGCTTGAAGACTCGTATTGGATTGTGCAGGCAATAGGTTTTTCTAGGAAACTACGAATACCGCCACGGGAATGCGTGAAGATTGATCGACGGCATAGAGATTTTGGAAATGTATTCGTACAGAATCCATATATATACACTCTTTTCTTCCTATATGCAGCTTCTAGACATTGAGATCGAATTATATATTGTGTGCACTAATTAGTCATGGGCGATGGTAGCTGTACGAAGTTCTAGCCGCCCACGACCCACTCACTAAATTATTTAAAGCTAGCTACGCCCCCCGCACCGTACAATTCACCCACCCAACTCCGTATGACCTCGATGCTTGACAGATTTTTTACTTGTGATTTTGCGGGCTATATGCTACTAAGTATCCGGGGGCTTGGTCCCTGTGAGCGATGCAGTCATCATTTCTGCCTCACCCATCGCTACCCGCCATTCCATACGTGCGATGATATAGTACGTCCCATCAATAACCAGATGCTTGGATTGGGACTAACAACACTTAGCCCCTGCTAGATGATTTATTCGAAGCCAAGGTGTATGATGAAGTGGAAAACATTCGCGCGAAAATCAATGACAGGGCTGTTTGCGAGCGTGCATCGGAACTTAATAGCGGTGTCACATACAAGATTGAGCACCCACTAGCTTGGGGACGCGGATCCCTTATGGGCTATGCTAACTATTATGCTCGGATTCGCTTCACCGAGAATAGTTCTGTTTGGCTTATTCGAGTGCCTCGAATAAATAGCAGTATCCCCCAATCACTCGTCAACTACCTAATTCGTAGCGAGTACGTAACTCTCAAATTTCTCGAAACGACCAAAGTACCTGCTCCTTGGGCCTTCGATTATAGGATTGTTGGCGACAACAAAAACCAAGTGGGCGTGAGCTATATACTCATGGAAGAACTGCCTGGCAAAACTTAGAACCTGTAAGGCCCACGCGGGAAGCGCTTTGCAGACGATAAAGATAAGGAAAGAATTTGGAACGGCTTAGTAGATATTCTGATTGAGCTCAAATGTTATCCATTCTCCGAGGCTAGGTCTCTCCTCCCGGGCCTTTCGCCTTCCGAGCCAATAGTCTCTGCTATTGCTAGTGAGCGATTTCTTGTTCTGAGTCCTTCAGGGCCGTTTCATATATCCATAGACTATTACACTTCATTCGTGGAGCAAAACATGGCCCTGATCTCCGACGGCTAGCTTTTCGCACCTTTTCCTGCAAATGCCTATTTAGTATTTGTATACTTGAAATCTCAGCTCTAGACTCTGGCAGCGAACCCAAAACACAATTTAGTGGAAGCTACAGAGCAATTCTACCTCAAGCACGTGGACGATAAGGGAGATCACTTGATGGTGGACGACGAGTTGAACATCATTAGAATCATAGATTAGCAAATGGCTCGAGTCGTCCTAGCTGATGAAGTATTTAGGCCGTCTTTGGCGACAGCAGAAATGGCCGACATTTATAATGGTATGTCGTCCTTGACTGTTCATGATCGCGTATTAGCTCGTTTCCTAAAAGCTAAGGGGGCAGCTGGTTTAGCTAATATAATGAGCGGGGATGAAAGACTACGAAGATTTTTCTTTGGTCTTGACGTTGATCTCTCTTGGGAAGAGACACTGCTACTAGTCCGGGGTATCTGGGCTGCATTTGGCGTTAAACAGGACACAGAATGGAGAACGTGGAAGATGGATATACTGGAAAAACACAATCAAGATGAACGGCTTAAGCACATTCTGGATAGATTTGGAGCAGGCCCGTGACATTATCCCATTATGCTTGTTGTCCTCGAGAATGGATATTGATGTTGTATAACTATGTATGTTCAATTAATACCAACTGTCCCCTCCTAGCCCTTAGCACTAATTTCAGATAATTGAATAACTGCATCGGTGACCTAGGTGATAAGAGACTGGCCCCCTTGGAGATGTGGTTTCGCGAGCGATTGCAAAATAGTAGGGTTGCTCACGACAATAATCAAGCGTTTTTTAACGGAGAAATCTAAATACGGGGGAGCATCATCTAGATATACAAGCTTGCCTCTAACACTGCCCTAAGCTAGGCGTAGTGGGTGTTAAGCACGTCGTCGCTACTAGTCCGGTTTAACGTGGCACTGTCGACTTGGTTAACGTAGATGACTAGGCTAGTTCCGACTAGACCATTACGGACGCTGACACTAGTAACTTACCAAAGGCGGGCGAAGCTAGTCTCGTGTGGATCGTCTAGACTAGTTCCAGCCGATATAATCAACTTATAGAGACTGTTGCCACGGGTCTAGTGGAAAGGGCCGAATCACCTCTATGTCCGATAAGCACCGCGGGCGTAGATCGCCACTATCTTGAAAGGTGATGGGTATCTGCCCTCCTGTGCAACTTCAGTCGCTTGAAATGGCCAGAAGGGATGGTCCTTCGGCAATGTGTGGCAAGTAACCTAATACTTCATGATTAGTGTATATAATCGTATATAGGGCGACTCAATCCCTGCTTTGGCTTTGGCAATTGCGAGAGCCGTGGCTCAGATTACGCCAATTATTGCCTAAGCCGCGATCCGCTGAATAGATTTGAATAGCCGCCCAATTCCTGGGGGGGGGGGGGGGGGGGGATTGACAGTATCCTTCCGAGTAGGCTAGTAAACATCCCGGTCGTAATGGCTTGTTCCCCGCGTAGGTAGCGGATCCTCTGCTTTACTAACATTAAATTTCCTGCCTCTTAATTATCTACTAAACTTGTGTTCGAAGCGGAATCGCTCGGGGAAGGGCAAAAGCTCCGGCAGAATGACATCTAGATGAGACCCGTCTACTAATCGATTCCGCGACCGATGCATCGTTTAGAATACTACCTCACGAATGACTCGGCCACTGATCTTTGATCTATTAGACACACTGCAAATCCCTATTGCTATTTCTGGGGGATATATCTACGCATCGTCTGCATCTGGTTGTCCCCGCTAGGTCGATAGAGCTCTACCTGCCAGTCGTTCTGTGGCCTAGGACCAAAGATAAAATATAGGATGCACCGACATAGAGACAGTAGTTCCCTCTTTATTTCCAATCCGCATGACTTCGTGCTCGAGGACTTATCCCGGTCTCCACATCGACTAACCCAATCTTCTCGGCCAATCGATCATTAAGTCAACGGGACTTCGGCGACAGAACGTATTCATTAGGGGCTAGTGGGCTCCAGAAAGCGAACGACGGCAGGAACTGTATAGGTGGACGGGAATGGATGTTTGCACACGGTCTGAGGAGATTACCTAGTGAGATCTTTAGATTCGGAGATTATCCCTGGGTTTCGACACGGCCACCGTGAAGCTATTAGATTATCGTGAAAGAACGGTGTCCTATAGTTTTCTCGTTATTTTTCGTAGACTTAGCATTCACTGGCTGATATATATAGCGTCCGAGACAGTCCGGTCGTTTATATGCGCTGACTAGTTTGATCCCGGTGCTCACTGGGTCCGAAGTGGTACGGACGCCACTAGTTAGGGTTGCCAACGCCTTTGCCCTCGATCCGCGACCCCAAGGCAGACTTGGGCCACCGCTCCACACGGGCGATTGCCTAGAAACATGGATGCGCGAATGCCGCTCAACGCGCATAAGCTCGACGATCGGCCGACTGATTAATGTGCGAGGCGGCGGGCCGGGGGCCAAAATACGTCATCTTAAGCGTAATGCCGGCATTGGCCATAAGATGCAACATTGATTGAGGTTAGTGGTGTGCGGTATTTTCGCTATTAGCCTATATCACCGGGCTCTGCTTTTAAATATTTATCGACTGGATGTGGATGAATCGGAGAGACCGACGATAACGACAATTGAGCGCCACGGTATTCGTGGCTAGGTAACGGAGAGCTATTCTGTGACGCCGGGGCTGTGCAGTGCAACCTTAGATGGGGCGGATGGGGCGGGGCATATAGCGTCAATAGTATGACGGCAATTTTTAGATGCGAAGGAGGCCGGCGGAATCAGAGACGAACAAGGCACACTGGCAGACGTGACTTAGATAGCTTCGTAGTATGGCGTATAGTCACTCCCTTGGAGAAGGAGAAGGGGTATCGACCCAAAGTAACACGATGCCACCTATAGGCTGGATTATCCCGGTGGTTCTGCTCCTGTGCGGGTGCCACTCCAGGTCAAGGAGCGAGAACGAGTCGGATCGAGCGGCATCTCCAGTAAGATGAAAGGGGCAGTGGGTCGGGCTGAAGGCCAAGGCGCAGCGGTCAGTGGGGGCCAGAGTGCAAAAAAAGGGGGCGGCGATGAGTGCAAGATAGAGGAGTTAAGGGGAGGGAAAAGAAGGAGAGCCGGGGACGAGGGGGCAGGTTGGGTCTTTTATGTCGAGGCGACAGAGGGAGAGGTGACAAGACGGTGTATTGGGGCGCTAGTCCTGAAACGGCAAAACTAACCGGATCTAGTAATTCACAGGTCCCAATATTACACAGTCCATGCTGTGTGCTGGAGGTAATAGATGTACATCATTTTTCTGAACGAACAAGACTGCTCGGTTCTTGGGGGGCCAGAGAATCCGCACTTCCCTGAGCAGATCGTAGCTTGGACAACCAGTAGGATCTAGGTCGACTCCGTGATGGAAAATACATCTTCTACATGCTTATGGGTCCGGCCTACCCACTGATAAGTCGTTCCAAGGGCAAGTCCGTCTTTTCCACGCCAAGGCGCAGTTTCTGGCTGAATGAACACACTCCAACACTTCGAAAAAATCAATATTAGGCGGATGATAGAATCTGCAAGCTCTGAAACGAATTAGTTGAATCTGAGCAATTGGATTTGAGTAATTGGATTTGAGCAATTGGATTTGAGTAATTGGATCTGAGCAATTGGATTTGAGTAATTGGATCTAAATAAATTCAATATGGGCAATTCAATATGAGCAATTGGAGTTGCTCCCCAAAAACGCAAGAACACATAGTTTGGATTCATCTAGACGACGCGATAGTTACACCGAGTTTGCGAAAGAGTCAATTTATTCATTAATGTCCCTCTCCGCAGCTATACAATAAGCATACACTTTCTTAGTGTTTTGCTCGTGGGTAGCTATTGCTATCGAGAACCAATGGGGAATTTATGGCTTCGGGCCGTAGGTTCCTGTTGGCTTCAACTGAATTCTTGTCGACGTGAACTGATCATTCCGGCTGCCTTCTATTGTCATGAAGCCGAATTGTACGAGGTCGAATTGAAGGGAATGGTGAGCATGGGGCGAGTTGGAATGGGAAATGTGAAGTTGGGGTCCGTGTAAATGGTCTCTCTCGGCCGCCCTAGTTTTTCCCATAAAAGCCCAGCCTTTCGCGGTGGTTTATAGGCTAGGATTCAGAACACTTTCTGTCCTCCCCTGCTCGGACATAAGAAACCCGGGTGTTGTAGTGCCCCCGCGTGGCCTTGTAACGTTAGATCTCCCCTGCTCGGACATGAGAAACCCAGGTGTTGTAGTGCCTCCGCGTGGCCTTGTAACGTCAGATCTCCCCTGCTCGGGCGTGAGAAACCCGGGTGTTGTAGTGCCCCCGCGTGGCCTTGTAACGTTAGCTCCCTCTAGCGAAAAGTTAGACACCTCTTCGTGGTGCTGGAGACTAGTACTCAAACGACCGTTTCGAGGAAGCTAAGATCTACATTTGACTTTTGTACTTTAAGTGCTTATAAGACTTTATGCCATTTCCAAACTCGCAACTATGTATGAATGTCTAATACAGGTAAAACGGCTGGTCGCTGGTTATATGCCGTTGTCCTGAGACAAGGCTCGTAGAACCCATGCGTCTTTGAAAAAGTCACAAGTAGTCTATACGTATATATATGGAACATCGGTAGTATCTTGCCTGACGTGCTTCGCCATCGGTATAGAAGAGTTAGCTTAAGTCATGGGTACGGAATTATTCTTGAAGAGCAGCCTGAGTCCAGTGTGGGACAACAGAAGCGAAGATAGGATAAAAGGCCTTGCAATTACTTAAGTTCTACTCCGGTGAGAGCCCAGTTAGCTTCGGTCATATAGCAAACCCTCTACGAAAGCTGTCTCTGTGCAGCGGCACAATTAAGACGATAACATGAGCTTATTCTTTGGAGTATTGATGGCAGGGAAGGGTGAAGTAGACGAAACGAGTCAATTGACTAAAGAAATTGGACTAATCAAATAGATGTGTGATAATCTTCCTGGGCCAGAAAATCAATATGCTCAAATGACGAAATGCATAGACCTTTTATTATTATAAAGGTCATTCCTTATTCCATTGAGTTGGCTTTACGTTTAACTGGACATTGGACTATATGAGTTATAACTTCATTGTTTTTTATTCCAAGCGAGCGAGGCAACGGCTCAACAGGGTCAGTTCACCAGAAGAGGCTTGGACACGAGAAAAGGACCTAGTTAGCAACCAAGTCCAATGACGGTGGTTTATAGGGGTCACGCTATAAGTATGGCAGGGTACGAGCCTCTTCGTTGCTTAGTAGGATTTATTCTTCCGCCAAGCTCCTCCTTTCTTCGCCGTATAGTAAATACAAACGTCCCGCGGCCTTCATGATGGACGGCTAGAGCGATACTATGGGGCAATCCACTCTTCCTACCTACACGACACTCTTGGCGTCAGAGTTTGGGGAATTGAAAATCCTTGATGACTTGATCCGCCTGCGTGCAGCAGACGCTATCTAGCATCCCATCCTCGCGTATCCCCAGTCCGAAGATGGCCCGGCATCCTACCGGTCTTACACCGGATAGGACTTAGATACTATAATCAATCAAACGATTGCGAGACTAGATAGCGATGGCGTGCAAGCGGTATGTATGTAAACGTCCTTTTACGCGGTGATGCTAATAGTGTGGTATGCTATATAGGTCTATGACTCTCGTCCAATTGTAGCACTCCTGACGAGGTTAGATCTCGATATGGTCGTCACATTCTTGGCTCTGAGTCGACTGGGCTATACGGTTATGATGATCTCGTCTAGACTGTCTAGTTCGGCGAGCGTTGCCCTGTTGGAGACCGTCGGCTGTGAGACGATCATATATGGGCGAACGCCTGCGATCCGCGCAATAGTGGGCGACATCCTGCGGCAGAAGCTCCTAAAATGTTCTCCGATACGCTCGTGCTCCGCGAGCAATATGGCTAAGATACACCCCGTGGCCCTCCCCCGACAATATAACCCCGAGGACATCGCCCTGATTCTCTATTCCTCGGGATCCACTGGTAGTCCCAAGCCGATTTTCCTTTCGCATCGTGCGCTTATAACCCATCCCCCCAGAGGTCCCGGACTCACCACGTTCAGTCCTCTGCCTTGGTGCTATCTTCACGGCTTGTCCACCGCTTTGCAGGCTATATATATGCGCAAGACCGCGTATATGTGGAATGCTGCGCTACCACTCACAGCGGCGAGTGTTATCTCCGCGATCAGAGAGGCCCAACTGGAGCTCGTAGCAGCAATGCTATATATGCTCTAGTTGCTGGCAGACCACCCGGGCGGGATTTCGGTATTGAAGGTATATAAGCTAGTCGCGTACGGAGGCGCACCTTGCCCTGACAGTCTGGGGGACCGTCTCGTTCTCGAGGGTGTCTATCTAGGAGGTTTATTTAGCCTGTGAGTGAACGGTGATGCGAGCGAATCGCCTGCTAACTAACGGTTAGGACCGAGGCGGGCTTAGTGGCGGAGTCAATCTCACGGCCCCTGGGCGACCCCTTCTGGAACTATTTAAGGTTTTTCGCCAACCTCCGGTCCTATGTTTGGATGAAGCCTCGTAGTGAGCGCCTCTACGAATGCGTCTATCTGGCCGGTCATTTGGCCTTGACGACATCCAACTTAGATGAGCCCTATAGATCGTTCCATTCCTAGGACGTCTTTAGCCCTTACCCCACGATCCCAGGCCGCTAGAAGTATGTCGCTAGGTTGGACGACCGCATCACCCTCGTCAACGGCGAAAAAGTGTGGCCACTTCCGACAGAAGGCTATATTAACTAGTATCTCTGGGTCGGCGAAGCGGTCGTCGTGGGGATCGGTAAGGCCCTCCTGGGCCTCTTGATCTGGCGCGCCAAGGAGGCCCCTAACGCACCGCGGCTTCCGGACGCCGAGTTCCTCGAGACAATCTGGCCTCACATCGTGGAGGCCAATGCTTGGGCAGAGGCCTTTTCTCAGATATCACGTGATACGGTGGCTATCCTCCCACATAGCGCCGAGCTGCCTCGGACTGATAAAGGTTCTATCATCCGAGCCTAGATCTATCGTACGTATGCCGAGCGGATAGAATATCTCTTTGCTAGGGACGCCGTTCCTCATGGCGGTTACCGCCTTGACCTGGCGGCGACGGAAACTTGCCTCCTCCGACTGTGTCGGGATGCGTTGGGGATCCCCGTCTCTTCCGCTGCTACTAATATATACGTCGAGGGTGTGGATAGTCTTAAATCGATCTAGCTACGGCGTTTGATTATCAAGCAGTTCCGGTTCGATCGGCATCGAGTGCCTAGTGATAATGTGGTGTGGGAAAGCGGCAGCATATCACAGCTCGCCCAAACCATCTGCTCCTTATAAGTGGGCCTAGGTTCTGCGGCGCGCGACAATGGTACATTAGTCATGGCGGAATGGATTGAGAAGTACTCGCGGTTTGGAAAGCATCTCCCGCACCGGGAGGTCCTGCCCGAGTTAAAGAACGTGGTATGTGAAGCCGACTGGGTGTCTCATGGCATACGTCTAACGGTATATAGCTTTTGATAGGAGCGACTGGCTCGATTGGCGCGTACGTTCTGTTCGAGTTGCTAAATAACGAAACGATTACGACGATCTTCTATCTAACGCGACGGCACTCGCCCTTCGATGCCGTACTAGGCGGCCTGGCCGAGAGAGGCCTCTATGTTTCCCGTGAATAAACCACCAAGATCGTGGCCTTGAACGGCGCGCTCGACTAATAGGGCTTTGGCCTGGATACAGAGGAAGACATCCTTGGATATATGCACGAATCGGTCTCTCTCATCATTCACGCCGTATAGCCGGTCAACTTCCACCTGCCTCTCTCCTTCTTCGAACCGCACGTTCGGGGCCTCTATAACCTGATCGAATTCTCCCTGTCGGTGAGGAGGCCCGAGCCTGCGGTTATGATCTTTTGCTCCTCCGTGTCTATGGCTCTGGGGGCGTCCTCCGTGAAGGTCACCGAGGAGCCTCTGCGCCTAGACAGCGCGCTGCTAGGCTATGGGCAATCGAAACTCGTGGGGGAGCATATGGTGAGCAACGTATGTCGGTCGGGAGCAAAGGCCTTTTCTCTCCGGATTGGATAAGTCTCTAGGCATTTAGAGACGGGCTGGTGGAAGGAGAGTGAGGCGCTACCCCTCATGATCCGTTCCGCGATAACCCTGAAAGCCCTCCCTGAGCTGCCCCATATATATTCGTGGCTCCCCGTGAACACGCTTGCCACGGTCATCCTCGAGATCGCTAGGGCGTGTTCTATGCCTAGCCGCGACTATGGAGCGGATTGTGCATACGATCGCTCGATAGTGACCCTGATAGATGATTCGATTTACAATGTGTGCAACCCTTGCGAGTTCTCTTGGACTGCGTTGCTGGACAGTCTCAAGCAGAGTGGGTATGATTTCGAGATCGTGCCGTTCGAGGAGTGGATGAATTTGCTTCGTGGGAGTGAGGCGCGAGGCGAGGAATAGACTAACCCCGCTATCAAGCTGATCTATTATTATGAGCTGTTATTTGGTGCCAACGTGTCCTGCGGTCGCCTGTGCCGGAAGCGATTCTTGACTAGTCAGGCAGAAAGGGACAGCCGGACCCTGCGAGATGGTTGCGTAAATCTTGTCGAAGATGGCATCCTGAGGCGCTATGCTCAAATGTGGTTGGCGCGGTGGGCGGTCGTGTGAAGCGATGACAATGGATTTGTCGAGAGGTACTGGTTTTGAGAATAGCATCAAAAATAGACATTGACTTGAGAGGGCTGCTTTGTGGATGTACGAGGCCGATGCTACGGAATATCTAGACCTTTTGCCAATAAGCGGACATTGATATGCCTGCGGTGAATGTAGCGACTGATCTCTTGGCATTGCGGTCCGCCCTGGGTGATTTAGGATCTCCTTCAACGACGATTTCAGCGCCGGACGGTTGCTGAGTCCTTCGCTCCGTTCTCATAAATACAGGGACATTCGAAATTGGCTTCCATGTTTTACACAGCGAAACTATCTCAAACCCTAACGCCAAGGCTGTGGTGAAACCACCTAGTTCTGATTTAGCTAGCCTATAGATCGCCCCTGCGGGTCATTTAGAAACCGTAAAATATCTGACAAGATCAATACGCCAAGTTTCCTGTACTTATGTGTCTTATAAATACGCTTTCTGCCAATATTGTCTCCCCCCTCCGGGGCCTAGGCGGCTTGCACTTCCGACCACGTTGTTCCTCCTACCTTACTAGAAACGGAGCATATTACAGTGGCGGGGTGGCTAGCCCAATTAATTATCTTCGCCAGGTCTTGGCAGTGGGGCCTGGAAAGAGTCTCTCTGTTTGTAGTGGTCAAGGAGAATCACTGTACTACTACTACTGTATTAGACAGGTTCTGGGGTAGAATTTTATCGAAGAGAGGATATATGTCAAATATTCTAAATATCTATCCAATCCAACGATACTCCCATGCGATTATTTTGTGTGGCACATAGGACTTTCCTCCTTCGTACAATGGAACCAGGTTTTGGCGGCCTCGACGGAATTCATGCTTAGGCTCGAGAATCGACACTTGCCATTTCTTGGTTTTTCCCCGGAGATTCATTGTATAGACCGGTGTTAGACTGTCTTTCTTGGATATGGCTCCTCCAATGCCAATAATATCGTAGCTGTCCAAGCTTTGAATTCTTGAATCCGTCAAAAAGCAAAACTTTGTTTGGAGAAGACCATTACCATTCAATCTTCGAGATTTTCTCCCTTCAAGATATAAGAATGCATTTCCTTTGATGATATCTCGTACATTGAGAATGATTTTTGGCAGTTTGATTTTCTCCCTTGTGGAATCTCTCCATCCTTTAGCGGGCAGAATCACTTCATGGCGCTCCTTGTTATAGCGGTGATCGGTACGTAGGCTTTCGCGTAAAAAGTCTATTCCATCATGGAATAGGTCACCCGAGAAATCATTTGCATAGAGAATGATATAGGCGGACTTTTTCTTTCCAGGCCGGTTCGCGACAACATTATCTAGGTCAGCCCCAATCAGAACTGGCTCAGCGCCAAGGTCAGTTGCTGCTTTGAACCATGCCTCATCCTTGAATATCGATCGCCAAAGTCGACTTGATGTATTATTTTCAATGAAGTGCATTGAGTTTGCTATTGCCTTTGCCTGAAAGGGATCGGGCTTCACAAGGTTAATGATTATGTTCAGGATCTCACGTGGAAGGTTTGACATCTTAAAGAGGTTTTTGTATGGTATATTCCAGAATGACTTGATACTAGCACTGGCTCTTGCTAGATCCATTTTATTTATATATAATCATCTCCACTATTTAAGCTACATATTACTACTGTGAGCCATGTAACGCCTCACGAAATTGCGGCGCCGCAATTTTCTTTCTCTCGGAATTTTGACAGCGCTGAACTGGTGCCTTTCCCACATATGAAAATAGCTGACTTGGAATGACATCTTATCCTTCAATATTTAAACGGTTGAAGTGACAGTGATGACCCCACGTTGAGGCACGCGATAGTCCATCCGGTATTTACTATTCTGAAATGTCTCTCTTGCACAAATCCTTTTTCTCTTGTCAATGGTGGTTAGTTAGATTTTTCCACGCTCGGTTGTCATTGAAGCGCTTGTTGAATATTTCTTGTTAGTAACCGACTGTGCCTTGATCAGTTTCCTCAACCTTTAAGTTGCTGCAGAAAGAGAGCTGACTTTGTTACATACTGTAGCACGATCGTTTTTCGTGACTATATATTATGTTGACTAGATCGCTAGTTTTAATCCCGACACATCATGAATTGCGATACTGTAGCAACAATGCAAAGCAATGTTTTATTGTCTCTTCTTCTACATATATTTACTGCCTGAGCATTGTGCTTGAAAAAAGCCATCTTAATGTATCAATATGACGGGCAGATCAAGTTGGCCATGGAGCTACTTGAGCACGTGGTCGCAGTGGAAGGGAGAACGCTTGACGAAGAACATGCTGATCGACTAGCGTCTCAGGAGGCACTCTGAGATGCGAAGTGGTTGAAGCGTATTAATGAGACACATGAGTACAGGAAACTTGGCGTATTGATCTTGTCAGATATTTTACGGTTTCTAAATGACCCGCAGGGGCGATCTATAGGCTAGCTAAATCAGAACTAGGTGGTTTCACCACAGCCTTGGCGTTAGGGTTTGAGATAGTTTCGCTGTGTAAAACATGGAAGCCAATTCGAATGTCTCTGTATCAGGATAGGACGCTCGTAGCAACGATCACGCCGACCCGCATTTGCCCGGAGAACGAAATGGTATACTCGTCAGGAAACGAAACGACCATTGTAGCCCACATGCTCCGATAAGACGAAAACAAGCACCGATGAGCGGCTGCTGCTGAAGTGTTTAGCTAGAATACATGTCAAGATTTTGATGGGCTTCTACGTTTGAAGTAGAGCCTTTCCGATCTCGTCGGATTGATTGTGAAAATTGGAAGCTCTCAAAAGCACTTCGGTACTTCCAATTAGTCTACGCCGATTTCATGCAGGTTGAACACCCAGGGTTCAACATTGCGGTTACACCATGACGAATTCCTCAATTCCTCGCTGCCAATTCCTCGCCGTAAATATATCATCAACAATGCGACAGTGTCATTCAAAATGCCCGGGTGTAGATCATAGGACCGCATATTTAAAGTCTCGGCGTGGGGAGATGCAATCAATTGCAATAGTGCCTGTTCATTTCGCATTCTCCTATACCCAGCATTGACAACTCCGCCTCACTACTATGTCTCAAACATTTAACGAGTTGAACGGGGACAGGCATTTAATCAACGCATCACTACTTGATCAAATAGTCAGGAAATTCCAGGCGCTTTGCCCAATACGTACCGGTGCCTGTCGCAACCTCTTTCGAAGAAAGGATAGACTAGAGTCTACCACATTCTCACTACAGTACAATCGAGAAGCAAAGCAGACTTGCGTTTGCCCGCCCGAAATTCAAATCTCTCGTCCTAGCAGAGGCCAGTTCTAATAGAGACCAAAAGCACTTCCAGGCTAAATATATATAACATTCTAGCCCAGTATTCCATCTACAGGCACGGCGAGAATACTACAGTTCCTAAAGCGCTGGAAATGTTAAACGAACTTCATCGGCCTCCACATCGACCCGGAACCTAGTTGTCTCAACTCTGAGACTAGTTGTAACAGAAAGTAGCTTCCTTCATTGCTTTTGTCTCCTCTTCTTCGAGCATCAACGTCACTTCCTATTCCCATGCTTAGCTTGGTAAAGAAAGTCGGCGGCTCCCACTTACCGTAGGATGATCTGGAGGAAAGGTCGACTGGAGAAAGCGGAGGTCCCCACGACGCGAGCAGCGAATAACGATAACGTGCACCACCTCCAAGCCAAACCACTTGGTCAACCGTGAGAGAATCTTTGGCATGGTTTTGACAGGATAGTGTGCTGGCTGTGGTCACAAGATGTGTTGATGGACAACACGAGGATCCGACGGGAAGACCCAGACATCAGGCAAATGACTGGTACTAGGTTTTATAACTGTACCGTCGCAGTCATATAATGTCAGTCAGCAATTGTCGCCGACACAATCCTATTAAGGGGAAAGTGTGATGAAATGTGTCGGTGGACGGTACGATTAAATGATAAGCAATTATCATAATCATATTGAGCATCACGTTACGCATCCCCGACTTCATATGGTTGAATTGAAACAGAACATCAAGCACGAAGCAATCATTTGGCTGCTAGGAAATCATGAAAGTTGGTGGCATAGCATCGTGGTACTATTTTCTGTATTCACATCACAACCCTCAGGGAAGGACGGATAAAAGTAATGTCTTGATGGTCAAGAAAGTCAGTACACCTATCCGAACTGTCTATAAGTATCTTCTAATTTTGCATCAACAGGAGTTCTTTAGAAGCAGCACACTCAATACACTTATATCTTGCGGTGATTTCATGGCCGGCTTTCGACCCCCTACTCCGTCTCCAAGCTTTATCGACATAGATGCCTCGGTATGTTCCTCTCCGCCGATGCATTTGGGGCTCGTCTGACCGTTCTTAGGAAGTACTCCGTACGATTGCGACGCTCAACACGCGGAGTGTTCGAGCGGAAAAGATTATTGCAAAATATGAATATGACCTGGCTGCAGTACGACAGTCGCTAGCGTAGACCAGCAACGAGCTCGACGAGACTGTCAAAGTGGCCGAACTTCTCTACGATGTTAATCGAAGGCTTGGGACCGTCACGGACTACCTCCTTAGATAGCATGGAATGGCATTGGGTGACGAGGAGCCTAAATCCGTCGAAGTATTGATTAACTTAGTGGTAAGGCAAGCCGAAGCAGACAAGCCACCCAACCTTGAGGATAGGAGCGGCAGCATTGTTGCAAATGACACCGCTCGGTCCCCTGAGCTGGGAGGTCGGATCATGTCGCAATGAAGAGGCGTGTTGCGGGATTAGTTCTATGTAGCTGGAGTGGGCTCAGTAGTCAACAATGAGAAGGGAGAATGACGAATTGTATCTCACTTAATTCTATCTGGGGAATCATAAACTGTAGAATTCGCGTAATACCGCTTAATCCTCAGCGTAGACTATTCGAAAAGGTATGAGGCCCCTGACCACTCTGTTAGTAGGCTCACTTTGAATTTGTTTGCGGTGTACTCTCACGGATTACAAAAGCTTGCCATCTTTAATAGGGGCCTTACCTCGTACGTAAATCTCGATCCAAATCCAATACGCGCGATTATCATCGGACACTCCGATATAGTAAGTCCTAGAATCCTTCGAGCGCAGAGCCTTACACGTAAGTTGCAGTTAGCATTGTCCATCGACCGGTCTGTGTCGTTGGAGTAGAAGAGCCTTGCCTTATACGTTGGTTTACTTCCCTCCGCCATGGAAGAACCTATTGCGGAGGAAGACCGTACGAGAAGATCCCGAGCGCCCTCGCCGGAAGAAATGTGTCCTGTAAAGCTACTTGACTCGCAATCCAATGCTCGCCTAGTCAGTCCTCCCATCGAGTTAGTTCTACGTCACAGTCTAACGAGGTATCACAAAGCCACCATAGAGCTAAAAGAGTTGCGAAAAAGGTTTCTGATTTCCTAAGACGTGCACAAAAGAGGGTTTCTAAGCTATTTTGCTATCGCGAATGAAAACTGCTCGATAGCTTAGGTGAGAAGAGCGGTTACAGTCGCGAGCCAATGTCGTGGACGATGTTCACACCAAAATAACTTAGAACTTTATGGAACAAACAAAGGCTATCTTAGATACTAAAACGGGCTTATTAGTACCGTTTCCTCTTAGAGTTTCCGTACTTTCTTTGGCTTCATCGCAATGGATTTGTACAGAAAAGGAAACAAACATTAAACGTGTGGCTCGTTCCTGTCCAGTGTGTGCCTTATGCTCATCTGATGAAAAGTCGAACAAAGCCACGCCTGGTCCTCTCGGTAGAGGTCAAAGACGCGTTTGTCATAAAAGACGATCGGCGGTGGCAGTAGCTTTTGTATCCTAAATGTCTAGGTGCCTCCCCGAGTGCAGACTTGAGCCTCACATTCGGGATATATCAACAGTTTTAAAAGACCCCTTGGCAATCGGGGAGAATTGGAGATTTGGGCCAAAACTAGCTCAATACTTGCGATTAAGCGACTGTTACTTGAAACTTCGTTTTGGCATTAGTACCTGGCTCGGATTGCAACGCATTAAGGTCGAAGCTAGGGCTCGCCAATGGTGGCAGGTAAGGAAACTTCAAAATGGTCGGATAGTTGACTTATGGTAAGGTTTCTAGAGCGATTCTGGTCGTGGCCGGCTTCGATGGCTGCCCGGGGACTTAGGATGGTATAATATCAGACGGAAGAGGATGGATCTAGAATTGAAAAAGTAATGCGATGGTTTTTTCTAGTTGTTCCCCAGGGGATATTTATACCCCTTTTCTCGAGAACCATTTTTAAAGGGAAATTCATATAAAACTGTTCTTTCACACCGCTACTCGGTGGTCCATGAAAGAATCAGGTAGGAACCCGAGGAGAATGTGAATTGGACGAGCAAACTGCATAAATGGGCGCTAAGCAGCAGCCTGGTTCTGAATAGCTTTATGGGCTTAGCTGACCAATCGGCAGCCACTGATTTAGAGAGAAGCCGACTGGTTTGGGTGCTTTAGGATGAAGGCTCCAATCTTCAATATACGATAGAGTCGGGGTATCAGGGCAGCCGCGCTGGCTAAAAACTTGCACCAGAATTTGTATCTCCGTAGGATTAGGCATTACTTAGAAATCAAATATTAGCTAAAGTTCAGGCCATCTAGGATACAGAATCCCGTACCCTTACAGAAAACGCGGGCAACGGGTGCCTTTTACGCCTAGGGCATCTGATTTTTCCTGTGACTAGCGATCGCTCTATAGCTCTGGACTTTTTTAGAAACGTCTAGTGAGACAAATTGCTCCACTATGTATAGGCATCGGACTGCTATCTACATAACGGCGTGCCAGAATCCTCTTTATCCGCTTGTAAGAAAACTTGATCCTCGTTTAACAATTGGGAGTTCTGCAAGACCTTCACGGCTATAATGATTCCATCCCTCGCCTAGCTTATCTCTTTCTCGAGCTGCTCGGTCAAGGACTTATATTCTGCTAGCTCCTCTTCCAGACGGTAGGTCTTTGCCTGCCGTTCTCGGTCTATACTCAGCAGCTCCTTCGAGCGGGCCCACTCGCGTTTAAGCTCGACCGTAAGGCCTTGCTTTTCATGTTCTAATTGCCGAATCGTTTCTATAAAAGATGTGAAGCCGGCGTTCGGAGATTTGGGCTGCTCGTGTTAGGAGGGCTGTTGTATGGCCTTACCAGTCAAAACGAAAGATACTATAGGCACTTACCTCTACATTCGATGTTGTGTCTGCACCTGTTGGCTATAGTCCTGGAGGGGCCACCGCTTTAAGCGATGAACTAAGTGATTGTTGAATGTCTTGGCAGCGACCGACTGTACCGTTACCAAGATTAGTCGCTAGTAGATATTCCTTCCCTTCCAGCACAGACTATGCGTAGCCGTCTTCCAGGGAGGGCTATAAGCGCACGCGTTGAGGGGCAACGGCCAGACCTAGTTGTTCATCTAAGTAGCTTGTTTAGTAGGCAACCGCGTGCGGAATCTCTTCGGTGGGCTCTTACGAATATACACTACTAGAGCCTCGCGACATTGCTGCCGCACCTACGCGCGCTTCTGGTTGCTCGACAGAGTTATTCCAACAAATACGTGCGCTTATTCTAGAGATGTGAATTACGTACTATATAAAATGACTACCTAGTGACCTAGACACAAGACTGATGGCATAGTGTGAGTGATGAAAACCACTAACCCGTAGAGTATGTTTCTATACGAAGGGGGTCCACCCCTACTTAATCAATACGTCGTATTACTCAACAGGAGCTCGTAGCAATTGCTTAAGCATTGTAATAAGTTACTTTGGCACTCGCAGAGCCGGGACAACTGCGACTGTAGTGCTTCGAACGTTAAACGTTGTCGACCGATTGAGGACCCGATGGCTATTGTCGCGCTAGCTCTACCACAGTTTTGTGTGTCTGCTGAATAAGTATATCTCCCACCGGCCTCTTTGCCTTGATGGATGGGTGTCCAGCACTTTTCAGGACCGGGGGGAACCTAATGGGAATTTTGCTGTTCATTCGACGCTGTACAGGAGAACACAAAATGCTGCAGGTGACATAGAGGCCGAACCGTAGTAGAATGTGAGGCTGTCTGGAGTTCTACTTCAAAACCTGATGGTACCTCACATCGACTCCATTAGGCCCCGTAAAGCATCATCTATATAACCTACACCGCCCTCCCACCGGAACGTTCCATCGAAGCTAAGGGCATCTTCCGTCGGACTCAGCTATAGCCGGTCAGGAGAACCTAGGCGGCAACGGCCTGGCGGATAAATAGCTCTAGATGATCCGCTCGATTGCTCTTATCTATCTCGCCTTGATCCTCCATTCCTAAATGGCCCAACTATCCTATAGAGGGAAGCGCCAGCGCAAGACCCTAGACATACGTCGCCTTTTGGACCACCCCTCCTATACGCTGCCTGCTGTCCCGAGGAGAGAAAAGACTATGTTCCACCCGCGGCAGCCTCCGGGGCCCTTAGAGCGCACTCGGACGATACCATCGGGCTTAGGAGGCCGGGTCACCTTTCGATTGACACATTGGCGGTACCAAGACTCCCGTCACGCGGAGGGGCGACAGACCGCTCCTACGCTACTGGTGAATCCGGTTGGTTACGTAGACCTAGGCGATACCGTTTGGAAGGATCGCGAAGACTGGCTTCTATAGCTGCGCCCTAGGCCTCCTCGTGGGCTGGTACCTGCAAAAAGGGGGTCTGGCCGGAGAAAGAATCGGCTCTAACGAGTAGTGTAGGTTCCCATTCGGATCAGTCAGGGTCGTAATATTATGTTGAACTGATATAATAGACTCCGAGCGAAGCAGCAATGAGACAATTGAAACAATTATTTGAGATTTCACTTTCGTTAAATTGCTTTTATCAGTGGAATTAAGCGCTATATAAAAATTCCGTTAAGTAAATATTCAGCAACTGACACGGCAGAGCCCACGGGCACGTAAGTTGAAAAGGAGTGGGATCCCACTAAAGGTCGACGCTGATTTTGTCTAGGACCTAGTTTCCAGCATCGTTTCGGGTTAAAGGGTCGCTCGGAGTGCTGGGATCTCATTGTGCCTCCTCTCTTGTTCGTTCGTAGCTTACGCGAATACATCTTGCCATGTTTCTTTGCAGTTTTCTCGGAGCATCCCTCACAGTCATGCTCGCCTGTATCGGGGCCAGTCCAATCTAGAAGGTCATCATCACTAATAGCACGTCCTCTTAGGTATGTTGGCAAAACAGACGCACCGAGTCGGGGAGGCTATTGGTTCACATGATTAACTATCTATGGAGGATAAACCACTGGACGGCATAGATCAAATTTCGACTATAGTCCCGATCATCTAAAGTTCGAATCAATATATACGCTCTGCTTATATCTCGGAGTAGCATAGGGAGGACGAAGGGGGTCGGTGGGTGACCTATTACGCGTTCCGCTGATCCTTACACTGACTTATCTCTGCCTAGGCCCTATGTCACGACCGAGGACATGGCCTATACGCGCATAGCTCTAGGTTAGGTATTCCAAGATGATGATGATGAAGGGGCCATCTTCGTGGCTGTGGTCTGGCCTCAACTTATGGTATCGTTCCGTGGCAATGCCTCGTCCCTGGCGCGCTTGCGTTGTGAGTCTCTTGCCGACAACACGCAGGCGACCCATAGTAGTATATCGAAAACCGGGCCTCTATAGCAATCTTCTGTGTTGAGGCAGAAGGTGCCGAGGCATGTGTATTGACATCGGTGGTATATTCGCCGGATAGCGGTCTGACCAGCAGAGTGAATAGTATTTGGCAGAAAAGAAAAGGAATCGGTTTATGTGGGATTCGGATGAGGGACTTCACTGGGAGTCTAGGACTTATAGTCGGATCACGTAAGATGTGGCCGCAGTTGAACCCTAGTTGAACCTCAGTTGAACCCCTATCGCTGCCAAGAAAACAAAACGTAAGCCTTGCTCAATCGAAGCGGCTTGTCTAGCTCGGTTCTTCGTGCTTTAAGGGTGATTGGGATACTTGATTGAGCTATTTCTTTTAGGTATATATCAATTTACATTAGCTTTCCACAACCTATCAGGGAATTGTAATCCGTATCTCGGTTTGTTCCTAACCCTAATCAAAATATATAAGTAGCACTGTAGACAAATACATTTCCAATGGCATCCGGGGGCACACTAATCGGCTTTGGCTGGGTCGTACCAACCTTACCAACAAACCCAACCCCCCTATAGATTATTCGTAAATCTACCAGAAAGTGGCCGTTTATACTGTACCTGCTTAGATACAGTTATGCGAAGCTCTGTCTGGCCATTCCTACGAAGCGGGTGGCAGGATGACTAATCAAACTCTAGCCCCAACCCACTGGACACAAGAAGAATGCGGTCGCGTTTCTTTGCTTCAATCCATCCAGGGGTCGACGGAACACTCACCGCATCATCAATTTCCATAACTCAGAAAGTAGGGATGAAAATCAGCCTGATGAGATAGTTTCTCTACCCTTGGAGCCTTTGGCCAATTGGTCTCACCAGAAATATGGCAAACCGATTTGCGGAACCGAATTCATCACCAAGTATTACGCACAGCCCTTTCCTTGATGGGGAGCCAGTCCAGTGAGTAACTCGTTTTCATTGATTAAACCAGTTGGGATTTGCAATATGCGCCCACGAGCAAATTGTACCGCCCGCAATAATTATCAGCCCCGCATCACGTTGAATAGGCAAGACAGGCTCATCGTAAATCTCGTTTGTGGTGGTGAAGATACTCAAAACAAGGTTAATGACTCTGTCTCAGTGGAAATTGGTATAAAGGCCTACTTTCCAAATTCTAGCTATCGGTACTTTCCCCGACGAACACGAAGATCATGGATGGCCCCGACCATGAGCCCGATACAAAGATCAGAACATTCCAAGACCCGCTGTATCCATCGATAGAAGACCAAGACTTGTTCTCCATTCATGTAGCGCAACAGGCCGCGGAGGAATGGCCGGTGAGTGCGTCCTGAGATTCCGCAGACCTATGCTAATTTGCCAATCATAGCCGGCCGAGTTTACAATGCCCCAAAGTACCCTGCCCCAGGGTGTCAATGAATCTATTCACCCGCTACATGGTGTACCAAGCCAGGTTAATCCCCCTGGAGCTCAGATTGCGCATCAGGTTGCAGGAACTTTGAGTCAGTACTCCATGCTATGGGAGACTTACAATACAAAAAAGGCTCAGAGCGAACGCCTTGAAAAAGAAAATGAAGAGCTACGCGTCGCCAATTTTACCTTGGTGGAAGAGCAGGAGCTCTTAGAGCGCCGTCACGTTGATCAAGAGGCTCTAATAGCCTACTATGGGCAAATTTTTGATCAGGTGCGTCACGGAATCGTGGGTTTAATAAAGGACTGGGAAGGCTCCTCTACCGAGACCACTTCGGAGGAGGTTGAGACAATTGACGAGAATGGAACCTGGGACCCGTGAATACTCTGCTACTACCACGTGTCCCCAAAGGTGTCGCCACCTACTCTCTACCCTGTCCATAATCCCTCTGAACAGATATGCATCAAATATGGGATTTATCTCTTTGCTCGATATTAAACCATAAACAGAAAGCGTAAATGATGCGGATAGTGCCGAATAATGGCTGGAAAAAGAAATCCAATATGCAATGGAAAAATACAGTAAGCTCTTGAGCTCCCAGGAGCAGGAAAAAAAGAATGAGAGAGGATCAAAAAATTGCGATATATTTAAATCTGCGTATCTCCAGACACTTTATTTCCAGGCTGTTGACACCACCCAAAATGGAATTTCTAGAGCTTGTGCATTGCATTTTGGACACAATAATCCTTGCGATTACGTTTTTGCGTCTCACTTTATATAGGCACGCATTTCCAAGTTTGCGAGTATACCGATCAATAGACCTCAGCATTTTCATAATCACGTTTTCTTGTCTTCTGGCACTAGGGGTGCTAGACTGGCGACGGGAAAGTGAAAAAGGTCTGGCAAGCTCAATCTGTGTCCTCCTCGAACAATTGCTTACATATAAACTTGTTATCTTAGTTCAACTTCACTTGATAGAGTTTATCGCCATATTTGCACCTTTCGCCGAGGTAGGCTAATTGAGAAGCACTGTTAAACTGCTCTCACTAAACCGCAATTTTTCAGTTCCTCCGATTATTCAAGCTTCTTGATCATGTTTCACACTTGTTACAGAGATTGTGCATCGCCATAGTAGCAGCCGGAAGCCTAATCAAAATTCTACTCATTTTTTTGAGTATACGCTGTCTTTCACCTCTTCAATTTGGGATAGCGGTACTCCTCATCGTCGAGTATTTTTGTATCGCTGCTGGTTGCTATTGGCTAGCCCGAATATCGAAGCCAGGGCATTTGGGCCAACTCAAATTACAAAAACGCTCATATCACGCATTTACAATATTAGCCGTGCTATTTTGTGTCGCTATGCCAGGGGTCTTCTTGCACACTTGGCGATTGTCACTTGAGGTAACAAGATATCCTTTCGTCAAAGAGTCATATTGACTGACCTAAGATCTAGGGTCAACTTTTGATATCGAATATCTGGTCGCTTCACCATGTCTTTTATAAGAAAGAAAAATGCTGTGCCAGAGAAGAGCCACCGCTCATAGTCTATCATGAGAGCCGAATTCCCGCCAATCAAGACATTTCTCCTTTCCACGGCACAACCCGCGATAATGAGTCTTCACCATGAGCTGAGATATCAGTGATGGATATTGTACTTTGAAAATATTCTTCTTGCTCCTATATATGCTGCAATATTGTTATCATGCTTCTTTTTCAGGTTCGACTGGTGTCTACTCTGAGATCGGTGACACTAGCTTCGGCTCTTTCACTATTGTTTTCAACTTTCGCTAGTGTGAGAATACTTATGTCCAGATCACTTGGCAACTGGCATCGTGCTATAGCATTCGTTTAGCCAGTATAGCAATCCGATGCCTTACCATAACGAGTCTCACAAATAGGCCTCGCTTAACCCCGCCCGCACAAACCCGACCCAAACCCGCCGTCGGCAAGGTATATCCATGAGGTTCCGACAGTTTCAAAGTCATGTGCTACACTACAAAAGAAGCATTGCAGCCGGAAAGGCAACTAGGCCGCGCCTGCCATCAACGGCATTGTACTCCTACATATGCACATACACACGCGATTAACTTTGCTTAGCGTGCACTAAATTCCAACGCATAGGAGGTATCGAGATCTTTGGAGACTGAACTCTTCACGTGTGCATTTAGCACTTACTTTTTAAAAGCCTATTTAGAGCTTCTGTCGTGCTTTGCACTGTTGACACCAGGTTGCATTTACTTAGGTAGATATATTCTAGGTTTAAAATATCTCTGGCCCGGTATAATAAGATAGGGCATTCATTGAAAATAACACAACGCCCCTTCACCGACAGATCGAGTAAAGCTTCTATAGTTCCATTTCTTATCCTATAAACTCTGGAAAATCTCATGTACAGTATATCATCATTAACAGTGACACTGTACGAAAATATGCATGCATTGAATATCAGACTCTCCTGGCTACTTAAGGTCGCAATCTTGTATAGCACTAGATCAATAACTAAAACCTTGTTGGAATTTCCTCATAATTGATGAATTCTGAGGATTGGTCAAGCATTCAGTTATAAAAAGACCATAAAAATTTATAAAAATGAGGCGAAGGAATAATCTCATACATCATACCGTTATGTCTCAGGCTCAAAGGCTCTCGACATGGCGTAGCTTACCACTAAACTGAGTCATTTTTAAGTGATATTGGTAATTGTGACTCAAATTTTTGATCAGCAATTTGATCAGCAAGGGTACGTTCTTTCCTCATTATTAGTTGAATATATGGCAAGGTTTATCAGAGATAAATAAGAAACAGTATCCAGATCTACTGAACAGTAGGTGAAAGTTACCGGTCAACATTCCATAGAGATTATTAAGACTATTTTGTTCAAGTCTTCACGTCTTCACGAAGCCCAAAGTTCTAATGACATTATGGATTCTTCAAAACGAAAGCAATCGTTTTGTGAAGATAACAATTCCAAGAAGCCTTGCATAGACTTCCTCCACAAACATCTTGTTACTCAAGAGCCAGGTAAGCTTAACCTGACTACGCATAAATGATGTGGAGTCTAACCGAAGGGTCTCACTAACAACACGCCTCCTATGATAGAACTGGATCACCCGAGGAAAAAAGGTCCCTCTCTGGATCCTCAAGCAGTTTACCTTGTCGAGCTATACAAAACTTTATGGGGATCTTACAATAGAGAATTTGACAGAACTCGGCAACTGGAACAGGAATGGCAAACACTCCAGAGCTCGAATAAGTTGCTTACAATGAACAATGGGCAACTACAGTTCATTTGTGCCACGAGAGATGAAGAAATTCGTGATTGCCACCAAGATTTACAGTCGGTCCGAGAAGATTTGCTAGATATCATCCAGAAAACACGCAAACACCATGTATTCCTATCTTCAAAATAGCATTTAGATATACGACATCAAAGTGTTTTGTGTAACTAATGTGTTAGATCTTAAAGAGACGGGATTAAATTTTGCGCGTCACTCATAACCTTCAAGCTTCCATACCGTTTTCGACGCGCGGCTCAATTATCTACCTAAATAAGGCTAGTTATTAAACCCTCGGATGATGTTTTGCACAAAGAAACCGGGATCAAGCACAGGAATAGTCAGAGTAGGACGACTGCACAAAGCAGGAGCGATATCTCCCGTGACGAAGGCAGAGGTATATTCTTGACGTGGATATATGAGCAATTGAAAGCGACGCTGCTCGTAGCCTTTGATGTGATCGTCGCGCCGAGAAATAATATCTTGTATCTGGCCTCTCACTCGATTTATATTACCAAGTATGGTTTCGAAACGCGGGACAAAAAAGAGGAACTGCTCTGTCACAACATTTGCCCCATTGAGTTTACAAAGTCGAAATTCCAGCCAATGTACCTGTTCCAAGACAAGAAAAGTAGACATGTAGAGAAAGATGTCATCTGCAGATGTCCCATAGGATAATGGATCTGGTCCTGGCCAGCTGAAGCCACACTCGCTTTCAAAGCTAGGATAGAAAATAAACTCGATAAAAGGCGGTCGTTCTGCTCCTTGAGGGACTTTTTCGTAGGACAAAGTATTCGGGAAGTCTTGCCCGGAGGCTAAACAAGAAGGTAGCGCTGAAACATCGGCAAAATCGTTCCAAATTTCTTCCAGGTCAATATCTGGGTAACCTTCTAAATAGTGTAATTGTGAGCATGTAAGGTTCCTAGGTCCATTGAATTTTTACTGACCAAGCTCAGTAAGCTTTTGCATTGTAGGAAGCTCGTATTCATGCCACTGCTAGAGAGCTCAAAGAAGGCCGCAAGCTTTGGAAACAAAAACAATGATTGTTCATAAGAGGTGGGACGGATTCTCGTTCTGATTTAAGAAGAAAAGTTTGCGGGTTGTCATGGCCCGGAACTATTTCCAGTTTTAGTGAACTTGATTAGTCAAGTACGCAAATCGCCAGAGAAGTATATTAAGCTGGTCTTGTTCGCCATACATAAATGCAAATAAACAAAATCAGAATTGTTACAATAAGTCTTATTACCTGCTCAGAAAAAAATAGCAGACATTAATTCATCAGGCATGAAGAGATTTTGTCATTTAAGCGAAACATTACCCTTAGATTGCCACCAAAAATGTTAATGTTTCATGAGTGCCAATGCGAGATGGAGCCTTCCACCAACAGTGATTTTCTGGACTCTACTCGGGCCTGCAAAGCAGTTGAATATAGTTACATCAATTACTTTGCTAAGAGAAGATTATTCTGCCAATTGATTTGGAGAGCTTGTACAGCAGCTTTTGAATGTGTAATTGATATGATAAGCAACCTGCACAGGAAGATGGACACGGGAGTGTTTCCATGAGCTTTGAATGTTATTATGAATCTTACTCAATATAAAAAATAATCCGCAAGCGAAGTCATTTTCCCGGGCTTGTGAGCACTTCCCGAATCCACTCGCTTCCTTGCACGTACAGTGCTACGCAAAATGAAGAGTCGATTCACCGGGAGATCTTGGGAAATTAATTCGCCAAACGAAAAGAGATCAGGCAACCAAAGCATGATGAAGCTAATATTCAAAATTCGTTGTCCAAAGCCCCGGCACAAAACTCTCAGTTAAGCTAGAATGAAGGTCTCATAATTTAATCATTCGTACGGCGAGTCCATTAATCCACTTTCTGGGCATATAGAAAGAAAATTGAAGCCGTTTGCTTGAAACAAATCCCAGCGGGGAGGATTCATGACGTCGCCAACACAGAAGTTCCGATCCCTTGTATTGCCACTGAAAGGGTCACGACAGGCCTTCCCAGTACAAATCCGGTCGCCACATTTACGGTGCATCGAAAATTGTTGATTTTGGTACCGATCTTCGAATGAGAAATCACCAAAGGCTAGAACCTGCAAGGCCGGTAAACCGTTGGGCCCGAATGCCCAATCAGCAAACTTCACAAACTCTTCTGCTTCTGATATTGAAGCAGAGGGTCTATTTGATATGCCGAAGTTATCCATTGGTTCGACAAGTGAGTCAGGTAAATGATCATCAAATCCGATTGAGAGATTTCTTGCACTTGTACCACAATATGTGGGCTGAAAGCTCTCGATTGGAGAAGTTCCATTTGAGACACTTTGATATTTTTTGGACAGATGGGTATGAATTTCGGCTTGAATGTTCCGGTGCGCTTTTTCAGATCCACTAAACCTGAAATGTAGGATTTGAAGGGCTGAAGTTCTGGCCATGGGCTCGAGTCGGGATCGCTGCTTAAGTTAGCAATTTCTCATGAGTAACAAACAAGCAACCTACAAGAGCAGAGGGCTCAGTGCATAACGCTAGAGCAGTTAGCTGGTAAGGTCTGATAATCCAGGGCATCAAGTAGAGCCATTCTGGTGTTTTGTCTCTGATATCTTCAAATAACCCTTCTTCATCAATAGGGAGAAGGCCACGCTCGTGATAAGCGAAGCTCTCCAATGTCGATCGATGCTTTTCAATTGCCAGTTGTATCTGTGATGTGTTTGAAAAAGCCGATAGCCTTAAATGAAGATGTTTTAGATTGTCGAGTGAAAGTAGGAAGTCCACTAAGGGGCTCACATCACGATTTCCGTTATGGGTGTGGAGAAGGCCGTCGGAGCAGAACTCAAAATGTCGAAGCCGCGGGATGATTTGGGAGCGGGAAAAAGAGCCTAAGAACGCAAGTTGACCTGCGCAGTCCCGTAAAATGAGTGACTGGAGGGAAATAAAGAATGAAGCTTCCTTTGGCCTCAGCTGCCGAGGCAAGAAGGCCTTGGATAAAGCTAATGTACGCAGAGAGGGAAATTGAATTGACGCGTAATCGGATCCGTTACACGGCTTAGAATCGGTCAACGTCACTCCGAAAATAAATTGGTAGAAGTCTTCAGTAGCCACAGGAGCAATGAAGCCAATGGATAAAGCGACGAGTTGTGCCCGATTCCTAAGAATGCACGACCGCAAAATGTCAACCTCAACATGTTGCTGGATCCCTTCCCATTCCAGAGACTTGAGACTCGATAACCCACATAGACCACCCAAACAGTTCCCTGAGTGGGGGCAAGAGCCGTCTGTAGCCAAAGAAATATGATGAAGGCCCTTCTGATGTCTGTCAATGTAGCCACCCGAATCCAAAAAACCAGGAGGGACGCAGGCGCCTAACCTCCACCTAAGCCTGTAATTGAGCGAGATGGTAGATAATATTGGGAGACACAACTTACTGCAGCGAACGGAGATGATTTGTCTTCAGGCGAGCTTGTACTAATTGCAGCTGACGCGATATGTCATCCAAAAACTGTTCATGCGCTTTGCCCTCGTTGGAAGTCCCCAGGGTCCCCAGGGTGCTGACGCTATTCACGTTTGCGGAAGAACGAAAAACATTGAAGTATGCGCAGCGGTTGAATCGAGAAAGCACAATGGGCGCATGAATACTCAATTCTCGTACATATTGAAGATAGCAGGAATCTTGGGAGAATCGATGTAGATGAAAGAAAGTATCAATATCGATGACATTGAGCGCGAATTCGCTTGCCGCACGAAACTTGACTGTACGGTAAAGCAGCGGGATAAACAATGAATGAAGCCTCGAGGACACCTGGCTTAGAGAGCGAACCGCTTGTGGAGGTAACTATTACTTGATCAGTCTTCTGGCAAGCATCCAAGAGTGAACGACATACCCAATCTGCAATAGCCCAAAAAACCTCGACCGGTAGAGACTCCATACCAATGTCAAATTCCGAGAACTAAGTGTGCGAAATATAGAACTTATCGTGATTCTCAGTAACTTGCAAGAAAAGCCTTGGAAATTCTGCTCCTAAAATACTCGTAGAACGTCTTTTTACTTCAAAAGCCCAAAAGGCAAAGGTTGACTGGGTTTAAAACATCAAGATGTTACGAGGAAACGGCTGGGCATAATATCCGGTTTCCAATTCACTCATACTAAAAGCTGAAATAGGTAGATCACTCGTCATCTACCATGAAATCAGAATCACATGAGTCAGGTGAATACACTTTTTATCAAAATGTATTATGCGAACTCACCATCTATTTCTGATATTAATCTAATTGATGTCATAAAGATCAGTAACTCAATAGTATGAATATCATAGACTCAATTATTTTAAGATTCCTAGCCCGGGCTAGGTCGTAGACACAAAGGCTTTGCATATGCCCTAGATCAATTAGCTATTTTGCCAACCACTCGATAGATAACTCTACTGTATGTGCCGTGAATAGAGCGTGGGTGGAGTTTATCTACAGAAAGGTCCAAGCAGAAGAATAAGGCTGAATTAACGATTAACAAAATAAAAAATATCCATTCGAAGAGCTCTTTTTATAAAAGCCCGGTATGATACACAGAGATTTTTGATTCTCAATGGTTCTACCAAGATGAGATGGCTCCTAGGCACCAGATTGTGGGTTTCTGCAAGGTAACTGATTACTCCTGCCTTGATCTGATAACAATGACAATACTTAGTCAGTAAAAACTCCAGATGCAGATTCAGCGGCTGTAAACTGGAACGAAAAAGCTACAAGAAACTCTCGACTTACGACCAAAAAGTCAATGAAACACTTGGGGATCCCATCTCCAGCCATTCCAACGGAGTAAAAGTCTTGCGATGTATGCGGTGCCATGGAAATCGGTCAGAATCCTATCATCATAATCATCGGCTAGATCCTATACGATACCCCGTCGCCGGAATTTGCTCGCGCAGAAGGACAGGCTGCGCTGCAGCTAAAATGGAATCTGAAGTGTTTGAAGCTTTTGGAGGAAGAGGTTGCTTTGTCCATGAGTTACCGGCAGATCGGTAGTGGAGTCACTGATGCTCTTGTGGAGTAAATAGCTCTTGTATGTCCCAAGAATATGCAATAGTGTAGGAGTATACATACAGGTATTTAAATACAAGCTTATTCACACAGTCACGTCTGTTTGCATTTAGCTTGTCCTCTCTTCTCAGTCATATGCGGTGCAGATTACCAATGTATTTAATGTCTATGCAGGGTAACACGGCTGACTCACTGGGAGCCGATGGCTAAAACTGGAAGATAGCAGACCAGACGAAGCGTGCCAATTCAAAGTTTCATTTACACCAGGACGTTCCAATTTGCAGATTAATTTTGGCACTAGCGGTTAAGAACTTTGTTCCAGTCATTCCTAAATCTTGAAAAATAAATTGACCCTCGAGTTCGATTTTCATTTACCCCTTGAGCAGGTAAAATCATTTGAATCAAAAATTGCAGTTAAAGCTGACATATAAAAATAAAAACAGAAGGCAAAATTGATCACTCTTGTTCAAAGTCGGAATTATTCATCCAAGCATTGGCCTATTACCGCTCAGCCAGGCTGTACCATCATCAAGAATCTATCATAACATGCAATATGTCTCTGGAATAGGTCATCGCATTATAAACCAGGACCAAGTGCATCGCATATAGACTGGGCCGCCAACCAGTGATCACGCGCATCCTTTCGAGTGGTCTAATCAAGAAGAGAATAGCAACGAGAGCATTATAGGTGGCGACTTTACCAAACTCAAAGGCGAGTGGCGAAAACGAAAATGGCAGCTCTGATAGTGCGTGTATTACAGGAATCAACATCAATAATCCCAGGGACGCGCAATGAAAGGGAAACCTTTCCCTAATCGCCGGTGCGTTGGAATCGACGGCGATCAGATCCACCAAGAAACCAACGGTTACCAATGTCAGCGCCGAAAGATAACCAAATTGAACGGAAGGCTGGGCCGCAAATTGAAGAACGACGAAAGGAACAGTGGTTGCGCTAATCAAGACCAAGGTTCCAATAAACTCAAGGTTTTGCCAACCAGTAATACTGCATTGCGTAGCAGCGCTTATGGTACGATAGAGAAGACTCGAAATGCACCAGAATATCACGCTGGCGCAAAAGAAAAGCACAGCAATAGAATTGAGAATAGCGTTGGGAGTGGATGGAAAGTGGAAGAGAAAAAGGTGAAGCACAAAGAGGACAAAGTAAGAAGCACCAAAGAGATGAATGACCGTGATCACAGCGCAATCACGCAGCTTTTCGGTCTGTTGAGTAGCCATTGCTATCGAGTTTTGTTTCTACTGTCGAACAATACTCTGGGATTGTACTTCTTATACGGAAAATAATAGCAAGATAATAGCCAAAAAGGCCGAGACTGAAATTAGAACTATGACACTCAATTTTATGAGACACACTATGAAAGACGGATATATTAGGCGAAAAGCAATAATACTAAACTGTTGACCTTTGTGGAGCAGATGGTTTACAAATATTTCAGAATGGTTAAATTCGATAAGTTTATGGCTTCTCTGATCAATCACTCAACTTATCGTGGTTCGTCGATAATCCAAACCCAATTTGGATTTGATTAGCGCAATTTAATGATCTGCAAAAAGTAAAGAACCTGCAAACTATTCTGAAGGGGTGCGCAATGAGCTCCGGGAAAAAGTCATGCAGGTGGAACATGTTGCATGGCAATCCTCTTAGACAGTCAATTGAGCGGCACTTCTGGAATAAAATTTTTGTCTCCGCTGATCTCCGCATGACAGCCTTCTTAATCTGACGTTGGTTATTTTTTATGAGGAGGAAAACGTGAATACCAACACCGCGAACTCCGCTGAGAGCCTGAAATAAACACACCCGGCTTCATACAGTACTCGCTGTATAGAGCGAAGCTAGAATTTACACTGTCACATTTGGCCTCAAAGTGTTCATTACGCAGCTTGTGTAATGGTTCACGTAAGAAATATAGACCCGGAAAGGGGAGAACAATTTCGTCGCAGCCCTGTTGGCTAGATATCTAGCCCCACAGTGCGCATGTTTTGAGTGAACCTTTTCCGAGTAATCTTGTAAGTTAGTATTTACTACAGTACTTTTCGAAATCAGTTATACCTCCACTCTTACTATTTGATTCCCAGGCAATTATCGGGAGTGCGCTAGTTCCGGCATGGTAATGCCATGCTCGCTCCGCTTTCCAGACCGCTTCCTAGAATAGCCTCTGTATTTTACGATACGGAGACTTTGAAGAATGTTTACACGAAATTGTAACTACAACGGTCGTCTTTTGGTGGGTAGTGATTGATCTGCTCGGAGCTTCTCTAAGCACTACAACGTAATGTTAGAGGTCATAAGGAAGTTCCAGACTCCATGGCTCCAGAATTTTACCTCGCACATTTACCTGGCTAGCGCCCATCGTGAAATAAAAGGCCAATGATGAATATAGAGCTATATTATCACGCAATCTAAAAATTCTTCAAACAAGTCAACTTTACAGGATACTTTGAAGAACAGTCTCCGCGGGTGTTAGACCTGCCCACCTCCAGCAGCACTCCCAGAGCGTCTTCTGCATGCCAGGATCTTGACTAACCGGCGCTGCAGAATCCGTCTTTAGGCCGACATAGTATCCCCTTTTCCCCCTAAATGCCGGATCAACGCTCAGAACGGCCAGGTCTCGGCCAGCATCCTCCGTAGTGCGGAATGCTGTAGTGCAATACTTGAGGACCGGCATGAGAAGGTTGATTGTCCCCATCAGAACCCTGGCGGATTTCTTCTGCCCCGATTGAGCTCTTGAGGAAGGAAGACCGCCGGGGTCCATGGCTGTTACGGTAATGTGTGATAGCTCGGGGTCCTGTCAGAATATGTGAGTCAATTTCTTTAGGTGCTCAGAACAAGGTCGTGCGTACTTTCTGGAGTCGTTCGTTGAGGTCGTTTGCAAAAGTCACGTTTGCAAGTTTTGCTGTCGCGTATCTCTGGAATCCACGGTCATGCACAAGCTTCGCTAGGTCTGGCGTTGGCTTGACCAGCTCTTCAAAATCGTCAGTGAAGCATGGCCCAAGCGAAGACAAGGGGTTCGGTTTTTCGGCGTCATGAGTGACGGAGCCGAGCATGACGATGCGTCCGGATGTGGTGTCCATGCTACCGAGCAGCTTCAGGACCAGCAAGTAATGAGATAGGTGACAGACTTGGAAGGTAGCCTCGTAACTATCCGACGTAAACTTCTGCCCCGATTCGAGCGACCATGTGTAGGCGTTGCAGATAATCGCTGTGATGCGCGGAAGTTCCTTTGAGGTAATCCGGGTCGATAGCTTCTCAGCGAAGGACCTAACACTAGCTAGATCGCCGAGATCGAGAGCTTCCAGGTGGAATTTGGCTTTTGGGTACTTGTTCACCATGCTTAGAAGCTTGGCGGTGTTGGGGTCTTTTTCTGGAGATTGGTTTCGAACAGTGCCTACCAAGGTATGCTGAGGATACTTAGATAGGAAAGATTCAACAAAGCCAAGGGCCAGGGAGCCATTAGCTCCGGTGATGACAACTGTTCCACTCATGATAGGGGAAAATCTTGGATGGAGTCCTTGGGTGAATAATGCTGTGAGAAGCTCGCTGTTTATATAGATTGAAAACTTGGCTTAGTCGAATTAAAAATGCAGATAACTCCGATGCATTAACGCCGGCAGCAGGGAGACTTGCTCTGAAAAGTCCGGATCTATACCGAATCTGGGAGGCACAGGTCTTGGCGAAAGTTAAACTTCTCCCCACCTAGTTATCATCAGTCCTCTATCCTCTTCCCAAGAAATTTTGCTACTCAACTCACAGCAGACAAATTACCTCACCATGCCGTTGCAGGAACTGTAATTTATTATCACAGCTCCTGAAGCGGCATCATCAACCACATCACAGCAGAGAGTCGCTCGTTCGCACGCCGCGCGCTCCGCACACGCCCGGGTGCGGCGCCTCCGGACGTCACAATACCAGGCCCAGAGGAAGCGCGAATGGCTGAATGACGTAAGGTGCAAGTTAAACAGGGCAACTGATATCGTCACTGTACTTCCGGCTTCCCGGAAGGACCCATTTAATAGCTTCGCAAGACCCTTGAAGCCATTGGAGCAAATGCTATTTGATCACTGTATGTTTGACCGAAACACCAGCTTTGCTGCAAAGATAACAATCCCCAAAGATGTAACAGCCATAATCCCCCTAATGCGCTGCACCGAGCTCGCAATTGACTTCTCTCAACGCATGACAAGTGTATGGATACCGCATGCGCTGACGGAAGCAAGTCTGCTGGATATATTGTTTCTTGCGTCGTGTCGGAGTTTATCTGCGAGCTATCATCACCCAAAGCAAGAACAACAAAAAGAATTGTTCACGCGGTTGGGCTTCCAATATAAGCTCAAAAGCCTGCAGTCATTGAGAGACGCAATCTCAACGGAGACACCGGTCTATAGTGATTCGACTGTTGCAAAGGCGATAGTGCTAGCCTATGACGAGGTAATGCATCTCATGCGAATAAGTTGCAACGCTGACAGTCGGTAGTTATTTATCCATGATGAAATCATGTTGAAGCATCATGTCGACGGTGCTGTAAAGATGGTTGGCCTTAAAGGCGGCCCCCAGACGCTCGGTTTACATGGTCTGCTCGAGCACCTTCTTTCTAATCTACTGGCTAAGGTGATAGGTCATACTGGCATACAAGTTAAGATACCCTGGGATAATCAAGTCACTTCAAAATTGGGTCCTTAGCTTCGGGCACAGTTGGAAATACTCATTGTTGGAGGCAAAGTTTGGGATTTGTGTGTGCATGTTTTATTCATATCTTTGAAGCAATTACAGGACGCAAGCCCTTTCAATGCAAGATACTATAACGATGACTCACAATCATTACGATGACAGTACTGCTGGAATTACTGTATGAGGCGGCGAGCCGAACGGGTTAGCATAATCCGGAGTGATTTTCTGGCCATCAAGTACATACATAGCAAGAGTATGGCGGTATAGCTGATTTCGAAGATTACTGTATTATACAGCCATTCTAGATACAGGTTCGACCGATACACAGAAAAGCTCTTTCCTGGACCCGCCGCCAAGGCCTTAGAGCAGATAGTTTATTGGGCAAGCCGCATCATGGTAAGGGCCGCAGGATTAAGCCATCTTTTATAATACCGCCATATAGTACAGTGGCCGTTGAATTTATCAATTAACGGCCATAGGAATAAATGTAATTGCGCGTAGCAGAATACAGGAGCGTACTACAGCATTTACCTCGTACCAATCACTTTTTGAATCTGGCTTGCTGAATAATTTATCCGCGCTAAAGCCTTGGGTCCAGGGAAGGGTTCTTCTGTGTGTATTGTTCGAACCGATTTCGAGAATGGCTTTACCGAATGCAAAGTATAAGGACAAGCAGAGTAAAACGATGACTTTCTCAAGTGCGGTCAAGAGAGGAGAAGGAAATAGTACTCAGACTATCTTCGGATCCCCAAAGAAAACTTCTGACAAATATGAGGAAAGGCACATTTCCTGATAGATCAATGGTAAATACAGAAAAAATTGCTCCAATATATAAGCGGCGAGCGCGAGCTGAATGAAAGCATACAAAGCAATGAACTATCAAGCAAGCTTTTCCAGCTAAAATGTATCAAATACAGCAACAGCATATCACTATTGACCAAGTGAGCATAGCCGCAATAGAGAGGCTTACAGCAGACCAAGCCGCCAGAAACAGTCCACCAAGACTTGCATGCACCCCAAATGGCTGAAGAGTGCTTTGAATGGCAAAGAAAGTCACGAAGTAGATGACGGTTATGCAAGCTGACGCGACAATGAGGGCCATTGATGATATCTATATTTCATTAGTATACGTAGGCTTTAAGCAGTTTGGGATGTAAAATACAAAAGCAAAAAAAAATAGAATGAGATTGATTCTCCAGGTGAAAACCATCGACCCGATACCAAACATGATAGTTAGGATTGTCGCAAATGCTCCGACAATATAAGCCATGATGAACCAGCGAGTAACACCATGATAACCTTCAAGGGCTTTATTTCCGCCATCTGGTCGTTGATCCTTAATTCCTTTGGGCACAGTTGGTAGGATCTTCAATACATCGAATGTGAATTGAATGCTTGGGCGAGAACAATCTGTGACAGATGCCACGTTTTGCCCCTGGCAATAACCTAGGAGCCCGACAGTATAGAATGCGGGGAGAGCCAAATTTTGTTTAGCTGCATTTTGTAGTCCCTTACTGACGAGGTAATCTATATCGTTGGTGGAACCCTGGAATATGAGTGAACGGTTGAAATTCTCCTTTTTTGACTTTACAATGTAGGTTTAATATAGGCAAGGCTAGCTGAGGATATCCCAGATATGAGTAGAAAACGAGTGAAACTTACTTCAAGCTCTGAAAAGTGTGTCAAGTTAACCTTTAGATATAATAAGATTAGTCTCCCAGCGCTAAACTTATAGCACTTGCTAACCTTCAGAAAATAGAAACGCGATGTCGAGGACGCAGATGTGCATCCACCAAATAAAATACCAAGAGAGATGATGACTAAGAGCCAAAATAGTAACGCAAGTAATTTTCCTATGCGTTCTAGGTCTCGCATTCTCTGTAAATCAACTTCGAAGCACAATACATTTGGACTCAGGTGGCGGTGGCTATATATTGTTGAAAGAGTGAAAGTTATGAAAGGGAAAAGCCATCATTAAAACACCTGCTTGGGGAAGCATCGGCTATGGTCGAACATCAGGTTTATTATGTTCTTTTGGTTTAAAATTTTATATATTTACCATGTTCACTAGCGCGGCTTCATTCTATCTTGTGATTCTTTAGACCAGGCTTTGTATACGAGAGCCCTTCCAATACTTGATGTTGCCGATAGCATCCGAAGTCTGTCCCAGACAAATACAGTCGTTTTAGCAAGAAGTAAATCGTGCTTATCGAGCAAATCATCGCAGAGAGCTTCTGGTACTGTATCGGTGCTATTATGGCTTGTATCCCATCCCTACGATTTGAAGGGACATGGACATTTGCGAACAGCCTCAAGGTCCCGCGGATGTCTTGATCATTCGTTCGCTGCATTCAGCTGCATCAGCCATTTGCGATTTGGTTAGCGATTGGCATTGTATGATATACTCAATGAACTGTAGCTTTGAATGGGGTAGTATCGGTGCCATAGCAGACGTAATTCTCTAGCAATTCTTGATAATGATGTTGCGGAAAGATGGTGCTAGGGGAAAAGAATGTAGAGGTGCAGGATAGAGTTTGTGTATGATATACAAAAAGGCTATACAAAATGTAATTAAATCGACCAGGTATTGAGAAGGACATTCTGAAAATTAGATTACGGACTTGTCTTGATATAAATAGCGTAGTTTCAGGTGGGAGCCGAGACGCAATAGGAGTGTGTCCAGAGGAGAAGCTGCTTTCGTCTCTCACTGTATACTAGACAGTCGATAGTGAAGAGAGATGAAGAAATTGGCGGTATGGTGTCGAAGGGCCCAGGGAGTGGTCCCACGGTCCCTACAGAAACTCCGGAATAAAGAAAGGATTTTCGCATACAGTAGTTTTCGAATTCAGTTTGACCTAAAACTCTGTAAACTTGATTCTCGGAAAATAAATCCTAAATCTACAAATTCTGAATGGATGTTTTTATAAGCATTTTGGTCTCGATCGATTTCTACAATAGTCCATGTATTTAACAATACGTCTTTTGTACCATGAGTGGTGTATTTTACACAAAACTATTTCCTGTCCCAGGGAGTTGTAGAAAGCTAATCACAGCGTGCCATCAAGGCGGTTTACCATGACCGGCGAGTTCCCTTTCCTCTTTCTGTCTAGCCAATTTCAGTAGTTGTGCACTTCTAGCTAATTCATATCCTTGAAAGGGCGGTTCATGAGAAAAATTTCTTCACATCTGAACACAATTCAACAACGCAACATTGAGCAGAGTGCCCTAGGATAAAGTCAGGTTGTGTCATGTTAAGCATCTAAATCTTTTTGGACGCTGTTTACTTACCACGGGAGCATCTGTTTGACAACAATATGCTTGGTTGCTGCAGGCATCCCCAACGGACTGAACGAGGCAATTGAGAACACCGCTGCAACAGACCTGGCTGCCACCATTGTTGCAGTCACCACCGCTAGTAGGATTCGCTGTGTTGCACATAGCCGCGGGCACTAGGGAAATAACGAAGGCTAGTGGCAGCTTCATGACGGAATCTTGAACGGTGTATGATATACTTGGGTGCTCTGCTCTGCTGATTTATGATGATGGAGATAAAAGCTTCAATCCTTGCAAGAATGAGGGATTTAGGGATCGTCCTATATATATTGAAAAATCCCTGGTAGACGTGGAAACATGATTTCCTAGTAGGAAAAACGGGACCGTCATAATTCCAATGAAAAATCTTTGGAATCCTTGTCCAAAGTAAGGGGGAAATAGCGGTATGAGAAACACGACATTGCATTCAGTATTAGCTTGGGGGTGGAGCCCGACTAGATTTGACGCTAGCAACGAATGAGATGCGCCGCGGATAACAAGACTCATAGAGTAACATTCTTCCATACCAGGATAAGGTCAGGCTTCTGTGATGACTAGCGAGCGTACATGGGGGCGGAGAGCGGACAGACGATCTTGATAGATCGCCAGATCCACCAAGGGACTCCAGGGGATTCGACGTATCATTACAAATTGTTACAATACGTCATTAGATGTAAGGTATAGCGTTTTATGAATTTATTTTCCGGGAATCAAGTCTACAGTAAAGTGTGAGAGGTAAAATTGAATTCGAAAACTACTGTATCACGGTAAAACTGCCACCTTTAAAAGGTATTGGCGATCACCACCATAAATTACTGGATAAACCAGCAAGATAAAACCCAAGGAATCATCGTTCTTTCCAGATTTTTTTCCAGTGTGCGAGTACGGTTTTGACAGACAAACAAACTAAAAACATAGGCCGGGTCACCAAATAACCTATCGCTGATACTATTTGGAAGTAGATGGGATAGTTTTCATCCGAGCACATCTAAATCTGCCCCTCTCTTTTCTGAAAGGGTGGCATATCCTATCAAATGTAAAAAATGATCGCCTAGCCGCGATAGTGGTGCTCATGTATTATATCAACAAATCCACGACGAGAATATTGGCTCAGACACTTACGCTTTGTGCCTGGAACCACGCTAGTTCGTATTTTGCTAAGGCGTTAACATTCATTTTCAAAGACAGACCCCTTCATAATTTAAAGACCTCAAATTTACGTATAATGCTGTATACTAGGTGGGATTTCTGTCTAAATACACACCGATGAAAAGGAAACCGATATACATTTTCATAAATGCGGGAATCAAAAGCGAGGAAATTGTTGTCTGCTGAAACCCATCCCGTATAATAAAATAAGAAAAAAGTGCCTTCAAGTGGTATACAATGCATCAGAGCCAGCAAAATTGCTCAAGTAGAACAAGCAGGTGGCCACGAGAGAGAAGACCACCGCAAACCAGGCTGCGATCAAAAGACCGCCTAAGCTTGCATAGATTCCCAGAGCTTGTAAGGTATCCTGTATAGCTATCTTAACGGGCACATAAATAGCCGTAGCAGTGATGGATGCACATAGCAGGAAAACGGAAGCAAACTAAATCACCGTCAATATATTACCTAGGCCCTGTCTCCTGTAGACTTACTAATGAGAAAACGCGAGTGAGCACTTTTGGCCATGTTGAAGATATCCGCGGAAGATGAATATTTCTCCAATTTAAAATAAGCCAAATAGCTCCTGACAGAATTGCCAGAGCAGTGGCCGCAGTTCCGATTATGTAAGCTAAAATAGCGAATTGTGATGCCCTGTGATAAGTCTCGGGGAGCTTTTTATCCCTGCTTGAAAGCACAGAATTAATAGTACCTGCGAATGACCCAAACAAGCTCAATAGGTCGAATGAAAAAGAATCGCTGACCATAGAGCAGTTGGAGTACGAAACAGAACCCCTATTTTGTTGGCAGTAGCTCCGAAGTCCAACAGTGTAGTAGGCAGGGAGGTGAGACTTCAGGTCCTCAGTCAAGGACTGTATATGCTCTCTAGCTTGATTTACCCCATTATCCGCAGTGCTAGATGCTTCTGAGATGCTGCTTGCTGCAATCTTGGTTGCGGTCTCGGCTATATTGGCGGGACCGCCCACAAAATTGGGAGTGTCTATCTCGCCGATGCCAACTGGTTGACGGATATGAAGAGCTTTCAGCTGAGGAAAATCCGTCAAGTTTATCTGTTGCATCCATTAAAATCCCATAGTCTGATTATATGAGACTTGGAGGTCACCTTCATAAAATAGAAACTTGGTGGTGAAGATGTCGACGAGCACCCATCGAATATTATTGCAAGAGGTATAAATGCAATACTAGAGAATGCCAATGCTATCCAAGCAAACACCTGGCTTTTCTGGGCGTGAGATAGCATTGAGATAATAACTTTCTTTCTGAAAGATTTGTAGATTTGCTTTTGGGAATATAGTCTAAAATAGTGGAATCCGTTCATTATAAGATAAGTTTCGGGATACTTGAGTAATGGAAGAAGCAAATTCTGTCGGCCTGTCAAGGATTTGAGGCTTAGTATCTTATGGAAACGTATCAAGCGTTGAAATAAGCTGGCTGGCCATTAGAACTGTTGCTACGGCAATGTTGACATGTGCATGAAAAAGAACGCCCTCAGCTTTTGGGTTGCCACAAGGTGTTCACGGCCCTACATTCCTGAGAGAGGAAATAGGTAGTGAGAACTTCACTCCAACTTATATAAAATTGAAAGCCGTTCATTTTCCTGACCAGAAGATATCCTCCAGCGTTGAAGAAAATAAGCTTGTGTGCATAGGGCTCTGTGCATTAGAAAGCTACTAGGTTCTTTACACCAAAGTTCTTGAAGGTGGCCAGTTGAGATATATTCTTCATTTCCCTTAAATTGAACTCCAATATCCTTTCATCATTAAGATCATGGTCTTTTGACTATGCGGTTTTGCCAATTTCTCGTAATGGCATGTGCCATTGGTGCTCGAGCTATGGTGCGGATTCATCAACATCATCACACAGCAACTACTGTATCAGAAGATTCTTTGTCTTCTTTACAGGAAGTGGCTCCTGAGTATAATACTAGACCTAAGAGGTCCTACATCACAACCGGATTCGGTGGCAGAACAGAATCCTCTGGAAGCGGTGTCAGTTATAAGGGAAATGTCGGCAAGCCGTACGGTAGTAACATTATCGAAGTGTCATCCATGGATGCCAAAAAGTACCAATACGTTGTGCAGTTTGATGGCCCCCAAATAGGACAATGGACTCTAGTCATTTGGAACAAAATTGGTCCTGACGGCCTAGTTGATGGATGGTTCGGCCACGCTTGCAAAAGTTTTACCCTCGCTCCGGGGCAGACCCTATATATAGCCTTTGCTGAGGACTCCCAAGGTGGCTGGACGGCTGCCCCAGGCCCTTACATACCGACAGATTCCTACGGCGGCTATGCTGCAACGTGGGGTGAATTTGCCTTTGGCTCCAGCATTAACTGGGGCTGGTCTGGGTTTGATGTTTCAGCGATCGCTGCTCAGAATGCGGGGCTCGAGGTTCAAGGCATGAAGATTTGTGATAACCTTATTGGAACATGCTCTTTCATAAGCCCCAAGGCTTCAAAGTCCGACAACGCTTATCTTTACAACAATAGAGAAGTGGACGGTATTGGTGGTAACGTTGCCCCAGGACCAGTCAGACTTGTTGTTACTCTCGATTATCAAGGCTGAGGTGTATCAAATTGATGACAACAGTGGATATGTGTATGTGTGCGCGCGCGTAGCCCCTCGCCGAAATTGAGCCACTTACCACTAGGCTGAGCGTGGATACGTATTTTGACCTAGCGGTTATTGTCGGATCGCGGGATACCTCTGTGGAGATGATCTATATCTAGTACATCAGTCTTGGCATAATACAATTGGCATTCCGAGTTGATCCGGTTTACCATACGAAACTAAGATTGCGTTTGGGTAGCCTCTGAGTGTGCGCTGATACCTGCTGGCGCCTGAATGGCCTGCGACTTGTTTCCCGACTGGACCAGGACTTGAGCTGGGGATTTGAGGAGCGCAACAATGAATTCTTCGTCCGTCATGCTCTCCCACCCGTGTGGACGGCCACGAAAGAAGCTGGAAGAATCATTTCCCACCGCAGTGTCGGTGGCATCCCAGGTTATGCCTTTTTCTGTCGTACGATACCAGTAAACCGGCTTCTCTTCTGTGACAAAGTCCAGCACGGTGTTGGCACCGGCTTTTTATGCCGCGATGAAAGGCTTCAACATCTCGAGCCAGCCTGTATGGGGCCTATTGCTCTGATTAGCAATCTGTACGTAGGATCTTGTCTCGAGCAATATCTACATGTCCACCACCCGCTTGGAGGCACCGTCATCAGTGTGATCAGATGAAAGGGGTCCAACGTAATGTGATTCTCCGTAGTCATTCCACGAGATTATTTCTACAAAAAGAGGACGAAGTTCTAAAACCTCTTTCCAGCGGTTGAACCAAAGAAGACTGGAAGAGAATACCCAATTCTTGCTGTAGGGGACTTCCCCACCAAAATGGGTTGAGAACCAACCCGAAACGGCTTAACTGGAAAAGGGCGTTCTGATCCTCATCTCTACAGATCATGAGAGAACAGGGGAAACAATGCTCTTGAAAATCTATGAGCTTTATTGAGGGGGGTTATCTTTCAGCCATGTCTCAACTTAAAATTGTTTAATAGTTCTTTCATGGTCATTTTATAGCTCATACACACCTGTTGACCGCTCCAAAGAACCCCCACAAAGCTGAGATCCTGCACATGATTTCGCCGCCTTCAGGGTACCTTCGTCTTGACTTGGATCTCAGTCTCCAACAAGCACTGGGCTAAGTATGGCAAGACATGGAAGGAAAAAGAGAGTAAATGCGCTCAAACGTTTTCGCGAACAGACAGCTTTTTCAATATGGAATACTATTCCCGCCCTTCGGAAGACCTCAAATATGTGCAGATAAGTTTGTATTTCTATAGCAAGAGTGAATTCCGCTTAAGTTCGAATGAAACCCGCAAATATTCACTGGTCATGTAGGGACACAACACTGAGGCAGATGGCATGAAGCCGTACAACATATATATGTAATTTTTCGAAAATCAATAATAAAGATAGTCCTTCCACTCCTTTCTGCTTTATCTTTGCTTGCATTCAAGATTCAATTATCGCACATTATGCGCCGGGATTTTTCTCTTTTCCTTGTGTTTTTTTGGCTAAGAAGTGTAACTCTTGCTTCCAATTTGGCCAAGATTTCTTCAGAGAATGGTGCTGTTTTCGCCACCAGTCGAGACTATACGACCGGATATCGCTCGGTAGCATATTTCGTTAATTGGGTCAGATCTTATCCCATCTACTTGGCTATATATCTGACAGAAATTCAATTGACAGGCTATTTACAGCCGAAAATTTAACCCTCAAGACCTTCCAGTCGAGCAACTCACACATGTTCTGTATGCATTTGCTAACGTGCATGCGGAGACAGGAGAAGTATATTTGTCAGACTCCTGGGCTGATCTTGAAAAGCGCTACCCTAGCGATTCTTGGAATGAGAACGGAAACAACGCTTATGGATGTATAAAGCAGTTGTTCTTACTCAAGCAGAGAAATCGCAATTTAAAAGTGCTGCTTTCTATCGGCGGGTGGTCATATTCTAAGAATCTTGCAGCCTCACTCGGTACCGATGCTGGCAGAGAAGCTTTCGTTTCGTCCGCCGTGAATCTTGTCAGGAACCTGGGCTTTGATGGTCTCGATATTGATTGGGAAGTAGGCTCATTGAAGATTTGGGAATGAGTGGGATTTTGGCTAAAATGGCCACAGTATCCTGCCAACAACACTCAAGCAGAAAATATGGTAGCTTTGCTCAAAGCACTGCGCACGGTAGGCTTTGTCTGATCCAATGAATGATCCCTTTTGACTCACTCGCCTTAGGCCCTTGATAATTACAGTACGGCCCATGCAGACGGTTACCATTTTTTGATAACAGTCGCATGCCCAGCCGGTCAGTCCAGTTGTATATCGTCATTTCATAATATTGACCGAGATTTCAGGTCCGAGTAAATACCAGAAGCTCCATGTCACGGAAATGGACCAGTACACTGATTTCTGGAATTTGATGGCCTACGATTACTCTGGAAGCTGGGATAATGCCTCCGGACATGATGCCAACATTTACCCATCCATTGATAATGGTCTCAGTACCCCGTTCAATACGGAGGAAGCCATCGAATTTTACACAACCAATGGTGTAGATGCCAAAAAGCTCGTACTGGGGATGCCACTATACGGCAGGTCTTTTTTGGACACTGACGGACCAGGCAAAAGTTACAATGGGGTGGGAAGTGGTAGCTGGGAAAATGGCGTTTGGGATTACAAAGCCTTGCCTCTGAAAGGTTCCGACGTCAAATTCATGGAGCAAACAGTCTCTAGCTACAGTTATGACCATACCCAGCGCATGATGGTCAGCTTCGATACACCCCAAGTAGCTCAGAAAAAGGCACAGTATATCATGAAAAAAGGTCTCGGAGGGGGAATGTGGTGGGAGAGCAGCAGCGACAAAACAGGCCCTGACAGTTTGATCAGTACCGTATGTGTGAAATAAGCTCACCAAACCCTGCTGATGCTAACTAGGTGAATGTAGGTCATTACATCGTTTGGAGGCATTGGCGCCTTGGAAAAAAGCCAGAACCAGCTCAATTATAACGCTTCTGAGTACCTTAACATTAAGAATGGGTCTAAATAGCATAGTGGCATTTCATAACCCCTGTCTTTTTTTCTACAAGCTTTGATTTATTTGATGTCGTAGTGGGACTCTCACTGTTATGAATCAGGATCGAAAAAGCAGCAAAAACATTGCGAAGATGGCAAAATGCTATCAAAGTAGTCCGGCTCTACAATAGAAATCCAAAACTCTGTGAAGCAATCCATTGTTATGCCCTCTGCACGTTCCGGGCAGCCTTAATTATTTTCTTAACCTCTACTATTGCGTTCAAGTCTCGCATAACCTTAGCACTCATTGATTTCATCAAACTTTCTAGGCATGGCTAGTTACAGTAAATGCTGGAAATTTTTTAAGTGACCTCCCGCTGTCAAGAGGGACAGAATGAGATAATCTAGCTAGAGCGGGTCATCTATTTCCACAGTCTTGGACCATTCCGTTAGATAGAGCTCGCCTTCGCTTTCTGGTAGGAAGGCAATGTCTCCTTAAGCTGGCTAAGGAAAGGGAGGCGCTGGGGTTCAATGCTTAAGCATGACAAAGACTTAATAGAACACATGACGAATATCGTTGCCAAGATTTCGATCCATGCTGTATGACACGAATGATCCGACTGTAGAACCAAACTGTACCAGAAGGCAAAAGGATCGACTGTATGCCGCCGAAGGACGGAGCCCCAACCACGTGGCCCTGACTCAAACCAGAACACGTTCCAAACTGTCCCCAGTCCACTCGCAACCTCAAACCCGACAGCCCCGACCTTACCATCCAAACGAACCGCCCCACACCGCAACGTGAAACCTCTCTTCCGCATCTCAACCACCTACTCAACCATCGCAGCCAGAGCTATCTCATTCCAACGTCAGCTCCTCACTGGTATCACGCCCCACCAGCTTGCTCAAAATGGGCTCTACCACCAAGTCCGCGCCGGAGTGAGCGACACCGCTTGCTGCTTCACCTGTGAGGCCGTGGTCCCGCTGATGCCATCCAGGAAAACCCAAAATACACAAAGAAGACTGCTTATGGCAAGTTATTGCCATGACCTTAAACTGTTTATACCGTCTCCACTTCTTCACTCCCACACACCCTTTTCCGCAAACCCATCTGGCCAGATCTCCGCTGCCGAATCTAGCTCTCGACCCAACCCTACAATCGTGAACCAAGCGGAACACGACCTCAGACTTCTGTCGAGTTACCACCCGCCAGGATCGAATCAGTACTGCTGCTAGCACCGCGACCAGCCACCGTTCCTCCATAACCTATCCAACCCACCCCGAAGATCACATCTCCCACGTGTCAAAACAAACCTACGCCTCTGTTCTCCAGCAACCCACCACATCTTTACCGCCACCGACGACTAGACCTCAACTCACACCTCTTAATCCCCCAGTTACAATCGAAGAACTTCGCCGCCGTTTTCACAACAAACCGTCGCCATTTGAGCTTGAGAAAAGAAAAACGAAACGCCAAAAGACCACATCCGTCGCCCAATCGTTGTCTAGGTTCGTGAACTCAGCATGACCAGCATTCACTCGATTTCTGCTGGAGATGCAGCCAGCTGCGGACAACTATTGGCCGCCTCATACGGGAACTCATCCTAGCCGCGCCAGGAGGGCAGCCTAATAGCGCAAAAGGCAAGGAGGCCACGACAGGCTTTTCCAGGTGAGGCTCAAAGTTCACCGTCAGGAAGCTTGGAACAATCTCGGGGATCACTCAGAATGTATTTAGAAAGCAGTTGTAGCCTGCATATCGCTTTTCATTGCGAGGGGTCAGTGTAATTGAAATCCATCCATCCATCCCTCCATGCTGTAAATAAGCTGTTAGTAAACTCAGCGTTCTTTGTCTGATTTGCAAGAGGTGATGTCAGACTCTGGGAATTCTCCGAAGGGATAGAGCCAAATTAGAAGCTAGGTCACGAATTAAATACAGTTGCTGATTCGGCAAATCTTCGTCAAGCTTTTCTTTCAAACATCTTGAGCCAGGAATTCCATCGTGAAGTGAAACGGCAGAACTTGAGTTAGACTTGACAAAAGAGTGATATAGGTTCAGGGCAATGCTCCAAAAGTGTAACCTGGACTTTCCAACAAACTGTTGAAAGAATTGAGACATTCTATAGATATCATTGGATCCTTGTTTGATATTGCAACAAGACGCCGATTCGCATGAACCGATTACTTTTGAATACCATGTCTGAAAGTATACAGCTCCTTCAGAGCCAGTTGGGCTTTTTCTTCTTGGACACTCAGAGCCTGAATTGCGTTTCGTAGTTCTTCGGCCACCAGGTGAGCGGATTGAAAGTCGCAAGAAGAAACGTTTTTATTATACTGATAAACCTGAAACAAGTCTTCGGAAGCCTGACCCACTAGATCCTGCAGCCGTTTAAGAGAGTCGTAACAAGCACGGTAGTAAGTATTCTCAACCTGCTGTCGGCCGATTTCCCGAACTATCTCGGCAATATCCTCCATTGTGTTGCAGTCGAGAGTATAAGAATGAGGTAGAATTTTGGTATTTCTACGGCTTTTCATGGCTTATAATGAAGTAGAGTTTGGCCACACCGGCATCAGTTTTGAATTTGCATCCAAATCGTAGCATGAAATATTATTTGGTTGTCTAGGCTGGCTGTTTTTTTGGCTTTCTAGAGTGCTTGACAGAGGGCTCAAATAAAGGAGCCCGCAATGTTTTAGCCTACGGACAAGGCACGAATACTACTCTAGATATTTTAGCCTTCAAGGTGAACTTCAATAAACTTAGTAAAGATGAGGACAAGGTGAAGCTCTTGGGTCTCGTTCATTTTAAAAATTCTGAGTTCCAGAAGAGCGTTGAAGACTGAGTGGTCTCTAAATGTAATATTATTTCACAGCGCCAATAATGTTTCCTGAAGCTAGACCTTTGCGAAAAATTCGAAGGTAGATAAAGGGAGTGGTTTTATTGGGGTTGCCTCACAATGCCTGTAGCCTCACCATGTCTGTAGTTAGCCTCACGTGATATCTACACCGACATTTCTGAGGGCCTCTTCCTCCTACAACTGCCTCACGAGAGTCAGTTGCTGGCCTCTGCGGGTAGCTCGTCATCTCTCACGCAGTCAAATGTCAATTTTGTCCCTCCCACCTTCCCTCTGTATATAGAATCCACTACAATACAGACACATTGCCCCCCTACAAGGGAGCGCGGACGGGGCCTATCTGACGCTACGGTCTATGACCGCAGCGACAGGTGACCCGTTGCGGCCAAACTAAACTCTTCTTGCTCTCCTTGACTGCGTGAGGTCACCAATAAAAATCGATTTTACGTTGGAACTTTTACACCGCTCCTTCCCCGCTCCTAAGGTACTAAGCGATGGAGTCGATAATTCTCCTGAAACCAGTCAGCGCATGTCCCGAAGCCTCCGTGCAGTGTGATGACCAAAGTGCTAATCAACTGGCTGTCATGCTCGGTGCGTTCTGGTGAGCGACCTTGCATGAATGCGAAGTGATGGAGTGAGCATCTCTGAACCAATAATGAGCTGGGATTTGCCACCGTGATAATTTACCGCAGTGTTCAGTTTGTTTCAAAGAAATAATTCACCAGTGGAACAATAGCACTTTCACGATGGTCAGAAATAAAATACCACAATTCGCTGGCTTGCCGCCGGTTTTTAAGTGGGGGCTGAACTTCATCGTATTTGTGGTTTAAAGGCCCGGCTGACTCAATAAGATAATTCCATTTTATTACCTTACCTTGCTACCTCAAGATAATCATCGCCTCGGTTTTCATGGTGAAACTCCCGAAGACTCCATAATTAGCGTAATGCGATCAATCAATTTCGCTTCACAAGGAAGCATCAAGCTCCGCAGCACTATGGAAGGCGTTCCGAAAAGCCCCTTTCGTGTCAGCAAGGAGTTAGAATCTTTGAGCGAAACTCTCTAATCGCTTCGTGAGAAAGCTAGCATCACAGATACCAACATATAGTCGTAGTCAAACCTGGCTGGAGGGTCCAAGGTCCGGACCCTCCACCCGCTACGGGTCCCTTAATGAGGGTCCGTTTTTGCATAAGCGTGTATAAGACACCATTTAAAGAGCAGAAAATTACCTATTAAGGCCTATTTAAGCCTCAAATAATTACCTAAGAGAGTTCAAGGTCAAAATTTGGACCCTCCTTGGCGCCTTGACGGGTCCAAATTGAGAGTGAGTGTCAGGTCTAGTAGTAGTAGTAGTAGTAGTAGTAGTAGTAGTAGTAGTAATAGTAGTAGCGTTCATTCACCCCGACTTCTTCCGAAGCGGTATGCGGGTTATAGCAATGATATATTCATTTATGTACACATAGGTTGTTCCGCTTTCTGAAAACTGATTAAGAGCCTCGTCAAAGCTGGCCGTGGCCCAATTGCCGTTCGTGGGGTTAGACCCTCATGGCGCACGACTGCAAAACCGTTGTGACATCTCAGCGAAGTCTAGCCCAGCCTCCAGCGTCCTAGCCCGCGACACGCTGTCTGGATTACCTCTCAAATTCTTTTGAGCCTCCCTGCGGACCCGAGACGCTGCGGCGCAGCTTAAAGGAAGCCAAATTAAAAGCATGAATAGCTCGCTCAGCAAAGCTGTAAGGCTTCGTTTATGGATAACGACAACCAATACTTGCGATTACATGAAACCATCAAAAATTAATGGGAGTGATCAAGTAGCAGTGGCTATTTCAGTGAATATCGCATCGAACTAGTTGATTGGTGCAATGACTGTAGGCGCTCTTATAACCAGAGCTAAGAAGCATTATCATTTGTTCCAATGAAAGTACGTGTATTTACCATCAGCAGTCAGGTCAGGGCCACGCCTGCCGAATTTACAGCTAAATAAGAAGGCTACGGAAAAATGGAAACCGGATCAACTTCCGTTGGGTTCCTGCCAGTGAAGAGAACGAATTGGTGGGCCTGGCTAAAGAGCAGGCCAGGACCGCGACCCAAGGGGACCCTCTTCTACAAGGACGACCTCCTAGAATAAATCCAACAACCCTGAATATCGCGCAGTCACACGCAGCCACAGGCAAAGGCTTGCCAGATAATGTCGGGAAACACACTAAACGAGTGGACGCAGCACTTCCAGGAAAACACACCCGGCAGCTGTATGACCGCTTATTGTGGAAAGAAGCAAGCGTGTTGGCTCAACTCCGGACTGGAATGGCAAGACTAAATGGATGTCTGTGTCGGATCAACGTGGCAGACACAGATCAATGTGCATGTGGACAGGCAAGAAAGACCGCGCACCGGACGGAACTGCTACAATGTACCAACACCCACACAGAAAACATATCCTCCTTTCTGGAAGAAAAATCTCCTTCCGATGATCAAAACTGGACGCCGAACTTAGAAGAGATACGGGCTGCAATACGTTTTGCTATCGCCACGGGACGGCTCAAGGCCATTTAACCATGTTGACGAACACAAATCACTCCCTCTTCCCGATCTAAGTCACCAATCACCTCGTGTTAGAAATGGTAGACGCGATTCAACTGCCGAAAATAGGATGTTGAACACTTGGAGAAGCGCCTTCAAGAAAGCTTACTAACAAAGTTACTAACCCACGAGGGTCCGCTGAAATACTGCTTGCTGGAAATGACATATATTGCAAGTTTTTACGTATGGGCTTTAAGGAGACATGGTACTGTATATATTAAGACATGTATTGACAGATTAATGATAGTTGCCCTTTTGGATTAGCCATCGGGCGCTAATAAACTCTATGTTTGTGTGCGTGTGTGTATGTACTGTAACTAATGCATCAAATCCAACGAGAAGTAGGATTCCATATTCGAGAAAGATTCCATTGAGACTTCCACTTTTGCTCTGCTTTGGCCTCCTGGACTCTAGACTTTTCAAGCTGTTCACGAAGGAGGTGAACCGCCAGTAGAACATGTAAGTTACTGACGGGTACTTCCTCGGGCTCATCATAGAATTGTGGCGTAAGATTCTGAATCACACCAATCACTGACTTTGAAAATTCATGGAAGTTTTCAAGGCATGATTGAAAAAATTCGTTTTCACACTTCTGCTCCTCCCATTGACGGAGCTTTTCGTAGCGTGATTCGGGGAGTGATCGTCTATGTCCAGACTTCGAATTTTGCAACCGAATTGTAGTAGTCTCTAAAGCCATTGTTGAGCCATGAGCCATGGCAATCTGATGATCAAGAGAGTTGATTTCCGGCAAATCATGTTTCGCAGAGAGAGCGATTGCAGCATGTGACGTCAGGAACAGTTTGGGAGAGTCGGCCGATCGGCTATAGATGCTGGAACTGTCATCGCTGATTATACGGTCATCGCTCATTTTGAAATAGCCGGCTATCAAAGGATTAAAGCAAGCGGGATTTAGTCGCTTTAAGAACTGGATGCTACAAGTGTCGTTTGAACTTGACCACCTCAGATAGCTGAGCGTATAGTCTGTTCCACTATCTGGAGGCTTTGTTGTTGATGTATGAGGATTTTATTTTGTTTTCATGGTTTCAGCTCATTGATAAACAAATAATGTTTTCAGATCGAGGAGCGAATTGAACTAGAGATAATAACAGACGCACCGATCATTAAATAGAAGCATCTATCTACCTTTTGCTTGATACGGGGAAGCCTTTCGCTAGTATTCCTCGCAATGAACTCAAGGTGAATTGCGTCCCAAATAGCGGATTAGCCTCGTAAAGTTGACTGACTTTCAAAGTGACCAAACTTTGGCTCTCGTAATTCTAATTCAACAACAATTTCAGGAGGCAATAACGACTTATGTTTAAACCAATCGCTGGGTATTCAGCGTGTTGCTCCAAAGTTGCTATTCGTTTGATCTCCTAGCAAGCCAAGCTACTATTAATGTGCATGCCGCTAACCATACACCTTGACAAATATGACTGTTGCGCTCATAGTTTTCAGTACTGAACTGAGAGTGCTGAATTGAATGTGCTGAATTGAATGTGCTGAATTGAATGTGCTGAATTGAGAACCCCCCGAATGGCGGCAAGGAAGGCATAACAATTGAAATCCAATATTCGGCTGCTTTTTACCTGCACTTATATGTGTAATTTGGGCAACAGCACATTCGGACCAGCACAAATAGTGAGCATACACATTTTGCCCGTGTGATCAGACGCAATTCTGGACAGATTATTCGTGGCTATCTATTTGGACAAAGCAAAAGCTTCGAGCGCAGACACCAACTGGAGTCGACCGCCCGCAAGAAAGATAGCATATCATCAAAGCAAGCTATCGACATTGATTATCTTGAGGGTTTTTTGAAGAACCATAATCATGTCAGGCAACTATGTTTAGAGATTGTGGCCACCCTCAGACCGCTTGGTCCTTCACCAAGCACGGTAAATGTATTGTCAAGGAATATTTTAAATTCCGGGTTGGATACAGAAATTGTTGAATTGATCGTGCGAAATGCTGAACAGAACGCAGACGGCCACGAACGATCATTATTGCGGCATATTCATGCTCAACTGGACCAAATGGTGGATGGGTCTGCCAAAAAGATGCATCAGGCAATTGTCACTGGTTTCGAGACAGTATTGGAGTATGAACTTCGGAGATACTCTATTGATATAGGGAACATGCGGATACCGCTACAAACCCCAACTCAGCTCGAGGTAAGCTATTCGATAGCATGGTTTTGGGAGGATGAGCTAGCTATCAAAGGAATGAAGTTGCCAGAAAACTATGCATCCAAGACTGGATTGTGGATAAACGATGAGGTCAAGGAAAGTCTCGGAATATCTTATGTATACAAACGAACTGGTTGAACCAAGAGAGTGCTAGCCTAGCTTGCAATAGCACTGTATCGTCACAAAGAATATCAACCATCTAATTATTTAATATCCGAGACCATGGGTAGTATGTTAGGGGGCAGATACCGTTGGGATTGCGATTCCATAAGCCACCTTTGCGGTGAAAGGCCTGCGTGCCGGAAATAGCCTTTAGTACTGTCTACTCTCAGCTTAGCCTGATATGGTATCTTTCGTGATGAGGTTCTCTAAGCCCAAGAGAAACCTCAGAAGTGAAGACCGGCAGTGCCATTCCCGCACAGGATGAGAGGGGGAATCGAAATCACCCAGCAGATCATCAAGTTACAAGGCGTCAGTAGGCCCTCCGCACATGATTTGCAGAGATCCACTATAGGTTTCCAACCAATTCCACTGAATTCTTGTCCTCATCATGCAAAATTACGTAGCAAGGTATTGTACCATATAGTGTGCATTTTACGGTGTCCCTCAATTTAATGCAATCCCCTCAATGACGGATCTGCGCTAAGGCCTGGGCGGTGGGGCTAGAAAAGAGTTATCGTTTGTGTATTGGTCAAGCCAATTTCGAGAAGTGGTCTCGGAAACCTGTATATTGAAAGACGTCCAATCAGAACCAATCATTCTCGGATTCGTTTTCCGGGAATCAAGTTATAAGAGTGCGGAGGTACTGTAAAACTGATTTCGAACATTGCTTTCGCTTGGAAAATATCTTGAAGATACAAGCGCATACACTCCACCATAGTGCCTGGCTCTTAAAGTAAGAGATAATACAACCCTCTTCCTCCTCCAAGAGCAGGCCGGAAAACTCCTAATGCGTACTAGAACTGCTTAGTATCTAGGGGTTTGAGAGACAATTGAAAAGTGTAGGTGGGTGCACCAGTTTCGCGACGTACTGTCCCAATACTCTCGTGGCTTCAGAGTAGATGGAAGGTTTTAAAGGCTTTTTTAATCTGGTGAAACCAGTCAAAAGCTCAAATACAAGAGAACCATAGAAAACCATTATGATACTGTAACCTGAAAAACCACCGAGGACAATATGGTACTACACCCATCTCTAGGGCGACATTTTGGAGGGCGACTAGCCGCGAAAGATTAAACATGAAAATTGATGCTTTCCTGTTCTTAAATGAGCCAGTAATTCTATTGCGGTATCTTTCTAAGAGCTTGAAATATGCTCACAAATTGAGGTATATCCAGAACAGTATTGTTGAAGGCGTTCTCCGAGCTTATTATAAATTGACAGCCGCGAAACGTGACACCTTTCTAACTTGTCTTTATGTCATTCTTTGTATTTTTTTAACGTTAAGGTTGAAAGAGTGCGAGACATGTCGCGGAGATCAACAAGAACGCGACGACGTCAATCAAAACGAATAAATACGCCAGAGCAAGCTGATGTCGAATTAGAAGAGCGCAAATCTCTTGATTATCGTGATTCTTGCTTCAAAGGGCATTTTATCGTTCACCTTTGCGACTTAGACTTCGGGCAAAATGGGAATCGTTTGATATATGACGAAGATAACATCTCTCGGTTAACTAATATCCTCAAAATACAGGGCTGCTTACGTTTGAGCAGGCAGTTCCATGTCCCGGTCGTGGTGGATGCAGGAGACTGGGGCTCAAATGTCATACCTCAAGAGCCAACGCTAGTCACTGGCCTGCGCATGAGTCAACTAGAAACTAGCCTGAATTACTCTTTGTTTGCCCTTGACCATGAGAGTGTTATTGCTGCAGCTCGAAACAGGTTCAAGGAGCTCGAGATAGAGGATCCTTGGTGGGTAGCAGATGTATATGTCATTGAAGCAAGTGAGTCAATCAAAAATCAATTTGATGATATCAAAAATTCTGTCTTAGAGTGATTCAACAAACATGCTGACATGGCAATCATCGGTCCATTTTCAAGACAATGACATAGCCCTTCGCAACGAGTTGCTACGTAATCTGCAGGAAAGTTACCCCAACGACCAGCGTCCCTCAGACGGGAGAATCTACCGGAACATTCGCTATTATCAAGGATGCTTGGCAGGTATTCGCAACCAGACTGCGGAGCAATACTGGTGGGCACTTTTAGAGTCTGAGCCCGGAAGTCGAAAGGGTGACTATCTGCGCACCCTCCCCGAGAACCTTCGATCAGCCTTTGATGCTCTCCTCCCGATCACCGGGATCTGGGCCGGTATGAGTATTGGTGTGCTGCACAAATTGAAAGCAATGAAGTGCGATGAGGTATGCTTCTATGTTTTCTCAGTGAGGGGATGAAGGCTCACAGTATATTTCCAGCCGATTGTCTGCTATTTAGAACACATTCGAAGCACATTTAATAGGCTGGTAGATCACGACGATAACCTAATTTCTCTTATTGATGCCGCTTCGGTCAAAATGCTGAAGTCCAAAGTGCCGCGAATCTCCTCGTCTGATCTAAGTGACCTTGAAATGAAAAAGGAAAGCAAGACTTTGTTCCCTTTTCTCGACGACCATCAGCGGGACCTGATCTGGGAAAGACTAATAGAGATTGAATACCCAATTCCGACATTAGAGACCTTCTTTCAGGACATTTTATATCTGGATGTCGGGCAATGTGTCATGCGACAGCTTTGTTTAGCGCCACCCAAAGGGAAGAGTACCATTGACAAGGTTTTGAGAAGCCAGAACAATGGCTTTGTCGCTGGCTTAATATCTAGATCCTACTGGGAGCAAACGGTCCAAAACGAGCAACTCCACGATCTTTGGCGTTTCAGTCTCCAATACGCATTTGAGCTAACCCCTAAAAAGGACCACCATCGTCGCGTCCCGCGAAAAAGTAAAGACAAAGAACGTGCATTCTCCATGAGTGTCAGTGAAGAAATAAACGGTGTACCATCTTTGCTACTTTTGCGTCATTTTCTTATGCTAGCTAGAAATTACGCGTTCGAAGTTCCTGGAAGTGAAATAGATCTTGTGAGCGAGGCTAGAGACCTGCCACGACTACTGCCTTGTGACTTTCCGCCTGGGGACGAAGACGAGGTCGAGACTGAGAGGCGGTCTGGGAAACCTTTTACAGACTCGGTACAAGCTGACAGGTTTGCTCTTTCCAGAGAGTCTTTGAGAGTTTGGGACAGTCGGCGAGTCAGCGCAGGCTTTGTGCGTCGTTCGGTATTTCGAGCATTTTTTTCTTATCTCAACTCTGGAATCGCCGAAAGCCCGGAGTTTAATCTTTCAATGGAGTTTTCCGAAGAAAACAACCTCGCCGTTGATAGTAACGAGCTCGAGCCCATGCGATCGCCAAGTTCCTGGCAGAATATGGTTCCGCTCTCACCATCATTCACGGGAGATTATGGGTCATTTTCTATCGCAGAGCATTCCCAGCCTTTTCACTACCCTCACTTGACTTCTTATTCGCAGCCAGTTGCTCAAAGTACTTAACAGTGGATCGTACCGTCCATACTAAATATTGTGTAATATAGGTCTAGCTCTACTTATGAGGCTCCTATCAAGCCTCACTTCCCTATAATCCGATAAAGTGAATGAAAGTGTAAGATTAACTCCTCTCAAGCCTACTTACAGAAAAAAAAGTCAGGTCATGGGTACTATTAGCATTAATATCCGCCGGTGCATTTCAAGGGTTATAATTATAGAGCTCTCGTTGGAGACATTAAAGAGGTTTCATGAACCGTTTGACACAAACTTATGAAATACGCTTCTGTCGTGTTATAATGTAATTACAAGATGACAAAGTTGCCGCTTATTTCTATGCATACATCAATTTTATCATAACGACCATTAGGTACGAGTCTCGCATGTCCGTAAGACGTTAATTAACCTCTCCCGAAGACTGTGGATTGCTTGTTGATAGAATGCTACCAATAAATCTTCGTTCGCAAATTGGCGCCTCCGGTCTTGCTGTTCCTGGCATAGCCGTATATTTGTGATGGTAAGATTGTGGTGTTTGGCTGCTAATTTATGCCAACGGATGCTTTGCGAGCCATAGGCGTGTTTCAAATACCGACAAAGCTCCACCAATTCATTGGCCTCTATGATCACTTGACTGTATAGAAGGCATCTTGACACATCTCTCGTCATTTGGATTTCGAACTTTCTGCTTGAATGTTTATTAAGGGACGAGACGAAAATTAATATGGGATTGAAAAAATTGCTTATTATTGTAGAAAGATGTCAGTTCTGTCTTTAAGCAGTTGTTTTAAGCTCTAAATGATTCCGCGTCCCCCCAACTCGACTCTATATGAAATTTGTTATTTCGGCAAAACGAAATGGACTAAACCGAAAGTAATCCGATGGACTGCAAAAGTGATTACTATTTACCTCCTGGCTGTTGTTTGTAATTCAACCAAAACCTGATGGTAGATGTTTTCCTCGCCAACTAATCAACACATGCTTTAGGCCAGAAATCTCACCATTTGCGCGCATTGTCATCAAGTAAGATTGATGAGGAGAGGGGGTTACAGTGCAGTACACGTAAACGGATGAATCCATTTATCCGGACCCCCTCGCTGAAGCGATGTCTGACTTAGCTCTTTCTCATTCATGAGAGCCTCTTAAACTAGCTGGCAGCCATAAGATGCCTCTTCTCTTTTCTTCCAAGGCCTTAGAAGCTCTCTTGGGCAAATATAGTCCAGCATAACGTGCGTCACGCTCTTTTGGTTGCTGCGGACGCACAAATTATCATCTGGAAAGCGTAAAACTTTAGCTTATGTAGATGACTGGCAACTCAGCAAGGGCGGGGGGAAAGAGGGGTGTTGATTCCTGGGTGGAGATCCGTATATTCTTCTAGTTTACAGGCATCTCGAAATCGGTTTGACCGATACACTTTTCCAGGCTACGAGCCTGTAATGTAAGTAAACATATTTATATAGAAGGCGGTCTACGCAAAAAGCTATTTTTAGAAACACCCAATCAAAACTCTTTCTTTGCGGATATATTATCCGGTGAAGAAGTTGCATGAGTGTGGAGGTATAACTGACTACCTACCCACTGTATCACGTGAATTCTACTGTAACTAGTCGGAGGTTTTTCGCTATCGACTGTACACTGGGGGCAATCTCGCGGCGACTGTACGTTCGGATATTGCCACAAAGGACTACTGTACGAGGCTGTATCATTCGTGAATTGAGGGTGGAAAACCATTGTGATTGTGTGTCGAACGGATTGGCGGACCCACCAACGGGGGCTCCCGAGCCCCTTACCACGAACACGCAGAGCGCGACATGGAACGACCCAACAGAAAACCTTGAAACAACGACCGCACCCCGCACGAGAAGACGTGCACGTAAAAAGATGATCAGGCCCACATGGTCCCAGCCCCCGCAGAGCCAACCAACGCCGGAACCAGCAGCGGACGAGTGACAACCAAGGAGATCCGGCAGGTCATCGAGCTCCTGCGACACACCATCGACGAGCAAACCACGCTCATACAAGCCACCAGAATCGAACTGAAGCAAGTGAAAAACAACCAGGATGAACTCCAGACCCAAAACGAGAAGCTGCACGGGGAGGTGCAGGCGCTGCGGACGCAGATCGAGGGACTGCGCGGATCGAGCGCGGCACGATCCTGGGCCGCCGTGGCGGCTGACACGAACCAATTTGAACCCCGAAAGACGCGCCGGCATACCGACAAAGAAAAGAACTGTGTTCGGATTAGCACACGGCAATCCCCGGACGACTCACCTGAGACCGAAAACAACGTGAACACCTTTGGCCGCTACCTCTCTACATCCACAGCAAACACCCACATCAGAACAGCTCTGTCGAACGCTGCATCCACGTAAGATGCTCAAGTCGGCGGCATTGGGACCACGAAGACCGGATACGTGATCCGATTCAAAGACGCGATGTCGGCGAAATGGCCCACAACAACAAGGAATGGCTGAATGAGCTAGGCAACGACACAAGACTGGTGATACCGCGCTTTGGAGCGGTGGTACACCACACGCCAACCGACGGACTGGACGTCGAACGAGACAAAGCAGGCGCCATCAAGAAAATCACAGAAGAAAACAACCTCCCGGAACGTGGTTTCCGTATCGAAGACATCACTTGGTTGAAGAAACGAGATAAAGCGCTAGGAGTATTCGGCTCACTGGGAATTTGGTTCGACTCAGCCGAGGGCGCACGATGGATGACTGAGGACGGTCTTCTCTTAGACGAGAGATACACTGGACGAGTGGAAAAGTGCGAGATCAAGAAGAAGCGGTGTTTCCGCTGCCAACGGTTCGGGCATCTGGCGTGGTCGTGCCAGGAGACGCCCCGGTGCGGCCACTGTGCCGGCACGCATTTACGAGCAAGATGCCTACCAGGCGTCCAGAGCACGCTGCCTGGATTGCAGTGGTGAACATCCGACGGGAGATCGATTGTGTCCAACCCCGGCGAACGCACCATCCCTGCGATGTTAGAGAAAAACCTTCATCTTTTACAGCTGAACACCATGAAATCGAGGGCAGGAATGGAAGCCCTCATTAACGACCACCAGAGCCAGGACTTAGACGTGTTGCTCATCCAAGAGCCATCCATCACTGCGTACCGAACCTATGTCAATCACAGTGCGTGGCGACTATACCGACCGACAGTGGCAGACACCGAGGTGCGCATTCGAAGCCTGATTTATGTCAACCGGAGACTGTCCACGTCCTCGCATCGACAAGTGCTATGCAACCACCCCGATCTGACGGCAGTCAAGATCTGGTCCGCCGACACCTAGGTTCTAATTTTCTCCGTCTATATCCCACCGGTGCCGATGCACACGCCCGACGAGGCATCGGCGACAACCATACTGGCGGCCATCCAAGATACTATGCAAGATACCCTCCGAAATAGCTCCAAAGCCACGGGTCTTATACTATCCGGGGACTTCAACCGCCACTATCCGGCATGGGGAGGAAACCACATTCAACCTCGATTTATTGAAGACGCCAGCGAGTTGATCGACTTCTTCTATACATACGCCTTACGGGGGTGTCTTCCTCGCGGCATATCGACGTTTTGGTCGCTGAGCCACCCGGGGAGAAACTCGACCATTGACCAGACCGTGACGAATAGACCCGATCTCCTCGTTAAATGCCATCTCTACCATGACAACTATGGCTCGGATCACCGAGCAATATACTCGGCATGGAGCCTCCGAACACGGCGTAACTCTACCGCCAAGGCACGCAAAGCGTACGACCGAGCCGATTGGGACAAAATCGGGAACGAAGTATAGAGCTTCATGGGACCCTGGAAGGAACCCGACACAACACAGGCACTGGACGCCATGGTAAAAAAGCTCACTCGGGGCACCGTGATGGCCGTTGGTCGTCACACCCCTGACCTGCGACCTTCCCCATACTCGAACGGTGGTTCTCTGCCGACCTAAAATCGCAACAGATAATAGTGAATCAAACACGACGTAAATGGCAGGAGAACTATGCAGAATTCGGTCGAGACGACCCTCGTAGTACGTTCTTCTTTGAGGACATATGCCAGAAGCGACGAGAATAGACGCGAACGATCGAAAAGGCCAAGACATCGCACTGGAAAACATTCCTTGACGAAGTGGGCGAAGGAAGATTGTGGAAAGCTGCTACCTACATGAACCCACGAGACTCGTGGGGCTGCACTCCCGCTCTCAAGGTGGGGGATAAGGAACTGGCCGATAACAAGGAAAAAGCTCAAGCTTTCATGGACTCGTTCTTCCCACCAATGGCGCCTGCGGAGGATGAAACCCCCATAAATGCCCTATCCGAACTGTCGTGGGAACCAATCTCGGACGTTGAAGTCTACCGATCCCTGAAGGCCGCGAAGAGCTTAACGGCGCCAGGCGAAGATGGCCTCCCAACACTAATCTGGAAGCGACTCTGGGCCTACATTAGGAACACCATCACACGGATATTCACAGCGTCTATTGACCTAGGCTACCACCCCCAAAGATGGAGGAGCGCCCGGATCGTGGTGCTTCGGAAGCCTGGCAAACCGGACTACTCGCTCCCTGGCGCGTATCTCCCAATTTCCCTGCTCAACACGCTTGGCAAGCTATTGGAGGCGGTAATGGCCCGAAGGCTATCCTTTTTTGCAGAGAAATACGGGTTGTTGCCAGACACTCAGTTTGGGGGACGTCTAGGACGCACGACGGAGCAAGCTCTCCTGGTGCTGGCTAATGCAATCGACCGAGCATGGTATCGACAGAAGATTGTCACTCTCGTGGCCTTCGATCTCAACGGAGCCTTCAACGGTGTGAACAAAACCAGTCTTGACTTTCGTCTTCGAGCGAAAGGCATTCCCACGGTGCTTAGGCGATGGATCTCCAGCTTCATGAGCGGACGTCAGGCTAATATTGGTTTCGACGACTACCAGAGCGCGGTGGCGCCGCTGGAAAATGTAGGGCTCGCGCAGGGATCTCCTCTCTCGCCCATTCTCTTCGCCTTCTTCAATAGCGACCTGGTCGATCAATCGGTCGATTTCGACGGTGGGGCATCGGCCTTTATCGACGATTACTTCCGCTGGCGGGTCGGTTGGACCGCTGAAGAGAACCTGGCCACGATCCAATTCGAGGACATACCACGGATCGAAGCATAGGCCCGGAGGACGGGGTCCTGCTTCGCAGCCGAAAAGACCGAATTGATCCATATCACCAGGAAAAGGAAAGAGCAAGGACAGGGCCAGATCGTCATAAATGGCCAAGTTATCGAGCCGTCCACGACTGCGAAGCTTCTGGGTGTGATCTTTGACCATAAGTTACGGTGGAAAGACTATGTACAATAGGTGGTTAAACGAGCTACCTAAGTCAACATCGCCCTGGGGGGCCTACGATAGCTGCGCCTAGAATAGATACGACAACTCTACGAGGCGTGTGTGACGCTAGTGCTCGACTTCGCGTCGCCAGTCTGGCACGACCCGCTCCGCGACAAGACGCATCTTCGGCACCTGCGTACTGTTCAGCGTACAGCTTTCATCCGAGTGCTTTCTGCTTTCCGAGCAGTGGCCACATCCACCCTCGGCGTCGAGGCGTATGTTCTGCCTACCCATCTTCGTCTTCGACACCGTGCACAGAACATCATCACCAGACTTCACACCCTGCCGCGAGAGCATCCTATCTAGGACGCCCTGTTACGCGCACACCGGCGAAGGAACAATATTGGATCGTACGCCCGGTTTCCACTCGCGGAAGCTTTGAAAACAATGGACCTAGAGAGGCTACGCGAAATCGAAATGATCGACCCCGCTGCCACCTTGGAGATCCGAGGCATTTTCAAAAATCGAAATTGAGCCGGACAAAGAGATTGCCATAGAACGAGCAGAGGTGGCACGATCCACCTCGGACATTGTCGTCTACTTAGACGCTTCGGGACGCCAAGGCCACCTGGGCGCAGCAGCGACGACACTCAATGACAGCACGGAGACAGCGGAATCCCTACAGATTCAGGTGGGGCCAATGGACCGGGGGTCAGTACATGCCGCCGAGCTAGTGGGGATCCTGTATGCCATCAATATCATCAACAAGGCTGCCCTCCAGCGATGGAGGCTAGCCGGCTTGCACACCAGAACTGCGACTATCCTTAGCGACAGTATGTCGGCTTTGCAAGCTATCTAGAACCCGAAAACTAAGTCAGCACAACAGATCATCTACGCCAACTTGCAATCAGCTAAAACACGAAGTCGCAGGGCATCGCAATCCGCCTACAATAGATGCCCGGACACTGCGAGGGGCCCGGTAATGACACCGCAGACCAGTTACCTAGAGAAGCAGCCGTGCCGGGGAAAACCCATTCTTTCGCCCCGTTACTATCTCGCGAGAAGGCCTTCATTCGAAGAGGGATCTACGCTCAGTGGGAGAAAGAATGGAAGGAGTCCAAAACAGGTAGCTACCTCCGAAGGATCGATCACTCACTACCGGCCAAGTACACGAGGCGGCTTTACGGGCCACTACCGAGGAATCAAGCCTATCTGCTGACACAACTGCGGACGGGACACTGTTGGTTAGCCACGTACGCAAAGGCGTTCCGCTTTCGTGACGACGATCTGTGCCTCAGCGGCGAGCGAGAGAGCGTCAGTCACGTTCTATTGGATTGTCCAGATCTGAGAGGTCTGCGACGGGAGCTACGAGCGAAAGTGGGCGACGCTTTCAGTAGTGTGTCGACCTTGTTAGGGGGTTCGGAGGAAGGAAGAAGAGGTAAGCCTAACCATGCCTCGCGTGTCAAGACGGTGGACGCCGTCTTGGATTTCGCAAAGGCATCCCAACGGTTTCAAAGTCGCGCGCCATGAGGGCGGCAATCACAAACGGCATCTAGGCCACGACAGGCCTCGGCGAGGCTCTAAGTTCGTCTAAGAAGTGGTACATTCTACCTGTACATACATGATTATATATAGTTGTGGTAGCCTGCATATCGCTTTCAATTTTGCGAGGGGTCAGGGTAAATGAAGTCATACATACATACATACATACATACATACATACATACTGTATCACGTCGTTTCTATATATAACTCAGACTTCAGAACAAAGCACGATTCAACGGTTAAGATGAATTTGGCCAGGTCGACTGGGCCGTCGGTCCAGAGATCCCTGAGGAGCCGCGACGCAAACACCTTAAACAACAATGTTATAGATTTACCGGATGATTACCCAAAAGCGGAGCTAATCCCAGGTGAATGTCCAATTGCAGCTTCATCTCCCGGTAAAACCAAGTGATCGATGGGACACAGCCAGCCTGCCTGGGTTTTGGCTGGTGAAAAGAGAGGCTGGTGAAAAGAGAGGCTGGTGAAAAGAGAGGCTGGTGAAAAGAGAGGCTGGTGAAAAGAGAGGCTGGTGAAAAGAGAGGCTGGTGAAAAGAGAGGCTGGTGAAAAGAGAGGCTGGTGAAAAGAGAGGCTGGTGAAAAGAGAGGCTGGTAAAAAGAGAGGCTAGTGAGAAAAGGGGAGGGTGAACACGGATTGGCCACGTTTGGAGAGTGGGGCTGGAGCCCAACTTGTCTTGAATGGGGCCGTTTTGCAACGGTAAAGGGAAGCACCATTCGTACATGTCGACAGCAAGAGGGACGTCTCCTATTAGCCATCAAAGTTATAGGAGATTTCGATATCCGTCTGCTGCAGCTGCTGCACGTGCTCTTAACGTGTCAGTCTCGAATTTGAAGCACCCAATCAAAGGCCGAAAAGTCAAAGATGAATCTCCGCCTGTCCGGCCATAGATTTTTTATAGTGGAAGAAAACGTTTCTGGTCCAAGGCGACATTCGAGTCAGCCTCGCCGTTGATTTGGCCAATTCCGTGTTGAATTTGGGGGGCGCAAGTGTTAAGGGGCAAAGCGAGATCAAGGTGAACCAATAACGGTGCATCTGAGCTCAGGCGGAATGGTCAGTGCTGCGGTCGCGCGACGGAGAGTGAAATCTTCCGCTCTCAACCGAGTCCAAACCTGTCCATTGCGCACTCACTCCCTCCCCTCATTTGCCTTTAAGACTGGGGCAACTTTGAGTCCAACGTTGAAAAGGTCACGGAGCCCGCGAATAGATCAACATAGCCAAACGGTGATTCTCCGCATCTTTACTCTGAAGAAACTCCAGTTGCCTTCGGTTCCCTTCACTGTGTATTACACTCAGACTCCCTAATGGCCCTTCAACTGCCCCAGAGAGTAAAACTGCAAGCAGACCCAACTGACTCCCTCACTTCAGCTTTGGAGACGTTTCAAAATATTTTGACAGTCGAGCAAAAGCGAGAGTTCCAAGGATACACCGCAACCCCAGATATTGCGAGCGTCATCGAGTTTGTCGCACAAGTCGACGCTAAAAACAGTAGCACGACCAGGAGATGTGTGGCTCCTCGGCTGTGTACTTTTTTGGAGGCAACACAGCAGTTCGCCGGTGTCGTGGACACATTCGTCAGCTGTAACCCGACAATCGCTGCCCTTGTCTGGGGTAGTGTAAAGACTGCCATATTGACGGCTAGCAATGTTGCATCTTACTTCGACAAAGTCACTGGCATGATCATGGGCATCGGAAAATCCTGTCCGACATATCAACAATTCGGCCTTCTCTATCCCGGCTGCCCTGGTCTCCAACGTGCGCTCTGTGATTACTATGCCGTCATCATCGATATATGCGTCAAGATTATTGAAGTCTCCCGTCGGACGGCTCTCGAGCAAACTCTTTCCTCGATCCTGATCCCTTTTGAGTCTGATTTTAAGCTGCTGCTGGATCGGCTTGAGAAAGGTAGAAATGAAATACAATTGCAGGCATCACTCGCATCGAAACAGGCAGACCAGGAAGCAAAAAGGATGCTCGAGTATGAAAGCCAAGAGAATTCGAAATTGAGACCTTTGGCCATGGACTTTTTCCAGAAATACATAAAACGAGAAGCCGAGGCAAACCAATGGCGAATGAATAGGAGACAAAGGGAAACAGCGACATTGAAGATGAGCATTCGAAACAATCTTTCTCGTGTCAACCATGTCGCTCCTTGGAGACAGACCTTGAAGCGTCGGGTTTCAACCACCGCCGAATGGCTTCAGAACGAAAAAGTTTTTTTTAAGTGGAAGGAAAACCCGCAAACCGCGATACTCTGGTGCTCAGGAACCATTGGCATGGGCAAGTCAGTGCTCATGTCTAATGTAGTGGCTCAGCTGCATGCGATGCGCAAGAGCAACGAAATTTTATCGTACTACTTCTGTCGAACCGGCGATGAAGCATCATTGTCTGCGCGGAACATTCTTGGCAGCCTTGCTCGTCAAATAATTGACACTCAGATTGATCAAAGCAGATATGAAACGTTACTCGCCTTAGAGGAAAGCAGCCGGGACCTCGGTACTGATGAGGTCATTCCGTTTCTATTATCTCGTCTAGAGGCCGATAAGGAGCACTATGTCATCCTGGACGGTTTAGATGAATGTGACGACCGTCAGGTTCAAGCGGTGGCACAGGCTTTTGCTGAACTCTGCCGCAGCTGTCGTGAAGGGTTCAAAATCCTCTACGCGGGCCGGCCTGGCCTTGGAAATCAACTTTTTAGGTCGAGCAGACCGCAATATACGGTCATTTTGAACAAAGAAAGGGTTCAAATGGACATGGATCGCTATATCACCATAACCTTGGACAAGTGTCTGGAAGAGAAGTGTTTGACTCTCCAGGATCCAGCGCATATCACAAAGATATATAATGCCCTGCGGAATGAAAGCAACGGAATGTAAGTATCAAAACGCTATCTGCCTAATGCTCTAGGTGAGGGACAGGTTTCGTGGCCCGCAATCCTCAATGCTTTGTTAACACACACAGGTTCCTTTGGGCGGCTCTCTGTATCGAAGAGCTTTGCGCACAGAGTTGTGATGACGACATCTTGGAAGCACTGAAATGTCTTCCACGCGGCTTATCTGAGCTCTATGATCTAAAGCTTCATCGTGTCGGAGAAGGAAGGGCGGCCAAGCAGGCAATGAAAATTATGCAATATTGTGGGGTAGTGAAGCGACCAATGACAGCTATGGAATATCGAGAAGCTCTCAGCCTTTCGCTGGAGCAAAAGGCTTTTGAATACGGAAAAATGCCTAACGATATGGATAAGATTATCGACGGTTGCTATGGATTAACGTTCGTTGACGAAGAGGAACACACTGTACACTATGTTCATCATAGTGTGAAGCAGCACCTTTTCGTCACCAACGGTCGACACGAAGCGCAATTTGATATGGCGAGCCTTGACCAACATTTTGGGTTACTTTGCATGACTTATCTGGATTTCAGTAACTTCAAGCGGCACCTAACTAAATATAAGAAGGGTTTCGGCACATCCATCGGGCCGGTTCAGCTTGCTACTCTCCCAATCTCCTCATCCAGAGGAGTGGGCGTTAAGCTTGCCCGAAGAATTCTTTCTCAACAAAGCAAGCTGCGCAATTTCAGCATTCGAGACATAGAGAGGACGGCGCTAGGAACAGTTAGAGACAGGGAGTGCTCACCGCTGGAGTTGGGTCTCCAGGAGCAAGGATATCAGTTTCTGAAATATGCCAGGGATCACTGGCTCTATCATCTACGTGACTTCACGGAAGATGCGAACAGCAACAAGTGGCAACTGTTTTGCCGATGTGTGGAAGGTAATGACGTCGCTGCAGACAGACCGTGGAAGCCGGATCAGCAAATCCTCGGCAAAGGTAATGATATACCAAACGCGATGCAATGGCTATTGGCCCAGGAACATTACGCATTACTTTTGTACTTCGCAAAACATCAATCTCACATTTTTTCCAAGAATGTGAAGCATGAAATCCTTCGCCGTGCCGACATTCAAAATCGTTATCGCTACACTGCGGTACTCGTGCAGCTTAAGAATACGGGCAACATCTTGAATTGTGGGTTGTTGTATGCCGCGGCAGATGGATGCCATCATTCTTTGTCAATGTTGCTCCAAGCGGGCGCAGATGTTAATGGTACATTTAATGGCAGAACAGCCCTCCAAGCAGCAGCAGAACGCGGTCACTTCGAGGTCGTGCAAGTTCTGTTGGCAGCTAAAGCACATGTCAACGCATCTCCTGCGAGGAGACACGGCAGAACAGCCCTCCAAGCAGCAGCAGGAGGCGGTCACCTCGACGTCGTGCAGGCTCTGCTGGCAGCCAAAGCAGATGTCAACGCATTCCCTGATGAATTTTATGGTAGAACAGCTCTCCAAGCGGCAGCGGGCGGCGGTCACCTCGAGATCGTACATACTCTGCTAGCGGCCAAAGCAGATTTGAACGCATCACCTGCGAGGAGACACGGCAGAACAGCCCTCCAAGCAGCAGCAGAAGGCGGTCACCTCGACGTCGTGCAGGCTCTGCTGGCAGCCAAAGCAGATGTCAACGCATTCCCTGATGAATTTTATGGTAGAACAGCTCTCCAAGCGGCAGCGGGCGGCGGTCACCTCGAGATCGTACATACTCTGCTAGCGGCTGAAGCAAATGCCAACGCATCCCCTGCTGAATACTATGGCAGAACAGCTCTCCAAGCAGCAGCAGAAGGCGGTCACCTCGAGGTGGTGCAGGCTCTGCTAGCAGCCAAAGCAGATGCCAATGCATCCCCTGCTGGAGAAGATGGCAGAACCGCTCTCCAAGCAGCAGCAGAAGGCGGTCACCTCGAGGTGGTGCAGGCTCTGCTAGCAGCCAAAGCAGATGCCAATGCATCCCCTGCTGGAGAAGATGGCAGAACCGCTCTCCAAGCAGCAGCAGAAGGCGGTCACCTCGAGGTGGTGCAGGCTCTGCTAGCAGCCAAAGCAGATGCCAATGCATCCCCTGCTGGAGAAGATGGCAGAACCGCTCTCCAAGCAGCAGCAGAAGGCGGTCACCTCGAGGTGGTCCAGGCTCTGCTAACAACTGAAGTAGATGCCGACGCATTTTCTGCGAGGAAACACGGCAGAACAGCTCTCTAAGCGGCAGCAGGAGGCGGTCACCTTGAGGTGGTGCAGGCTTTGCTAGCGGCTAAAGCAGATCTCAACGCATCCCCTGCTGAAGAAGGTGGTAGAACAGCTCTCTAAGCAGTAGCAGAACGCGGTCACTTCGAGGTCGTGCAAGTTCTGTTGGCAGCTAAAGCACATGTCAACGCATCTCCTGCGAGGAGACACGGCAGAAAAGCCCTCCAAGCAGCAGCAGGAGGCGGTCACCTCGACGTCGTGCAGGCTCTGCTGGCAGCCAAAGCAGATGTCAACGCATCCCCTGATGAATTCTTTGGCGGAACAGCTCTCCAAGCGGCAGCGGGCGGCGGTCACCTCGAGGTCGTACGCGCTCTGCTAGCAGCTGAAGCATATGTCAACGCATCCCGTGCTGAATACTATGGCAGAACAGCTCTCGAAGCGGCAGCAGGAGAAGGCCACCTCAAGGTCGTACAAGCTCTGCTAGCGGCCAAAGCAGATTTGAACGCATCACCTGCGAGGAGACACGGCAGAACAGCCCTCCAAGCAGCAGCAGAAGGCGGTCACTTCGAGGTCGTGCAAGCTCTGTTGGCAGCTAAAGCACATGTCAACGCATCACCTGCTGAAGAAAGTGGTAGAACAGCTCTCCAAGCAGCAGCAGGAAGCGGTCACGCCGAGGTCGTGCAAGCTCTGTTGGCAGCTAAAGCAAATGTCAACGCATCTCCTGCGAGGAGAGACGGCAGAACGGCCCTCCAAGCAGCAGCAGAAGGCGGTCACGCCGAGATCGTACAAGATCTGCTGGCAGCCAAAGCAGATGCCAACGCATCCCCTGCTGAAGAAGGAGGTAGAATAGCTCTCCAAGCAGCAGCAGGAGGCGGTCACCTCGACGTCGTGCAGGCTCTGCTAGCGGCTAAAGCAGATGTCAACGCAATCACTGGCAGATCTTATGCTGGAACAGCTCTCCAAGCTGCAGCAGAAGGCGGTCACCTCGAGGTGGTGCAGGCTCTGCTGGCAGCTAAAGCAGATGTCAACGCATCCCCTGCTGAAGAAAGTGGCATAACAGCTTTCCTAGCGGCAAAGGAACGTGGCCACATTGAAGTCATGGAGGTATTGGCACAATCTCTGCAACTATCATTGCTCCCGCAATAGACCTCGACACAACTCAGGCTAAAGCTCCCAGCATCGGCAGCATCAGGATTTTCACCGAGAACCAAAGCAACATGATCCAGAGATAAGAGGGATAGAAAAGAGCAATGATCGAAGAGATTTGAACTTCATATGTATTAGCCATTTAAGTGTAATTCATTAGAGTCTTCTTTCTATAGATGATGGTGTTCCGTGAGGAGATATTTGGCCTACTGCCCAGCAGGGACAATCCCTATCACAGCCCATGATCACCAGCTGTAACTTGCTGACAGCAATTCCCCATAACCTCACAGGTGGCGCACGCATTGCATACCGACATTAGTCATTGGCTGGTTATTTGGCATTTGACAAGTGATGGCAGGATGGAGTTATTCTTTTCGCTGTCGCAGTCTGGTATTGGTGAAATCAGAGGATGGTGAAAAGAGAGGGTGGTGAAAACAGAGGGTGGTGTGAAAAGGGGAAGGTGAACACGGATTGGCCACGTTTAGAAAGTGGGGCTGGGGCCCAACTTGTCTTCAATGGGGCCGTTTTGCAACGGTGAAGCCAAGCGCCATCCGCACATGTCGACTTTCAATCTCGGTGAAAGAGCCTACTTGCAACGCACCCCAAGTGCTAGAATTCTAATGATTCGGTTATCACTGTGGCATCTGTTGATGGTTCCTGATAATGTGGAAGAGATTGCAGCCACAGGAGGTCTGGATGACAATCTGCGAGACATTGCGTGGGTAAGGGTTTTTTTTCGATTCTCTATAAATATCGCAAGCTCACGGAAAATAACACCTGTATCACTTGAGAAACTACTTCTGTCTCTGTGCCGTCCTCAGCGGAATGGCGCAAGCACAGCTTCAAGTCGCTACATTAGAATTATTCATCCTTGTCCATTCAATATGCATAGGCAGTACATCACATCCTAAAAACAAACTTGGACTCTCTTCAAGTCCTGTCGCTGCCGAATTCTCGTTCTCAGTACCAGGTTCCGCTCAAGATGAGCAAGTTTGAAACCGCTGTGATGTCCTCGCGAAGTCCAGCACTGCTTTGATTGCACTAATGGTTGATTTGTTCTTAGATATCGTACTCTTTAAAGCAATAAATGGGCTTTGCTGCCTGTTTCGTGGACCAGCGGAGTAAAGAATCCGGTTCCCGCCCCATATCGCATGGTGTCGCATGAAACCCAAGAGGATCTCGCTTATCAGTTTTTCGCTTAATTAAAGAACTAGTCTGTTACTTGTCCTCTTCCCTGAATCCCTACCTGTTGGAGTTTGCCGGGGTTAAATAAAGGCACTGGTGGGACATAAAGTGAGAGAGGGTCTGAGACTCCGTCGTCCACGCCTTGATGACCTTGAGGCCTGGCTTTATGGAAGATTGTGAATTGGACGATGCGGAGACTTTCTTGTTGATATAGAAAAAGCTGTTTTCCTATTATATCAGTTCTATCGTAGGGGCTCGATGCACCATAATTTCGATCCGAGGTCTTCGTGCGCTGCCAGTGCGTTCAAGAATTCCCTGTGAGTATGGCGGAAGTTCTTGAATCGCATGGCATAGCAGGTCTTTATGTTATCAAACTCGGTCACACCGGGAGTCTTGGGTGAAGCGTGTGAGCGGCGGATATGGGTGTTGGCGGCCGCCGTGGGGAAGTATCGGCCGAAAACATTTCCGTCCTTTCCTTCCTCTTGGGGTCAATGTATATACGTTGAGCGCTGATGCTGGTCCAGAATTTCTCTTTGTTAATTGAGTTAGTTGTTGTCAATTCGATCGTTCGCGTTGGCTGTCACGGCAGGTCATGATGTCGTTGAGAATGTCGTCGGAAAGGTGTCGATCGGCGCCTGAATCCCTCGTGTTTTCTCCTCGGATTGGATTCTTGGTGATATTGAGGATACCCCAATCCTGCTTGGCTTCCTGCAAATCCATTTTCGTGGACAAAGTGACTGGTCTGGTAGATGATGGTTTCCTTCAGCGTCGTCCATAACTCGATTGTTATTTCCAGCGATTGCGACCTTGGTACTCTGGTACACTCTTCCAATGCAATGATCGGCATGACTGATTGCCTCCTTATGCGAGGCACGGTAGCTGGCTGAAAGCCTTTGGGCCCATGTACCATCATCACTTGCACGTTTGAGAAAGGGAGTTCGGGAACACCCAAGAGTGGGTCCGCTAACGGTTTTCGCTTCGGTGATTTGGTTAGATTTTCATAATTAAGATAAAACAAATTCGGTCCAATACTTTTCTAGTGTCAAGAATCTCAAAATCAATCAACCAATTAATTTCGTGGATGCGTAAACTTCAAACTGCACGACTGGAGGAGCCTTCTACGCCCCGTAAGAATTGCTCGTATGAAAGGAAACTGAATAAATCTCTTAGAACTTCACGTCGTCCTCTCCGCAGCTCCACAATAAATGGGAATAAGAATGGAAGTGAGGGCTCGATATGTAGCTGTAGTCGGTATTGGCGATAATTTTCCTTCACATCGATGAATGCAGTGAGGGTGCTTTCGACTTGAAGCTGTGCTTGCGCCATTCCGCTGAGGACGGCACAGAGACAGAAGTAGTTTCTCAAGTGATACAGGTGCTATTTTCCGTGAGCTTGCGATATTTATAGAGAAACGAAAAAAATTCTTACCCACGCAATTTCTCGCAGATTGTCATCCATACCTCCTGCGGCTGCAATCTCCTCCACATTATGATTAATACGATCCCATTGAATAGCCAACTGACGCAAATGTTCATCTTGAAATAGCAAACCATGGATGTTGATTTTACCAAAACCTTCCAGCGCATCTTCACTCATTTTCCAGGCTATGGTAGCGGCTTTTAGTTCGCTCACGGCTGTGAAGAAATCTGTTTCAACTTCGAATTTAAAGCCACCTGCAATATTGTTGCCAATTTTATATCGCGCATAACGAGCGTCGAGGATCTTAAGTCGTCGGATGATGGCCTTATCCGGCCGACCGAGCAGTTCCTTTAGGGGACCAGTAATATGGCCGGCTTCTATCGGCAGCTTATGAAAAGGCCGCTTATTTTCAACCGTTATGAGAGCATGTGAGAGAGTATTGTATAGGAATCGATCAACTGGTTGTATTGACTGTTGCATATCAGTACTGAGCAGCCACATGGAACTGATTCGGCGATCGAGAAATACCTTGGTCACTTCCCGGAATCTATCGATATCTCCAGGGAATTGTTGTAGGAAAGAGAAAATGGAAAGGCCCAGCTCGTTATGATAAGCCTCGAACAAGCTAATGGTCGCGCATGGCATTCCCATGACATACTTTACCCAATCTCCAAGCTTGAGGTCTTTGAAAATAGTCCAACTGTCTCGGAGAAGTTGCATTGCTATTTTTCGGGGCTCCTGACTTCTTGAGATTGAGGCAATTGAGGAGAAATTTTCCACTTGTATATTTGTACCCAGGGAAGATTTGTCGTAATCCTTTTTGTCCATCTTGATTGCTTGATCAAGATGATAAAAAAAGGTCCCCGGTTGACCATGGGAAGTGAAATGTGGAGATTCTCGGAATTGGGGACAAATTAACAGTCCTTTCCATGTTATTGGAATAGGTTAGATTTTGAGAATGAAGCTGTAGACAGAAAAAGTGGTCACTAGTGAGAGGGATGTTGAATTCCGTCGACGGACGGGAAACTTCATTTATACCCCGGCCACGGAGCATTTTATTTTCCAGTAAGGGCGAAGATCGTGACCATTGGAGTTACTGATTACCGTCAATCAATCCATTATGCATATTTGTATCTCGAGAACTACGATTCAAATGCAGCTAATCGATTGATGAATACGAAGGCGACCACACTGAAGCCAACAAAATTATAAATTGCCAAAAACCACTTTTGTATACCGAAGGCAGATCAATCCATAGAATGGCGGTAAAAGATGAAAACTGCTATGTAAATGAGATTGCTTGGGATAAATCACTCAGTTGATGAATTTGTTTAAAGTATTCTTATTTGGTGAAAGATCGTCTTGAATATACCGCGGATTGCGTAGAAAGCATTGTCGCCTTGACGCGCAATATGTTATATACAATATTCTCTTTTGAAATATTTAGAGCGATCATTAAAAAAGGGTGGTTCAGAAGCATTGGCCAAGTCGTTATTACATTCAATAGCCAAATGGACAGGATTCGACCTTCTATGTACGTTCAATGGACAGTGGAAGCCTCATTACGTCCACAAGAAATTTTTTAGATGGCCTTACTTTCATGATCTTCTGATTTTAATAATGAGGAAGTCGATGCCTTCAGTAAAAGAAGTGCGTCAGCCGCACAATTCTCGTCGAGTATCTCCAAATAAAAGCGTGAATTTTCATCGAAAGTGGTTATAAAGATTTTCTCGCTCTAAACTGACCAAGAATCTTGCAGTGAAGGATCTGAATACTCAATATCATATTAATTTCATGGATTCACCGTCAAAGCCTTGTATCCCTCGCAGTTATCTCTACGGTCATGTTCACCACACCCAGCACGCTGCTCATCGAGAGAGTGACCTGTCATCCTCGGTAGCAGAGCGCTCCCCTTCGCAACCGGAATCTTCAGACACACACCAGCAAAAGGAGGCTGTAGATACGCCCTTGTCATTACTTTCTATGTCTGAGCTGAGAGATTTATACATTCCCCCATATTGGACAAACAGGAAACAAGATACACTGGGAGTATGTGGATTATCCAGCCCGAAACATAAGGAAAACAAATGTCCGGTGACTTTCTCAGTAGATTCCGAAAATGGAATCCTTCCTCTCCAATCTAGAACGGAGATGCTACGACTCCCTGGAGCAAGTGAAGCCAAAATCCGGCAACCTTTACCTGCAACCAAAAATCAGTTACAAAGCCATCAACCAAAACTACTGAGTGAAGCAGCGGCAATTTTATTTGAAATGTATATTGTGAAAATGCAGATTGCCCAGAAGGCAACTAAAAAGAAGATTGAGGATTCTCTCTCCGTTTGCAAAGCCCCGCCAAAGGTGAAAAAAACCTTGAAGCGCCAAACCCAATTTTCGCCTGGTAATTCAGTGGGACAAAGCAATCGCAGAAACCAACCAGTTGTTCAAAAGCTGAGAAACCAAGGATCAACTTACCAACAAGCTTTCCGTGCCCTGCCACTAGTAATAAAATGCGTTCCAGAGCCACTTAAAAAGAGACTGGTCGCAAAGACGAAAGCAAAAGCATTGAAGATTGCAGCCACATTGTTAGAAGGCTGGTGTCTTTAAAGAAGACTCTTTAAATTTGATTGAGCAAATTGAGATATTCTTTTCTAATTCAAGCGCATGATAAATAGATTCCCATCAAACAGACCGGACTACGTCTTCGCTATAGTCGCGCTTCAGGTTGCCTTCGATCCTGAAAACAGTAGTTATTTAAACTATAGACGGCAATATACTCCAAGTTACAGTATGTGTGTGTGTGTGTGGGTGTGGGTGTGTGTCATTTACTGTACCCTGACCCCTCGTCGAAGTAAATTTTACCACTAGGCCAAAAACGAATCCGTTCTCAGCCTGGTGGATGAAATTTATAATCAACTGTCGAAACGATATGCAGGCTACCACAACTATACAGATCCATGGATGTACATATATCGTGTACCACTTCTTAGACGAACTTAGAGCCTCGTCGCGGCCCGTCGGGACCCATAGCCATACTCTGTGATAAGCGGCCCAGATGGCCCGGCTGACTTGGGAAAATTCAAAACAAAGACACAACAAGAAAGGCGAGAAAAGCAAACGGAGAGTGATAGAAAACAAAACTGGAGCAAAGCACAATGAAATCATCCATCCATCCAGGACGTTTGATTGTAAATCGAGTGTGTTGAACATTCGTAAGGTTGGGTTCGAGTTGATTTGACTAAATCCGATGTTGTATTGCAGGGCGGTTCGAAAGGAACGGTTGGGGGGGTGGACGACGGTCATTATTGATGGCCCACGAGACGCGAATAGCGCGATAAGACAAAACCCAGCCTTAGCTATTCCGCGATATCGTCGGCAGTGCGGGCAGAGCCACCAAGGCAGGGGCAGCGTTTCGGGTTGGTTCACGTGTTGGTAGCACGATAAGCTGAGGACAAGGCCTAGCTACCACTGACATGAGGATGTAGGTATTAGTTTTCAATGTTTCGATGTTTAGCGAGGCAAGGCGGCAGCGAACACCTCGCTATATCGTCGTCGACGTTGGTGGTTTGTGCGATACCCCGCGATAGCTCTTGCCCCGCTGGACACCGTTCTTCCCGCCTCCCCGAGCAGATCTTGGTTTCCCCAAGCGAACGACCACTATCGCTACAGTAGTTTTCGAATTCGGTGTGACCTCACACTCTCTAGACTTGATTCACGGAAAATAAATCCTAAATATGCGAGTTCTGATTGGATGTTATTTTAAGCACTTTTCATATAGACCGCTTTCTACCATAGTCTATGTACTTTACAATACGTCTTCAGTACCATAGGCGGTGTATCTTAAGCATACACAAAGAACTTGTTGTTTCCTCTTCCTTTCGTGACAAGCTGCAACTTCCTGCACAACGGCTTCCTGCTTACCGTTATTAGCCCAGGCGACAAGGCTCCAAGACTCTCGCCTTAAAAGCTTGTTCTCATCCGTGATATGATAAAGAGCGAATCTTTCAACACATCTGAAATGGCTGAACAGGCTGAATGCGAGATGATTCTAGCAAGTTTATCACCGCAAGTAACTGGGCCACCACGGTCTCCTGGACAGGTACCTTTACCAGCTTCCGAGCCAGCACAGATCATACAGTCGGTGATTTGGCCGGCGTAAGTCTGATTGCAGTTTTCGCGGTTCACGATAGGGAGTGTTACCGGTTGTAATTGTCCTTCTAAGTCATCCCAGCCAGAAGCCACGCATTCAGTCCCATCCTTTGGCCCCTGACCAGGCTGAACAAATTCAATCGTCTTGACAGTCGGGCCTGGTGTGACATACGAAGCTAGCTTGAGCACGGCAACGTCGAAATTATTGGTGACAGGGTCAAGGGAACCTATAACGGCGTGGATCCGGGTGTCCTACTGCGGAGGTTACGAGAACGAAGAATCCCAGAGATCCTAATCCGATGGGTTGACAGATTCTGCTCCTCGCGACGAGCGTCGATCGTCGTGAATACGTACCAATCCGAGGAAATGCCCATCGAGCACGCGGGCCTTCCGCAAGGCTCGCCGCTCTCACCTATTCTCTTCCTGTTCCTGAATGCAAATCTGGTGGACGTCTCCATCACTAGACGAAAGGGAGCAATCGCTTTCGTCGATGACTATACACGATGGACTGTGGGCTCGTCTGCTGAGGCGAATACAACCGTACTTCAGCGAAAGGTCATCCCGCGAGCTTTACAATGGGCGGCACAGTCTGGCGCGGCTTTCGAGGCAGAGAAGACATCGTTCATCCACTTCACGAGGAACCAGCGGCAGCGCCAACTTCCCGCGGTCCCGCTACTCGCGAATGGAACGACTGTTGCCCCGGCACCTGAAGTCAACATTCTCGGCGTGATAATCGACCAGTGTTTACGGTTCAAATCACACATCGGAAAGGCTGCAAATAAAGGAATGAAAGCCGTCCTCGCACTCAGACGACTGCGCGGGTTACCTCCTTCGGTAGCTCGCCGGATCTTCACCTCCACGGTCGCATCGAAAATTGACTATGCCGCATCGGTATGGTGCCCTATACGACAAGATGCTATTGTTGCGGCGGGAACCGTACGACCGTTCGAAACCATCCAGCGAGTCGCGTCTCAAGCGATCGTGGGCGTCTTCCGAAGCACGGCCCTCGCTATCGCCAAGGCAGAGGCGGGGATTGAACCAACTGTCGTACGCCTTCGAGCACGTATCTTGAAGCATTGGATTGTCTGCCACACCTTACCCAAGGATCACCCCGTCTGGTCCTGTCGAGCGGCCGCCGCCATGCAGGATGGGAGGTTCCCGTCACGTTCAAAATACTGGCGAAGTATGGACCCCAATGCTTGTCTGACATGGAGGTCATTCGACCCTTCCCTCTAGATCCGCGGCAACGGTCCCTTGGGGAGTTGATTACCCCCGTCGGATCCGATATACAGGAGTTACACGAAGCCTGCCATGCCCGTCTCTGGTTGTTCACCAGTGTCAGCATCCACAATGGTCTGGTCGGAACGGGGCTAGTAGTTCGTGTTAATCAAGTGGACATCGTCTCGTCAAATGGGACGGTCGGCACTGAAGACGCACTCAACGCCCACTTCGCACATCTGGGAGTGGTTTCAGAGGCTGTCGCATATATTAAAACGGTGCTCCCTCGTATTCAGATGTCACCGTGGAAAATCCAGGTTACGATCGTTGTGAATAACCCTGCCGTTCTGCTGTCGCTTGCAAAGCCACGTCTCCAAGGCGGACAGGCTCTGATCACTCATATCACGGAAGCACTCAAACAGCTGTTGGAGATGGAGGCCAAGGTCAGCCTGAAGCCACCAACGGATGAGGACTGTGAGAATACTACACGAGAACATACCCTCGCACGCAAAGCGACAGAAGTGAGCAGCGAGGTTAATGCCCCGCCTCGGGCGCGAGTCCAACTCCGAGCGTCGGCGTTGCGATGGGTTCGGGCGAATGTTAACCAGGACCGGAAGGACAACTTCCAACTGGGGACCGCCGGGCAGTTCACACACCAGCTGGATTCAGCTCTCCCAGGACCCCACACGAAGATGCTGTATGATAGTCTCGATCGAGAGAAAGCATTGATACTAGCTCAGCTCCGCACGGGACATGCCAGACTGAATGGATATCTACGTCGAGTCGGCAAGACTGATAGTGATTTGTGCGAATGTGGCATCGAGCGCGAAACAGTCCCACATTTCGTACTTCGATGTACACGGTGGAATGAACAGCGTCGCGCACTGATTAAAGCCGTGGGTCCGAGCCTCGGCAATTTGTGCAGATGTTAGGAGGTAAACCTGAGATTGTAGGGGATGCGAGTGAAACGAACGGTAGAGCATGGAAACCCGACGTCAAGATTGTCAGAGCCGTCATGGCGTTTGCAATGGAGACGGGATGGCTGGCTCCTGAAGGGTGAGGAGGAATACCTGAACCAGAGATTACGCATGTGGTTACGCTATCAAATATACATATCCTACGGAGCAGCGCACACTAGCTAGGGGGCTACATACGACCTAAGGTCGTGAACAGCCTGAGTACAATTCGGATTTACCAGGAGGCGGCCGTTTTTGGCAACCCCCCAGGTTGGGTTTAGCGCCCGGCCGTCGTGGGCCTGGAGTGGTTTAGCGTCACCCTGATCAGGCATGGCTTCCTGCGCTATCCCGCAACTGGAACTGCCGCACGTCTCCGCCTTCACGGCCCCCCGTCAACTATATAATCCTGCTGGTGCGTCGCTCGACGACGTCTCCTTCCCACGCCTTAAGCTCCTCGTCAATTCGGTCCCCTTGAGGTCGGACGCCACCGCTCCGGCCCCTTGCCCTCTCGGAGATGACCGTTCTCAAAAATGAGTGCTTCGCCCCCTTCCATCCCCACTCATGCCGCTGCGAAGGGACGCTGCCGTCCACCGACATGGTTGACATCGCGAGCGTGAATCGCTGATCTTTCCTGAAGGATGCGAGATGACCGGTGGCATGGCCTCGCCTGCCTGGATGGCCCGCCCCGAAATTGTCTACTGGGGCGTTGGTGGTTGCCTACGTCCGCCCCATTCCAACCCTCCAAGGCGTTCCTTCACCCAAAGGTCCGAACAGGGGCCTATGCTTCATTTCCAAGTCGAGGACGATGACGTGTCAACGGGCCTGCGCCCACTCAGCGCAGCGTGAATACCAATGGCAGAATTCGCTCATGTTCTATTCCTGTCCGAAGGCCCACGCAGGTGCCATGTCTCATTTTTAAGACGAAGCGATGACTTATCAACGTGCGTGCGGTGTCTGCACCTGATCATCTGTACCTGATCCGCGCAGCTTGAACACCAATGGCAGAAATGCCGCATGTGTCCCAGGGTGTCCTCCGTCCGCTGTAGGCGTTCAAGCGTTCCGCTGAGTTAACTAAAAATGACCACATGCAAGAAGGCTGAGGAGCAGGCTGCATGATGACTCCATCGAACTCGCTGCGAAAAGATCCGGTTGGTGGGATGATATTGGGTTACGCTTGAGACTGTAACCAGGGCGATGATGCTCCTGCACGGGATTGCGATGGATTAGACTGGAGATCATGCGGACTCTGTGTGGCTGTAAATTGCTGGCCCTGATCACGGAAAGACCCAAGGGGTGGTACACAAAACCGGCGAATGAAGGCATCCATATGTCCTCGAAGTTCGACGAGTGCGATCGAATCCCAAATATCCGCTCCACGAATCTGGGATGAGACCAGTGATGGGCATAGAAAGGAGCCATGACGCTAAACAATGCGAACCACGACCTGACTATTCCTTGCCTATGGGTCCAGACCACTACGGATCTCCCGTTCTCGCCCCATTTAATTATGTTGATTCTTGCAACCTTTGTGTGGCGATGCCGAGAAGCAGCGGCCCTACTTGGCGTTCGTTCTGAGAAGTGACTTCAGAAACTTTATAAGCACTTCTCACTCCCTTTCCTTTTTCTCTATCGCAAAACAGTATTCTTCATTTTTCTTCCTGAAAATCTCGACACCATGACTATCAGCCTTGATAACATTAGCTTCTACTCTCAACCCCCTCCTGCAAAACCTCCTCCATGTACCTTCCCTGTTTCCTGCTGGAAGCCATATGAGACTCCTCTTGCCTCACGAGCCATTTCGCGTGCACTTCCACCCAGGGCGCCTTCCCCTAGGACGACGATTACCCTAGCTTCTGATACTAGACCAGATGTGTCCCCGCAATCCAGGGCTCCTGCGAGAGAAGACAATGATTTGCGTGCCGTTTGCAATGAATTTGATATCGAATTAGAGAGGATCGTTAGGGCGCAAAACTACCAGGTCACGCGAGAGGCTGATTTGACCTTGCATCGCGACTTAGGGCTCCCAAACGGAGATGATTCCGATGGGCCTCAAGACCAGTGCACGTCTTCGGTTCCAGGTCTGTCGGACTGCTTATGGAGTGCCGATCAGAGAACTTCACTAATGTTAATCTACCAGAGCATCCAGACCAGTGCCCTTTCGTAGAGTCTGTTAGTGACTCAGACCCGGCTTCTATAGCAGCAAAACCAGATTTGCATCATTTTGGTAGGCACGACTGTCACATCTTTTTGTTTAGCTTATTCTCCTAACACATAATAGGTCCGCCCTTTGACCCAACCGAAAAGCTTGAATTGCATCGAGACAGTACTCCGCTGTTAGGAGCCTGCTACGAGACCAAGAATGATTCTACTTCATCCGAAGTCAGCTTTCCTTCTACTCGTGCATCGCCTTCACCATCGCCGGATATTCTGGAAAGTGCACGGCATCCTCAAGCTGGGCCTGTCGCTGGAGTCGTCACGGGACACGAATCAGCCGCGGATGACACCAAGGCTGGGCCAGAAAGTTCCGGAGACCGGGCGGAAGGCCAACGGGATGGGATGATCTTAGTTCAAAGTGTGCAGACTAGTAGCCCCTCGGTCAAAGAGGCTGGTCTGGGAAATTATGAAACAAGCAGGCTCACCGAGGAGAGTCAAGCGACTGTACTTGACAGGTTCGGACCGCGAATTCGTCCGCTCGAGCAATCGAAAGGCCCTTTAACTCACGCCCGTTTCCTTCGTCCGCAACCAAGTACAGACGCGGCCTGGTCAAAGCGATTGCCTACCGTTTCAGTGCTCATCCCAGCCCGTCGAACCGATGACTTGGTTTCAAGTACCAAGACGAATCCTCCAACTGGAGCACGACGTTTCCGTCGTCGGGGCGGCGGCGACAGTAGCAATCTTCACCACGATCGGGCAACACGCGCACTGACAGGGGAAGATTCACCACTTTCAGGGGGATCTAATTCTAAGACAAGAGGACGCCCACGGAAGAGACCGAAGAGGGCCACGGAAAACACCTCAGCCTCGACCAATGAACAATTCCCAAATCCTTCAGTGGGTGGTTTAGACGTCGCCCTGGGTAAAACTCAAGAGATCTTCGGACGCGGGATTCTTCGTATTCAAGCTCACGGTCCTCGGCATGTCTTTTTTATGTCGTTCCTTCCAGAGGAGCCCCACCAGCCATCTATACCAACTACCTTTGAAGACGAGGAAGAGAATTCCCGCTCTCGGGACTCAGGCGAGCCTGCGCATTGTGAAAACGAAATTGGCAACCAGTATTCAGAGCAACCTTCCCAGAAAGGGTCCCGCGCTGGGAAATCAACCGGGCGAGCCCAAGCCCTGTCTAAGGACGACCAACTTCTGATTGAATTGAAGGAAGAGCGGAGCTTGCCATGGAAGCGAATCGCAGAGTATTTCCCTGGAAGATCTGTAGGTTCTCTACAGGTGCGCTATTGTACACGCCTCAAGGGCCGCAAGGCTGGAAATTCTGGGCGGTCTGGGCGCAATTCCAACGTGACAAGCGGATCCTCGTACAGAGGCACATCCTGCGAGGCAGTTCAAGCCGCGGATGGTAGGCGTAAAAACACCGAAGGTGTGGCAAGACAGCGATATGGTCCACCTCGGCGCAGGCAAATCGTGGATCGCTATTCCCCAGTTTGATTGAGCATAGTTATTGTTATGTGTTAATATCGTCTAAAACAGAGGCTAGTCCACTAGTGTCCAGCACCTTTAGCATGTTGGGTCGAGTTGAACGTTATACCACGTTTCAAATCGGCATCCATCAAACAGGCGCTGCTTCATCCTTTGTGAACGTTCTCATCCCGATCGGGGCGATTGGCCCAAAGAGCTAGAACTTGACGGCGATGGTTTCTTTCGTCGTGTATTCATTCTTTGCCTGTCATTGAGTATATTCCCGCTTCTTTCGTCATCCATCGTCCACGGCGGAAATATCTTTTCTATATTGATTGATAATCGCCAATGACCATGCAAACTGGACACTATCTTAAGCTACAATCCAGACGTCTATTAATTTGGTTCCCGTTTGTAGTCAAAAATAGGATGACTTCATAATATTCAATATTTCACAAAAGCAGTCACAGGGCGATTGTAACCTCCATGTACTCCTATCTCAGGTACTAGCTCGAGATCCCGAAGAATATCTACAATTATGATCAATCAGGCTTCCAACCTGGCCAGAAAAAATCCCAACGGGTGGTTACCAAGTATAAGCGCCGTACGACGTCTATTCCAACGGTGGAACTGAAGAAACAGTGACAGGAGTAGAATGCATCGCTGCAGATGGCTGGGTAATGCGGGGCGACCTCGTTAGAGGTCGACAAACTGATCATATGACGGAGGCTCGTCCAAGCGATTTTCACTGGCTTGCTGCATCTTTGCCGCAGTAGATAACGAAGGCTCGGCCTTCTGTAAGGGACACGCAATTGGTTAGGACTTTTTAGGGAAATTGTTTGTCCGGCGGAACGGCGGTGGGGGACAGCACCGCAGTGTGGCAGAAATGTCAGGCATCTAGGTGGTGATGTTCTGTCACCTGACAACCTATTTGGCCCTTTGTAATAGGGGTATATAATACGTATACCATTCCTCCTTGCCTCACCTCAGCTACAACCTCTTGCTTCATAATTCATCATATTGAACAAAGCAACCTGTGCCCACCATGGCTACAAGTGACCTCGCATACTCTGTTGACCAAGAAATTGCAGATTTCTTCGAGAAGACGACAGTCACTCGCTCAGCCTGTGACAACTTTGCGAGGGAGCATGTTGGTGGAAACATCGTTCCGGTGGCCGTGCAGGGTGTGTGCAGCTATACCGTCTATGCGGGGAACAATGACGAATTCGTCGTGCAATTCCGCCTTGCGTCCCTCCAACTAAGTATGGAGACTGCGAAACTTGCTCGAAGCATCTACAGCCACTTTGCACCTCAAGTGACTTTTATGGGACAGATTGGAGAAGCTACAGAGAGCAAAGAAGCCCTTTCCATCTACGTCATGAGTCGACTCCGAGGCATTAGTTACTTGGATTTTATACTGGCCCATAACAGCCAAGTGCCCGAAAACTCACCCGAGTTTTCTTCATGGCGCAAGAATCTTGTAATTGACATTGCGAGGTATGCTTAGTGTTCTCGTTCCAAATAGACCGAATTACTAATTGAATGCCCTGTTAGATTCTTTGCCCTTTCGTGGAAACATCCCCAAGATGTTGGTCAAACGTACCGCGACGACTTGTACAGTCGATACAAAAGTGAGCTGAATTCGTTGCTTGCTTCTCTCCCAGATCGCTTCCACCCATCAATCCAGGAGTGTCTCAACTCATTACCCACCATTTTTTCTCTTCCAATGGTGCTAGTCCACAAAGACTTTGGTGTTTGCAATATTATTGTGAACGAAATGTCCTGCAATCTTGTTGGGGTTGTAGATTGGGCAGAAGCAGAGATTGCACCATTTGGCTTGAATCTCTTTTCTCACCAGCGACTGATAAGTAAGGTCCATCTCAAGAAAGGCTGGGTCCGGTATGATGATTACGTCGTTTTGGAGGATATATTCTGGAGCACGTTCAGAGTTGAAGCTGGAGGGTTGGGCAATGACACAATCAGAGCCATCAAATCCGCAAGAATTGTGGGACTACTGCTATCTCGTGGCTTCACAAGTCGTCTCGCGAATATGCCGGAGCCAGTACCTATTCGGGATGATGAAAGTGGAGCATATAACATGCGTGATCTAGATGGGCTGTTAATCAATCCGGCTACAAGGTTTACGGATTTAGCATAGACGATGGGCACTGAAATACGATGGAAAAATACTGGGATAAGAGATGAAAGGGGCAATAATAGAACAAATCAAATAACCCCAACCACAGCAAGAGCGGCCTTCAGATCGTCGACATTTTCCAGTTTAGGAAGAGGCTTCCCTGCATTAGAGACCTTGTGATTGCCTGAGGTCATAACCGCATGAGTTTCATTTGCAGAGCAAACACGCGGCTTACTACCACTCGCCTCGAATTTCCAGCCAGTGATACGGGTCGGTACAGTGTTCTTGACAAAGGTGGATTCCACCATGACAGTTGCTTGGTCGAGAATGAGTTCCGACATGGAGCCATCACTGCATCCAAGAATTTGGAGACCAATGAGACTTGTAAGATTCTTCTTGATAATGTAGTTAATGAACTCGTCGAGAAATCCCGGGCCAACGCCAGACAAATCAGGAAGAGGCCCGTCCTGTAGCTCATAAGCACACAGCCCGCCCTGATATAGGGCGAAGATATGTCCATGGACACGGGAGGGATCAATCTCTTCAAGATCCGTGACTTTAGTCCATGAAGGTGATCAAGATTAAGCAACAAGGAGAATTACCACGATTCTACTGGTTGTCACTCTAATTTATGCACCCAACTCCAAATGTAGAGGCGCCGCCATCAAGTTTCAAACAAAATCGTAGAGTATGGTTACTGGACAAAAGCTAGATACATATTTCCTTCAAAATTTCCTTTTACGTTTGCACTCTCAAATCTCGACTTCACTTTTAAAGATTTTTTCCGAAAAACTCCACAAGCTTCGGGCCGGATACCGCAAGGTCATCATAGAGGTCGAAATGGTTCTTTCCTTCGACAATAAAGAGCTCCTTGGGCTCCCGGGCTGCAGTAACTGCCGTTTCACTGTAGTGGAGAGTCTGAGCCTCGGATCCGGCGACCATTAACAATGGCCGAGGAGAGATTAGGTGTTGGAAGTTGAATGAGTCGTAGCTGACCATGAGATCGTAGCTTGAGGGAGGGACTTTCTGGTCCGAACGTGGGTGGTTTCCGCGCTTAGATCCGTAGTATGCAGCTGCATCCTTGAAGAAAGAGTCGGCATTGTCGGGAATCTGCTTGATATCGGAGCTGAACATAGGCGGGGCCTCCGAATGAGGTCCGCGAGCCTGCTGCGTTCGCCATTGTCCTGCCGCCTGAAGAGCCCCAGCAATGGCCTGAGGGACTTCCTTGTTATTCTCCTTATGCAAGCCTCCATTACGGGTCATGCGACCGACACAAGCAGCACTGACAGTGGCCAGAGCCTTGATTCGCGAGTCAGACTGCGCGGCATAGGATGTATAACCACCCGAGGCGCAAATTCCAAGTACACCAATCCGGTCGGGGTCAACCTTGCTCTTGAGGGTGGTCAGGTAGCTCACAGCAGCCTTGTTATCTTCCACCCGCTGATGGGGGTCTTCAAGTCCACGTGGCTGGCCGGTGCTTTCCCCCTGGTACCCTGCGTCGAATGTGAGGGCGTAAAAACCGGCTTTAGATAGAAGTCGGGCATGGTCCGCAGAGGTCTGTTCTTTAACACCGGTCATGGGATGACTGACCACAACTGCAGCACCCTTGCGATCGGGAGAGCCAGCTACAGGGGCATAGAGCTCGCCGCTGATCTGCAGCATAAAAGATGGAAAGGTGACTTTCGTTGGTGCAGACATTGTTGGGGATAACACTGATCTGAGTAGAGATGGACGATGAGGATAAATTGTGGTACAAAAGTGTAGGAGTAGATGATGGTGCTAGTTTTGAGAAAAACGTCAGGATTGATCCTTTAATAGTGCTGGCTGTTCTTTGCTGTAGCTCCTGTATGCGGCGGGCATAATCTATGACGTAAGCGGGCCCACCCCGAAAGCCCGAGATATTTCGGCAAAAGCAGTGGTATTCGGGGCTGACAGTATACGGCTTTTCACGGTAGATGAATACATGATTACGCTCGGCGATAACGTATACTTTCGTTATAGCCTAGAATGCTGGCGAAAGCGGCATCTTGTCTCTTATAGAACAGGATTATTCTATTATAATTTAAGCCAGTTGCGTCAATAGGAGATGCCCGTACTACAGTGTTAAGCTCGCAAAGCTCATCCTCTTCCACCTACATTGATACGGGTTCCAGAACTACAAGGAAGACTCTTGTTATCCTTGAAGCTACTGAAGTCCAGTGTGGCTCTGTGATCGACTATGTCAAGAACGACGCCGAGCTCTCCAATCTTTAATTACACTCCATGATCGACGAGTTGATCATTGACTCAAATCACCCTTTGCAAACCCAGTAAATGTTGGCTGTAAGCCTCAGGCTTAATAGCCAGTACACTCGGCTCTATGCGGCCCCACTACGTGGGATAGCGAGAGCTGGTACACCGACGTGGTGCTACGCTTGAATTTTCACTTTCGCTTTTCGCTTCCGATAAAAGTGACAGCAGGTACTGAGCTTTCCCGGAAACACGGTTCTCTGATGGTCGGCTGCTGACCTCAACGATATTGCAGCAATACAACGGGGTGAAGGACAAACTAAACCTCTAAGCAAATAGCCCCACTTTCAGCTGCATCATGTGGTCATATTAAGCGTCGGGATGAACATGGCGAAGACAAGTATACAGGAGTTTAAGACACTATAATCCACGTAACTCGGTCGTCTTGTCATACGAGTGGATACGAATGGATATTTAGTAATATTTGAGAGACTGAGAACCAAGATCTGAGTGTTGAAAAGGGAACTTGTCTTCGATTTTCACAATACGCTCTCTCAAGAAACACAGTACTTGAGGCAGAAAGGGAAGCACGTACATATACTTACGGTAATTTATCATGACTCATCGAAGCTACATTGGTGTGATGAGATTCTAGCCCGATAGGGAAAAGTGGGGCACCGTGAGATAAGAAGAGATAGTATCGCGGTAAATTGTCGGCATTCCATTCCAACTATGAGACTGCCGTTGAATGGTCAGCAAACGGCGAGTTGAGATCTCAAACCCATCGAGCTTCTGCATTTGAGATCAAATTCATTATTGAACACAGAAGCTGTGAGGCTTCAAGCTCCATTGAGACGATGATCCAGAATTACTTGGACATTGCACAAGCATCAGGAATGCATTATGTATGTCCTTTGTGTGTTGATAAAAGCTTTGAATACTTCAACACTATGGATCTCTTTCGAGACCATTGTCAACGTACCGACGATCAACAGCACCAAAATCTCAAGTCGAACGACCCAATAATTCTTTTTCCCGCCTACAAAGCCGCTATGAATCGTCCAGGAGATGAAAAGTTAACTTTGAAACGCAATCCATCCGGACCTATATCGTACCATCTATCTTTCGCGATTGACGAGGTATTCCGGGAAAGAAGGTTGATATCCTTTCTATCACCGCAGGTCACCAACCTGAACTAAAGAATGGAGCAGATTTGACATTGCGCCCTAATAAGAATACATTGACGAAATTAGCGCTGCTAGCTAAGTCAGTGCCTACGACAGCTGTGGTGCGTCGGCCGAGAGGATAAACCTGACAGAAAGTTTTAGTCGTACATGTTGAGACTACTTTGTCATACTTATTTGTTCAAAGGATGTTTAACTAAAGCAAATGGACTATGTCAATTAAGACTGTTGGCCACCAAAGCAGGCAAAAAAAGGATTGACAAAATGAAACCAATAATATGGAGTCCCATGTTGGTGCGAGGAACCATGTTTTCCCATATTGTTGTGGCCCTGAGGCTTGAACTTCATAAGAGGACCTGGACTTCGGACTCCTGAAGTGTACGACGCAGATGCCGAAATGACATTCTGCGCTGATCCGATTTTGCCTTTTGAAAAGTCGAAAATTGCGGGGGAAAGAAAATGTAACGCATCTTGTGTTTTGGTGTTTATGTTCTGTCGATAGTACGCGAAATCTATAAGCTTGCCAAATTCTCTTAGTGCATCTGTCTCAAGCCCGCTCTCTTTAACCCCATTAATAATGGCTGTCAGAGAGTAGTAGTTGCGACGAAGGTAAAAGGCCTGTGGTAATTTGTTAGGGCTGTAAGCAACGAGGTCCCATTGTTCAACATACCTGTGCAAGCTGATCAACTTGGGAAACTACATCAATCCTAGCAGCTAGACAATACTTGATATCATTGCTGAAGCTACTCCATCTTCTGTTTAACGAAGACCGCGCTTGTTCTAGCTTTGATGTGTCCTGATTCTTGGTGAACGCAACTGTGATGTACAGGGAGAACAAGGTCTGATCTTGCTTCGTTATAGCCTCGGCGAGAGCAGGAATTGACAGCCCCCATCTTATTTGCTCTAAAAAGTAGATGTTTGTATCAAATGGAGAGTCCCAGTCGACTTGAGAGGCCATGCAGTAATAGTCATGGAAACGATAAGTCAAGACTTCTAAATCTTTAAGTATCTGGGGGACGGGTGATGGCTTCCCGAGTAGCTGCTGCAATGGATTGATGATGACGCGATCCAATATTTTGTTGAGCTTTTTGGTCAATCCCTCTATCCCTGCGTCCGAGGGTATAACGCGCCGTTTTTGTTGCTTCACGAGTAGGGTTTGCCAAGTGTGTTCGATTGTGGTAATTATGAAAGGGTCGGATTCAATTCTTTCCAAGATCTGCAATTTGTTAGGAAGTCCGTAAATGGAAAGGTTGACCGGTTGATTATGACTTACTGTTTTCAGCTCTAACAAAACATCGCGGTGTTTTGGTGCCTTCAGTACATCGTAGTAGAGTTTGATACTGAGACGCTCATATTTTCCGTAGAAAGCCTCGATGGAGTCAGACTGGATGCCAGATGCTTCCCGCACAAATTCTTTGAAAGGATTGCTCGTGAAATTGTGGCCGCTCCTTCTGAAGGCATCTGTAGCGACTGCACCATTGCCCTCATTAAGGATACGAGACAGGCCAAGCCCCCATTGCTTTGAGACTGGAAGGTATTCCTCTTGATGAGCGGAAAACACATGCAGCCCCTTCAGCCTGGCGTACCGGTCATGGATGAGCCCAAATTTGGAAATTCTAGAGATTGAAACTTTGTCATCCCCAAGCAAAATTTTCTCTAGATCCTCCGGCCGCCAGCATTGTCGCAAGTCGTCTTCGTCTTGATCGCCCATTTCGGTGAACGTTTCTGTGGAACCATTTGTCAAGGCGCAGGCGGTGTTTAAGGAGGAGTTTGAGCATTCTGGTGTAATGCCTAGGTAGCCACCATGTCAGCTCGCTGTTAAGATCAAAGCTAGGCTTTCTCCATCGTCCAGAGAATTATCCCCACTGGGACCCTGCTCAATATCATAATACCCCCTCCAATCCAGCGTGGTATCCTCAGCCCCCTCACCAGCCTCAGTACTCAGCGCCCAACGGATGGCCATGTTCACAATACGGTTCAAATGAGAGTTCTATCCCACCAGGTCATGACCCTTGCTCATCAAGAGAACATCAATTTGGATATCAACATCCAAATCTTCATAGGTGAGACGGCATGTCTTGTGTTCCACTCTTTATGCTGGAATGAAGCAGCGTAAAGGGACTCGTTATTATCCGAAGCTTACGATAACGATATTTCAGACAATACTCTTTGAACAAATCTGCCAGAACGCCGATGGAGTATCCAATAGCCTCCAGTGGTCTAGTAGCTTAGTGGCAATTATAGATTGATCGTTCAATCTTGACTACAAGATCTTTATGCATGCTTTTAACCAACAGTGGTAAAGAAAATGGTTTAATAGCGAAAACCTTGCACTTTTGCACGTTGTAATTCATTTTCACAGGCCTACCAACTAATTAATCGGGAAGGCTCCACTCTTCAGGTACTCAAATAGTTACTCTTCTCCTAAACCCCGCTTTTTTTTGACATAGTTCTCGGTAGATTAGTCGAGCTCATTTACTATTTTCAAGCTAAAGAGACACTGTCTCCTGCTTTGACATACAGAACAAATAGTATTCATTCCATTTTTTCTATTGATTGGCAACAACCCCGATGTAACATGTCCCTTCCCTCAACACGTCTGCGGAATTCAGATGTCTTCAATGATGTTTGTCTACACAACATAACCACCGGGCGCATAATTCACTAAAATCGTCTCAGTAGTCGGTCACAATTAACAAGCGTGGGCTTCACCCCACCCATTGATACATGGCTACCTACTGCCTCACGAACTTTGGAAACAGCAAAGAAATTTCAGACCCCACTTCCGATGTCTTACTTTTACATACCAACCACAGCGCTTGGTCTTTCTATTGAGAGCACTTACCCTCAATTGAATGATATTCAGGAATCAAGAACACGTTTTCCTGAACCAGACAATCCTGACACGTCAATGCTTGCTTCACTTGCTTTTCCAAGCATTGAAGATAAAACGGAGTCAACAGCAGACTTTGCCAAAGAAATGACGAAAACATCTTCCGCAGTCATCTCAATAGAAGGCTTTCGAGATGATGAAGCAACAGATGGTAAGACAAAGCATTTACAATTGACAACTGTACAATCGGCTAGAGCTAGTCTGTTTTTATCTGACACTCTTTACAATCCGGGCTATTTGTCGATGCTACCACCAATGAGTAAAGAGACGGCCCTTTGGACCGATACTTCTCCTCTCTCCTATGACCCCACTTTTATCTCCGTTGGATCTTCAACATTTTTGTCACCAGCAACAGAGGAAGTGAAAGAAAATTCGCAAATGTCTTCGATGGTTTCTTTAGTAGAAGGAGCTCCAAATTTGAGTAATGCGTACCCCCAAGCCAACCCGCCTACGCGATTCGCCTTTGAACAGATTTGGCCTACTCGCAAATCGCCTGAAAGCTCACTATTCCGAGAAAGCTTGGATCTGCCTAGTAGCATCCACAATAATCACAAATATATGAATTCAAGGTCTTCATCGGCGTTGGAGTCTGTTAGCGCTACGCAAGAAGTGAAAACAAGCCCGATTTCACACTGCTCGCCCAGCATATTGACCACATATATCTCGGCCATTCAAGACCCTGAAGAAAGTCCGAATTCAGATTCAATCCAGACTTCTCAAGCAAATAGTTCCATGACTTCGGCCACATCTGATGCGAAGCCAACCAATGTAAACGATTTGACAATGGCTGGAAGCAAAGCGTCTCGTTATATTCAGAAGCAAAGTCTAGGAATAATCCTGGGAAGCATCTCTGGCGCTGGGGTAATGCTCTGTGGCATTATTTTCTTATATCGGCCATGCTATCAGCGTTTTAAAGAGGCTAGGAAAGATACCTCTCGGATTGCGAATGACTCTGAAAACCGCAATCATGGTAATAATTCATTTGCCCGTCATTCCGAATACCGGGAAATTTCACGTTTCTCGGTGGACTCATAGGGCCTTTCCTTTTGTCCCATTTCCGTTTGTAAGCAGTCATAAGGATTCGTGACTTCAGCATTTTCAATTATAAAAAGCACATAGTTCTTGATATTTCAACAACTTTGGTGTTTTGCTGCAAGTCTGACTTCTTGCTTTGGCGCCTCAATAGTTGGCATGTTGCTCTTAATGCAAGTCATATCCCTGACCGGTTTGGTTGACGACATGATCGGCTTCACGGCGAGTTACCCCAAGCGGCCATCTTTGCAGCTTCTTCATGCCTGGATAATGCTGTTGAATTTTTCCGAAACAACCACTCGCCTATTATAGGGACGTTTTACCTGCTTGCGCGGCTTTATGAGATTGATGTAGGGTTTTGCAGTGACTCGGCGGCTTGGTTAAAGGTTTGAAAAGGCTTTTCGTAATAACGACACACCAAGTCTCCCTTTCATTTGGCTGAAGGCCTCAAGCTTCAGGCTTCAGACTTATCGATAAATTATTACGATTGTGAATCAGATAGATACATTCGAGTGTAAAAGTGGTAATACAGAAGAGTGTTGCTTTCAATTGACATCCGTTGCGTTTAATTTACACACTACATAACGAGCCTGGTTAAAGGGATAAAATGGGCGCAGCCCTCGCAAATTTCTTTCTTATTATTTGGGTCTTCATCATCTTGGGATTGATTCTCGTCTAGAATTGACGTTACCTCCTCCCTTGGAGATCAAAAACGACACTATCATAACACTTGATCTATCAATTGATGAAACTCTCTTTCTTCGGTAAGCAGGCCTTCCTTTGCACTGCTTGATCTGACCGTTCTCACGCGTAGCAGGAGATTTAACTTCTTTCAATCAACCTAACGATTTGGTTCTCCACAAACCAAATACAGCATCAAAGAGAGACGCTTCCCCGGCGCCTGTTTCTTTGATGTCGAAGGTGTTCGAACTTAGCACTTATTCTTGCAAAGGAGACAATTCGCCTTCCTTGGATGTTCACCGGACGGCAAAAGGTCTAAGTGATGTTTCGAACAATATGCCGGCAATGCACCCAAGCGACTCTGGCACCAGTTAATCTACTCAGCTGCGCGCAAAATGAAAACTTCATATCCATCGATCAGCTTGTGCTAGAATTATGGATGGAATGCTCTCTTGTCACTCTAAGTGACGGTTCGGAATTTTTTGGAATGTTACTGTAAAGGGAATAACTTTATAAAGGGAATAACTTTAATACGCATAAGACGAAAGGTTCCATATTTAGCCTCACAGATGACATAAAGCAGACGAGTCTGTTGTTTCGGACAAGAGCTGGTTGGGAGGTATGCCAAAGTACTCTTGCCGCCCAAGATATCAGTGCCATTTTTCTTACACAATCCCGTCGATCCCATGACCTTGATCTATTAATTTTACCCTCTTCCTTCATCCGTCACCTGTAGAGAGTGTTTACCTCCAATCTCTACGACTAATGACGTGGAGCCCAATTGTTATTACAACCGGCGCTTTTTCTTGCTCAAGGGGGGTTCTAAGAATTGGACCATGCGTCGAGTTCCGCGGAGGCAGAAACATTTTCTTCGTGGAGGCCATGTAAGCATTGAGTGATCGGGACGGCCAAAGCGCGCAAAGGCTTGCTGATTATCAAGCATTTCTTGCACGGATCTTGGGAAGCCGCCAACTTTCCGTCGAAAGGAGGAACTAGTAACTTCAATCGAAATTATCTCTTCCAGGCTTTTCACATGGAATGCGACTTTTTTGCGGTAATAACCGCACTCGTAGCAGCCGTCATCCTCTTCAAGAAGGCCAAGAGAATGACCCCGAGCAGTTTGAAATTGCCCCCCTGGGAATTCTTCGATCACTCTTCTGAGCACACTCCTAGGTTGTGAGTTTCTGCAGAGAACCGATCCCTGACAATAATACGATCCATTATTGAGGACTGGCTTTTGGTCGATTTCGAAGAAAAAACAGCCGGTAACCAAGACTGCACGGACTAAATCATCAGGCACATTGTATGTTGATTTTGCCAAGTCTACCAACTTGTCCACGTCGTCCAGTCTGGGAAGGGGGCAAGTGACAACATGATTTAGCCGATATATATCCTCCCTCAGGTGATCTGGTATATAGTTTAGTGCCTCATAGAAACCCTGCTCACCATCCATGGAGGGGGAAGACATAGCTGCCCGAAAGAGGCGAGGGACGGCTCCATCCTTAAAGATGTTCCCAGTATGATGACCGTCGCGGCCACAATCCGAAGTGGATCCGGTGCCTACCGATATGAGAAGATCATGTCTTCCCGCTGTGGGCCAGATAATAGCAGACTCCTTCAAGGCAATGGAAACAGGATTATTTGCACGCACGCCACCGTCCTGTAAAGGACCAAATCCAGGGAGAGTTTTAGTTTTGAAAAACCTAAATTCTTATTAACAAAGACGTGTTTTGTTCGATCAAATAAGCTCACCAAGGTGCCGCGACGCTACATCGAGCACTTGAGAATTGTTACATGTCAGCGCACCGATCAGAAACGGAAGAAAGAAAGAAGCAGCGGTGCAGGCTTCAAGAATTAAAAATTCCATAAAGAAAAGGAAAACTCACGCTTCCCAAAGGAAAGGGTCCTCGTTATGTTTCTGAGGTTTGAGGAATATATATGCTGCCTCAACCGGACGAGGCCCAACCCCCCTATAGTTTGCTATAACGCATGCTTTTCCATCGGATATTCGACTCGCAATGATAGCAACCCGACTGCTCGAGCCAGAAGTCGTACCAAAATCAAACATGCGCCGGTCTGAGCCCAACCCATCTTTGAGCACGTTGTCCAGATTTTTCCCATCGTATTGGCCATCCGCCAAGAGTCCCACGAAGCACTTTAGCCATTTTGGGCATTTGAACATTGATCTTTCCTGAAAAAGATTCAACTGGGAGCCAAAGGCCTTTCGAGCAAATTCTGGGAATTTGCGAAAACATTGTTCTACCGAAGATTCGTTGAAAATGATGTCCATGATATTCAGTCCCCCTGGGATCCAACATATTAGCGATTAGGGGCCTCGGCAGATCATGGTGAACCATTACAGGGTAGAACCAGTATCCAACGTACCAACACTTGTACCGGCGCAAAGATCAATTATTTGAGGCAGCGGTATCTCTTTTCCCAGCCTTTTCTCCAATGATTGTAATAATCCCAACTGAATTATCCCTCGGATTCCTCCGCCATCCAGGCTGAGAACGACAGGAGGCTTTGTGGGAGGGAGATGGCGAATTGATATTTGTAAACTTTGGCTGCACACTGGGCAATGGGGAATGTCAAAATGATATTCTGCGGTCTTACTTGGCAACCCGAATATAACTACACATGTATCGCAAATTGCATGATGACAAGGGAGCATATGCTCTGGCGATCGACATAGACATAGAAAGCATGAAATTGTCGAGTAAAGACCTTTCCATTTGTGATAAAAGTCGCTTAAAGCGGTTCTTCTGATACTTGCTGAATTTTGAGCAGGGCTCATTTCTCGGGAATTTCGACCCAATTGGGCCATTATGGAGCTGCAAAACAATGACGGGTCAAGCCCTGTACGTTTATTCCAAGCCTCCCAGCATTGGACTTTGTAAAGGTGGTCGAAGACATCTTCGTGACGGAAGCCTGGATTATTAACTTGTTAGTAGATAGTTCATCTATCAGGTGAAGTATGAAGTTGGTGCTCTTCGAGAGGTTTGTGAGTTATATTAATGATTCCTTACGATGCATCCCAGGGGGGTACGCGTTCATTAGCAGTGCGGAAGCAATAAAGGCATGAATAGCTTCAGCAGTGCAGCCCAAGTCATTTGCGTGGTCTAGAAAGCGCACCAAATGATCTGCGGAAATCCAGTTTAGCATGTGGCTTTCGCGCGCAAACTGGAGACAGTCCAAAGTCATTTTCCCCGGGCTTCCCATTTCCAGCTCAAGCGTTCGACTCCAGAGGGCGCACAAGTGTAGGCTGGAGAACGATATACCCTGCTGAATTCGCTCTGCGCGGGAAATTTGGACCTGATCGAGAACGACACGCCGTAAGGGCTCAAAAGCTGCCTTTGGGGATAGCATCAGACGGTGTCGAAGGTCTAGAAAAACGATTTCCAGCTTAGTATCTCCATTCAAATACTGCGAAAAGCATTTAGTAATGGTATCAGCGTCCGATTCTTCATTGCATGTGAGGGCAATGATAACGCGCGTTAAGCTGGGAGCTGATCGAGAGCCAATTTTGATGTTGGGACGTGGACCGTCAAGCAACTCCAGAACCTTTCGCATCTCTGAGGAAGTGTTTACAAAGAAGCATAGGACCTGTGCCCATGTGAAAATGGCACTCCTGATCACATGTTGCTTTATATCTGCTAGGGACGGCGTCTCCTTTTGAGATATATGGTATCGCTGAAATTTTTCCGTTGACCAGCGACATAATCTTGATTCACCTACTCCTGAATCATTGAATAAATTGCTTTCTGCAAAAAAGACTGGGTATTCAGTATTCGCGGTCTGTGTACTGATATGCAACCGAGTCAATCCAGCTGGCCCCCTCCGTGTTATGTTGTTATGAGGAAACAATGCTTGGAGTGCTTTGATCCTATTTCCATTACCTGCGAACCAGATCAGTGACGGGTATTGCGTTTCAGGGTGACTCAATCCCTCCACTAGCGTCTCCAGACGCCCTGTATCCACTAAGGTCCAGCCAGTAGCTTCTGGTACGAGATCAAGCCACACCGCCATTGGGATGATTTTATCTATTGCAGAATTGCACATTCGGGACACCAGTAGCTTTTATACGTAGCATTGCGGGAAATACGTGATTAAAAGTGTTGATTTTTGGCGCCCTCATTTTTGGAAAAACATGATTGATAGTTGATAGTTCAAGATTGAACTAGCGAAAGAAAAGAGGTGAAATTATGCTATTGCTACTGCGACAAGAAGTGCCTTTTTTGACCTGACTAATGAGATGTCTTCCACCACGAATCACAAAGCATCACAAAGCCTTTGATTCTTCAAGCAAGCATGATATCTCTATTTTGATGGGATAAAGCCTCACAAGTACTGTAATTACTATTACTTTTTGATCTAATAGCACCAAATTTGCCTCTGAAAGAGTGCTTAATGGCACTGCGATCCATGACCTTGGGGGGTACAATGTACTAGGTAAATGCACAATCTCGTCTTCGTATACAGAATGAATTTTTTTATTGTAAATATCAATTGATGATCAGGCCCTCAATTTGGCAAAGTTTCTGGAGACACCCATATACTCCACAATACAGAGATTTTTTGCTAACACATGTGTTTGTTTTTAGCCCGCATTTAGCGGTGGCTTGAATATGCTATGCATATGGCAAGAAGTCTCGTTTATATATCTATTCATTTCTCACTTGATCTACCAAATACTTTTGCAATGTTAATCTGGTGGTCGAAGCTTTCTCGGTTTTGGTTCAAGGTATGGCGAAGCAGGTCTGCCATCTCTTGCGGCAAGAGCTTTCAAGAAAGATGTAGCAGATGTGGACAAATAGATCTGGGCACATTATACACGCAGATGCTCAAAGAGGAAGCGCAGATGGATTTGAAGTATAATCTATGCGCTGGTGTGGCCAACTGGGTGCTCCTTGCGGGGTACCTTGTGGTTCCGGGCACTTTCACATCCTTGAAAGAATCCGATGAAGTTGAACTAACACTGCAGAAGAATGACGCAGGGCGTGTTCTCTTGAAAGCCATACAAAATCCCCCACTTTTAGTAATCGCCTGCATTTTCCTAGTGGCTGGGATTCTGATACTCGGGTGGCTCTCGGCCGTTTTCAAAGACAGCTATACGTGGCTGATTAATCGAATCTTCATGTAAGAGGCCCACCTTGGATGTGAGCAGTTGAAATTAATAAACATGCCAGGCCAGCTTGCCTGAACGCCGCAGCCGGATTGTTGACAACTGTAATCAATGTCTCAACCTCGCAATCTGGTGAATGTTCTGTGATGGCAATTATGACATTTCTCGTCACAGGAATCACCTTCCTTTCATTTCTCACCATCCTTGGCGTTTATAAATTTTGGAAATTGAGAAAGGTTATTGAGAATGACGAACTTCAGCATCTATCAAGTCTGCCAAAGCGGTTCCTTACAAGCATCAGGAGATTTTCGCTTACAAGAATATCTAAAAGCTCCTAAAACAGCGATAAAGGGTCTCGAATATATTTAGACTATGTTTATAGCTACTTTTAGTCTATATTTAAGAAGAGCAATGGAGCAACAGCTCATTCAGAGCAATTTAGGGCATTCTGTACTCTTCCAGCAATTAGAAAAAAAGTTATCTCCTTGACTATTTTTCTATCACTTGAGATCTTAGAGCCCACCAAGAGTGTGTACATGTAAAAATGTGTATATGGAAAAGCAAAGATGAATGAACATTACTGTATGTACAAACCATAGGCTGGCGACGACTTTCACCTCCCCGTGGTGCCGACTGGGAACCTGTGAATGCCTTGCCTGGAGGTATTTGCAAAACTAAGAAGACTCACTACCGGCCAACACTGTCCGCTAGCTAGGGCTACGGCTGGAGTAAGAGCTCAGGGGTCAGGGGCCCTGACCCCCTTGGAGTGCTCTCGGGCTGCTCTGCTGAAAGGAGGATATCGCTGGGTCTGAGGAAACAGAAACGACAGAGCCAAAAACAAAAACGCGAACGACACGGCACGACCCAGCATGCTTGAACCCCCACAGAGAACGACGAGGTACTTTGGTTAGTAGGAGGGACAACACTGTGTTGCTTGGCTGTTCTGGGTACAGAGAGGATACAACTGGACGAGCTCCTGTGAGACACGGTCAGCCTTGTCAGAACGATCTTGCAAGGTAGCGCGAAACAGAGTTGACAACCTGTGGGGCGCAGCATATAATGGAAGCGACGGAAGACTGGGTGGGCGGACTGCAGTTACGACACTTTCTAGGGCTCGAGAGGAGGGACGCGCGTGTCGGTCTACTGAGAGAATATGATTCTGAAGATGACCATCGAGGATGGAGTCTTTAGGGCGGCTATGGAAGTAGGCTTAAGGTGCAGACTGGTATTGACTTGCGGAACCTGCTGTGCCCCGCGAAGGATGCGGAAAAGGATCGAAGGGGACGTAAGGTGGAGGGTCTATGTAGGTAGACATGCTGCCATCTCTACAATGTATTATCCGACTTGCTTAGCTTAGGAATACAGATCAGTTCTTGACAACGCGGCAGAAACGGATCAGTGGGCATGCGGACAAGCTAAAGAAACCGTGGAGCACTTCCTCTTTCGATGTCGGAAGTGGACGGCGCACCGGACGGAACTACTACAATGTACCAACACCACCCCCCCCCGGGAGGAAATACGCCTTCCGATGATCGGAAGTGGACACCCAACTTAGAGGCGGCACCGTGTAGACATTGACATGGGCGGCCCATGGATATAGGGAGTGGTTTTATTGGGGTTGCCTCACAATGCCTGTAACCTCACCATGTCTGTAGTTAGCCTCACGTGATATCTACACCGACATTTCTGAGGGCCTCTTCCTCCTACAACTGCCTCACGAGAGTCAGTTGCTGGCCTCTGCGGGTAGCTCGTCATCTCTCACGCAGTCAAGTGTCAATTTTGTGTTTCACGTCCTTACCGACGGCTACAGCACCGATAAACCCTAAGGCCTGACTATATCCCCCTTCACCATGACGTTCAGCCAGTCTAGCAGTGTCACTCCCGCCCCGCTCGACTCCGCTTGGCCGCCGGCCCATATCTGGGAAACCATGGGTGCGGCCGACCGTGCCAGTTGGTTAGGACAGATACAGAGAGACAGGGCTAGGCGCCTTGAATTAGATGTCGCAGAGACCGATCTACGCCGCAGGAGGCCTCGTGCGGACCTACAAGATGACGATACTCCCGAGGAAAACCGTGAGCCACCCCCTGAAGTCAAACCACTCATCGACATATTTCCGGGTGTCTCCGCCGCCCTTCTTACGCGCGTCTTCGAGAGGAAGTTGAAGGCGACTGAACTCATACGCTTCAAAGAGAAGTCAGTCACCGAGCTGGATCAGGATGACAGAGTCTTCAAGATGACCGAGTCGGGAGGCACAGTAGGCTTCAAGAAGGCAACAGCGTCGCTTAGGGACTGGGGCCCTAACCCTCAAATATAGACGACCTGCTTTCTTGCCTATCTGGCCGTTGTGGGATATCTCTTCGGCGAGAAGCATCCTAAGGCAGTTCCCAACCTACTTATGTTTATGAGGCAGATCCTGGACTTCGCTCAGACTTATCAGTGGTCGGAAGCAGTTCTCCCACTTGCCCTTAATTTCCACCAATATATACTGGATAAAGGAGAGCTATCGACGGACAACTACCTGGTCATAGGCCCATTTCGCGAGAAATACCTCCGCCACAATCTCACCCTACCTGCGAAGTCACCAACAAACCCTCCAATCCGGCCTTGTCAAGCTAGGAATACTAGATCTTCGAATAATGAGTTAGAGATTTGCGACAAGTTCAATATAATAGGGTGCTCCTGGGAAGGCTGCAAGAGACGTCATGAGTGCACGGCATGCGGCCTCAGCGAACATGGCGCCTACTCCTGCCGCAAGAAGAAATAGCAAGTGATAGCACTTAGGAACTGCACTAGTGGCACCGATAGCGTTGTTCTTAATCCCTTCCCTCCAAGCCTCATACCGCAGGGGCAACCACCTAGACCCAACACTGCTGCTCAATACCCCGTTTTCAACCCAGAGCTCCCAAGGTTACAATCCTCTCCGTCACCACTGTACGCGAAAGGCTGGAGCAATCTCCTACGCTACTATCCAGGCGATCTCGGCTCCACCATCGCTGGCATCCTGACCTACGGTGTCTAGGTCGGCTATAGGGGCAATAGGCAGTTTCGCTACTCCTCTAACCACCACATACACGAACCCGGTATGATCACGGCCAAACTAGCAGAGGACCTTAACCTCGGTCGTGTTCGACTAGCCTCTAGGCCCTCCTTCGTTTCACCGCTTGGGTTAGTCCCTAAGCACGATGAGGGATGGCGCCGTATCCATGACCTATCTTGGCCCCCTGGACAGGGCCTTAACCAGGGCATACCCGACTCCTGGTTAGCTATCGAATATATGTCAATCGACAAGATCTATGAGCAAGTCATACAATCTAGCCCAGGTTGCACAATCATCAAGAGAGATATTAAGGACGCCTTCCGAATAGTCCCTGTTGCCGAGGATAACCAGTATCTCCTTGCCTTCCAGTGGAACGATTCCACTTATGTTGAATGCTGTCTCCCCTTTGGCCTCGTAACGGCTCCATTTCTCTTCAACCTCTTCGCCGAGGCACTCCATTGGATACTCCAATGCCTCCTACCTTTATTCTACATCAATCATTACCTAGACGACTTCATCGTAATTACCCAGTCTCCCTTAGTGCCCGACCCCACGGGTCCCTTCGACGAGGTTTATAACAGAGTCACCGACTACCTACGTATCCCTCGCAATACTAAAAAGGACCGGCAAGGAACCTGCGCTATAGTCCTAGGTATCTAGATCGACTCTATTATAATGGAAGCTCGTTTGCCACCAGAGAAGTTGTGCCGCGCCACATTGGACGCCGCAGCTGCCCTGAATGCGGCGAGTCTCTCCCTTAAGCAAATAGAGCGCCTTATAGGCTTACTAGCCTTCTGTTCAAGAGTTGTCCGGCTTGGAAGAACAAGGTTACAGTCCCTATACACCTTCTAAGCCTCTTTCCCATATGGGAGTAGCGCGCGCCGCCGTATCCCTTACGAGGTACGTGACGATTTGGAATGGTGGAGGGACTCCTTGTCTCTCTTCAACGGCGTACTCCTGATTGACCCCTGCCGCCGCACTATTACGCATCTCTATATAGATGCCTCTAGTATAGGCTAGGGGCTCTTCTTCTTCTCATCTAAGTCTACATCAGACTGCTGGCTAGCCCATTGTCACTAGCTTCATCAAAGCAATGCTACCACATTGGCCCTTGCTCAAGACGTATATGCGCACATTAATACTCACGAAGTAGACGCTATCCTATAAGGCTTCCTACTTTTCAGCCACTATTGGCTCCATCATACTCTCGTTATCCATATAGATAGCTCTATAGCGCACACGGGACTTAAGAAAGGCTTCCTTCATGGTCCGTCTAACGCACCTCTGAAGAGCCTACTTATCCTAGCGGCGGCGAGAGACATCCACATCGTGCCACACTGGCTCCCCTCCCGGGAAAATACATTAGTAGATACGCTCTTACGTAATAATCTTGAAGATATTGCTAACATTTGTCCCCACTGGCAGGACCTCTCGGTATTGAACCGCCCGCGTGGTTCTCTTCACGAGCTCCTCAGCTCAATATAGGCCACCTGAAACTGCTCTAGAACGGACTCAGCGCTAACACACGTTCCGTCTACCTCTCCGTTTAGCGTAATTACGAAAAGCACTGCGCGCTTCAGAATTTATCCGCATGGCCAGTTTCAAGATATTCATTGACCTTATGGCTAAGCGCACGACTCCTTGGTAACGCTAGTCAAAAGGCCGTCAAGCCTGACACCGCACTCGCCGACCTAGCAGCTCTCCGAGCCTACTATATCGACAATTTCCTTGACGATAAACTCTTTGATAACAAGCATTTCCGACGACTAATAGACGGCGCGAGAAGACTCAATCCCATAACAAAAGTACGGGTCAGAAAACCGATTTCGCGTGACACTATTACGAAACTATCCGCGGGCCTCGTCGCACTGCCGTTACGTCCCTTAGACATGACTACGAACCTCCTAGATGACCTAAACTTCGCAACCGCGTGTCGGGTAGCATTTGCTGGGTTCCTCCGCCTCGGAGAATTCACCTATAAGACTGAAGACCTTAGCACACGTTCTATCTTCTCCGCCACAAAGTTAACGCGCTCAGACGTCAGATTCTCGCCCTCGTTAGACCACGCGCAACTCACACTTAAGCGCAGTAAGACGGACCGCCGTCACGAAGGGGTGTAAATTATCCTTGCCAAGACGGGAGATGGCGCATGCCCAGTTGACGCGCTTCGGAAACTGCTACTTCTCGACCCCAGAGGGCCGGACGCCCCATTGTTCTCCTTCGGCAGAAGACCATTTAGCCGTAACAACTTCCTCTCGACCTTATCTACTAAGCTAAGAACACTTAGGATACCGACACACGGCTATTTAGGTCATAGCTTTCGGAAGGGTGCGGCTCAGCATGCGCACGATAGTGGGATACTCGACGACCAGATTCAGATGCTAGGGAGATGGACCTCGGAGGCGTTCAGGGTCTATTTTACGACGAACGCGTCAGTTCTGTACAAGCTCAACCACCAGTTCCAGACAGGCTCGCCCGCACCGCTGTCTCTGCTGCTTCCACCACCGTCCCCTCCACCATCCTAGTTTGGCCCGGGTCATTTGGGCCTATCTGACGCTACGGTCTACGACCGCAGCGATAGGTGACCTGTTGCGGCCAAACTAAACTCTTCTTGCTCTCCTTGACTGCGTGAGGTCACCAATAAAGGGAGTGGTTTTATTGGGGTTGCCTCACAATGCCTGTAACCTCACCATGTCTGTAGTTAGCCTCACGTGATATCTACACCGACATTTCTGAGGGCCTCTTCCTCCTACAACTGCCTCACGAGAGTCAGTTGCTGGCCTCTGCGGGTAGCTCGTCATCTCTCACGCAGTCAAGTGTCAATTTTGTCCCTCCCACCTTCCCTCTGTATATAGGATCCACTACAATACAGACACATTGCCTCCCTACAAGGGAGCGCGGACGGGCCTATCTGACGCTACGGTCTACGACCGCAGCGACAGGTGACCCGTTGCGGCCAAACTAAACTCTTCTTGCTCTCCTTGACTGCGTGAGGTCACCAATAAAAGGGGACTGAAAATCTGCCCATGGATGGTAATATATACATATATTACATATATTAATCGACATTTCCAAAAAATTTCATGGTAATTACATAAAAATCCAAAAATCTTGCCCATGGGCAGGAAAAAAGTGTCCATGGGCATGCCCATGTCAATGTCTAGCGGCACGGGCCTCAATATGTTTCGCCATCGCCACGGGGCCGACTCGAGGCCACCTAACCATGCCGACGAACATAAATCACCCCCCTTTCGCCGATCCGACCCACCAACCACCTCGTGTTACAGATGGTAGACGCGCTTCAACTGCCGAAAATAGGATGTTGAACACTTGGAGAAGCGCCTTCAAGCCAGCCTACTAACAAAATTCCTAACCCACGAGGATGCGCTGCGACACTGCTTGCTGGAAATGACGTATATGGCAAGGTTTTATGTATGGGCTCTAAGGAGACACAGTGCTGTATGTATTATGACATGTATAGTAGATCAGCGATAGTTGCCCTTTCGGCTTAGCCGCTGGGCGTTATTGAATTGTGTGTGTCTGTACAAATCATGTATCTCAAGCTGTAACTCCCATATATGGGCTCCTTTTTATTGACCGATTTTCCTTGATGTGGACAGGGCTGTAGTCTTGTGTTCAGCTGATGGAATTTCTAAATCGCTCGTTGCCTAAGGATCGGTTGCCTTCGGGCCGACGAATAAGAGAACCCGCAAGATTGCAACCATTAGGGAACTTCCTTGGAATTCTAAACTATAAATCCAAGTTCAAAATATTGTAATTCAAGGAATTGTACGTCTTCTCATTTTCTGTTCATTTAAGAGTCCCATCGTATACGTTGCATGAGACGATTCCAAATTTCGATGCGTCGCTCAGGAAAGCAAACAGCAGGCGGTTTTGGAATAACCAAACCAGGTGAAGAACTGGGCTCATAATCAGTCGGTGTCCTGTGAACCGCAGGCTGCGAGCGTGACCTCTGTAAAGGTTAGTCTTTACGGGGTATTTTCCGCGTATCACAAATCTTACTATTTCTTCCTTAGATGGAACAGGAACATTGGGGTGGGAATGGTATGTGTAGATCCTTCCATTTGGCATTTCCATGGTCAACCAGCTCCGAATAGCGTATAGTCTCCAAAAGTCATTATGGCGTCGGAGAAGATTGTTCCGACGCTTTCGCAGCTGTTCCTGCTTAACGCGGCTCATAACTGGAGCCATACATATAGCCCTCAAAGTCAAAGTAAAAGTCCAGCCGGTGAAGATATATTCTATGCAATTGAAGGCAAAAATAATAGGTCATTTGCAACAGGGATCGTCAGGCATAATAAATGGCGGTTTCGGTTAGACAGATTAACAAGCTCAGAAGTCCATCACAGGTCAAATGAGAAGCCTCACATTTTAATGGCCCATCAACCTAACGAAATCAACGTCCATCATTTTCATATCTTTCGTGACTGATCATCTCCTTTTGAACCCCATCTTAATCATAGTTCATTAAATGCCCCGATCATCTAGCAAAATCTGGAGACGTAAAACAATAATGGCCATTCTACAATATATGGTCATTGTCAAAATACAAAAATGCCCCTTAAAATTTCAAGAGATTTTTTTGTAAAGTTTCTACGGCCTACTTCATATAATTACGGTTCGTTTCTGAACCCTAAACCCAGTGGCTGGTTACATTTGCCCACCAATTTCTCTATTTCTATTTGACTAATTAACTATATCAAGTCCAAATCATCGAGATTTTTTCTATACAGCCATTTTTAAATTGCCTTGATCAACACATAAAGAGTGAATCTTTTCTGGCCCCGCCGCCAAGATTTCAACGTAGATCAATCATTAGACGGACCGCACAAATTTGAAGATCAGCTAATGCACACCTACTTTCAAATATCTAATCCTCCCTTGGGTAGAAGAATGCAGTCAGCTTCTATAGCAATCTATTAGGGTCTCTGATCTCATGCGGTAGGGAGTCCATTTGGGGTCTATGAGCTGGATAATCTTGGTCGCGTCGATTTCCCTTACCAGCTTATGCGGCATATGTTGGCTATCGCTCCTGAAAGGTGTATGTGGCTCGGAAAGCCTTAAAAGAGCACAAGCCGAGATCCAGTACATAATAGAAACTGCGAATAAATCAATTCTTTTGTCTTGTTTTTATTTACAGTACACAAACAAACGTCTGAGAAATCATGGAATGTAATGGCAATTGATCTACAGGACTTCTAGATTCCGTCATGGGCAACAAAAATGGAACACGACCTCAGATATTGCATTATTTGAATTCAATTCATATCGACTCATCTGCTCCTTTCTGGTGGCTCTTCGAAATTTCCGGACACTATATAATTCCACAGGCCATTGCAATTTAATTGAGTAATTTAGATCTTCTACGGCTTGGGGAATATTTTCAAATAAACAGACCGCAGATTATCGAGGGCCTGGTGGATGAGTCACGCATCAATCAAACGATGAGTGCAATGAATCCGTTCTGGACATACCTGTGACAGATCTTCTGGGCAAGCCAAGAAAACATTATATAGTTCGAGGCTGGACGGGCTCTAAACACCATATTCTTCAGTCTACACTTGCAGTCAAAGATGCTTAGTCGGCACTATCAGCGGAGTGGTGACGCAGATTCTTCCTACAATGGCACTACCCTCCGATCCAATGATTCCGATACTCTAGATCTCTCCTCGGATTACGAATCCGAGGATCTTCTGTCGGAAACGAGTGCGGACAGGGCATTTGTTGTTTCCGACACTGACGCGCTTTCATATAATTCCGACAGATCCTCTATGGAAGGAGAGGTCTCACGTGGCTTAGAAGAAGGGACTTTGGATGAGATTGAAGACGTGAGCTACTTCACGCATATAATGATGTCAATTCTCTAACAAATGATGGCAGCCATCACCTCTGGGAAAAAAGAAAGCGATTAAAGCAATCTCAAAGAGAACCGTCTTTTGCAATGGTCAGCCAGAAACGCATCTCCTAGTTCTTTGGTATTCCTGGGAGAAGAGCAGAAACCCTTCAGAGACCGAATGAGTGCGCAAGAATCCAAATACACCGCGAGTGACAGACGCGTTTTCGAAGTAACAGAGGCTTTTTTCAAATGCTGGGGAGAGTGGTACTGTATCACTTTTTTCACAATCGCGAAACTAGGGACAATTTTCCCGGTGTGCCAAGCTTTTGCCATGTTCATTGTGTGATAGATAAGGCGGCTACCTCACTCAGCTCTTTGTTAGCGCTCGTGCAGAATGTAATTTCCCTGGAAATACCTAGTTCCTAGTGGCTCCAGTTCCAGCACTGTGTACAAACTTTTGTACGGAATATCAGGAAAAATAAAGGGAGCGATTTTATTGGGGTTGCCTCACAATGCCTGTATCCTAACGTGATATCTATACCGACATTACTGAGGGCCTCCTCTTCGTACAACTGCCTCATCAGAGTCAGTTGTGGTTGGGCGTCTGCTTGAAGACCATGTGAAGAAGTTGAGCAGCCGTTTCCTTATTGGCAAGCTTAAACTGTATTTTTATCCGTGCGGCCAGGCCGAATGAGTGCTTCGTCCAAATGCTCGATGTGGTCGGCTGTCATAATGAGCACCCGGCCTTTTTGAGATGACACGCCATCAAGAACATTAATAAGGCCGGATAGGGTGACTCAAGTGCCTGAATTGCTCTCTTGATCTGCATCCGCGTCATCCCTTCGTCTCATCCCACCTCAGGAGCTTGCAGGGACAACAATTTCCCGTTTGTCTTGGTGCCTTTACCCGACACGTTGCATATTGGTACCATGGAGAACTAATGGCAAAGATGATGATCCTGAGCTGGACTGGAACGCGGCTTCAGCATGTCGTCAATGATGAGAATTCCGTCTTCTTTCATCAGAAGCGCGACCAAGCTCTGACCGTGCTTCGGTCCCACGGAGTTGTCCATGGCGACAACATATGGTGCAATATGTTGTGGGATATATTAAATGGCCGTTTAATTGTCGTTGACTTGGAAGATATGAAGTGGCTGAAACGCCCCCAGGCCCTTGAACCAACGTCTGGAAATGCACGGCATGGTCATCTCTCAAAGGCGGTAAAATGTCGGCTGATAAGAGTGGGCCTTTTTTTTTATCTCAGCCTGCATCTGGTAACCCCAAGGGCGCTTACTGCAACACCAACCCATCACTCAATACGCTTTCCCCAATCCTCTCTCCCCTTCTCTTGGCGTAGCGCCCCTAGTGGACGCTGCCACATTTGAATGGCTGCCACATGATACGGCAGGGGGCGCTTCGAGATCTCACGCGGTCCCGTTTTTATAAACGTAGCGAGGCCTGCTCCACAAAACCAGCCGACTTGATTTAATAACGGCCAATGATTTAGTATCGTATGCAATCCATGCGCTAAGTCAAACATTGAGTAGACGCCCAGGACCCCTAGCGCTTTGCTCGGTATTGGCATCTGATCGTAAGAGCATCACATATAAGATGGCTTTCGTTCAGAGAAAAGAATCTACTCTACGCCCTAGGTTATACCAAATCTCGAACTCGGAAACTTTCAGCAATTTTTTCCCCTACTTTTCTAGCCATGTCGAGGGTCGTCAAAGCTTTTCGGGAGTTCCTCGTTGCGGAGAAGACTTTTCGGAAGATTTTTGCCAAACAAACGCCCGGTAATCGCATTGCACCCCCAAGGACCAACGCAATGGATGCCAAACTCCAACTCCGGCTTGATGCCGGAGAGGTCGTGAACGGCAAAAAGGCGATTTATCTTCAGGTCAATTCGCAGGCCAAGAACGAAGCATTGAAAAAGTTCAAAAAGAAGTATGGAACTGATGCAAACCTGGCTACCGCATTCATCGATGAAGATACGCCAGAAGAGAAGCAGGAAGAGGTCTTCGAGGAGATGTGGCAGCATCTCGAGCCTCAGATCAGGGAGAGACTTGGTTGAAATAATGTATGCATCGAATGCATTTAAAGGATCTTTCTATTGGTACTGACGATGACCTTACTTTCAGCGAAAGATGCAACGACCGACATACTTCGATGGTGGAGCATGCAAAGACGCATTCCAAGTAGTTCTCATTTGTGGACCAGTTGGGTCAAGATCTTGTATGGCGTTCGATTTGATGCGTTCATGTATCTAAAGGAAATGGCCATAAGCCCCGGACTTCATCTGGGGTCTTGTTAAGACCTGGTTTAGAAACATAGTAGTCGAACAACACCTTGTTCCGAGACTTTATCTCGGTGAAATCGCGCTCGGGAGGAACCCAGCCATCGTCGTCAGTATCAAGAACTTGCTTGACGAAGCTGCGCATTTCGTACCATTCTTGATAGACTTGAAACTCCTTCGTGTGTGCTGCGATCTGCTCGTCATTGAAGTTGAGCGATAGACCTTCTGTGAACCCGAGGTCCCGCTGACTGCGAAAAAGTTCTATCAACGTTTCCCGGAGCGGGAGAATTCCCTCATCCCAAGTATCAACACGACGGAACAGTTCCTTCAGTGGCGAGGGGACTTGCATCGCTCTCCAGGCTGTTCTGTCATTCAAAAAGGATGCAACCTCATAAGCTTTTGTCCAGGTAGCCTTCTCTTTATTATATAATGCAATCTCTTTGTCATCGGCGTCCATATCTTCATAGTCAGGTGGAAGCTGAGGCAATACCTGGCCCACTTGGTAATCTTCGGGCGGAGTTAGAAAAACAGGCCACCTGACTTGTAAAAACAAAGGATTGATAGAAGTATGCTGCCAGTCAATAAAGCCAGTAACCTCGGCTGGGTTATCTTCAGCGACAAAGATATTTCCCATATGAAGATCGGTATGCCATAGTGTGGGCTGGGATTGAGCTAGCAGCTTAGGATTGTTTGCCGCCGCTGGCATAACTCTCTTTGCCATATCGAGGGTTATTAAATGTTCCTCCAAGGGACTATTCAGAGAGACTGGTAGGTCTGGATTGAGACCGTGTTGAGACTTAATGAGTGAGCGATTGATGAGAGATTCGCCTAAATCAATGGTTGTTTTCCCTTTTAAAAAATATCAGCTATAGTAAGTCCAGGAAAAGGAGCGATACTTACAAGGGCCGCAGTGAACACTAGGACTATGCTGCATAGACCAGGCAGAATCACATGAGGGACCAATGCAAAAGAGACCCTCAGGATCCACGGATTGATCTAATGAGATCAATTCATGCTCACCCAAGGAGCCACTTAGGGAGCTTTTGTGGTACAGGCTACCAAAAGCTGGAAACCGAATCTCAGCAAGTTCACGCTCCCATTGCGTGAGACGTTTAATGATCGATATCCGGTTGCTCTCTCCCATTTCATTCCATTTCTTAAAGATCTGGACACCAGGGACCCGCTCCATCACAATATACTCAGCGCCTACCGGGTTGGTTGAATCGGCACTCCATGCTAAGACCTTAGGCACAGGAATAGTGGTATGTGTCCTGACTGGATCGAAAATTTCCATCAGTTTTATAAATTGACGGGATTAAAATAGGAGATCAATCTTACCGAAGCTCAAGACCGCAACCTCGGATGCTGTGCAGTACATAGGCCTTCCTGCATTCGGGCACGGAATTTTGACGATGTATTCTGAGCCATCTGTGGTTGTCACAAGGAGGGCCTTGCTGAACCCACCCTCCATCTTCTCTATCTTCGAAACCTGCAATGCCCCGGCTCCGGGGATGCTTGCGATCACATCACATAACCGGTCAACATCAAAACGAACATAGCGCTTGGAAAGCTGGCGGTCTTCCTCGGAAAGAAATCGGCCATTTGTGTATTTGAACAGCTCCTCTTTGGAAATGGGGTTTCCTAAGGTTTGATCAGCATCGCCGACTCGGTAACCTTTTAGGCAGGTTGTACCTCGAAACGTGATAGATAGGCGTCTTTTGGATATGTCTGAAATTAGGCTCCTATGAAGAGTTCGAGGCCGTAAGACTTTTCTCAAAGTCTGCATGGCGCGAAATTCCGGTTGTGAGACGTAGCCTGAAGAGGGTTTCAAGATGGGCGGCTGGGGACGCGTTCAGGGCCGCGGTAGGAGGCGGCGCCGGATTTAAATATGTCCGCTTCTGCGCACTAAACTACGGACTTAACCATTAGTAATCACTCCGGCCAATGAGAGGTACCGAGCCACTCATGTTTTGTTTTGCATATTTTCTGCTCGCGCATCCGTGTATCCTTTGTAATGTTCGCTGATCCCATCAAGTGCAGTGTGAAATTGAACCTTCAAAACAAAGAGGGTGTTTAATTGTTGCTATTGGCCAAATTAGCCATGTCATCCACCCTTGTTGAGCCCCGCACACCTCACGTGTATTTCCAAACCTTCCTCACGTGAGCGCCAGGGAGCAAGATGTAAATAATTTTTGCCGGTGGTGTTCAAAGAGCATCTTACCCTTTCGTTTTTGAGTCCACTGAGATATGTAGGAATTAATTTCTTTTTCACCAACCCTCAACCCTCTTCCCCCTCTCCTTGTTGACCCTTGTGTTTTCATCACCATCAATTTTCTTCCTCTCTATAAACAATACATTATGTTGTAATGCAAAAGGAATGATGATGATGATGATGATGATGATGATGATGATGATGATGAATTCATTTGCCCGATGTAGCTCGCTCTAATATATGCTGCTATGCGGGAGTGCTGTCAGGCCTGCCGACTGCTAGAAGTTGGGTACCAGCCCATTGGACGGCCGGTTCCTGAAGCTCACAGTGTGAGTTTCCAATCGGTCCTCCCCGAATATAGAAATGCAAAAACGATAAACACATAGGAAACTGCACGTAATGAATGCCATGGCCCCGTCCCCGCTCCCCGAGGGGCCCTTCCCTTCTCACTGTTCGTCCCTACATGACGTCCCTCATATTCGCCATGGGCAAACTTTTCACGCAACCATCCTAGCCATCGGCTGCCGCTCACGTGTTCGTTTGGATCAAGGGAATGTAGTGGATATGGCACTGCACTCCTAGCGGGCGCCATCCTTCTTCTTCCGTCACACTGTCTTAAGGGGCCGTATTTCTCGACACTCTTTCCCACGTCCGGAGAAATGATTTGGGATTATTTCCAAGAACTTCATTGCTGTGACTGATCGTCGTCACTCCGCTCGCTGACCTCGTACCATATATCATCGTCTGGGTCTTCGATTGTGGGTGCATCGGTCAAGATCACCGGAGGAGAGGACTTGCATGGTATCGGGACGGGTGGCCGTAACCAGTCGCTGTCGTCCGGCTGCTCATCCATGATATCCTCCGGTTCGCCCACGCGGCACTTCTTAGACATCGTGTGTTCAGACTCAGTTCTCTGGGTGGCCGTCTGGGATCTTGTTGACCGCTGACTTGCCGACTGTACTGGAGGCAAGACGTGATCTTTGGGCTTGGTCTTTGAGCCTTTCGGGCGACCCGGTCCTCTTCTGGGCTTCGCGAGTTTGATGTGTTCCTCGAGTGATGTCTCCTCTCTCGTTGGTTCTGTCTCAGGTTCCGTTGTAACCTGCGGGGACAGGTGAGAGGGATCTGCCTCCTGCTCCCCCTCTGGTGCATGTATAGGTGCATCCAGGTCGTCCCTTTCGGTGGCACTCGGTCTGAACGGAGATGACGTGGTGTCACTGCTTACGGTATTTCGGAAATGTAGTGGGATGCGGTGGTACGCAGGGCAGTCGGCCAGTGCCTGTTTTGCCTCATCCAACGCCGTAATCTTCACTGGACATTCTCGACTGGCTGGGCGACGTCCTTGGCCGCAATTGGCACATTTGATTGTTATCGCCTGCCCCCGTGTCGACGGACACTCCCAGGTCGGGTGCTCGCCGGCGCAGTGGCCGCATCTATAAACGTTGGAACAGTGTGACTGGATATGCCCCGGTTTTTGGCATTTTCTGCACAGCTTCATCCGTCCCTCGCGGCAGACTCGCGACGCATTGCGGATTTGCTTCCCCCAAACGACACCAGAGATGATAGCACGGTTGGCCACGACGGGGCTGGTGAACTCGATCAGGATCGAGCCCTCCGCCCGGATACCCGGTCGCGTCAGCTAGCCAAGATACTGGATCTTAGCGCTTTCGCTCCTCTGTCGAAGCAGTTCGGCTGCAACGTCGGTCATCGTCTCCGGGGTGAGCTTCATCGATTTTACAGGAACGTGGTACGCCACGACGCCCCACGACGGCTCTTGGACCACGGAAGCGGGCCCGAATGCCTTCAACCATCCCGTATGCTTACGAAGAAGCTCCTCCCCTGCAGCACTGTTTGCTACCATGGTTACATCGCCTGATGGTAGTTTTCGAGCTGCAATGAAGGCAGCCCCTTCAGCCAAAGCGGCAGATTTCTTCTGTCGAGCAGTAGTCACCTTTTGGCGCTCCGCCCGCTCGACCAGCTCCCTCGGTGAGAGCCCACGAATCTGTTCACGGTTTGATCCAACCTTCACGATGACTTGACGATCCTCACGAAATTCGATATCAGGCACCTCGGCAGACGACGTGCCGTTGCTCCGGGTACTGGGTGACGCCGCCTTGGCCAAGCCGCGCTGCCAGTCTCTGGCTCAGAAGTCGCGCCACGCTGCTGCGGAATCGGCCGCAGTGGAGGACAAAGTTGTTGATACAGTGTTCGTTGTATTTTCGATGGTGTCCATTCGCTGGTTCAGACGTTCGGTGTCGGCGTTGATCTTGGTCAGCACTTCAAGCACCTTCGCCATTCCCTGGCCGTCGCCCCGTTGGGCATGGCATTGAGTGCGTACTGGCGGACAGCCCGAATATATTCAGTGACGTATCCGTCCGTCGTGCCATTGTTTTCTATGTGGTCCAGCACCAGGCGGGCTCCCTCTACGATGTCGTACATCGATATGGGTCGGCCGCCGCGGGTTTTGGTGTTCTTCTCCTGTCAGGGGGCAATTTCTGTGCGTTCGCACCAGTCACAACCATTGCTGCCATCCGCCTCCAAAGGGGTATTGGACGATAGCGCTTGAGGTTAGGAATATGATGAATTAATTCTGGGTCCCCTCCCGGGAAAATACATTAGCAGATGCGCTCTCACGTAATAATCTTGAAGACATTGCTAACATTTGTCCCCACTGGCAGGACCTCTCGGTAGTGAGCCGCCCGCGTGGGTCTCTTCACGAGCTCCTCAGCTCAATACAGGCCACCTGAAACTGCTCTGGAATGGACTCAGCGCTAACACACGTTCCGTCTACCTCTCCGTTCAGCGTAATTACGGAAAGCACTGTGCGCTTCAGAATTTATCCGCATGGCCAGTTTCAAAATATTCATTGACCTCATGGCTAAGCGCACAACTCCTTGGTAACGCTAGTCAAAAGGCCGTCAAGCCTGACACCGCACTCGCCGACCTAGCCCCTCTCCGAGCCTACCATATTGACAACTTCCTTGACGATAAACTCTTTGATAACAAGCATTTTCGACGTCTCATAGACGGCGCGAGGAGACTCAACCCTAGGACAAAAGCACGGGTCAGAAAACCGATTTCGCGTGACACTATAACACTATAATGAAACTATCCGCGGGCCTCGCCGCACTCTCGTTACGGCCCTTAGAGATGACTGCGAACCTCCTAGACGACCTAAACTTCGCAACCGCGTGTCGGGTAGCATTTGCTGGGTTTCTCCCCCTCGGAGAATTCACCTATAAGACTGAAGACCTTAGCACACGTTCTATCTTCTCCGCCACAAAGTTAACGCGCTCAGACGTCAGATTCTGCCCCTCGCTGCGGCGACTTGGCAGTCTGCGGTTGAGAGACCGCCTAGACAGCAGTTTCTGGATTAATGACGTAGCCAAGTTGTCAGGATTTTTTGATGAACTCATTACCTGCTCCATCGGAGTGAGGTTGGTCCATCACGGGGTGAGGTTGGTTCATCAAAACGCAAATAAAGAAAAGCCCAGCGGTAGCACGAACCTAGTACTGAAGTGACGATCTTCTTCAGGGCAAGTGCGTCAAGACAAAACATCCTCTTCTACTGCAAAAGCCTAAGCCAACTGTGGATCGCCACCATTGCTGTGGGTAGAATCACGCTCCGGCACAAGCTCAGGAGAGCAGTTTTCCCAGTCTTTAAGAACACCAAGGATGCCACGCCGAACGTTTTCAAAGGCGTCCTCAAAGTAGACAAGTAAGGCTTCCTGGTTGGCGTGTCGATATTCTAGAGACTCTCGTTCTTGGCATAAATTTATATTGATGGCACGTAGCGCCTCGTTCTCTTTTTCAAGCCGCTGGCTGTGGGCTTTCTTAGCGGAATAAGACTCCCACAACATGGAGTAGAATCTCAACATTTGGGCAGCCGGCTGCGAGAGGTGGAGAGAGTCTTGATCTAAGCACTTCAGCTCTTCGACTAGAGGTTGGGAAGGATCATGAAGGGTCTGGGACTGGGAACTTTGAGGCAGTATCAATTCGGGCAACTACTGACGAATTAGCATAATCTCGGGACATGTCTGACAGCCATTGCTCTGCAACCTCTTCCTCTGTTTGAATGGAGCATTGTTCGCCATGCTCGAGTGCTGGACAAGATGGATCTTGAATTGGCGCGGCGACCGACTTGTGCTCATGGTCGGGGTTGTCCATGGTCTCTGCGTTAGTAGCTGAATAAGGTGCTGCCAACATTTTGACACCGGGGAAGATACTTTTATATTGCAATCAATCGTTTCAGAGATAGATCATTTTGTTTGATTATCAAGACTATCGGCTTTTATCGCCCGTGTTCAACAACCTACGGGGCTGATAATTATTGCGGGCGGTACAATTTGCCCGTCGGAGCATATTGCAAATCCCAACTGGTTAATCAATGAAAACGAGTTACTCACTGGACTGGCTCCCCATCAAGGAAAGGGCTGTGTGTAATACTTGGTGATGAATTCGGTTCCGCAAATTGGTTTGCCATATTTCTGGTAAGATCAATTGGCCAAAGGCTCCAAGGGTAAAGAAACTATCTCATCAGGCTGATTTTCGTCCCTACTTTCTGAGTTATGGAAATTGATGATGCGGTGATTATTCCGTCGACCCCTGGATGGATTGAAGCAAAGAAACGCGACCGCATTCTTCTTGTGTCCAGTGGGTTGGGGCTAGAGTTTGATTAGTCATCCTGCCACACCCGCTTCGTAGGAATGGCCAGACAGAGCCTCGCATTACTGTATCTGAGCAGGTACAGCATAAACGGTCACTTTCTGGTAGATTTACGAATAATCTGTAGGGGGGGTTGGGTTTGTTGGTAAGGTTGGTACGACCCAGCTAAAGCCGATTAGTGTGCCCCCGGATGCCATTGGAAATGTATTTGTCTACAGTGCTACTTATATATTTTGATTGGGGTTAGGAATAAACCGAGATACGGATTATAATTCCCTAATAGGTTGTGGAAAGCTAATGTAAATTGATATGTACCTAAAAGAAATAGCTCAATCAAGTATCCCAATCACCCTTAAAGCACGAAGAACCGAGCTGGACAAGCCGCTTCGGTTGAGCAAGGCTCACGTTTTGTTTTCTTAGCAGCGATAGGGGTTCAACTGAGGTTCAACTGGGGTTCAACTGCGGCCATATCTCACGTGATCCGACTATAGTCCCAGACTCCCAGTGAAGTCCCTCGTCCGAATCCCATATAAACCAATTCCTTTTCTTTTCTGCTAAATACTGTTCACTCTGCTAGTCAGACCGCTATCCGGCGACTATACCACCGATGTTAATGTATATGCCTTAGCACCTTCTGCCTCAACACAGAAGATTGCTATAGAGGCCTGGTTTTCGATATGCTACTGTGGGTCGCCTGCGTGTTGTCGGCAAGAGACTCACAACGTAAGCGCGCTAGTGACGCGGTATTGCCACGGAACGATACCATAAGTTAAGGCTAGACTATAGCCGCGAAGATGGCCCCCTCATCATCATTATCTTGGAATACCCAACCTAGAGCCATGCGCGTATAGGTTATGTCCTTGGTCGTGACATAGGGCCTGGGCAGAGACAAGTTAGTGCAAGGATCAGCGGAACGCGTGATGGGTCACCTATCGACCCCCTTCGCCCTCCCTATACTGCTCCGAGATAGAAGCAGAGCGTATATGTTGATTCGAACTTTAGATGATCGGGACTATGGTCGAAATTTGATCTATGCCGTCCAGTGGTTTATCCTCTATAGACAGTCAATCATGTGAACTAATAGCCTCCCTAGCTCGGTGCGTCTGTTTTGCCAATATACCTGAGAGGACGTGCTATTAGTGATGATGACCTTCTGGATTGGACTGGCCCCGACATAGGCGAGCATGACTGTGAGGGATGCTCCGAGAAAACTGCAAAGAAATATGGCAAGATATATTCGCGTAAGCTGCGAACGAAAAAGAGAGGAGGCACAATGAGATCCCGGCACTCCGCGCGACCCTTTGACCCGAAACGATGCTGGAAACTGGGTCGTGGATAAAATCAGCGTCGACCTTTGGTGGGATCCCGCTCCTTTTCAACTTACGTGCCCGTGCGCTCTGCCGTGTCAGTTGCTGAATATTTACTTAACGGAAGTTTCATATAGCGCTTAATTCCACTAATATAGGCAATTTAACGGAAGTGAAATCTCAAATAATTGTTTTAATTGTCTCATTGCTACTTCGCTCGGAGTCTATTATATTAGTTCAATATAACATTACGACCCTGACTGATCCGAATGGGAACCTACACTACTCGTTAGAGCCGATTCTTTCTCCAGCCAGACCCCCTTTTTGTAGGTACCGGCCCACGAGGAGGCCTAGGGCGCAGCCGTAGAAGCCAGTCTTCGCGATCCTTCCAAATGGTATCGCCTAGGTCTACGTGACCAACCGGATTCACCAGTAGCGTAGGAGCGGTCTGCCGCCCCTCCGCGTGACGGGAGTCTTGGTACCGCCGATATGTTAATCGAAAGGTGACCCGGCCTCCTGAGCCCGATGGTATCGTCTAAGTGCGCTCTAGGGGCCCCGAAGGCTACCGCGGGTGGAACATAGTCTTTTCTCTCCTTGGGACAGCAGGTAGCGTATAGGAGGGGTGGTCCAAAAGGCGATGTATATCTGGGGTCTTGCGCTGGCGCTTCCCTCTATAGGACAGTCGGGCCATTTAGGAATGGAGGATCAAGGCGAGATGGATGAGAGCAATCGAGCGGATCATCCAGAGCTATTTATCCGCTAGGCCGTTGCCGCCTGGGTTCTCCTAACCAGCTGTAGCTGAGTCCGACGGAAGATGCCCTTAGCTTCGATGGAACGTTCCGGTGGGAGGGCGGTGTAGGTTATATAGATGATGCTTTACGGGGCCTAATGGAGTCGATGTAAGGTACCATCAGGTTTTGAAGTAGAACTCCAGACAGCCTTATATTCTGCTACGGTTCGGCCTCTATGTCACCTGTAGCATTTTGTGTTCTCCTGTACGGCGTCGAATAAACAGCAAAATTCCTATTAGGTTCCCCCCGGTCCTAAAAAGTGCTGGACACCCATCCATCAAGGCAAAGAGGCCAGTAGGAGATATACTTATTCAGCAGACACACAAAACTGTGGTAGAGCTAGCGCGATAATAGCTATCGGGTCCTTAATCGGTCGACAACGTTCAACGTTCGAAGCACTGCAGTCGCAGTTGTCCCGGCTCTACGAGTGCCAAAGCAACTTGTTGCGATGCTTGAGTAATTGCTACGAGCTCCTGTTGAGTAATACGACGTATTGATTAAGTAGGGGTGGACCCCCTTCGTATAGAAACATACTCTACGAGTTAGTGGTTTTCATCACTCACACTATACTATCAGTCTTGTGTCTGGGTCACTAGGTAGTCATTTTATATAGTACGTAATTCACATCTCTAGAATAAGCGCACGCATTTATTGGAATGACTCTGTCGAGCAACCAGAAGCGCGCGTAGGTGCGGCAGCAATGTCGCGAGGCTCTAGCAGCGCATATTCGTAAGAGCCCACCGAAGAGATTCCGTACGCGGTTGCCTACTAAATAAGCTGCTCAGATGAATAACTAGGTCTGGCCGTTGCCCCTTAACGCGTGCGCTTATAGCCCTCCTTGGAAGATGGCTACGTATAGTCTATGCTGGAAGGGAAGGAATATCTGCTAGCGACTAATCTCGGTAACGGTACGGTCGGTCGCTGCCAAGATATTTAACAATCACTTAGTTCATCGCTTAAAGCGGTGGCCCCTCTAGGACTATAGCTAATAGGTGCAGACACAACATCGAATGTAGAGGTAAGTGCCTATAGTATCTTTCGTTTTGACTGGTAAGGCTATGTAATAGCCCTCCTAACACGAGCAGCCCAAATCTCCGAACGCTGGCTTCACATCTTTTATAGAAACGATTCGGCAATTAGAACATGAAAAGCAAGGCCTTACGGTCGAGCTTGAACGCGAGCGGGCCCGCTCGAAGGAGCTGCTGAGTATAGACCGAGAACGGTAGGCAAAGACCTACTGTCTAGAAGAGGAGCTAGCAGAATGTAAGTCCTTGACCGAGTAGCTCGAGAAAGAGATGAGCTAGGCGAGGGATGGAATCATTGTAGCCGTGAAGGTCTTGCAGAACTCCCAATTGTTGAACGAGGATTAAGTTTTCTTATAAGCGGATAAAGAGGATTCTAGCACGCCGTTATGTAGATAGCAGTCCGATGCCTATATATGGTGGAGCAATTTGTCTTACTAGACGTTTCTAAAAAAGTCTAGAGCTATGGAGCGATCGCTAGTCACAGGAAAAATCAGATGCCCTAGGCGTAAAAGGCACCCGTTGCCCGCGTTTTCTGTAAGGGTATGGGATTCTGTATCCTAGGTGGCCTGAACTTTAGCTAATGTTTGATTTCTAAGTAATGCCCAATCCTACGGAGATACAAATTCTGGCGCAAGTTTTTAGCCAGCGCGGCTGCCCTGATACCCCGACTCTATCGTATGTTGAAGATTGGAGCCTTTATCCTAAAGCACCCAAACCGGTCGGCTTCTCTCTGAATTAGTGGCTGCCGATTGGTTAGCTAAGCCTATAAAGCTATTTAGAACTAGGCTGCTGCTTAGCGCCCATTTATGTAGTTTGCTCGTCCAATTCACATTCTCCTTGGGTTCCTACCTGATTCTTTTATGGACCACCGAGTAGCGGTGTGAAAGAACAGTTTTATATGAATTTCCCTTTAAAAATGGTTCTCGAGAAAAGGGGTATAAATATCCCCTAGGGAACAACTAGAAAAAACCATCGCATTACTTTTTCAATTCCAGATCCATCCTCTTCCGTCTGATATTGTACCATCCCGAGTCTCTGGGCAGCCATCGAAGCCGGCCACGACCAGAATCGCTCTAGAAACCTTACCATAAATCAACTATCCAACCATTTTGAAGTTTCCTTGCCTGCCACTATTAGCGAGCCCCGGCTTCGACCTCAATGCGTTGCAATCCGAGCCGGGTACTAATGCCAAAACGAAGTTTTAAGTAACAGTCGCTCAATCGTAAGTATTAAGCTGGTTTTGGCCTAAATCTCTAATTCTCCCCGATTGCCAAGGGGTCTTTTAAAACTGTTGATGTGTCCCGAATGTGAGGCTTAAGTCTACACTCGGGGAGGCACCTAGACATTTAGGATATAAAAGCCACTGCCACCGCCGATCGTCTTTTATGATAAACGCGTCTTTGACCTCTACCGAGAGGACCAGGCGTGGCTTCGTTCGACTTTTCATCCGATGAGCATAAGGCACACACTAGATAGGAACGAGCCATACGTTTAATGTTTGTTTCCTTTTCTATATAAATCTATTGCGATAAAGCCAAAGAAAGTACGGAAACTCTGAGAGGAAACGGTACTAATGAGCCCGTTTTAGTATCTAAGATGGCCTTTGTTTGTTCCATAAAGTTCTAAGTTATTTTGGTGTGAATATCGTCCACGATATTGGCTCGCGACTGTAACCGCTCTTCTCACCCAAGCTATCGAGTAGTTTTTATTCGCGATAGCAAAATAGCTTGGAAACCCTCTTTTATATACGTCTTAGGAAATCAGAAACCTTTTTCGCAACTCTTTTGGCCTTGTGGTGGCTCTGTGGTACCTCGTTAGACTGTGACGTAGAACTAACTTGATAGGAGGACTGACTAGGCGAGTATTGGATTGCGAGTCAAGTAGCTTTATAGGATATATTTCTTCTAGCGAGGGCGCTTGGGATCTTCTCGTACGGTCTTCCTCCGCAATAGGTTCTTCTATGGCGGAGGGAAGTAAACCAACGTGTGAGGCAAGGCTCTTCTGCTCCAACGACATAGACCGGTCGATGGACAATGCCAACTGCAACTTACGTGTAAGGCTCTGCGCTCGAAGGATTCTAGGACTTACCATATCGGAGTGTCCGATGATGATCGCGCGTATTGGATTTGGATCGAGATTTACGCACGAGGTAAGGCCCCCATTGAAGATGGCAAGCTTTTGTAATCCATAAGAGTACACCGCAAATAAATTCAAAGTGAGCCTACTGACAGAGTGGTCAGGGGCCTTATACCTTTTCGAATAGTCTACGCTAAGGATTGAGCGGTATTGCGCGAATTCTGCAGTTTATGATTCCCCAGATAGAATTAAGTGAGATATAATTCGTCATTCTCCCTTCTTATTGTTGACTACTAAGCCCACTCCAGCTACATGGAACTAATCCCGTAACACGCCTCTTCATTGCGACATAGTCCGACCTCCCAGCTCAGGGGACCGAGCGGTGTCATTTACAGCAATGCTGCCGCTCCTATCCTCAAGGTTGGGTGGCTTGTCTGCTTCGGCTTGCCTTACCACTGAGTTGATCAATACTTCGACGGATTTGGGCTCCTCGTCACCCAATGCCATTCCATGCTATCTAAGGAGGTAGTCCGTGACGGTCCCAAGCCTTCGATTGACATCGTAGAGAAGTTCGGCCACTTTGACAGTCTCGTCGAGCTCGTTGCTGGTCTGCGCTAGCGACTATTGTACTGCAGCCAGGTTATGTTCATACTTTGCAATGATTTTTTCCGCTCGAACACTCCGTGTGTTGAGCGTCGCAATCGTACGAAGTACTTCCTGAGCACGGTTAGCTGAGCCTTAAATGCATCGGCGGAGAGAAACATACCGAGGCATCCATATCGATAAAGCTCGGAGACGGGGTAGGAGGTCGATAGCCGGCCATGGAATGCACAGAAAGCCGCGAACGTCTTGAGTGTGCTGCTTCTCAAGAAAGATTCTGTGGCTGCAAACCCGGAAGATATATACTTATAGACAGTTCGGATCGCTATACTGTCTTTCTTGACCATCAAGACATTACTTTTATCCGTCCTTCCCTGAGGGTTGGGATGTGAATACAGAAAATAGTACCACGATGCTGTGCCACCAACTTTCATGATTTCCTAGCAGCCAAATGATTGCTTCGTGCTTGATGTTCTGTTTCAATTCAACCATATGAAGTCGAGGATGCGTAACGTGATGCTCAATATGATTATGATTATTGCTTATCATTTAATCGTACCGTCCACCGACACATTTCATCGCACTTTCCCCTTAATAGGATTGTGTCGGCGACAATTGCTGACTGACATTATATGACTGCTACGGTACAGTTATAAAACCTAGTACCAGTCATTTGCCTGATGTCTGGGTCTTCCCGTCGGATCCTCGTGTTGTCCATCAACACATCTTGTGACCACAGCCAGCACACTACAGTAGAATTCGAAAACAGATTACCTCCCAGACACACACACGTTGTTTCTCGGCCCATACCCGGAACGACGCTAGGCCATATTAGGCTAATATGAAAAATCCCCTGCTGAGCAGTATCGTGGTATAGAACGTATTGGGCTGTAATGTTCTAAGAGTCATTGTAAATTTCCGTATTAACCCCTGAAAAGGGACCACGTGATAATTACATCATAGCTAGTGACGTGACTGGCGGACAGTTCGAAAATCACCACAGGAACGCCTCTCTCCCTATTCAATTCTTCCAGGCCCTGTCCCTCGATTCGGATTCATGGCTAAGCTACAAGATCTACCGGCGGAAATGCTGTCTGCAATTTTCGCTTATATTCGGTCCGTTGAGGCTCTGCGCTCTCTCTGTTTGGTGTCAGAAAAACTCTGCGGTGTAGCTCAGCCTCTACTGTACCACGACGTGTTTCTAGGATTTCCCGATCTGACAGATAACTCCTTACGGCCACTGTTCCTCTTAGCTCGCACTGCTGTCTCTTGTCGTTTTTTAGCTGCCCGAATACGTCGCATAGTCCTTCGTTTTGCTTTCAACGACGTGCTGATTAGACATCCAAGAAGTCTTACTGAAGTCCGTTCCACTGGCTGGCAGTCTCGTGCAATTCAAGTGCGCAATGTTACGCCCATTTTTCCGTCCAGAATTCCTCAAAATTTAGATATGGATGATTGGCGCTCCAGACTTATCGCTTCTGCTTCACTACTCTTTGCTAATACACCCAATCTTGAAGACCTGACTGTTCCGACTGGTTTTTGCAGCGTCGACTGGTTAACAACTTTTTGTTCGACACCTATTGATGACCACCACAAGTTTCCGCTACTGGGAGATCTAAGGGTCTTGCATCTTACGTACACAGACGGCGACACAGACGGCGAACGGATGGATCGGGCCAAACTCAGCCTCACAGATATTATACCGCTTTTATCGTTGCCACGGTTGGACAAGATTCACGTGGATAACTGCTGTGGACACATCCCAGGTATATCATCTTACCTGTTACCTGAACAGGCTCCTCACGGGACTTTCGACTTTTCTGAGATATGTTTCCGATACAGTTGCGTGGATGCAACCAGCATTCACACGCTCATGGCGGCCTGCAAGTTTCTGAAATGTTTTAATTACTCCGCTTGTGCAAGCCCTTTTAACCAGTTCAATCCCTTAGAACTGAGGTCAGCACTCAATAGTCAACGGGGTAGCCTTGAACGACTGGATGTCTCCTTCTACGATAACATGGAAGATAGTGACTATGTGCGGGTTTGGGGAAATATGTCATACGGTTCATTCCTCGACTTCATCAATCTGACATCGTTGGACGTGGACCAAGCATTTATTGATGTTCTGCCGGGCCTTCCTCCTAGCCTAAAGGCGTTCGGTCTTCGGAACTGCTACGCCTCTGTGTACCACAGTATTTGTTATATAGCTCAAAAGGTAAATTCAGGAGCGACGCCATTGCTCAAGGAAGTCTTTTTGAGCACGGACGTTTTAACTCCGGGGAAAATGCTAGATTTGCCGTCAAGGGGAGCCACAGATGTTCTGTTCTATGAGGCATGCAATCTTTTGAAAAGCCTCTTCACTGGAACGGACGTCTGCCTCAGACTTGAGAGTGATCTTTTGTCACACATGGCCCATGACTACAGCTTTGCTTTCGAGTTTGACCGGTCGGGCCAATTCTGGCCATTGATATATCTCACATAACAACTTGCAAGTCGGGTCTTGTTCAATCCCAAATATCTTTCGTTTTTTTACATATTCAAACCCAGCCCCGGTATCGTTTACCAAATCTCGAGAATTTCTGTGGGTATTTTTGATCGCCTGTTCGCTGCATTCTGCTGCCTCGGCCATTTGAAACCAGGTCACCGACTGGCTTTGTATCATATCACTGATGAGATGTAGCTTGGACGGGGCTAGTGACGGTGCCGGTGTCATATTGCGCGGGAATTCTGGCAGATCTCAGATAGTGGTGCTGTGAAGGATGGACGTCGGGTGGGAAGGTGTGTATAGGAGTTTCGTGTAAAGTACGGTATTATACGTAAAGCGGTCGTTCTGGATTTAAAAAAAGATCTATTGCCCTGAAACGAACGAAGTGAGAGAAAGGGATTCTCCGCGGGCGGGGATACCCCTGTTACTGGAAACTTTATTTTTTTCGCTGTTGTTAGCCAGATTACGGCTTCTCATTCGCTACTTCGATCCACTGCCTTTCTCTGATTTGCTACCTTTTCATTCCACGCTCTCTTTTGATTGCTGTTCGAGCAATGTCCGGTTCAGTTTAGTGTTGGCGGGTTTTAACCTTAATCATTGGCTCTTTCTACTATAACCCTAACAGCTGACTCTCTAACCCTGGTATCCGTGCCTTGTGCTTCCTATTCATTCGTTATATCCTCATGCTCATTATGTGTATGGTTTTGCTACGCACTTCTTTAAGAGCTTCATCTGGTTGGTTAGGTGACTCTGACGTGTCTAGATACACCGCTTCGTTTTATATATACTCTTGTGTTTTGGGGTTTACTGTTTTTACCTATCAAAGTCTTCGGGACTGTTTGAAATATTCTATTGTCCACTTTGTATTCTTGAAGTGCTTGCCTGCTATGCATATGGATATGACGGAGACATAAACACATTCTTATTTGATATCGATATGTCCTTTTCTGCGATTCAACCTAGGTATGCCCTTCGACTACTTCCGGAATTCTTTCTCCTCACCATCTCGTCCTTCACTATTGGGTTACCGGCCTAGTGCTGTATAGCCCGACTCCCCACCTCTTACATTCCTTCCACCCACTCCGTCGGCCTCACGTCTATGTCCTTTCCCTCCTCCGTCGTACGATTCACTAATTTGTCGCAATCATGTTACTGGCTTTTCCCTGGCTCCAGCGCTACCATCTCAATTAACCCCACCCTATCCTCACTTCCCTCCCCTATCCTATATGACCCCGTCGAGTGTCCATTCCACCTTGGTTGCACCTGGCTTCTCGCAGACGATACTCCCACCTAAAGTCACCTCCGGCGTTCGCGCCGGCCCTTGTAGCTAAGGTGTTTCATCAAGTCCTCGTCTTCTTGCTCCAAGACCGACCTTGGATACGACTACAAGACCCTGTCTGCCTATAGTCTCGGCAGCTGGAGGTCGAGTTGTTCCAACTTCAATTACCGTTGCTATAGATCCGTTGGTTCGGGATGGGATATCTCCAGCCCTACAGTCCTAGTCTATGCCGAGAGCTCCGACCGATGGATTCCTAGGACCGGATTCCTATAGCTATCGATTAATTCCGCACTTACCTAGCTCGCTTCAGTCCGCCGCCCCAGCAAGAGGTCGGGCCCGTCTTAGACGCTTCTGCAGCCTAAACGACGTATGCTGGACACCGATACGGACTCTAGCTACATCATCAATAAGGCTCTAAAGTTACTGCGTGATGAACTTGAGTCGAGAAGTTCAGCATCTACGACGTTTCCACTGGTGCTCACTGAAGCTTAAATAAGAGCTTCCATTGCCTAATATCAAAGTCATATAGAAGATTCATCAAAGCAAGGCGTCTGCTTATCCTGCGGGAGGTTTGTGCCGATTCTGGAGATTGTAGAAATGGAGGACAGTGACCCTTTGCTCCTGCCACTAGCTACCCACCTTGACTATTGCGGTAAACATAGCGACGAGTGGGATATATATTTGACCTACCTTAAGTCTCTATCTCAAAATTCGAACCCTCTCGCCGCATCCATCCAAAATACAGTTCTACGTGGCCAGCAGTAGATCCCTAGCCTTTCTTACAGGATTTGGGGCCAGGCAACCCTTACTGACCATTGGCATGACCTATCGTATTTTACTAGCGCATTTCTAACTTTATTTCCCCTCGGCATTAGCGGCTATCTGGACGAGCGTTTATTCGACGTCTCTTTGTCTTCCTTTGCGGAGTGGGCATTAAAGCACTATAGCAGGAGGTATGGTTTACTGAATGCTATTAGTTTATGAACTTCCGTCTCTAACTAGAGCAGGTTTGCGCGCTATAGAATCTTCATGTATCTGATATATAACGTGCTTCTGATTCGAAAATCTTCCCTCGCGAATAAATTAGTCCTTTAACGTCGGCACTAGTCAACAACCGCTGACGACATTTCTTCTCTTACTAAGGATCGACTTCGTAATGCACTACAAGATCTAGAGATCCATCATGAAATCAAAGACCTAGCAATTTCCCGTCTGCTATATGTTATGAAAGCAATTGCTATATAGGTCCCTAGCTCTTTCGTTCAAAAATTGAGAATGCGGTCTGAAATCCGAGGTCTCATCGTCCGTTTTGGAATGCCTACTTTTTGGGTTACCATTAACCCCTTAGATTTACGGAGTCCACTTATCATTATCCTGGCTGGTGTTGAGTATTCCGACGACATATTGTCGGCCTCGAGCTCCGCTATTCGAGGTGCGACCGCCACATCCAACCTAGTGGCGGTTGCCTCATTTTTCTATAGTGTTTATACCGCTGTTCTGGATGGGTTGTTCGCTAGCGGACGCGATCGCACCGGGATTCTTGGGGATGTTTCAAATCATTATAGCGTGGTTGAGACTAATGGCAGAGGAATGCTGTATTTACACGCAATAGTGTGGCTCAAAGGCAACCTCTCATTTGCTAATCTACGAAGCCGCGTTCTCGCCGACGCTGAATTTGCTACGCGTGTGCTCCACTACCTCGAAAGTGTCATCATCTAGAGCATTAATAAGAGTAGCCTCGTTGATCCGGAAGTCAATCTTGTGCCGATAAGCCCTTCTGCTTCCGACCTAGAATCGGATCATGATTTCTATATCAGGCTAGCTGATGATAGCAACCTCGTCGCTCGATCTAAGTAATTGCACTCTAAAAGGCACTTCGCCACCTATTTTAAAAACCGCCCAATAGACTGGTCTAAAAAAATTTGTCGCTTTGGTATGCCCCGTGAAATCGTACCCTCGTCTAAGATCGATGATCTTAGGGTGACTCACCTAGCTCGGAATCATCCCTGGATAAATCTATGGAATCCCGCTATTGCTAGCTGTCTCCGTTCAAACCACGATATCTCCTGGCTCCCAACCGTCTCAAAATCGCTGGCCCTAGTCTACTACATCACTAACTACGCCACGAAAGACGACGTTTCTCTATAGCAGCTGATAGCGAAGGGAGCACTCTTGAAGTAAGCAATTAAAAAAGCAAAAGCTACCGACCCACCTACTGCTAATGATCTACGGCTTCGGGAAAGGAACATAGATAATTTCGCGCTCCGTTGCTTTAATAGCCTAGCGCACGACCGGGAAGTGAGTGGTGTTTAGGTCGCTAGTACCTTACTCTATCTCCCTAACTACTACACAGTCGACACCAAATTCGTCCGTGTCAACCTATAGTGGCTAAGGCAGTATGTACGTGATATTCAACGTGAGCCCAGTACAAACGTTAATGATTCTCCTGGAACTACTAACGAACCCTGTACATTCCAGGCTGGGGATATAGCTCCAGTGAGTTTGTTCGATAACTATAAATGGCGGGGGGTCGACCTTGCTACCTTTTCATTCTTTGAGTACTGTATGCTAGTCCAAATAGGAAGGAAGCGGAGAAATCATCACGATCACTTCGACTTTGACCCGCGCCACCCAAGATGTGGCGCTTACGTCTAGTATATCGCTCGCTCACCATCCTAGGTAGCCACCGTCGCATTTAGTGGACAACTCACATAGTATTAAATGGCGGAAGACTCCATCCGCGGAGGGCATCTAAAGACCGATGCTATTGCGAATGATCTCGGTGAGATACTTCTCGGTCTTTTTGTTCCCTGGGACAAGCTACGCGAGAGGTTTCTTTGTGGACCCCCTGAATCCAATATCTTGTCGTATATCTGGTCGTCGGTTAAGCCCACACTGGTGCTATATATCTAGGAATTTGCCACCAATATCGAACTTCTTCGGAAATCGAAAGACGACTGCTAAATCGACGCTAGATTACGGTATTCATTGAACGACCGCGCTGAGCTGTACGATTGTTATGTTAATAACATAGATCTGGCCGACCATGGGCATATAGACGCACCCGATTGTGATGATATTATGGCCCCCAAAGATAAGCGGCTCACGGCGGAGACTTTGATCGCCGCTTATAATATAGTAACCAAAACCTAGGGCTAAGATTGTTTCATCGTAGTAAAGAGAGCACCGGTCTTGGCCACTTTCTGCTGGGCACACAGTCTCACATAGATAAATCCACTTCTATCTAGTACCTATTCTCTCCGACCTAATCACGCTTTGGATTTAGAAATCGTTGCACCCACAGTCCTGCAAGATTGGGAAAAGCAACTTTCCAGCTATAAAAAGCCTTTTCAGGACGGTGACCTTTCCAATATTACCCCACACCTACCTGACTTTGATCTAGTAGATGAAGATGGCATGCTACAGCCTATACTGATCAACGCAAGTATGCCTAGTGATTCACTAGTAAGGCTGGATCTCGAAAATCCGACACCGGATTCTCTCCTTAGGCTGATCGTCAAAGATATCCCACTAAATACGAAGCAATTACTCGTAGTGCGAAAGTTGTTAACTGAAATTATGTCGTGGACTGAATATCTACACGACTCATCACGGCGCGGACAACTACTTCTGTGTATTACGGGCGAAGGTGGTATAGGTAAGACGTAGATACTAAAGGCCATCGAAGCCGCCCTGTGTATTATTAGCCGGAAGCACGAAATTATCCTTATAGCCCCTACCGGAGCCGTAGCAGACAATTTAGGAGGGAACACCTATTATACTTCCCTTGGTATCAATCTTTCCTATAAAGCTACTGTAAGCACCCGCGTTCGACGGTTATGGGCACGAAAGACAATCCTGGTGATTGACGAAATAAGTATGGTGGATCTGAAAATGTTGAGTGTGATTAATAACTAATGCAAAGTCGCTCGGTCATTGCCGAGATCCTCTCCCGATCTCTTTGGCGGCCTTCCAGTCGTGATTCTTATGGGCGATTTCTTCTAGTTCCCTCCTGTTCGCGGTCCACTATTATAGAAAAGACCAAGGTATGGAGTCGACGATGATGCCGCCGGCCGGCTCATTTAGCGTAGATTTGAACACGTTATCATTCTCGATGAGCAAATAAGACAATCCGAGGATCCATCGTTTCGTGGGTTCTTAACGCGCACGAGGCAGGCAGCATTGACCGAGGACGATGTTGCCCGCCTGAATTCCAAAGCTATTTCCTCACTTATAGATCCAACATCAGAGGATGCCACTGTCATTATTAAGTTAAACGCTATACGACACCCAATTAATCGGATCCGTATTGAGAATTTCGCTCGGCGAAGGTCTTAGAGAATTTATGTCTTTCCCGCTATTTACACTCGGACTAAGTCAACTGGCTAAGTGAACCTTCGGCTTCAAGCCCATGACTTACTGCTCTAGCTAGATCACAGTGCCCAGATTCCATTCCCAGGCCTTCTTCTTTACACAAGGGATATGCCGACCGTTATGCTCACCAATACCTACACCCCTCTTGGTTAGGTTAACGGTGCCACGGGCACCGCAGTGGGGGTTGTTTTGGATCCAGCTGGAAAGTTTCTATTTAATATGCGAGATCCTAAAACATCACTAATATACTCGCATAGCCGAATTATTTGACCTAGATGACCTTTACACGCTCTGTACAAGACCGCCTGCCTCCGTAATATTCAAACCAGATCGAATTTTGCAAATGCGTTTTGACCATCTTCCACCTTCGACTATGCCGATCTTCCTAATGGAACGTTCCATCGCAGTGAAAGACGTCTCCGTGAGAAGGAAACAGGTCCCGATCTGCCCCGCTTTCTGTCTCACCGATTACAAAGTGCAAGGATCGACTCTCTCTATCGCGATCCTAGACCTAAAGAATGGCTCATCTCGGCGAGGACATGATTCTCATCGGAAGTACTGCTCCCTTTACGTTCAGCTTTCTAGGCTGCGGTCCTTTCAAGGTCTACATTTACTCGAGAAGGTTACTCTTGATGATCTCCGCTTTTCTCCCGACCCCGACCTTATCATGGAGATGGATAGATTGCGTGCTCTAGAAGCGAAGACACTTACGGCCTGGGCTTGAACTGTCCGGTAAAGCCTCTTTGCCTCAAAAGCTTCATACTTTTATTGCCACACTCTATATACCAAATTCCACTAATTCCACGTCGTTTCAGGGCTTACAGCGTGCCACAGCGCGCGTCTTCCAGTGCCCTGAAACGAACGAAGTGAGAGGAAGGGTTTACTACCGCGCGCAGGGAAGACCCTTGTAGTCAAAACTTAATCTATGATGTTGCTGTTAGGCAAATTCTACTTGCTTATTCGCTAGTCCGACCCACTGCTCGCCTCTGGTTCGCTAATTCCACCTTTCTTCTCATTCCACGCCCTCTTCTGATTGCTTTTCAGAAATATATCGTCTTAGTTTAGCGTTGGCGGTTTTTATCCTCGCTAACTGGCTCTTACATCCATAGCCCTAGCAGCCGGCTCCTTAACCCTAGTGTCTGTGCTTCATACTTGCTGTTTATTCGTTATAACCTCACTTCCATTACTTGCATTCTTTTGCTACGCACTTCTATAAGCTCTTCTTCTGGTTGGGTATACGCCTGCTACGTGTCCCGGCACACCGCTTCTTCTGTTCAAAGTAATTCCCGCCGTCTTCTCCAAAGGAAAGGCATTTCAAAATGCTCTGTAGCGTCTTTTCTTATTTATGGGACGCGTTGCCTAATTCATACTCTCATATAATACGGTGTTCTAGTCTTCATCATCCCGTTATCTTTCTATAAGTCTCCACGGAGAGATGTCCAAGCATGACGTTTGACTACTTTCGGAATTCTTTCCAATTGCCGTTACAAAATTCTCCAAATAATTTTCCCCACGCTCCTGGACCTCCTGCTTCTTTACCCTACATATACCTTCCACCTTCCTCACCGGCCCCGCACCCTTGTGCTTTTCCTCCACCCTTGTACGATTCACCGGGACGTCGCGAGCATGCCCCTCAAGCCCCTTGTTTCCCGTCGAATCCGACTTCGCCGCCCCGAGTGGCCCGGCCCGATTGTCGTTTCCCTCCACCTACCTACACCACTCCGCCAAGGGTACAATCCCTCGTCATGCAACCTAGCAACCGGTCTATTATGCCACCGTCAGCTGGATCCATAACTCCGTCCACAACTTCCTCCGGTCTCTAAAGCGATTATTCTAGGCAACGTGTTTCGTCGTGCCTCCGTCCCATTGCTCCAAGGCCCACCTTTCATTCAACTACCGCTGCAAGATCCCGTATCCCCACAGTCTCGGAAATATCCGAAACTGACCTTCACGGCCAACAATCAGTTCCCAACTTACCTAGCTCGGTTCAATCCAATACCCCAGCGAAGAGGCCGGCACCCTCTCAAACACTTCCACATTCCAAAAGGCATATGGCAGGTACTGAGGTTAATTCCGTTCACATCACCAATCAAGCTTTGAAATTATTGCGTGATGATCTTGAATCGAGAGAGTCGGCCTCTGCGGATTTTCCACCTGTACTATCTAAGACTCAAATACGAGCTTCCATTACCCAATTTCAGCATCTTATAGACGATGCCTCGCAGCAGGGTGTGTGCTCATCTTGTGGGAGGTTAGTGCCCGTTCCGGAGCTGGTGGAAATGGAAGACGCTGACCCTTTACTTCAACCAATGGCCGGCCATCTTGACTACTGCGGTAGGCATGAGAACGAGTGGGATGTGTGTTTAACTTGCCTCAAGTCTCTGTCTCAGAATGCCCTTCCGAAGCTTTCGGCTTTGAACCGTGTGAATATGTCGATGTGTCAGAACTACCCGGCAGTTCTGGAAAGTCTCACCCCAGTCGAAGAGTGCATTATTGCTAGGTGTCACCCCCTCGGCGCTATCTTGAAGCTACGCCCCGGTGGCCACGCATCACCCGCGTCTTACCGTGCTCTGCGTGGCCACTTTATCGTCATTCCGCAGGACCCAGAGCCGCTTCTCGACATTCTTCCGAGTCCGACATTATCACTGCATAACGTAATGAGGGTTTTCTGGTTGGGGAAACAGCCTCCCACTTATACAGATCTATCTCCGTTCCTGCTGGTACGGAGACACAGTGTGCTTACGGCTCTTCAATATTTGACACGCCATAATCATGTTTATTGCAATGTGGCAATCAATCATTCTATGCTCGACACTTGGGAAGACGACTTCATTCCATCCGATCTTCAACAAAATATAGTTTCTATTACTCTGGCCGATGGCCAGGAACGTGAAGGTTACTCCGTTCATTTGGACACGGGTAATCATGAAAATGATTTCCAGGCCGCGCAAGATACTGTCCTGGACGCACATTCCAATGCGCCTTTAACGACCGGATCCGTTTCTACCGATATCAATGGTGAACGTCAAAATCCCGATAGGCGTCTTTTGAATGCCCTGTTAAACGTGATTTCGAACGATGCAGCGTCATGCGCCCAGCGTTCGCCTGAGCATGATGGACAGCGGATCCCAACGCTTTCCTACAGAATTCACGGTCAGGCCACCCTCCTGGATCATTGGGATGATCCGACATACTTCACGGCCGCTTTTCCAACTTTGTTTCCGCTAGGCGTTGGAGGCCATCTGGAGGATCGTTCATTAAATGTCTCTTTGTCATCTTTTGCTGAGTGGGCACTGAAACATCATAGCCGGAGGTATGCTTGCTTAACAGTGTTTTTGATGAACGACCATCTCTTACTGAACCAGGTTTGCCCGCCACAAAACCTTCATGTATCTGATATACGATGTGCTACAAATCCGTAAGTCGTCTCTGGCGAATAGATTGGTCCTTCAGCGTCGTCACTGGTCATCGACCACGGACGATATTTCTTCTCTCACAGAAGATCGGCTTCGTGATGCGCTGCACGAGCTAGAAATCCATCATGAAGTCAAAGATCCAGCGATTTCCCGCCTGCTACATGTTATGAAAACGATTGCCATGTGGGTCCCCGGCTCTTTCGCTCAAAAATTGAGAATGCGCTCTGAGATCCGAGGCCTTATCGTCCGATTTGGCATGCCCGCTTTTTGGATTACCATCAACCCATCGGATTTACGAAGTCCACTTGTTATCACCTTGGCCGGTGTTGAATATGCTGATGATATTTTATCTGCATCGAATTCGACTCTTCGAGCTGCAACCGCCACATCCGATCCTGTCGCCGTGGCCTCATTTTTCCATGGCATCTGCACCGCTGTTTTGGATGGGTTATTCGCGAGCGGGTGCGATCGCGCAGGAATCCTCGGAGATGTTTCAAACCATTATGGTGTGGTCGAGACCAACGGTAGAGGGATGCTGCATCTACACGCAATGGTTTGGCTCAAAGGCAACCTCTCATTCGCCAATCTGCGAAGCCGCGTTCTCGCCGACGCCGACTTTGCTACTCGTCTGCTACACTACCTCGAAAGTGTCATTATCCAGAGCGTAGATGAGTGTACCCCCCTTGATCCGGAAGTCAACCTCGCGCCACGATGCCCTTCTGCTTCCGACCCAGAGTCGGATCATGATTTCCACCTCAGACTAGCCGATGATAGCAACCTCGTTGCTCGGACTAAACAAATGCACTCGAAAAGTCACTTCGATATATGTTTCAAATACCGCCTAACAGACCGGTCCAAATCCGTTTGTCGTTTTGGTATGCCTCGCGACATCGTGCCCTCCTCTAGAATCGACCGTCTTGGAGTGATTCACTTGGCTCGGAATCACCCGTGGGTTAACCCATGGAATCCTTCAATTGCCAGCTGTCTCCGTTCTAACCACGATATCTCTTGGATCCCGACCGTCTCGAAATCGTTAGCTCTAGTCTATTATATCACCAACTACGCCACTAAAGACGACGTGTCTCCGTGGCAGATGATAGCGAAGGGAGCACTCTTGAAGCAAGCTATTGAAAAAGCCAAAAGGGCTGACCCACCAACCGCCACTGACCTGAGACTCCGGGAGAAAGACATGGACAATTTCGCCCTGCGTTGTTTCAATAGCTTGGCTCACGACCGAGAAGTGAGTGGTGTTCAGGTCGCCAGCACCTTGCTCCATCTTCCAAGTCACTACACTGTCGACACAAAATTCATTCGTGTCAACCTATGGTGGCTTAGACATTACGTGCGCGGCCTTCGACATCAGACCGTTGCAGGGGCTGATAGTTCCGCTGAGATTGCTGACGAGCCCTGTACCTTTCAAGCCGGGGAGGCAATTCCGCTGAGCCTGTTTGACAACTACAAATGGCGCGGGGACGACCTTGCCGCTTTCTCACTCTTTGAATATTGCATGCTGGTCCAGATAAGAAGCAAGCGACGAAATCGTGGCGACCACTTTGAATTTGCCCCAGGCCACCCGAAACGTACCACCTGTATCCAGCATGTAGCCCGCTCAAGGTCTGAAATAGCCACCGTCACATTCAATGGGCAACTGACACAGTATCAGATGGCGGAAGACGGCGTCCGGGGCGGCCATCCGATGACTGACGCCATTGCGAATGATCTCGCGGAAATTCTTCTCGGCCTCTTCTTGCCCTGGGAAAGTCTGCGCGACAGGTTGCTTTGTGAACCTCATCAAGAGAATCTCTTCTTGTCTGTTTGGTCGTCCGTCAAACCCACACTTGCGCCGCATATTCAAGACTTTGCCGCTAATATCGAGCTTCTTCGAAAATCCAAGGAAGATTGCCAAGTTGACGCCAGATTACGGCAGTCTACAAACCACCACGCCGAGCTGTTCGATCACCATGTTGGTCACATAGACCAGGCGGACATTGATCCAGAAGATCCACCGGATAGCGACTATTTCATAGCTCCTGAAGATGAGAGGTTCACGGCGGAGACTTTGATTGCCGCCTATAATACTGTACGCAAGACCTGGGGTCGAGATTGTTTTATAGCTGCGAAGAAAGCATCCATCCTGGCCACTTCCTGCCGAGCACATGGTTCTGCACCGATAAACGCGCTTCCTTCAAGTACTCATTCACTCCGACCTGATCACGCCTTGGATTTAAGATTCGTTCCATCCACAATCCTTCAAGACTGGGAGAGCCACCTTGCCAACCATAAGAAACCCGTTCAGGACGGTGAACCGTCCGAACCTGCTACCGCGCCACTGCACGACTTTGATCTAACAGATGGAGACGGCGTGCTGCAACCTGCATTAACCAATGCAGACATTTCTGACGACACACAAGCTCGACCAACGCTCCTTGAAGATCTAACACCGGCTTCTCTGTTGACGCTGGTTGGCAGACACATCCCCCTGAATACAAAGCAATCCCTTGTCGTGCGAAGGTTATTGTCTGAAATTATGACGTGGCCTGATCAGTTATTTGATCCATCAAGGCGCAAGCAACTCCTCCTCTGCATAACGGGCGAAGGTGGCACTGGTAAGACCCAGATACCTAGAGCTATTGAGGCCGCTCTGGAACTTCTTGGTCGAAAACACGAGGTCATCCTCACTGCCCCTACAGGCGCTGCAGCAGACAATTTAGGAGGCAACACCTATCATACTTCTCTTGGCATCAATCTTTCCCATAAAGCAGCCATCAGCGCTCGCGTTAGAAGGCTATGGGCAAAAAAGACTATCTTGGTTATTGACGAAATGAGCATGGTCGATTTGAGAATGCTAAGCGTGATCAACAACCAATGCAAACTCGCTCGCTCACTGCCAAGATCCTCTCCCGACCTCTTTGGCGGCCTTCCTATCGTGATTCTTATGGGCGATTTTTTCCAGTTCCCTCCTGTTCGCGGCCCACCACTATGGAAGAAACCAAGATATAGAGTTGACGACGACGCCGCCGGCAGACTAATCTGGCGTAGATTCGAAAACGTCATCATTCTTAACGAGCAGATGAGACAATCCGAAGACCCTTGGTTTCGCGAATTTTTGACACGCGCGAGGCAAGCGGCATTGACCGAGGACGACGTTATCCGCCTTAATTCCAAATCTATTCCCTCGCTTATAGATTCAACCTCGGAGGATGCCTCTGTCATTGTCAAATTAAACGCCATGCGTCACCCGATTAACCGGATCCGTATCGAGAATTTTGCTCGGCGGAGATCTTAGAGAATTTATGTTTTTGCCGCAATCCACACTCGGACTAAGTCAACTGGTCCAACGAACCTTCGCCTTTAGGCTCATGACTTGCTACTCCAACCAGATCACAGTGCCCAGATCCTATTTCCGGGGCTTCTTCTTTATACGAGAGACATGCCTTCCGTAATGCTTACTAACGCCTGCACCCCTCTCGGTCAGGTCAACGGTGCCACGGGTACCGCGGTAGGGATTGTTTTGGACCCAGCTGGAAAGTTGCCGCTCGACATTTGAGATCCCCAAACCTCACTAATGTAATTGCACAGCCGAACTTTTTGATTTGGACGATCTTTACACTTTTTGCACAAGACCACCTGCCTCCGTTTTATTCAAACCCGACAGAGCCTTAACAACACATTTTGACTATCTCCCACCTTCAACCATGCCAATCTTTCCAATTGAACGTTCTATCACAGTGAAGGGCTTGTCCGTTAGAAGGAAACAAATCCCGATCTGCCCCGCTTTTTGTCTCACCGATTACAAAGTGCAAGGCTCGACCATCTCAGCCGCGATCCTAGACCTAAAGAACGATACGGCTCGACGAGGACAAGACTCCCATCGAAAATACTGCTCACTGTACGTGCAGCTTTCCAGACTGCGATCTTTCCAAGGTCTCCATTTACTCCAAAAAATTACTCTTGATGACCTCCGCTTTACTCCCGATCCTGATCTCATTGTGGAAATGGAAAGGTTACTCCGCTTAGAAGCCGAAACACTTGCAACTTGGGCTTCACCCGTAGACTAGGCCTCTCTCAACTCACATCTCAAACCTTTCTACTGCCACGTCCTCCGCATCAAAGACCACTAATGCCACGTCGTTTCAGGGCTTACAGCGTGCGACAGCGCGCGTCCCCCAGTTAATCAACACGGATGTACGTGTGCGCGAGACGTTGCGAAAAGAGGTGGCTTGACTATATATGCCTTGTTCTGCCACGCACGTCTGTCATTCGCCCTTGCCTGTTCGCGTACCTGCATTATTGTCGCTTTCTTCGGATTAGATCGTCTTGGCTTAGGGTTGTAGGGTTCGCTCTGCATAATTATGCACCTCCCGCTACTGTGATTGCTTCATCATCTGCTTCTTGCCATCCAGTTTATTGCAACCCTATGCTTTCTATCGCCACTGTAATGTCCTCTTCGAATAGAAAGAACGCTGTCTTTTCCGTTGCCCCTCACTTTCCCTTTGTCTACGTCTCCCTGAATGTTGTCTAATCGGTTTTGCTCTGGCTGTGGGCGTCAAGTACGTCTGTCTACGACTATTCAATCGCCAACATGTCCCGTTTGTCCATTTTCCCTGCTCCCACCTATACGGGAAACACGCCCCTGCTTACGCTGCTTTGTTCCAATTCCCGCGGATTCTCCAAATATTCGCTGCATGCCTTGCGAGGCTTTACTCTCTTCAAATCCGTATTATAGTCCGTGCTATGACTGTCGACTTCCATTCGCCGCTCGACCAGGTGTTATGCGTTGTCGTAACTGCAGATTGAGGAGATCGAATGTGGTGCAGCGTCCCTCCGATTTTCGCCAGACTATTGGTATATATTTTGACCCTAACCTAAATTCTTTTCCTCCACTAATAACACCCGCGCACCCCCCTCAACCCAAGCGTCGAAGATCTATACCTCCAGGTCTACCATCGACAAGTCGGTCTCCCATTATCGACCGGGCTGTTGAATTCCTGCTCCAGGAACATGAGTCTCGCGTGCGTGCTTCGGGGATGTTTCCACAGGACATATCCACCCCACTTGTGCGCCAGTCTATAGCTCGATTTGAGAAGGAAATGGCTGTCTCCAGCCGAGATATTGCTTGTTGCACTTGCGGCATGCTTATTCCTAGCAATGACACGCGTCGATTTCTTGATGGAGATCCTGTATTGGAGCCATTGGCAGGCTTCCTCGATCGATGCGGCTACATTGATGGCTTCTGGAACCTATGCTCAGGATGCCATGCGCCACTCCTACGCGGCTCTGTTCCGAAGTTCTCCGCCGGTAACAAAATCAACGTTGTTCTGTGTCAGCATTACCCCGAGGCTCTTAAAGATCTTACTCTTACCGAAGAATACCTGATTGCCAAGTCCCATCCAGTGGGGGTCGTATTGAAGCTGCGCCCTGGAGGCCGATCATCGCCAGCAAGCTACTATGCGTTACGCGGCCACTTTATCATTATACCACAAGACCCAAAACCTCTCCTTCGAATATTGCCAAGCCCTGACCTGCACTTCGCTGAACTCATCAAAGTCTTCTGGCTGGGGAAAATTTCCCCGACCACCGCTGATCTGCAGCCATTTTTCACTGTTCGTAAGCACAAGGTGCTTGCTGCTCTTCGCTATCTCGTGCGACATAATCCTTTATACGGCAACGTTACTATTGATCATTCTGCTGTCAATCACTGGCCCGATGAGTTTATACCTTCAGACATACAGCAGCAAGTAATATGTGTAGACAACACGGATCACCACGAACGGGCGGGCTACAGTGTTAATTTGCAAGAAGGTAACTACGAAAACGACTGGCAAGCTGCAGAGGACAACCACCAGTTCATCGACGATTCTCTTCCAGTCACTGGTTCTGTTACTACTGACTTGAATGGAGATCGGCAGAACCCTGACCTGCGTCTGCTGAACACGGTGTTTACCCTTGTCAATGACCCGCCGCTCAAAACGCAACCTCAATTTGCCCCCACCAGCCACGCAAGCCATTCTTCTCAACAACCTACCGCTCATCAACGGGTCCCTACGATCGAATACCGTATACATGGCCAAGTATCGCTTCTAAATCAATGGGACGATCCTCATTATCTCACATCTGCTTTCCCTACGCTTTTCCCGGGAGGGATTGGAGGTCATCTGGATGATCGTGCTGTAACTGTATCCCTTGTTGCTTTCGCAAATTGGGCACTTCGTCACCATAGCCGGAGGTAAGTTGTTCTCCGGCTATCCGTGCAAACTGTTAGCTTAATTTTTTAGATTCGCTCGTCACAGGACGTTCATGTACTTGTTATACGACATCATACAGCTGCGGAATTCATGTCTTGGCAACTCTCTTCTCATCAAACGATCCCAGTGGACCTCGGTAGCTAGGGATCTAGACTCACTTAATGTCGATCGCCTACAAAAGGCAGCTGAGGAGCTTAGCACCAATCAAACCACCTCGGATCCGCTAATCCGACGGCTACTCAAGAACATCACCGCCATCGGTGTACAAGTACCAGGATCCTTTTTCCAAAAATTACAGATCCGGGCAGAACTTCGAGGTCTTCTCGTTCGAGAAGGTATGCCAGCGTTCTGGCTAACAATCAACCCTTCCGATCTTCAGAATCCTCTTGTTCTGGTTCTTGCTGGCGTCCAGTGTTCATCTGACCTCCCTGCTAACGTGACATCGGCCATCCAATCCGTGACAGCAACGTCTGACCCTGTGGCTGTGGCGAGATTCTTCCACTGCACATGCAAGGCGGTGCTTAACGGTCTTCTCGGTAGCAAAACTGCCGACATTGGGATCCTTGGGGACGTTTCTAATTACTTTGGCGTGGTGGAAAGTAATGGACGAGGCATGTTACATCTCCACACATTGGTGTGGACTCGAGGAAATCTTGGTTTCGTCCGCTTGCGTGACCGTGTCCTCGCAGACGGTGATTTCGCAAATCGAATGATCACCTTCTTGGGGACTGTCGTGATGCATAGCTTACATGGCTCTGACGAGGACGATGAATCAACCCTCTCGAACGTAGCTCCTCCATCAACTGGCCAAGAAACAGACTCGGAATTCATGCGGAAACTTTTTTACGATAGCAACCGTGTTGCTCGTACGAAACAACTTCACTCCAAGCGACATACGGCAACTTGCTTTAAATACCGCCCACAAAGATCAAACAACCATGTCTGTCGCTTCGGTATGCCTCGCGATCTTCTAGACGCAGCAAAAGTAGACGAGTACGGCATCATTCACCTTGCTCGTAACCATGCTTGGGTTAATCCGTGGAATCCCTCCATTGCCACCTGCATCCGCTCAAATCATGACATCTCCTGGATTCCGACCGTGTCCAAGTCGTTGTCCCTTCTGTATTACATTACCAACTACGCTACCAAGGATGACGTTTCGCCGTGCCACATGGTCACAAAAGCGGCGCTGTTGAAACAAATGATTGAACATGCCGCCGCCGCTCCTACTCCTAGCACGGTAGATATAAGACTCCGTCAAAGGGGCATGGACAAGTTTGCCCTCCGCTGCTTCAATAGCTTGTCCCAAGATCGTGAAATAAGCGGGGTCCAAGTGGCGAGCACATTACTTCAACTTCCCTCCTACTACACACTCAACTATAATTTTACTCGCATTAATCTCTGGTGGCTCAGACGGTACGTTCGTTCGTTAATTCCACCAGGACAGTCTCGTCGAGATACCTTGCCATCAGATACGATTGGAGAAGAGCCATGCAATTATGAGCAAACCGCAACTGCACCGGCAAATATATTCGACAATTATAAGTTGCGTGGTAGTCATTTATCTTCCTTGTCCATCTTCGAATACTGCATGGTAGTGCGCACCAAGAGACTCCAGGATGCGACGACAGAAGACATCCCCTTCGAGGATGCACATCCAAGACACCGAACCCATATACAGAGACTGGCTCAGTCTCCTTCTCAGACGGCCACAGTAACCCTACAAGGCGAGCTGACAGAATTTCAGTCCTCGGAGGACTCCGTCCCAGATGGAAATCCCACAACCACAGCGATTCAGAACGATCTTGCCGAGATCCTCCTCGGACTTTTCATTCCTTGGCAAAATCTGCCCTCACTTTTTCAACAAACACATCCTCCTGCCACATCAACACATGATATTCTTCATCATGTTTGGACATGTGTTGAACCAACACTTCCACCATATATTCGTACATTTGCGGAAAACGTTGAGCTCCTGCGCAAATCAAAGAGTGACTGCCAAGCTGATGCAATACTTCGCAGCCGCACTAATGAACGCGCGAGCCCAATCGACCAAGAACTGGGTAGTCCTCCGTACCCCGCATCGGGTTCAGAAAATGAGGATCCGCATCTGCCACAAAATCTAGATGGTTCACTGACCAAAGAAACCCTTCTGGCTGCATTTCTGGCGATAAGTCGACGCTGGACGAACGAGGCCCAAGATGCTCAACGCCAAATCACCACTCTCGCCTCGTTTTCTTTCACTCTAACCCTTCAGCTACAAAATCTCCGACCCCTCCACATTTCTGACAGCACATTATATCAGTCGTCTGGTCTCAGTTTCTTTCCGGTGTCCACTCTGAACGAATGGCAGGACCAGATTAAGAATTTTACGAGGCTCACTACCCAAGATCCAAACACTGCATCGTCAACGTCCGCTGTCCCAGACCTTGATGACTCCAATATCGACCTTATCGACAATGTCTTACTGCCTGTACTCGCTGGGTCAGATGCACTCCCTGACTTGCTGCATCTTCGCTCGCGAGTGGGACAAAATCCCACTGGGTTTTCAGTAACTTCACTCGTACGCGAGCTTATTCCCCTGAACGAGAAACAATGCATCGTTGTGGAAAAAGTCCTGACCGAGATCCTCAACTGCACTGACCATCCGTATGATCATTCACAGCGAAAACAGACACTCCTCTACGTAGGAGGTGAAGGCGGAGTGGGCAAAAGCCAGATAATTAAAGCAACTACCGTTGCTATGGACTTGCTTCACCGCAAGAACGAGATCATCCTGATGGCCCCAACAGGAGCTGCCGCTGATGTTATTGGAGGAAGCACCTACCACACGTCTCTTGGCATTTCTCTGAACCGGTATCGACGGACCGGTGTGGGGCAAAGGGTTCGCAGGCTATGGACGCAAAAAACCATTATGTTCATAGACGAGGTGAGCATGGTGGATCTCTCCGCGCTTAGCATCATCAACACCCACTGCAAGATCGCCCGATCTCTTGAGAGGTCATCGCCGGACCTCTTTGGCGGTTTACCTGTGGTTATCCTTATGGGGGATTTCTACCAATTCCCTCCTGTCCAAGGCCAGCCCCTATGGAAACCTCCGAGAAATGGGACCGAACAGGATGGGAAGCTTATCTGGAATCAGTTTAAACAAGTCATTATCCTCGACGAGCAGATGCGCCAGGCGGAGGACTTACCATATCGGAACATACTTACTCGTGCGAGGACTGCCACACTTACACACGATGATATTTTGGTGTTGAACTCAAAGGCGATAACTTCACTCGACGATCCGCGTCTGCATGCCACGACGGCAGTCGTTAAACTAAACGCGCTCCGACATATCATAAATCGTTTCCAGATCGAGCGCTTCGCTCGGTCAAAACGTCAGAGAATTTTGATATTCCCCGCGCTTCACACCCGCACAAGGTCCTCTGCGCCGACCGATCTAACGCTTCACGCGGATGACCTACTCGGGCTTCCCGAGCAGGGAGCAAAGATCCCTTTTCCGGGACTTATTCTCTATACACTTTCAATGCCGACAATGCTTTTGACAAACATATGCACGCCTGCTGGATTAGTTAATGGTGCGACTGGAGAGGCTGTGGGCGTTGTGGTTGACCCGGACGGTACGTCAACCCCCCTTAATATATGCGGCTTCTTATCTTATAGGACTCGTTCGCGTTTAGCGGACTTCCACGAGCTTGATGAACTGTACACCTTCTGTACAAAGCCTCCAGCGTGTCTCCTGTTCAAACCGAGCCGATCGAAATCGATTTCTCTTCCTTCTTTAAGTGAAAATGTCTTACCTATCTTTCCACTCGAGGCGTCTATAACTGTCAAGGGGTTCTCGGTGCGTCGGCGACAGGTCCCTATTTGCCCGGCCTTCTGTCTCACCGACTATAAAATTCAGGGTACGACCCTCGAATCCGCCATTCTGGATCTCAAGAATGATCGCAAAATTCGAGGCCAAGACGCCCACCGGAGATTCTGCTCTACTTACGTGCAACTATCCCGTCTTCGTTCACTTGCTGGTCTTCATCTCCTACAACCAATTGAAATGAGCGACCTACAACACGCCCCGGATCCTCAATTGCTCGGTGAGATGCAAAGGCTGCGGGCACTGGAACCGAACACTCTTGCTGCATGGCAATCTGATACCTCGAGATACCTCACCTAATGCCCAGTCATTTTTTCCCGTATCTTGCGTATATAGGCGATAAAGTTAATAAACACGGGCCTATCCCTGTCTCTTCTGTGCCTACCTCCTTCCTAAGGGAAGCGGTGAGGAAACTTTCCTTCTAATGTTTCGTATCTGCACTTATGTTCATGCACTATCGCAGTATCGACCGGGCTATCCCTGCCAGATCCACCCATATAGCTACCTACACGAATATAGACTATCGTCTATGTCTTCCTATTTTCGTCTTCTATTCAACTATTAACCCATATAACCGATATCTTCTCATCCTACTAGATTATCAAACCCCCACAAAACCGGTCCATCTCCATTATGCCTTCCCAAGGCTCTTTCCCAGCCATTCTTCATATTCGCGATTTCATCGACCATGTTGAACAAGATCCAACACGCCCCGGTAAAAGCCTATGCATGCAGTTACGTGTATCACTCAATATACCGGACAAAGATATACAATCAGACGATGTTGAACAGGACGACATTCCCACTTTAATTCGATTATTCAATGAAGGGAACCGACCGGACCTCTACCAATCCAACGCTTTTATTTATGCGTGGGGCTCTTTTCTCGCCACCTCCTCTGACAGTGACGGCTTCCACATCCTTCTCCATGCTCATGGCGTTGAGAGGTTAGTAATTTTCACAATCACTAAGCACACAAATTGACCCACACTAGGCACCCGGGCGACCAAGAAGATACTAGTTCATATTTTATGCACTGCCCTGAAGCGGCTTTGCCCGTCGTAACCGTCCTTGCGACTGTCCTTGAGCGTGAAGGTCAACTAAATACTGGCACAACTCTCCTACACTACCGTCTCCAATCTACAGTTTACAACAGTTCGACTCGGAGCCATAACACATTCCCCCTTACTGCATACTTCAAGAACGGGCAACGTTGGGTGAACTTCCCACCACTGAGCATCAACACCAACATTTTTCTGACAGGGCGTATTTTCGGCATCACCAAGAACAATCGCCAGCTAGCTGTGATTACGGACGACATACATTTCCTTCCAACCCAACCGCAATCTTTGCCATCCACACCATCTCCGACAGCTAGTAAACGGAAACGCCAGGACCGCTGGTCCCAAAGGGCTAATACTGGTTCTCCACTCAAGCCAGCGCCCGTGTTGGAGGATGATTCGATCCCAACCCTCCGACAGTCATACAGCCCCACAGGAACTACTTCCATGAACAATGACGGCGAAGGAACGTTAATAACCTGGCCGGACACGACCGACGATGGTCAACCCTTACCACAACCTCGCACTCCTACACCAGAGCCGCGTTCCCAGAGATCACGAAAAAGACCCAGAAACTAACCTTCTCATTCAAAGCTCAACAATTTAAACCTCTTCCCCAATTCGCACCTTATACTCTCTTCCAGGTTCAGTCCTACGAACAACTTCACCTCATTACTCACATACATTATGTTCTGTCTCAACTTATTGTTGGAGAACCTCCCATTCGCTTTCCCTTTTTACCTTATCCATTCATTACAGTTCAAAGGGGAAAATGACAATTTCAGCAAACAAACATTACTTCCTCCTAGAAATATTCTATTCGTGTTCACCGTGAGGACTGTGATTCTTTCTGAACACCATCTTTTCATCTAGGATTCCCGTAAATACCCCTTGTTTATCACTCACAGACCGAAGAATTCTAGAAGCGCACAAATATATCCCCCGCGCATTCTGATAAACCGCAACTTAAGAAATCTATTATTTAACCAGACCCTATCTAGATAACGACCACCGTCCATGCAGATCACGTGCGGCTAGTCATGCACGCACGGCAGTGTTAACGAATCACAATGCGAGGAGTATGCTACCGTGTATGCCACCATGTAGACTCTTACGACTCACCTTTTCTATCACCCTCTACTTTCCTTCTATTTCCACTCAATTTCATCGTTTCAGGGCCGATGCGCGCGCTGCGCGCGTCTTCCAGTATTATAGAAGGATTATTTACGCCTTCTCTTAGTACGGATTAGCGTCGTCTCGGGTACGGGCCGAGAAACAAAGCGTCAGTGTCTGGGGGGTAATCTGTTTTCGAATTCTACTGTATCCTGTCAAAACCATGCCAAAGATTCTCTCACGGTTGACCAAGTGGTTTGGCTTGGAGGTGGTGCACGTTATCGTTATTCGCCGCTCGCGTCGTGGGGACCTCCGCTTTCTCCAGTCGACCTTTCCTCCAGATCATCCTACGGTAAGTGGGAGCCGCCGACTTTCTTTACCAAGCTAAGCATGGGAATAGGAAGTGACGTTGATGCTCGAAGAAGAGGAGACAAAAGCAATAAAGGAAGCTACTTTCTGTTACAACTAGTCTCAGGGTTGAGACAACTAGGTTCCGGGTCGATGTGGAGGCCGATGAAGTTCGTTTAACATTTCCAGCGCTTTGGGAACTGTAGTATTCTCGCCGTGCCTGTAGATGGAATACTGGGCTAGAATGTTATATGTATTTAGCCTGAAAGTGCTTTTGATCTCTATTAGAACTGGCCTCTGCTAGGACGAGAGATTTGAATTTCGGGCGGGCAAACGCAAGTCTGCTTTGCTTCTCGATTGTAGTGAGAATGTGGTAGACTCTAGTCTATCCTTTCTTCGAAAGAGGTTGCGACAGGCACCGGTACGTATTGGGCAAAGCGCCTGGAATTTCCTGACTATTTGATCAAGTAGTGATGCGTTGATTAAATGCCTGTCCCCGTTCAACTCGTTAAATGTTTGAGACATAGTAGTGAGGCGAAGTTGTCAATGCTGGGTATAGGAGAATGCGAAATGAACAGGCACTATTGCAATTGATTACATCTCCCCACGCCGAGACTTTAAATATGCGGTCCTATGATCTACACCCGGGCATTTTGAATGACACTGTCGCATTGTTGATGATATATTTACGGCGAGGAATTGGCAGCGAGGAATTGGCAGCGAGGAATTGGCAGCGAGGAATTGGCAGCGAGGAATTCGTCATGGTGTAACCGCAATGTTGAACCCTGGGTGTTTGTCCTGCATGAAATCGGCGTGGACTAATTGGAAGTAAATTGAGGGCTTCCAATTTTCACAATCAATCCGACGAGATCGGGAAGGCTCTACTTCGAACGTAGTAGCCCATCAAAATCATGACATGTATTCTAGCTAAACACTTCAGCAGCAGCCGCTCACCGGTGCTTGTTTTCGTCTTATCGGAGCATGTGGGGTACAATGGTCGTTTCGTTTCCTGACGAGTATATCATTTCGTTCTCCGGGCAAATGCGGGTCGGCGTGATCGTTGCTACGAGCGTCCTATCCTGAAATTTATGAGAACGGAGCGAAGGACTCAGCAACCGTCCGGCGCCTGAAATCGTCGTTGAAGGAGATCCTAAATCACCCAGGGCGGACCGCAATGCCAAGAGATCAGTCGCTACATTCACCGCAGGCATATCAATGTCCGCTTATTGGCAAAAGGTCTAGATATTCCGTAGCATCGGCCTCGTACATCCACAAAGCAGCCCTCTCAAGTCAATGTTTATTTTTGATGCTATTCTCAAAACCAGTACCTCTCGACAAATCCATTGTCATCGCTTCACACGACCGCCCACCGCGCCAACCACATTTGAGCATAGCGCCTCAGGATGCCGTCTTCGACAAGATTTACGCAACCATCTCGCAGGGTCCGGCTATCCCTTTCTGCCTGACTAGTCAAGAATCGCTTCCGGCACAGGCGACCGCAGGGCACGTTGGCACTAAATAACAGCTCATAATGATGGATTAGCTTAATAGCGGGGTTAGTCTGTTCCTCGCCTCGCGCCTCACTCCCACGAAGCAAATTCATCCACTCCTCGAACGGCACGATCTCGAAATCATACCCGCTCTGCTTGAGACTGTCCAGCAACGCAGTCCAAGAGAACTCGCAAGGGTTGCACACATTGTAAATCGAATCATCTATCAGGGTCACTGTCGAGCTATCGTATGCACAATCCGCTCCATAGTCGCGGCTAGGCATAGAACACGCCCTAGCGATCTCGAGGATGACCGTGGCAAGCGTGTTCACGGGGAGCCACGAATATATATGGGGCAGCTCAGGGAGGGCTTTCAGGGTTATCGCGGAACGGATCATGAGGGGTAGCGCCTCACTCTCCTTCCACCAGCCCGTCTCTAAATGCCTAGAGACTTATCCAATCCGGAGAGAAAAGGCCTTTGCTCCCGACCGACATACGTTGCTCACCATATGCTCCCCCACGAGTTTCGATTGCCCATAGCCTAGCAGCGCGCTGTCTAGGCGCAGAGGCTCCTCGGTGACCTTCACGGAGGACGCCCCTAGAGCCATAGACACGGAGGAGCAAAAGATCATAACCGCAGGCTCGGGCCTCCTCACCGACAGGGAGAATTCGATCAGGTTATAGAGGCCCCGAACGTGCGGTTCGAAGAAGGAGAGAGGCAGGTGGAAGTTGACCGGCTATACGGCGTGAATGATGAGAGAGACCGATTCGTGTATATATCCAAGGATGTCTTCCTCTGTATCCAGGCCAAAGCCCTATTAGTCGAGCGCGCCGTTCAAGGCCACGATCTTGGTGGTTTATTCACGGGAAACATAGAGGCCTCTCTCGGCCAGGCCGCCTAGTACGGCATCGAAGGGCGAGTGCCGTCGCGTTAGACAGAAGATCGTCGTAATCGTTTCGTTATTTAGCAACTCGAACAGAACGTACGCGCCAATCGAGCCAGTCGCTCCTATCAAAAGCTATGTACCGTTAGACGTATGCCATGAGACACCCAGTCGGCTTCACATACCACGTTCTTTAACTCGGGCAGGACCTCCCGGTGCGGGAGATGCTTTCCAAACCGCGAGTACTTCTCAATCCATTCCGCCATGACTAATGTACCATTGTCGCGCGCCGCAGAACCTAGGCCCACTTATAAGGAGCAGATGGTTTGGGCGAGCTGTGATATGCTGCCGCTTTCCCACACCACATTATCACTAGGCACTCGATGCCGATCGAACCGGAACTGCTTGATAATCAAACGCCGTAGCTAGATCGATTTAAGACTATCCACACCCTCGACGTATATATTAGTAGCAGCGGAAGAGACGGGGATCCCCAACGCATCCCGACACAGTCGGAGGAGGCAAGTTTCCGTCGCCGCCAGGTCAAGGCGGTAACCGCCATGAGGAACGGCGTCCCTAGCAAAGAGATATTCTATCCGCTCGGCATACGTACGATAGATCTAGGCTCGGATGATAGAACCTTTATCAGTCCGAGGCAGCTCGGCGCTATGTGGGAGGATAGCCACCGTATCACGTGATATCTGAGAAAAGGCCTCTGCCCAAGCATTGGCCTCCACGATGTGAGGCCAGATTGTCTCGAGGAACTCGGCGTCCGGAAGCCGCGGTGCGTTAGGGGCCTCCTTGGCGCGCCAGATCAAGAGGCCCAGGAGGGCCTTACCGATCCCCACGACGACCGCTTCGCCGACCCAGAGATACTAGTTAATATAGCCTTCTGTCGGAAGTGGCCACACTTTTTCGCCGTTGACGAGGGTGATGCGGTCGTCCAACCTAGCGACATACTTCTAGCGGCCTGGGATCGTGGGGTAAGGGCTAAAGACGTCCTAGGAATGGAACGATCTATAGGGCTCATCTAAGTTGGATGTCGTCAAGGCCAAATGACCGGCCAGATAGACGCATTCGTAGAGGCGCTCACTACGAGGCTTCATCCAAACATAGGACCGGAGGTTGGCGAAAAACCTTAAATAGTTCCAGAAGGGGTCGCCCAGGGGCCGTGAGATTGACTCCGCCACTAAGCCCGCCTCGGTCCTAACCGTTAGTTAGCAGGCGATTCGCTCGTATCACCGTTCACTCACAGGCTAAATAAACCTCCTAGATAGACACCCTCGAGAACGAGACGGTCCCCCAGACTGTCAGGGCAAGGTGCGCCTCCGTACGCGACTAGCTTATATACCTTCAATACCGAAATCCCGCCCGGGTGGTCTGCCAGCAACTAGAGCATATATAGCATTGCTGCTACGAGCTCCAGTTGGGCCTCTCTGATCGCGGAGATAACACTCGCCGCTGTGAGTGGTAGCGCAGCATTCCACATATACGCGGTCTTGCGCATATATATAGCCTGCAAAGCGGTGGACAAGCCGTGAAGATAGCACCAAGGCAGAGGACTGAACGTGGTGAGTCCGGGACCTCTGGGGGGATGGGTTATAAGCGCACGATGCGAAAGGAAAATCGGCTTGGGACTACCGGTGGATCCCGAGGAATAGAGAATCAGGGCGATGTCCTCGGGGTTATGTTGTCGGGGGAGGGCCACAAGGTGTATCTCAGCCATATTGTTCGCGGAGCACGAGCGTATCGGAGAACATTTCAGGAGCTTCTGCCGCAGGATGTCGCCCACTATTACGCGGATCGCAGGCGTTCGCCTATATATAATCGTCTTATAGCCGACGGTCTCCAGCAGGGCAACGCTCGCCGAACTGGACAGTCTAGGCGAGATCATCATAACCGTATAGCCCAGTCGACTTAGAGCCAAGAATGTGACGACTATATCGAGATCTGACCTCGTTAGGAGTGCTACAATTGGACGAGAGTCATAGACCTATGTAGCATGCCACACTGTTAGCATCACTGCGCAAAAGGACGTTTGCATATATACCGCTTGTACGCCATCGCTATCTAGTCTCGCAATCGTTTGATTGATCATGGCATCCAAGTCCTGTCCGGTGTAAGACCGGTAGGATGCTGGGCCATCTTCGGACTGGGGATACGCGAGGATGGGATGCTGGATAGCGTCTGCTGTACGTAGGCGGATTAAGTCGTCAAGGATTTTCATTTCCCCAAACTCTGACGCCAAGAGTGTCGTGTAGGTAGGAAGAGTGGATTGCCCTATGGTATCGCTCTGGCCGTCCATCATAAAGGCCGCGGGACGTTTGTATTTGCTGTACAGCGAAGAAAGGAGGAGCTTGGCGGAAGAATGAATCCTACCAAGTAACGAAGAGGCTCGTACCCTGCCAAACTTATAGCGTGACCCCTATGAACCACCGTCATTGGACTTGGTTGCCAACTGGGTCCTTTTCTCGTGTCCAAGCCTCTTCTGGCGAACTGACCCAGTTGAGCCGTTGCCTCGCTCGCTTGGAATAAAAAACAATGAAGTTATAACTTATATAGTCTAATGTCCAGTTAAACGTAAAGCCAACTCAAATGAGGAATGACCTTTGTAATAATAAAAGGTCTGTGCATTTCGTCATTTGAGTATATTGATTTTCTGGCCCGGGAAGATCATTATATCTATTTGATTAGTCCAATTTCTTTAGTCAATTGACTCGTTTCGTCTGCTTCACCCTTCCCTGCCATCAATACTCCAAAGAATAAGCTTATGTTATCGTCTTAATTGTGCCGCTGCACAGAGACAGCTTTCGTAGAGGGTTTGCTATGTGACCGAAGCTGACTGGGCTCTCACCGGAGTAGAACTCAAGTAATTGCAAGGCCTTTTATCCTGTCTTTGCTTCTGTTGTCCCACACTGGACTTAGGCTGCTCTTCAAGAATAATTCCGTACCCGTGACTTAAGCCAACTCTTCTATACCGATGGCGAAGCACGTTAAGCAAGATACTACCGATGTTCCATGTATATACGTATAGACTACTTGTGACTTTTTCAAAGACGTATGGGTTCTACGAGCCTTGTCTCAGGACAACGGTATATAACCAGCGACCAGCCGTTTTACCTGTATTGGACATTCATATATAGTTGCGAGTTTGGAAATGGCATAAAGTCTTATGAGCACTTAAAGTACAAAAGTCAAATGTAGATCTTAGCTTCCTCGAAACGGTCGTTTGAGTACTAGTCTTTAGCACCACGAAGAGGTGTCTAACTTTTCGCTGGAGGGAGCTAACGTTACAAGGCCACGCGGGGGCACTACAACACCCGGGTTTCTCATGTCCGAGCAGGGGAGATCTGACGTTATAAGGCCACGCGGGGGCACTACAACACCCGGGTTTCTCATGTCCGAGCAGGGGAGATCTGACGCTACAAGGCCACGCGGGGGCACTACAACACCCGGGTTTCTCATGTCCGAGCAGGGGAGATCTGACGTTACAAGGCCACGCGGGGGCACTACAACACCCGGGTTTCTCATGTCCGAGCAGGGGAGATCTGACGCTACAAGGCCACGCGGAGGCACTACAACACCCGGGTTTCTCATGTCCGAGCAGGGGAGATCTGACGCTACAAGGCCACGCGGGGGCACTATAACACCCGGGTTTCTTATGTCCGAGCAGGGGAGATCTGACGTTACAAGGCCACGCGGAGGCACTATAACACCTGGGTTTCTCATGTCCGAGCAGGGGAGGACAGAAAGTGTTCTGAATCCTGGTCTATAAACCACCGCGAAAGGCTAGGCTTTTATGGGAAAAACTAGGGTGGCCGAGAGAGACCATTTGCACGGACCCTAACTTCACATTTCCTATTCCAACTCGCCCCATGCTCACCATTCCCTTCAATTCGACCTCGTATAAGTCGGCTTTATGACAATAGAAGGCAGCCGGAATGATCAGTTCACGTCGACAAGAATTTAGTTGAAGCCAACAGGAACCTGCGGCCCGAAGCCATGAATTCCCCACTGGTTCTCGATAGCAATAGCTGCCCACGAGCAAAACACCAAGAAAGTGTATGCTTGTTGTATAGCTGCGGAGAGGGACATTAATGAACAAATTGACTCTTTCGCAAACTCGGTGTAACTATCGCGTCGTCTAGATGAATCTAAACTATGTGTTCTTGCGTTTTTGGGGAGCAACTCCAATTACTCATATTGAATTGCCCATATTGAATTTGTTCAGATCCAATTATTCAAATCCAATTGCTCAGATCCAATTGCTTAGATCCAATTGCTTAGATCTAATTGCTTAGATCCAATTGCTCAGATCCAATTGCTCAAATCCAATTGCTCAAATCCAATTGCTCAAATTCAACTGATTCGTTTTAGAGCTTGCAGATTCTATCATCCGCCTAATATTGATTTTTTCGAAGTGTTGGAGTGTGTTTATTTAGCTAGAAACTGCGCCTTGGCGTGGAAAAGACGGACTTGCCCTTGGAACGACTTATTAGTGGGTAGGCCGGACGCATAAGTATGTAGAAGATGTATTTTCCACCACGGAGTCGACCTAGATCCTACTGGTTGTCTAAGCTACGATCTGCTTAGGGAAGTGCGGATTCTCTGGCCCCCTAAGAACCGAGTAGTCTTGTTCGTTCAGAAAAATGATGTACATCTATTACCTCTAGCACATAGTATGGACTGTGTAAATTCAGCGGACTCGGGCCCCCACTTGGAGTATGAGCCTCTGGGCCAGAACTCGGTCGATTCCAACGGTCATAAAAAGCTAACGGCTGATCAGTACCGTCTATTTGACCTAGTATGGCTTGACTGTTCGAGGAAGGCTCAGTGGGTAAGTCCGAAAATTTCTAGGATTAGGTAGGATCATCAACATCTGTTTAATTTAGTCTCTAAATTCATGCCCTCACGGACTGGACCCCACTATTGCGCGGATTAATAGACCGGCCGCTTCTTTTCACCATAAAGATTAGTTTAGTCCCTGGATTTTCCATGCCCGAAAGCATTTTCGAATAGCAGCTTCCTCAATATCGTTTGCTAGCTGCTACATCTCACTTGAACTTAATCGCATCTTTTTATGCCCAAAAGACATGCCGAGGGACGCCACGCTCTCTCGAACCTAGGCTGGAGCCCCTCCCCTCCGAGCGGCCCCAAGAACACGGGCCGGCGTATTTACTGCCTAAGTAGGTTAGCCTTATCCCACGAGCGCCGGCAATTCACTTCGTCCCTCTAACTAGGGCACCCGGCGGCAACCACCGGTATGCTATTGTCACGATGTGGAGATTATCTAGGAGCCTCGCTAATCTTTGGATCTATTACTGGTAGGCACTACCGGAGGGTATCCTAGAAAACGAAGTGTAGGAAAGCGCCAGAGACGATCCCAATCATGCCGATTGCAGAGTTGTCTTTAAGAGGGCCGACAGAGATCGCGCGTAACTAATCGCGCAGCTCAATAGGCAACGTTAGGTAGCCGCCGAGACTACACGGTAGTTTGGCGTCGAGAGAACTAGGCTTAATGGATAATCACGAAAGCTCAATTTGGACCTGTAGGCAGCTAAGGAAGAGGTCCGCCAGCTGAAATAGGAGAATCTGGATCTACAGAAGCGCTTTGACGAGTCAACACTAGACTAGGCGATCTATATGCGACGGGACGAATACGAAAATACTTTAGACGAGTTAAGCAAGCTCTCTTCATCCGTGACAAGGGCAATTAGATCGAAAAAGGGCAAGTCTATAAGCGAGGTCGAGAATATTTACATAACTAAAGACATACCCCCTTCCGATGTTCTACAGAGCCCTTAGGTATAGCCCGAGTAGTTTAATATACTCGACAATGACGCTGTTGCGGATGATATGGTACCGATGCTATCTACATCCGAAGCTCTAGCGCTACTAGACTTTGATACGTACGGAGAAATATCCTAAGGGGTGACATCGTCGAAGCTAGATAGTATTTTGCGAGATCTATATTAATCTAATCTTCTTTTCTTTTGCATTATACGCTCAGCGGCTGTCGGTCTAGTATCGGTAAGGGTATGTCTCTCAATATAACCGACGACTACTACTAGATGGAATTAGAGCACATCCCCTCCGACTAGTGAATTGAGATTACCTTGAGCCTTGGCTTCTGGCGAAGACGCTCGGGGAAAAAAAACTTAATTTCCGTAGATAGATCACCGTCGTGTAAACTTCCTGGTCTAGACTGGCCGGCTTAGTCGTCAAAGCTGCCCACATCGGAATGAACACGGCGTTGATGACTTATATGTCTTAGAACTGGGGCAAAGAAATGATCTCCATAGATGATCGTCGATTAACGGAACAAGCTAGTCATAAAAGCTGTTGATGATAGAGTTTGACCGGTTATGTCTCCACCACCGTATGCCCCACTCCGTGCAGCGCGTAGCGTCCTATATATAATTCACCCCTCCCGTATATTAGCCGCAATCTTAAATAGACTGCACGCTTATTCACGTTTATACTAAGGCCGAGAAACTGCGCTTAGGAGATAACGACGAGATAATTGTCCCTAGAGATGTGATATGGCATACCGTAGCTCTAATGGGGGCCAGGGAGACCTAGATTTATGTGGGTCAGCTGAGATTCGAGCTGGCCCGACGAGAGGAACGGATTGATACGCTATAGGATAAAGAAAAATAAGTTATATCTGTTTCGAGAACGGCGTAGGGGCAGGACGATTAGATTTCGTCAGGCGGTGTTTTTCTATGGCTATGATCTTATGCGTAATGGTGTCTTGGCCACAATATGAACTATGGATTAATCGTCTGAAAGGGGACAAAGCCTTCGATCCTATAGATCGCAAGGTTAGTCTATGCCTAATACGGTAGGAGTCTCTTGCGCACGGTGCTCGTCTAGGACGACTAAGCCGAACCTTCCGAGGCGGATGGTGAGACATTTGAGAGGATCACCCTGTCGTGATCTTTGCCCACCCAAAAACACTAGTACCGAATAAACGAGAAGAGCTATAGATCGAGGCTAGTAGGTCAAAGCCTTGCGGTAGAGGGTGGTCTCCTAATATTGATTATAGTCTGTCATCGTTGGCGCTCTATGCGGGTAACAAGGCCTGAGCTCCAGGCGATGACGGAATGGTTATCGAAAGGATCGTCGAGGCTCGGCGGGTGTTCGAGACTTTCCCCGGGCGGGGCTGCAAGGCTAGCATGATTAGGTTACTCAATGGATCTTCGCATAAGTCCAAACCGTGGAGCTTACGGGAACAACGGCTGCTTGTAGAAAATGGTAGCGATCCACCCGATCGACGTTGGTGGGTCGCTTATATACAGGACACCGTTAGTGATCTGTTAGCTCGGGGATCAGCGGCGCTAATTTGAGATTCCTGTGTGTAACGAACCTTCTCAAAGGCAATTTGGTCGAACTTAGGCC